CATCACTCTTGTTGGCGATACCTACAAAAAAGGCACACTTACCTCTGTGTGAACGGCTTAAAAAATAGATCCCGTTAATTTTCTTGGCAATAATCATCTTCATCACTCTTCTTGGCGATACCTACAAAAAAGGCACACTTACCTCTGTGTGAACAGCTTAAAAAATAGATCCTGTTAATTTTCTTGGCGATAATCATCTTCATCACTCTTGTTGGCGATACCTACAAAAAAGGCACACTTACCTCTGTGTGAACGGCTTAAAAAAATAGATCCCGTTAATTTTTCTTGGCGATAATCATCTTCATCACTCTTGTTGGCGATACCTACAAAAAAAGGCACACTTACCTCTGTGTGAACGGCTTAAAAAAATAGATCCCGTTAATTTTTCTTGGCGATAATCATCTTCATCACTCTTCTTGGCGATACCTACAAAAAAAGGCACACTTACCTCTGTGTGAACGGCTTAAAAAAATAGATCCCGTTAATTTTTCTTGGCGATAATCATCTTCATCACTCTTGTTGGCGATACCTACAAAAAAAGGCACACTTACCTCTGTGTGAACGGCTTAAAAAATAGATCCCGTTAATTTTCTTGGCGATAATCATCTTCATCACTCTTGTTGGCGATACCTACAAAAAAGGCACACTTACCTCTGTGTGAACGGCTTAAAAAATAGATCCCGTTAATTTTCTTGGCAATAATCATCTTCATCACTCTTCTTGGCGATACCTACAAAAAAGGCACACTTACCTCTGTGTGAACAGCTTAAAAAATAGATCCTGTTAATTTTCTTGGCGATAATCATCTTCATCACTCTTGTTGGCGATACCTACAAAAAAGGCACACTTACCTCTGTGTGAACGGCTTAAAAAATAGATCCCGTTAATTTTCTTGGCGATAATCATCTTCATCACTCTTGTTGGCGATACCTACAAAAAAGGCACACTTACCTCTGTGTGAACGGCTTAAAAAATAGATCCCGTTAATTTTCTTGGCAATAATCATCTTCATCACTCTTCTTGGCGATACCTACAAAAAAGGCACACTTACCTCTGTGTGAACAGCTTAAAAAATAGATCCTGTTAATTTTCTTGGCGATAATCATCTTCATCACTCTTCTTGGCGATACCTACAAAAAAGGCACACTTACCTCTGTGTGAACGGCTTAAAAAATAGATCCCGTTAATTTTCTTGGCAATAATCATCTTCATCACTCTTCTTGGCGATACCTACAAAAAAGGCACACTTACCTCTGTGTGAACAGCTTAAAAAATAGATCCTGTTAATTTTCTTGGCGATAATCATCTTCATCACTCTTGTTGGCGATACCTACAAAAAAGGCACACTTACCTCTGTGTGAACGGCTTAAAAAATAGATCCCGTTAATTTTCTTGGCGATAATCATCTTCATCACTCTTGTTGGCGATACCTACAAAAAAGGCACACTTACCTCTGTGTGAACGGCTTAAAAAATAGATCCCGTTAATTTTCTTGGCAATAATCATCTTCATCACTCTTCTTGGCGATACCTACAAAAAAGGCACACTTACCTCTGTGTGAACAGCTTAAAAAATAGATCATGTTAATTTTCTTGGCGATAATCATCTTCATCACTCTTGTTGGCGATACCTACAAAAAAGGCACACTTACCTCTGTGTGAACAGCTTAAAAAATAGATCCTGTTAATTTTCTTGGCGATAATCATCTTCATCACTCTTGTTGGCGATACCTACAAAAAAGGCACACTTACCTCTGTGTGAACGGCTTAAAAAATAGATCCCGTTAATTTTCTTGGCGATAATCATCTTCATCACTCTTGTTGGCGATACCTACAAAAAAGGCACACTTACCTCTGTGTGAACGGCTTAAAAAATAGATCCCGTTAATTTTCTTGGCGATAATCATCTTCATCACTCTTGTTGGCGATACCTACAAAAAAGGCACACTTACCTCTGTGTGAACAGCTTAAAAAATAGATCCTGTTAATTTTCTTGGCGATAATCATCTTCATCACTCTTGTTGGCGATACCTACAAAAAAGGCACACTTACCTCTGTGTGAACGGCTTAAAAAATAGATCCCGTTAATTTTCTTGGCGATAATCATCTTCATCACTCTTGTTGGCGATACCTACAAAAAAGGCACACTTACCTCTGTGTGAACGGCTTAAAAAATAGATCCCGTTAATTTTCTTGGCGATAATCATCTTCATCACTCTTGTTGGCGATACCTACAAAAAAGGCACACTTACCTCTGTGTGAACAGCTTAAAAAAATAGATCCTGTTAATTTTTCTTGGCGATAATCATCTTCATCACTCTTCTTGGCGATACCTACAAAAAAAGGCACACTTACCTCTGTGTGAACGGCTTAAAAAAATAGATCCCGTTAATTTTTCTTGGCGATAATCATCTTCATCACTCTTGTTGGCGATACCTACAAAAAGGCACACTTACCTCTGTGTGAACGGCTTAAAAAAATAGATCCCGTTAATTTTTCTTGGCGATAATCATCTTCATCACTCTTGTTGGCGATACCTACAAAAAAAGGCACACTTACCTCTGTGTGAACGGCTTAAAAAAATAGATCCCGTTAATTTTTCTTGGCGATAATCATCTTCATCACTCTTCTTGGCGATACCTACAAAAAAAGGCACACTTACCTCTGTGTGAACGGCTTAAAAAAAATAGATCCCGTTAATTTTTCTTGGCGATAATCATCTTCATCACTCTTCTTGGCGATACCTACAAAAAAAGGCACACTTACCTCTGTGTGAACGGCTTAAAAAAATAGATCCCTGTTAATTTTTCTTGGCGTTAATCATCTTCATCACTCTTCTTGGCGATACCTACAAAAAAAGGCACACTTACCTCTGTGTGAACGGCTTAAAAAAAATAGATCCCGTTAATTTTTCTTAGCGATAATCATCTTCATCACTCTTGTTGGCGATAGCTACAAAAAAAAGGCACACTTACCTCTGTGTGAACGGCTTAAAAAAATAGATCCCGTTAATTTTTCTTGGCGATAATCATCTTCATCACTCTTCTTGGCGATACCTACAAAAAAAGGCACACTTACCTCTGTGTGAACGGCTTAAAAAAATAGATCCCTGTTAATTTTTCTTGGCGATAATCATCTTCATCACTCTTGTTGGCGATACCTACAAAAAAAGGCACACTTACCTCTGTGTGAACGGCTTAAAAAATAGATCCCGTTAATTTTCTTGGCGATAATCATCTTCATCACTCTTGTTGGCGATACCTACAAAAAAGGCACACTTACCTCTGTGTGAACGGCTTAAAAAATAGATCCCGTTAATTTTCTTGGCAATAATCATCTTCATCACTCTTCTTGGCGATACCTACAAAAAAGGCACACTTACCTCTGTGTGAACAGCTTAAAAAATAGATCCTGTTAATTTTCTTGGCGATAATCATCTTCATCACTCTTCTTGGCAATAGTGATATTCATAGCGCTATCCAGTAGTCCTCGTCACCGCATCTTGAAAGTATTACACAAAAGTGATGACTCCGGCTCCCGGGGTTTCTTGGCGAGTCAAAACATGTACCTGGTAGGCTCATCAATAAGATCGTAATCAATGACATCTGCTCATCGTCTGATAAGTGCCCTCCAAGTCGAAAATATATACAGTATTTGTCGGATTATGAATACGGGTGTAGACTCTTTCTGTAATAAAGGGTGTTTCCGTCCAAAAACGTCTCTAGTAATTATTAAAATGAGAACACACATTGATTGTGGAAGCTCGGAACTCGAAATTACTCAATTTGGTGAACAAAGAAGTTCATTAACTCGAGCGAGAACTAACTGAATTACGCACCTGACTTTGTTATATCCGAGTCCTCGATCTTCTCTTCGTTGCTTTGGCCATCCATTCCAATTTTGTCTAGACGCCAACAGCGACGGTCTGACCGACAACGGGGCATTATGAAGTGAATCGATCGAGTTCGGCGAGGGGGACCCCCGGCCGAGAGACGCAGAGAAAAAGAGAGTGCGCAGTTTGGCGGGCGGTAGGTCAAAACGGACTCGGTGCGCCCCGCTCGATTTTTTCCGTCCGCAAATCAGTAGCATTATGTCTTTCTCCTATAATTCTATTAAAATCGACGTTTCTTTCGCCTTTTCCGTCTTGAATTGCGCTTGGTTTCATCGAGAAAATACAAAAATTGTCAGTTTATCATTTTCAAGCTAGTTTAACGTTTTATTCGATGATTTTTGTTGTTTTGCGCATAATTTAAACTCAGAACTGACTTCAGATTTCAGTTAAAAAATAATAAATTTGTTTTTTTCTGCAATTTCAAATCGAGTTTTGCTGGGTGAACGAGACGAGAGAATGAGTTTTTGAATCTACCGGTTTTTATTTCAAAATCACTGAAGGCCGTAGCAACAATTTAAACGGAGATTATATGCATGCACCAAGATAATTGTTTCACCTCACATACAAAACCACCTGCTAGGTTCATGCGTACACCGAAAGGGGTCGGCATATTTGGAAAAGCAGCCATGTGCCGGCTCATGCGCAGACAGCATCGGATACCACATTCTCTCTTCACATATGGTTTTTCCCGACGTCCCTTTCCCCAATCCCATGTTCTTTCAGTCTCGAACCCATATCCATGAAGGATCACGTAATGAAAATGATCGGCAGTCCTCATGAGATTTGTGATTTTCCCCGATTGTTCCAACTATGCTTTTGATCCAACAATGATGCTTTAGGTCAATTTCTCGTGCGTTTCCATAGTATCCGAGTACATGCAAGACCCTGCCTGACAGCCAACCAATTAGTTGTTCATCGGTGAGTCAGCTTCATCCGCAACTATCTTACGGGCATCAAATGAACCCGTCTGACTAATTACGCTTGAAGGTGGTGTAAACAAAAAGCGCGTGACTATTTCAGCTGACTACATTATCAGTCTATGAGAATTCAAAAAGATGAATTCTAATTCTCTGCCGGATCTCCATTCTAATATAGCTTTTTCACAAAGAATGGAAACTTCTCAGCCAAAGACGCAGCACATTTGTGAAGTCGGTACCCTTTTTTTTTACAGTGAGACACACTTTGAACTGTATGAAACTTCAGGTTTGCGGAAAAACGTTATCGTCGAAAAATCGCTTGCAAAATCACAAAAAGATCCATGAGAAGCGGCCGAGACCATTCCTCTGTGAACTCTGTCAAAACTCATTCCTGACCGAGTCCAGCTTCAACAGTCACAAACTCGTGCATTTGAAGAAAAGTAACGTCCATTGCAAGGTGAACGTTATGAAATTTTGACAAATGAACTATTTTTTCATTTCAGATATGCAAAGACAGTTTCAGAACTGAGCAGTGTTTGAGAAAACACTTAGATCCGATAAACAGAGAACGAAAATTTGAGTGCTTCCTATGTGAATTCGTAACAAACACAGCAAAGTGCATTAGGGTAAGAACCACTTCTAATCGAACTAAATTAGGCTGTTCCAGATTCACCAGGAGACAAATCATCCATACACCGTTCCCGAGAATACGGTACTCCTGTTTTCAGATTGTTTTCTCTGGGAAGTATAATAACTCTTCAGACACTGCATCAAGTGAATTCTAACGATCCTCCATCGAGACACGAAGAGATGAACATGGACTCCAGTGGAAATGATCTCAATCTTTACGTCTCCGCAACAACTTCCAGTCAATTCTAACTCAAAAATGTTAATGTATTGAAGAATTTTGCTTATTTTACAGTTCACTGCATGAAAAGTGACAAATATTCCTCGGGAACATACTATTGGGGCATTTGAAGGTAAATGATGAAATTGCTACTTCCAGCCAGGCGCCAAACACTACTGATTTATAAGAATATGGGTAAGAGATAAGAGCATGATCTGCTGATTAAGTTCGACTTTCCGAATATTGTCAGAGTTGAGAAAGAATTCTCAAAATGACATCATAGTTAGCTGGAAGAGTCGGGCGTTTCTCGTTCACGTCACCCCCCACAAGCAAATTGAGAAAATGAGCCCGTCGATAACCGAGCATTAAGATGAATCCATGATTTTTCGGTTGTCAAGACAACACAGCGGGCTTTGCCTTTTTGCAAAACAGAAATGGTCCAGAAACACAATAACGGATTAAAACAGCTTTATTTTCGTCGTGGGTGTGTTTTATTGGGAAGAATCAAATGTTTTCAGGGATTGATGATGAGGAAGTTGAGGGAAAGGGTACAATGTAAAGGAATAAGAGAACAAACGCATGATAAGATAAATTGCAGTTTCGTCAAGTACGTCAAGGCTAATAAGATAATTGATAAGATAGATAGACAACTGATGCTGTATTTATTCGGGTGTTCATGTGGAACAGACATAGGGAGGTTTGCTTTATGACCTTGATTAATCAAGGAGAACAGAGGAGACAGTACCCCATCAGTGCGTATGGACAATTTCTTCCCTTTTTATGCGTTGGTTGATCAGGTTCCGGATTGAGTGGTTTCTGTTGTAAGGAAGATACAGAAAGCACACTGTGAGATAGAAAATGCAAAATATGTTAGATGAACTGCAGCTTTAAAAATACAAACGTGGGAAATGAATAAGATAATGATAGTTTTCAAACGAATTTTTCTGTCAGATAAATCAGGGGGAACAGAATGGACAGTAACCCATCAGTACATATGGACACTTTTCTTCTGTTTTATTTGTTGGTTTAGGAGTAGGAGTGCGTAATGAGTTTTCGACGACAAGTTCCGCATTGATGGTTTCTTGATGTACCTGCAGTAAACTTTACGGATTCATAAGAAAAGTAAGTATACCCCACCTGTTCAGCTTTCGGAGAATCATGCTGAGTTGTATCGGGGGGTGCAGGGGTGTTCTGAGTTGATTCTGGCGTCAATTCTGTTTCTACACTCTGATGATTGTCCTCATGATGAACCTGAACTAACATTTCAGTAATTTCTTCAACAATATCAAACTCACTTCCATGCACCATGTCGTGGATGTTATGAACCCGCAGTAGTCGCAGATGTACCGTTTTCTATCGAATAGGCGAGATTTTCTATAAATAGCATCTCGAACGTTGCCTTCTTGATCACAATCCTATAACTTTTTGGAAGTTGATTAACAAACGTCAGGAACTTACCTTGCACTGGCAAATGTTCTTGCTTATGTGCTCGGTCAAATGGAATTGCAGAGATTGCACCGATTGAAACCTCTTTTTGCACACCGGGCAAATGAATGTTTCGGTTTTCACACCAACTAAATGGGTCCTTTGATGCCTTTTCCAAATATGTTTGTTTGTGTAAGTTTTTTCGCATATCTGCAGCCAAAAGTTATACAAGTCCAACAAATGAAGGAAAATTAACTTACATGACATTTGTGAGTCACACTATTTCTTGCCATTGCAGACTAAGGGATACGGGGGGAATGATGATTTGGAGTCAAATATTAGAAAGGGGTATCAATAACCGGAGGGTTCAGCAGGGGAGGGGGTGAGGAGCAGGTGACAATAATTGTTGGTTCCACACTGTTGCTATGGCCAGAGGTACCATATTTAGCAAAATTTGTGAGCAAACGGAAGTCATTATAGGCTTACGATTCAAATTGAAAACAAGAAGCATTTTGGGTTGAATAAGTGATGAATGGGGTTGGAAATAATTTTGTTATTGTTTTCTTTTTTAACTAAAACATTTTTATCAGTGGTACATTACGGTACGAACATAATTATCACTTATTCAAGATTTCGATAATACAAGGCGTATCACAGACGTAGCAGTGACCTTTGTGGCCGTGCGGACATTTCTCGAACATGTAATACTGCCCTGTAGTCCCGATTGAAGCAGAGGAGCCTAATGAGGGTAATGCATTTTGATCTGTGATCCTTTTCTGCTTGGTCCATGGAAATGGTCTATCGTCAAGTTTCTGAAACGAAACGTTTCAGATATATTTGAGATAATTAACTCACTTGATTAGCTATGAGTGATAAATAAAGCGAATCCATATGGAGAGGGACTTTGAGTCTTGGGATCACAACAGTTGTGGGAGGCATGACGGTCCACTTGAGTTGAACAGAGTTGCCAGTTGGTGAAGATCCTCCGTTCATAGGGGCTGGACTACAAACCAATCGAATTGGAATTTTGGTGGCAAGTGGCGGTAGAACGATAGTAGAGAGACGCTAAAGTTACACTAATGTTACCCTTGTCTGTTTTTGGGAAAGTGTATTGAAAAGTGAAAGTACCTTTTTCGCCTTGTTCCCTTCGTTTGAAAGTTCACGTGGTTCACGTTCCGAAACCTAAAGAACACAGAATTGAATAACTTTAAAAATGTATTGTCTCACAGAGACTTTATTCTTGTCCGATTCAGTGTTTTTCGTGGAACTTTCCAAAATAATAGGCTCAGTAGTCGACATATTGCAAACAGAGACGGAGTAGCGTGTAATAGGACCCTCGTTAGTCCTACGAAGGCAGCTTACCGGAAGGACTTATCAGGCAGCCCAGAGGGCCCCTTTTTCATTCTCTTGGACCGAGCAGCTGATTCTAATTAAGGCTCTCGCACTCTGTTGCTTCCGAAATACGGGACTTAACTTAATAATAGGTATACTTCAAGGGATATGCGATATCGTGGACTTTCAAAATATTACACATTGGCATTTTGCTCTGAAAGGGCGAATTCGGAATGTGCTATGTCATATATGAAACTGATTTAGATGCTCATGAGTTATTTTTCTTGATAGAAACTAAACACGGAGGTTTCTAAACGAACTACATGCGATTAATACTACAAATCACCACTTGCCACTTCATTTCCGGTTAGTAATCTTCATTTTCGTCATCGCTTTCAATGTTTACAAGCATTTGTCTAAAACGATTAGATGTTGGGACAATGATAGAACTTAGGATTTATCATCATTGCTATCTTTTGGTACAGCAATTGTTCCAACAGCTTGGAAAACTTCAAAAAATGCTTTCAAAAAATGCCCTGTACCCATGACCGTCAAGGGTTTATGCCAATTTTCAAAAAATGCCCTGTACCCGGTCTGAGTTTTCTCAGCTGACCATTGTAGACATCGGCCGTAACAGTGACGCCGTCATCAAGCAGCTCCCAATATTCAACTCCACGGACAGACCATCATATTGATAACATCACCTTTTTTTCGTGTATTTCACGTTTTGGTCCGTCAGCTGACTGAGCGTCTTTGTCAACCCACTCGGCACGTCGCTCACTGTTATCATACATAACCCATTTCTCGTCTCCAGTTATGATTTGATCCGACCATCCATGTGTGCGATGCAGGGTGAGAAGATTCAAGCAGGTATCCACACGTGTATCTATGTTGTGTTGAGTCAAAACATGCGGAACATATCTTCCGAGTGTTTTGACTTTGCCAATTGCTTCGAGTCTATGACTAATTGATGATAGGCTTGCCCCAAGTGACCTTGATAGTTCACGGACGGATTGGAAAGGATCCCTCTCAATCTCGCTTTTCAATGCTTCCAAGTCTAACGATATCGGTCTTCCTGAACGTGGATGATCATCCATCAAAAATTCTCCTTTTTCGAATCGATGAAACCAAGTGCTAATGGTAGTTCGAGTGGGTGCATCTTTGTTGTAAACCTCCGTGAATCGGCGATCAATGTCGGCATTTTCAGGTCAGATAGAAATAGAAATAAGATTACATTTCGGAAATGTAAGTTCTTAGGCTTATTTTTGCACTTGCTGTCCTGCCGATTATTTGCATTTTCACAAGTGAAGAAACAGTTACGAAAGTATCACGTGCAAACTAATGGAAAATTCTGGGCACTACATCATTGTCGCGAACGGGGAGTGGAAGCGAACGAAAGTGAAGGCAGACTGAGAATAAATCGTTTATTTGTGGTGGATTTATCATCAAAAAGTCAGTAAGGTCTGTCGGAGAGAGCGTCGAGTTTATTCCGTATCTCTGGTCCGACTACGACACGAAGTCCGTCATAAAAAAGGGGGTAACGAAAAGGGAAAGTAAAACGAAAAGTATAATGCAAACTTAGGGAATATTTTTGGGCCAGTCGCTCGACGCACAACCGTAGTCGTCGTCGCTCCTAAATAGGGCGTAGGCGAGAGTGGGCGGTCGAGTGTACGCACGAGACGCTCCTAAATGGCGATGGCGCGGGAATTCAAATGCAGAATATCTGAAAACATTATTTAAGAGTAATTGCAGGGCGTTAAGGCTTGTTTGAGGGAGAAATATGGAAGAAGTTGCGGTGGAGAGGGTCATATACTCTCCTCGTCCGCAACACTCTACATCAACGCCTACGAAGTCTACGGAGACATGACGTTGACTCCTAAGACTTTTCATGTAAATTATTTCAATGACCCTTCAAATGCAAATTTCTTCTTGTAGAAAATTTCGAAAATATCGTGCTTATTGTCTTTTCCCTACGCTATTATTTGATTTATTTTATCGGAGAATCGATCGACTCATCTCTTAGACAAAATAATAGGATACGCAAAATGTGCGCGCGATTCCGTCGTTCACTATCCCTGCGCAGTGAGAGTGTCGCAGGGTACGTTCGTACACTCTCAGAAGAGGCAAATCGAAGAAGACTAGTGTAAATTTGACATTCTGACTAAATCAGAGATCAATTTCAGTACATTTCTCTAAAATTTGAGAGGAAGCACCTATTTTTCTTAGAAAATGGCAATTTTTTAATGTTTCACACTTTTCAGAGCAAAATTTCTTATTCAAAAAAAGTTTCGTAAACAAGGCCTAATATTCTGAATTCAATGACCGCGAGTTTGAACAAATTGGAGAGTGCGCATAATAGAAAAAAGTTTCGAGAGACTTATTGGAAAGACACTACAGTTCTGATTTCAGGCACACTACCCGAAAAAGCTTCATGTTTTTTCAAACCGAGCTGCGGCATTTCACAAAGCTTTTCATAAAATTGCAGAAAATTTTCAACTTACTTAGAAAGTAAACAGCTAGAAACTCAAAGTATTTCAAACGGCATTTCTCTCCAAATATTCATTATCATTGCCAGATTTGATGCGAATTTTAGTCATGAATTGTGAAAAATATAGAAAAGAAAGCGAAAATCGAGACGTAAGAGTGTTGAGACACGAAATTCCAGGCGATCATTGATCATAGAGCGGCGCCGAGACAGCGCGCGTTATCCTTCCAAAACGGCGGGCGCCGAAATGTGGCCTTGTGGCCTAATGGATAAGGCGTCTGACTTCTAATCAGAAGATTGCAGGTTCGATCCCTGCCTGGGTCAAATTTTTTGCCTTTTTTGTATGCCTGCTCAATTCCTTCAGGAAAAAGTGATCAATTTTTCAGATTTTTACAGGGGAAATAGTTTTTCTCATTGAATTTAGCTAGTTCAAGCCGTAAAACGTAATTCGCAAACTCAACGTGAAAAAGTCACAGATGGGCTCTGGTGTATTGCTTATTTTGAACGTTTTCTGTTTGAAAGTGTGCTAGGTAACAACGCAACATCAATAAAGTTGTAGAAAATATGAAGGGTTTGCAAAACGTTAAAAACACGAGTTCAATCAGAGATACCCCAATAAAGCGAATGCAACTCAATTTCGCGGCAGTCCTCCGATGAAACAACGAGAAAATGAAAGTGGCGATCTCGATTGAAACGGAAGATTGAGAGATGCAAAATTTCGAAGACATTGTCTAGTCAGGCTTGTTCTGATCTGAAATGTTGAGCGGAAAATACAGAAAAAACTGAATATTTTTTTTCGATTAAAACAGTTTATTGGCTAGAATAGAGTTGTGTGCAAAAGTAAGAAGAGAATGCGAATGAGACCATTTTGACAAAAATCCGGGAACAACTAAGGGAAAGGGCGAAATTTAGGAGTAGTGGCTTGAAGATGGTGGGCTGACTGGAGCGATGGATCCAGTGTTTGGCTGAGGATCTTCCGGAAGCATGTTGGCTGCAAGTTTTAATGAAATATTGGAGTTTTACACCGGTAGTTACCTCGAATGAGCTAGTGTTTACCAGCAAAGTGTTGAAACTCTCCGAGAAGATGGGAGGTCTGAAATGTTTTAACTAAATGGTTTCTGTTAAGTTTCCACGAATACAGAAAAGCCGAAACGAGGAATTTCGAATTTCAACCCCGAAAAATATGGAAATAAGCCTTTACTCCGATGCAAAATGTCGCATAGATACGCGGTTGCTACTCATAAAACGTGATGTTAGCTTGGTCTATCCATTGGGTTGGTTTTTGAACTCGGACGCTTCCACGAAAGGCATTGAAGCCAATTATATGATGTCATGGGTTAATTGACAAAAACTGCTGACGGATGGGGGTAAATAAAATGAGAAATGAAAATTGAAACTCCGCAGCTCCAACGTTCTTTGAAGTGTAAAGTTGTGAGGGAGAAGGTTGGTGGAGAGTGTTTTAATGCTCGGCGGATACAAACCAAAGCAAAAGCGTGTAATGAAAACGCGTTCCAAGCTTCACCGTTCTGTGAGACGTTAACACACTCAAACATCTAGCGAAAAGTGAAAACTTGCCCTTTTAGCTCGTCCTTTCTCTTTTCACTAGATTTATCGTTTTTGCCTTCCTTTCTTTTCTTTCTTTCCAACAGGTCCCCGGTTCTCTTCGCAAAAATCGAAGCCGCCGCCCGCCGTCGCATCTCGGAATTTCTTCGATCCCAACTTATCGCGCCTACCGTGGCACCGGCCGATAGACATCATGCGCCAAGTTTTGCGGTCGGTCGAGATTCGCATCTCTTTCTGTTTTCAACCCCATGTACCGCGCATTTTGACACGATCCGCAAGCTAATCGGAGTCGGTGATCGCGACCTCCCACTAGGCAGTTCCAAAACTAGAGCACACGGTTTTCTATCGAACCACCATCTCATATCTCGCGTAGCCCACTTGAACAACCCCCGACGAAAATGCCTTCTGATGGTGTAAGTTATGCAGGCAAAAACCCAAACAAACTGAATTTCAGAGAGAATGCGTCTCGATTCACATCGGTCAAGCCGGTTCTCAGATTGGAAATGCGTGTTGGGAACTTTATTGCATGGAGCATGGACTCGATGAGGCTGGATTTCTGAAGGAAGAGGAGGAGAACAAGCAGCAATCGCTTCAGGCATTCTTTTCTGAGTCGAGCAATGGAAAGCATGTGCCACGCGCGATTTATGTGGATTTGGAGCCGACTGTGTTAGATGAGATTCGGAACGGAGTGTATTGCAACCTCTTCCACCCTGATCAAATCATAAATGGAAAGGAAGATGCGGCGAATAACTATGCAAGAGGTCATTATACAATTGGAAAGGAGCTGATTGATGTGGTGCTGGATAGAATCCGGAAACAGGTACTCAACTCAAAACTGAGCTTGAAAGATTTTCAAAGCGTTCAATTTCAGACTGAAAACTGTGAAGGCCTCCAAGGATTCCTAGTGTTCCATTCTTTCGGAGGAGGAACTGGCTCTGGCTTCAGTTCCCTTCTGATGGAACGACTTTCGGTGGAATTTGGAAAGAAGAGCAAGCTAGAGTTCAGGTAGACCAACTAATCAGAAAGAGTCACGTCTATAAAAAGATTTATAGCGTGTACCCGGCGCCACAAGTTTCCACATCCGTCGTCGAGCCCTACAACTCCATTCTGACTACTCATACCACTTTGGAGCTTTCTGACTGCTCGTTCATGGTCGATAATGAGGCTATTTACGATTTGTGTCGTCAGAAGTTACACGTGGAAGTTAGTCAATGATAGATGGAACAGGTTTAGAAAGTTAAAAGTGTTTCAGAGACCTTCCTACTCAAACCTCAACCGACTAATTGCGCAAGTTGTCTCATCTATCACTGCTTCTCTTCGTTTTGACGGAGCTCTGAATGTGGATTTGAACGAGTTCCAGGTACCGTACTTGATCAGCATCAGTTCCAACAATTGTGTTCCAGACAAATCTAGTACCGTACCCACGCATTCATTTCCCTCTCGCCACCTACGCTCCGGTCATTTCTGCGGATCGCGCTCATCACGAGCCACTGTCCGTTCAGGATATCACTCATATGTGCTTCGAAAAAGCCAACCAAATGGTAAAATGTGACCCGAGTGCCGGAAAGTACATGGCTGTCTGCCTGCTTTATCGCGGTGACGTTGTGCCGAAAGATGTCAACGCCGCGATCTCATCTGTCAAAGCGAAAAGAGGCATCAACTTTGTCGACTGGTAAGATTTTGAGACAGTCAAACGGTAATAGTCTTATCTTCTAGGTGCCCGACAGGTTTCAAGGTCGGTATCAACTACCAAGCGCCGGTTACTGTAGATGGAGGAGATCTAGCAAAAGTGAGTGGCCTTTGGTTTTCAGTGGAAACGGAAAGGTTTGTAGGTTCATCGAGCGGTTTGCATGTTGTCCAACACGACGGCAATAGCAGAAGCGTGGGCTCGTCTCGACCACAAATTCGACTTAATGTACACGAAAAGAGCATTCGTACATTGGTTCGTAGGAGAAGGTTGGTGACATAATGGGATGAATGGGCTCGCTCCGGGGAGGTTGAGCCCTCCGGCCAAAGACAAATCGGGGAAGAAGGAAGAAGAAAATAGAGGAGAACTCTATCATTTATAGGAATGGAAGAAGGCGAGTTCGTGGAAGCTCGTGACGATTTGGCCGCTCTGGAGAAGGATTACGCAGAGGTTTGTATTGAAAAATGTGAAGGCCTTGGGTATACGGTAGCTTTTCAGGTGAGCCGTGACACCGCGGATTTAGAGGAGGAAAATGAGGAGTACTGACTCATCTTGTTTCTTAACTTCTAACTTCTAACTCCTATTATCTTTAATACTTTTAATAAAAGATTTTCATTGAGACAGACAATATCTAGATTCAAAAAGAATAGATAATTTTTGATGACAACTAAAAGGATGGGTGGGCCTCAGACACAGACAAAGACTAGTTCAAGAGAATTTATACTGAACGAAACGTCCTCCAAAGTGTATTGTACGGCAGAAATGCCATCCGCCTCCATGTCTGCCAAGAAAGGTCACATCAGCTCAGTGCATACGTTGATGCGATTCGTCCGTCTGCTTTACCTCGCGCTCCTTCTTCTTCTTCTTCTTTTTGTCCTTGTCGCTTTGTCGCTTAGTCCGCCGCTTGTGACGAACCTCTCTCGTTCTCTTCTGATAGGTATCAAGTCCGTCGGCTACAACAAAAAGTGAAACTAAAGTACAACTTTCACTTTTTCTTTTTCCCTCCGCCACCCCACCTCTGTTCTGTTCTGATCAATTTCAAATTTGAACCGAAAACGAGTCTACTAGAGGTTGACCGTGAAATTCTTCACTCACAAGTGCTGTCGTATTCAAAAACCGACTCCGATGGGGCGGGAAGGTTGATCGGCAACCCATTCTTCTTGAGAGGCACACGCGGATTGCTCGACTCTTGCTGACGTGTTTCGTGACGTTTTGAACGATCATCACCGCAAGAAGACCCCATGAAGTGGCGTTGAGAGTAGCTTTTGAAGCAGTAGCTGGAAAATGAACAATGGCCATTAAAAAATTAAAAGTGATACCTGACTCCATTGCTGCTTCTTATCATGTAGCTTGGAGAGAGCAGCTCCAACGTCAGAGGAATATCTTCCGCCGAGGCAGTAGACAGCGTGGTGCCCTCGTCCGAAATCTCCGCTTCTTCCGCGTGGTCTAGAACAGAAGTGGACGGAGTTTCCTCCTTCTCAACATTCTTTTCCTTTTCCGAAAGCATAGGAGACACGGCTTGGACTGGCTCGGGTGTCCTAACGACTTCATCGTTCTGAAGGCTCACAGACGCCAAGATTTGGTCGAGGGTGATGGAAGCGCGGCGAAGCATTTTCCGGAAGACTTTCAGGGAAACGGAATGACAATGAAACAAAAGAAAATGATATTGACTGATATTATAGCCAAACGTGTCCGGCACCGCCTCTCTTTCAACCCACGAAACTACGAAATATTGGACGAATGATACTTGGAAAGAGAACGGATGGGCTGAAAGATGAACCAAAGCGAGCCACGTGCGTCAGAATAGTACATTCTCACGGGAAGAGAGAGCAAGTGGAAAATATTCAGCAAAGTTCACTTGGATTCCTGGGAACAGAAAAAAACATGTTGAGGAGCATGGAAAACGGTTCGGGCTGCTATATATTATGCACTTGCCGGACTGAAATTTCGACAAAGATACGGTGGATCGCGATTTAACACATTTTTTTCGACGGATTTCTGTTGCGAACTGAAAACGGCTTACATACTATTGTATCTCTATTTTTATCAGAAAAAGTGGAAACAACGTGATCTATTTCTTTTCTTTATTCTTGGTTGGATTCCCAACTTGCCACCTCGTACGCGATACATAAAAATTCTAGTATTGCTTGTTCCGTTATCAACCGATCGCTTCTCTTCTCGGTTACGCGGCTCAATCACATATAATTCACAGTCATAACTTTCCGCTTATCACCGGACAGAAAATCAAAGCACGCTTTTCGTTCTCTTCCTAAACAAATGGAGGCAATCAGAAGATAAAGTACTCTTTTCCCTCTGCTTTATGTGCTTGAGACGTCAAACATAGTCATAAGACAGAAGCTGGCTGGGTTGAAAATTGGGATTGGGATGAAGAGGTGTATGAGAAAACAGAATACTGACGTCATGTTGCTGGCATTTGTCGGCGTCATTCTGGACGTGTTTCTACCTTAACGGGGTAGTAAACTGATTTCCAACCGGAAAGACGAAATTCACTTTATGCCAGTTTGAATCATCCAAAATTGCTGTTTTCCGTGAAATACTCGAAACGTGAACGTTTTGGCCAAATTGATTCACTACTGTTTAAAAAAAATCATAATTTCGTCAGTAAATAAGTAAAATGCATATGTGCCCAACCTGTCTGAAAAGTCTACAATATCTGGCCCACAATCAGTACCTATCTAGCCTTTCCATTCTCAAATGCATACAACATGTTTACTCAGGCAAAAGGGGTCTCAGCACACACCCATACACGGATGGTCCACAAGAAGAGCGGAACGGTCCTGCCTCTTCCTTCTTCTTTCAAATATTTACATTGCCGACAAGCGCAACACCAGCGTTCATTGCCGGCTCGTCATCTCTCTCTCTCTCTCTCTCTCTCTCTCTCTCTCTTCTTCTTGTTACCATTCCTCTCCGCCACACTGTTATCAACTGGTATCTATTTTGCAAGAAAATTGATACACTGATAACGTGGTGTGCACCCTGGTAATATATATTTCGGAAGTTAAGCGCAAGGAGCAGAACATCAGTCAGCAGAAACTTTAGTTTTTAATTCCGTTTTTCACTGTCCCTTTCCCGAACCTTCTATCTATCTTAAGAGCTCATTCAGTCGGGTAACCTGTTTTTACTGTAACTTACCGGTGAAAAACTATGAAAACCGGATGTTCACCGGTTTTTTCTGGTTTCTTCAGTTATTTATACAACTGGAAGCCTATTACAAAAAACGAGGTCCATTATTCATTTTTTAATCTTGAGTTTCGGCTAGTGGTACCGCTGCCCGCTACGTCCGGCTAGGTGTTCTCATTTGCTTGCTAGCCACCACTATCCGCATCTACTTGTCATGTTTACCTTTGTGGTCACAACCGCCATGCCGATCGATCGAGGTCAACGCTGTCGGGCCGCGCTATCAAAACCGTGTGCACACACCTCTCCTTTCCCCAGCGTGTGTTCTTGTCCGTTTTGTGAGTCATCAGTTCTCTTTCGAAGCATTTGGGACGGAATAGTTACTAGCCTTAACGATTTTCCCTTTTTTCCTTTTTATTTACCGAGTTCTCTTCTGTTCGCCACATGCGTATACACGTTAATTTTGTATTTTTCCATGAATTCCTGTTGTTCTGACTATACACTACATATTATTGTGTTTAGAAATGGATTATCTCATGGACCGCTACATTTTCGACAACTTGCCGTTTGACGTCGGTCCGGAAACACGCAAAACGTGGGGACAAAGAGCACTTCATGCCATTCAGGTAACTGACCGAAAACGAATATGAAAAACCTATAGGGTAACGATTTTCAGTGGTTCGATTGGATCTGCAAGTACCAGGAACCATCGACAATCTACGAGAACCACACGTCTTTCCTTTTCGGTGAAATTCTCTTTTTCATCCTGGCCGCTTTAACTTTTGCTCACGCCTGGCGCTCCGGCACCCGCTACGTCCTCGTTTGGTTCGGAATCCTGGTGCATGCTCTGAATGTGGAGAACCTTTGCTACTGGATTCCCGATATGGACAACTTCTGGCAGGCCCAGGGCATTCTCACGTTCTTCGGAGCTCGCGCCCCACTCTACATCCTCGTGGGAATTTATCACATGTTCGACTACACCTCCTTCGTCCTCATGAGCAGGTTTTATTTTTCCGATTTTGAGACAGAATGAGAACCTTTTGCATTTGCAGGCTCCATCTTCCATGGTGGGCTTACGGACCGGCGGTTGGATTGGGAGCTGTCATGCTGGATATGCCGTACGATATCATGGGAATCAAGTTGGTGTGGTGGACGTGGCACGACACGGATCCGAACATCTTCGACCGAATGAACTGGGTCCCGTGGAATTCGTACTACTTCCACGCTTCGTTCGCCTGCTCTTTCACCTGGATTCTGTTGTACTCAAGATCCAAACTGGTCGACAAAGAGTACGATTGGAAGAAGTGAGCACAAAAGACCAACTTGCGCTAATTAAAAATGTTTCTTTCAGGCTACCCTATGAAATTCTCTGCGTTGTCCTCGCTGGAATGGGCGCTTTCTGGCTGGGAACCATTCAATTTGCTCTTCTCTACCACCCGATGCACGACATCTTCAAGGTTCACTCCGAGTACACCACCGTCGCCTTTCTCTCCATCTATGCGCTCATCGTCATCTTTGCCGATCGTCAAAACAAGAACGCAAAAGCGCGCACCGGCAATACATATTGGTTTGATGAACTCGCCGCCGCCATCGCCATCGAGTACTTGTTCTTCATGATTGCCGTCATCATCTCCGACCCGGTGAACATTGTCAGCGACGGACTTCATCAGCCGATCGGACCATGCAATGAGACGCAAAAAGTGCAAACCCCAACTGGACTCGTACTCAACAAACAGAAGTATTTCTGCGTGGACAACTTTGATGAGAAGTACATTGACTTCCATTGCGTTCCAGGAGGTCCTCCCCAACAGGTATGATAGTTTAAATGGATAACTTTGAACTAAAACTAAACTGTATTCATTTTCAGCCAGAGCCAGGTGTGCCATTAGAGTGGTACGCAGTCTGTGGAACCGACTACGACAACCGCGCCGAGTACATCTTCATCATCTGGTTCATCTGCTTTCTCTACGGCTCAATCTGGTACCAAATCGCCGCTCGCTCCGGGACTACCCCGAAAGATCCAGTGAAGCAGTATAAAACACGCGAAATCAAGAGTTCTTCGGTCAAGAAGACCACCTCGAAGAAGGAGAAGACACAGTAACATTTCAACAATGCCATTCCGTTTCCCTCTTTTGTTTTCCGATTATATGACGATTTTTGAAGAATGTTTATGAGATTGATAATATATTGTTTGTGTGCAATACCTGCGTCACGAGGCCGTCAATTAATAAGCGGTTGGATTCAACATAAACAATTCAAATTCTATGAAATCTTTGAAACCCAAAGAGAGTTGTGCGGAATCAGCTCGTTTTTTCATAAATTTAGGCTCGATCAGCGATCTCCCAGAATAAGTTAGAAACACTCGACACGTTTTCTGTTTGAATTTCTAATAAACCAATAGTTTCTTGTCTCTTCTAAACAATCAGAAGACTTTTGTTGTTTTCCTTTTCAGCTAGAAGGCTCGTGAGCTCGACAGAAACCACAAATTTCCTCGTGATGTGCTCACTACGATCTGGTCGAGATCTTCTATTTTGGGAATGATAAAGAAAGAAGAGAAGTCACGCGCGGATGATAAACTTTACCATGAGCTCATTAGGACTATCATTGCGCGGAAGGATACGTTTGGAAATAGTGCTAAAAAAGAGAGTAAAAAAGAAAGTGGATGGTGTGGAATGTGTACTAATCAGAGCTATCCAATATAAGTGCAATCGTTTGATGTCCTTTTACCCTTTTTGCAATATCATCAAATCCTTTTCGAAATGTGAAACTCAAGTGATAAAGTGACGAGGCAAGAACAGATTTCGTATTGGTAAACGCGAATGGACGACTGAAAACGTTGGATTATTCAGCGTTTGCTACTCTAACGCTTCAAAACATCATTTTGAACGGCAACAAATCGGAACCATGACGTTTTTGGACATCGCAGTTTCTGTTTCTGTACTGTTCATAGCGTTAATAGGATCCGGATCTCCAAATCAAAGGGGGGGGGGGGGGCTGTGGTCATCACCCTCCAACTAAACTTGGTCTTATCCAGCGTTTCTTTTTATCTTTTTCTTCGTTTTCTTCGGCCAACCCTATAGTTTTGGAAATTTCGAGTGCAGCTCCTTCTCCACTTTCATCTCCTAACCTTCAATTTTCGTTTTCGAAAACAATCTCTGATCATCCACTTCGTATCACTTTCTGATTAGTGTACACGAACCGGGGCGGATACTTGTGTGATTGTGTGATTTCAGAAGCTCCGCCCAATTTGAGCCAATAAAAGGAGCCCGGCAGGCTCAGTTGCTTCATTCAGAAACGCACCGCTAACTGACATTGCCTGCTCTTTTCCTTTTTCCTCTCTGCCCTCAGCTTTCCGCTTTCAGCTCTTCTATGTAGATGAAACCTCTCGTCTCCGATTTATCCCACAGTCTCTCCATTTTAGTAGCCTTGGCAACAGCCGACACTTCTCCTCTTCTTTACCCTTTCCATCGGCATTCACTTTTTATTTATTTGTGCTTTTTCAGGAGTCGGCAGGAACCTCCGACACAAATCCTCAGACTATGGAAGCCGACACGGAGAAAACGCCTGGTCTGGAATGCCAGAGAGCCGTGCTCAAGAAACTTCTTGCTTACACCCGGAAGATCGAAATCCGGAATCTCAAGGTTAGTACGTTGGAAGGGTGTTAGTTTGAATACAATGTAGTCATCCTAGTCCTGAACTAGACTCTATCTCATTTGTTCCTTGTTGTCTCGAATCAGTACGAGCTCACATGATTCTCATTCTCGTAGGAATAGTTAGACAGAATTAGAAATTCGTAGTAATGATAATTATCATAGACGGCATGGGAGAGCATGGTGATGGCTGCTTTCATCGTCATATTCTACTACATATTGCGTGCCAACGTGCGTTTCTTCGTGAACTTCGTACTCTTGATTGAGGAGCGACTCCGCGTGAGTTCTAATGAGATACAAGTAGATAATAGCAAAATGGTTTTCAGCGTCTGATTCTCAGACGTGGTGTGCAGAATACACGTGCTAACAAAGCCAAGACCCCGCCGGGCTTCATGCCCCTTGTCGGAAAGGTCCGCGTGCACCACGATTTGGTTCCAACGATGACCGTTGACCAACTCATCGAGGCTCAACTTGTTCACATGGAGGAGCAAGAAGAAGAAGCTGTGGAGGTTGAGAGACCTGAGGAAGAGATCCTCGAGATGGCCGAAGACGAGGAGTTTCTGGAGGCCGTCGACTCGCACGAACCAATTAGTAAGACTGATGAGGATACCAATTTCGACATCGACGATCCGGACGAACCACATCGTTCGAACCCTATCATCGATGCAATCAGGGCGCAGGCCTTGCAAGAGCAAATTAACATCTACATGAACAAGGAGAAGGAGAAGGATAAGGCGCTGAAGAAGAAAAACGAGAAATCGTCGTTTTACGAATTCCTGCGCAATGTGATGGGACTCACGCTTGAGGAAGAGGTTCCGTTCTTCTCCCGGCACTCCAAGTTCCGCAAAGCGATCCGAGTCTCGGACAAGTGCCCCACCAACAAGTGCCGTTGCACGTGCCGTGTGCCCGCCAAACCGAAGTCGAGAAAGTATGTCGAACAGGCATCTGACCAATTGAAGATACATTTTGTTTAGCTTCTCAAGTCCGGCGCAGATTGCCCAAGAGTTGGAGATCGAGGACTTTCTGGTGGCGAAAGGAGTCATCAAGCAGGAACAAATCGGTCGAAACTTGCTCGTCGAGTTCTAAGCTCTGATTCTACTCCTATATGTGTTAACTCTAATTACTCATTCTTTCTTTTTTTAAATTCTCCTCAAAACCTAATCCCTCAAAACTCACTTTCGGTCTTTTTCTTCGATACGTCGACTACTTGATCATCGTGATACATAATTCATCAATTTAACCGTACTTTCCTGAAGATGTGCATCTGATTCATACAGAAAACTGCTGTGATAGCTCTTCTGATAGTGCTCTCAATACGAAATGTCCGAGGAATAGTAGAATGTCACAGTCTACAAGTTCTGACGACGCTTCAAAGAACCCACACTCAGTTAGCGGCTCCAACTTGTAGTTCTTGGTTTGAAATCTGTTTGCTCCTTTATCCTTCCTAGTCCTTGAGACACATTTCAAGTTGACTTGTGTTAATAGTGATCGGAAAATCGTCAATTTCATCTGAAGAATTCTGCTGCATGTCAAACCTGTCCTCAATCCGAGATATTGTGTTCTATACTGCATTCTGTTCTTTTTCTGATCGCTCAGTTAATTTCATAAACTGGTGTTGTGAAAACGTTTACGTTTATTCAGAGCAGCGGGGGGAATTCCAAACAACTAGAATGAAATCACAGGGCAGAAGAGAGAGAGAGAGAGAGAGAGAGACAGATTGGTCCAGATGGCACCGGCTATTGTGGCGAGATGAGGAGTCATTGACTGGATGATTCCGTTGAGGATGAGCAGCTAAAAATGGATCTGGTTAAAATGAGTTCCATGAAAGCAACCATTTGCACTAGCATCACACCTTCATACCATGCGGAAACAAAAGTTCAAACGTGTTAGTATCTTAAGAGAACTAAAAAAAAGCACACTCCGATTAGTGTTGACTAGAAAGGAAATGATAGAAACTAACATGAAAGAAGGGAAGTCATGCAATCATCAAGCAGGCTATCATTACAACAATAACAATCGCATACACGAGAAAAAGTGGAAATCATAACCGTGTCATTTCGAGCACTTGTTCCGCTTCGCTTGAGTCTTCCGAGTCGGAACGGAGCACGTGATTGATAGTAGCTGGCATGTACGGCGATCTGTGGTCTTCCAAATCGGGCTCCATGAGAACGGCACGCGGATCGTGGGTGACTGGCACGAGGGGAGCGGGTTTCTGCAACATTTTTTGGGTTTATCGGATGTTTAAGCGATTTGGAAACAACGTTTGAAGATCTGAGTCGACTTTACTAAATACTTTTCGAAAATAGGTCCCCTAGTATGAGTATGTATCTGTTGGAATCGTCTTCCATCGCCAAGTGCACTATCTGAATCCCAACTCTCAGAAATGCCCCAAGGCGAACGCATTCGACTTTCACGAGGTTTTGGTTTGGGTGATCATTTGGAAACGGGTAGAGATTGTGCCTAACGCAAAAAATCGAAGAGATTGCATGGCCGAGGATTTTTCTAGGCCAGGATCATGGGCGCTGTTCTGTTTATAAGCATTTCTGGAAATTGGGACTGAGTCACTGAATGTGGCAATAAGAAGCAATTGAGACGGTCATATATAACCGGAGGGTTTTCAAAATGTTGAATTTTTTTCTCGGAAAACTCGGATTTTTGCCCGGATAAGGTTATTTGCGAAATCCGATTCCCAAAAAGACACGATGTTGAATAGAGTTGTGTCTCAGAAAGCCTGTTTTCAAGTTTTAGTACCGAAACCAGAACCGGAAAACTGCTTGTTCCGAGTGGTAATCCGTAATTGTCCATATAAACCTCATAAAAACTCACGGGCGTCTCAATCTTGTCCGGCAGTCTGCATGTCGGCCAAATGACGTACTTCGCCGTGTCCTTGTACCTCATTTTGATATATGCTGCTTTTTCCTTGTCCACAGCATTCTCCGCGTTTTTGAACAGAAACTGCAATGAAAATGGGTGAGGCTGAGGAGAGAATTGAAAAAAAGTACCTGAAGACTAATGGCACGTTTGAAGAGTGACGTCGTCGATTTGGAGCGTTCCAAATTAGTGACGCTAGCATGTTTCGGGTTGTTTTGGTCGGAAGGACGGGCCGACGAGGACGAGGTTGAGGTACTCGGTTTCTGTTCGTCGGATTGCCACATTTCACAGGCTACGTTACCCTGTAAACATCATTCGTGAAAGAAATTGAGAAAGCGATCGATCAAAAATGCTATCATTCGTAGTCGGAAAAATGTGGGCAGAAAGGCGGAGAATTATGCGGCAACGGTTTTTATCGGAGTTTCGCAGTATTATTCACAATTCACAAAGAGAAGAAAACGAAGAAGGAAACGAAAAGATCTGATTGGTTTTCTCGAAAGATGCTAGGATCCGATAGCTGACCGAGAAGAAGAAGAGAACAGTAATATGTAGAGCGAGAGAAAAGGGGGCAAGGAGGAGGAGGAGAGGGATGAGTCAGAATTGAAAGGTTGCAAGAGAAGACGGAGGAGGAGAGGGCAAACGACGACCTACCTACGGCAGGTGTTAGAAACAAATATGATGAGATGGGCAACCAACAACACGCAATGAAAGAAAAACAAGGAATCTGCATGCATATGTGAATGCATGTTCGTTCATGTAGAACAGAAACAGTGACTGTTTGATGGCAAATGTTTTATTTTTGTGACGTGTCAAGTCTATCAAGGGAAAAAAGGGGAATTCGACTTGGAAATGTGTCTTCACAAAAGATGAACACGTTTCATTTATCTATGGGCTCGTTTAGTCGAGTAAAAACACGTTTTTTTCAGACTTGGTAAAAATCAGGCCAAATTTCGAAAGAGAAGCTCGATTTTTAAGATTTTTCTTCATACGAGCCCAACAAGAAGCCGCGAGGCTGCAAACTAACGACCTCATCGGAAGCGTATGTACTAACAAATGTTTCATGTTGTTGCTCCAATGAAATAGAGCATTTACCCCCCTAAGAGCGAAGCGCGCGCAGAGATTTGATAGACTAGGCGAAGCAGAATAATTGGCTAGTCAGGCACACACACGTAAACTGCTCGTCGCTTTGCTTTTGGCCCAAATCAAATGATGGTCCCGGATGGCGGCGGCGGCGGCGGCGGTGTGGCAAAAGAATTTCGGAATTTGCTCGTGAGAGTGCACCACAGAGGCAATGAGAATGCAGTGAAATTTGATTCTCGTCCCCAGCCGTTTCGTCTTTTTGCTCGTCTTGTCATCATGGCAAAAGACGAATGAAATGGGTTGGAAAAACGGGTGGAAAAGTTTGGAAGCGAGCGGAAAATGGAAAAGGGAAACCCGAACGTGGTGAATTATTTATCAAAGTTAGAGAGAGAGAGGGAGACAGAGAGAGAGAGACAGAGAAAGAGACAGCACCAATGTCTCTTTTTTCATGTTTGAATGCCGCGCCAATTTTCGACAATACTGCTAAGTTTGGATATGCGCACACTTCAGAAACACTTTCCATCATTGGAAATTCAAAGGGAGGGCAATGCAAATTAGTTGGCACGAAAGAAATTGAGGCGCAAGACGGAAAGAGGAAACGAGAACGAAAACGAAAACGACGCCTGCCATTTCAAAACACATATCAACGGCTGAGTGGCAGACATCAGCACAGCTGTCTGGACCTCCGGAGCTTTCGAAATGATTGGAAAAAGAAAGAAAAACAGAGTATCAAATGAAAATAAAAGTTACATTATCACTTTTACCAAGCGACCAGCAAGAACTGGTTGTTAAAACGAAGTCGAGATTTAAAATGAAAACGAAAATGCGATTATGATTGATCCCCGCCAAAAGTGCGAAAAAACACGATTCCAAACAACTTGTTCACCACTTCAATTTATCTCTATTGTGCGCCAACAAAAAACAAAAAAGAGCTCTCCCCAACAAAAGTTTGTTGTTTTCTGTTTTCTACTCACTAACTCGCCGAAATTGGACAAAAGCAGACACTTTTTGCGGAAAAAAAGAGAAATGAGCTTTTCTTTCTGTTGACGTCCATTAAAATGGATGAGACTTTGAAATTGAGTTGAGTTGGTTTTCCAGTTCCGTCAGAATTACGGGATTATCAACAAAAAAGCGGGTAGACAAGAGTTCATGAATAAAAAAAAGTCTATGCGTTTGTCAAAGTCCTAAAAATCGGAAAACACTTGGCTGCTATTCGCCGCTGAATAGCATGGAAATGAAACTAATAGCGCCGGCATTCCGAAAAGACCTCTTGGCTTTCAAATGCTTTCAACAGTCACTGTTTACTGATTGGGTAAAGCAATGCTGAGCAAACAAGACGTTTGCAAACCCGACGGATGACGATGGATGGAAAAGGTTCTAGAAGGAATACAACGGAAATTTGGGTCACTTCTGTCTTTCTCTCGCTTTTTATCACTTTTTTGTTGATGCCCTGTGGTTATCATAATGACTTCCCCACATATTTCCTTTCCATTGACCGGAAGCAGAAATATTGGAAAAAACAATGTCCGCGAATCCGTGAAAACAAATTCCTATTTTTTGCCCCATCATTGCCTTGATATTTGCCCGCAAGACGTTCTCCTTCTCCACAACACGCCAGCCCTCGCAGTTGTTGACGTCATTGCTGTGCATTTGTGCGTTGCGGTGTTTGCAGACGGCGCACTGACGACTCACCCCTCGATTTACGGGGACGCTCTTTTCGACGCATTTTTTCTTGTTTTATCCAAATTTCTCAACAATTTTAGAATTTTCAGCCATGGAACAGTTGTATCAGAACACAAACTGGCTACTGCAGAAGGTGCAGCACGAATTGGCACGTCTGGAGGGATCACAAAACGAGCAAGCCGCGCAACTAATTGTTCAGGTCATCTATGGAGATGTGAGGTAAGATTTTCTGTTGAAAAATACGAGAAACATCAATTACTTTTCAGCAAACTAAAGGAAAACTGCCAGACGCTCGACACGTACGTTTCACGCGAACAACCGGCCCGTCGGCAAGCGGTTTGTTGAAATTTAACCATAAAAAAATCATTCGAACAGATTTCAGGCTCGAATGCGGGTGGATCAGTTGCGAACGGACGTGCAGAGGGTCGATATGGCAGTCTCGGCGATCCACACGAGAATGACACAGAGATGGAGGGCTGCAAGTGAAAGAGACGAGCTCCTGACACAAAGGTGAGCAATTCGAGCTGGTTTTTTTTTAGCAACGAATGGAAATCTGGTGTTACACGACCAGAGCCTCTCCAACTATGCATGCCCATCATTGATTTTCAGATACCGTCCTAATGACACGTCACTCTCGATCGGCGACCACGAACTTCAGCTCAACGACCGTCTCCAATCGTCACACAATCATGTGAGCCGTTTCATTTTGGGTACAATGTAAATGAATTCGTGGTTTTCAGCTCGACGACCTGCTCAATCAAGGATCGGCCGTATTAGAAAGTCTGAAGATGCAACACCTGAACCTGCGAGGCGTCCGCAGAAAAATTATGGATGTCGGACAAGCGGTGAGTGCTCTGACTTTTCGCTCACTAGTTTTGCGCTGAGTTGACCAACATTGGGTTCCTAAAAGTCTTCACTCAATGTTAATTATGCCAGTTTGCTAGGTTTCCGTTCATTTTTTCTTGAATTTGAAGCCAAGCATGTGCATATGCGTGTTGGGAGGACGCGTCGCGGCTGCGTAGCGGTCCGAAGAAAAGGGGACTGCAGTCACTGAGTACATCCCAAAAATGGGAATAAATATAATTAATTTCAGCTCGGACTCTCGAATTCAACGTTGCAAGTCATCGACCGTCGAGTACGAGAGGATTGGCTCATCTTCGTCATCGGATGCATCGTCTGCTGCATCTTCATGTACGCATTCTACCGATTCTGGAGAGGATAGTGTCTAGTGAACAACAACTCCTATATTATCTTTCGAATGTTGAATTGAATTCTGTGAGAAGGCCATTTCTTATTTATGTGATTATCGGTTATATCTGTGTTCTGATAGTAGAACACGTCCAAATTGTGTTGCAGTGATTACTATTACCATTTTGTTGATAAATTATTCAGGTACAACCTGCAACATGTTTTTAAAACTTGTCCAAAAACTGCTTTAAAACGTAGAATTCAAGACCTTTTCACGAAATGAATAAATGTGATCTGGAATAGAATATCCCGTGCTCTGTCAAAAATGTCATCTGATGATCGAATTCTTGTGCATGTGAACACTTGATTGCGTGTGAGGCACTTTGGAAACATTTGATGTCAGCCCCTCCAATGTTTATCGGCATATAGAACGTTAATTCGAATTGAAGATTTTCCGTCTTCATCTGAAGTGACGCTGACGGCTATCAATTACCATTTGTGACATGTTTATTATTCTGCTTCCAAAACCCGCCAAGGTCGACCTTCACACTGAAGAACTGTGATGATAACGGCTTTTTTCAGTTCAGATCAAACGGAATGACATTGAATGTGTTTCATATCTCTCGGACGTTGTGCAATAAACCTACCAATTGCAAAAGAGGGAATTGTAGAGAAGGAAGCAAGACAAGATTGATGCGACGCGAATTTGACTGATGAAAAGTAGTAAAAAATGGGGACTGTTACATTTTTGGAGAAGATGCAGTTTGTTCTCTCTTTTTTGACAATCGCTTACTTCGTTTATCTACTTTTTCACAAAGTTGTTGTTTTCAGATTTCAAAGTTTTTCCTGACTTTCTAACCTACTCCTCCGATGCCGGAATTAGTGAAGAAAATGGTTAAGACTAGACACTACCTTCTATTCAATCCGTATTTAAATTTCAAAGATCTTCCGCTAGTCAAAAGTGCATAATTTTTCCGATTTACCGAGAATTTTAAAGTTACAGATGAAGGCTGTTACTTTTGTAGCAAGCAAGCAGCACTATCAGAGTACACCCACACTCACGAGCCCGAAAAAAGTAATCGGCACTTTCCGAGCAGAAAAAAACGTTATAATTATAGATATTGTGACCATAGACAAAGAGTCAGCCATTCTCAAGAACACTTGGAAATTATCATCTCCATTTAGGAATATAGTACCCGGTCAAAGACTCATTCTCATGGTTTGTCCCTGATCAATCAACGATTTCAGTTTCAAGTTTAAGATAGACGAACCGGGTACGGAAACTGGTAACGTGTCATCTTTGGCAATAAAAACCATTTCCAACCAACTCATGTTGCCTCTGGCGAAAGGCAAGAACTGCTTCGAGATTAGCTTGTTCGCAGGGACTGTTCTCAAAAGGAGAAAGACAGGAAATTTCAGGAATTGTACGTACAGTTGATGAGAATCTCAGATCTCTCGTTTAACTGTATCTTTTCAGTCAGTTTCCACGTCAAACACAACTCGGACAAAACGATTGTTTACAATCTTTCGGGGACTGATAATCAGACCATGTGGGTAGTTCTACCTGAAAGATCTGAAGTCAAATCGTTCTGGAAAATGTGAGTTCTCAAGTAGTCGAAATATGACTGATTCCAATCTTTTTATTTACAGGCCTCCATCAGCATGGTGATCTTCGTAGTATGAGACAGTTTTCGAGCTTCTCTTCTTCTAATCAATCAGAAACTTTCTAAATATTGTAGTCTTGAACTGTGTCAAGTTTTGTTTTTGTTACTGTTTTTTTGTTATTCATTATTAGGCTGAAAGCAATGAACCTCTTCCATTCCACACCTCAATTTCATATATTTTTCGCATTCTTTCGCGTTTCCGTCAGCTCCCAACGGAAATGGAGCAACAAGCGCATGTGAGCAATTCGTCGGATTTGTATAGCTCGCTCCGCGCACAACGGCCGACACAAACTGCGCGAGCGTAATGACCACGTTCCCATGGCAGCCGGGCATCGATTGGGCCTCGAGGGCCGACATGCGCGCACGCTCCAGTAGCCAGGCACCTGCCCGTCGACAACCTTAATCGGCTGTCCGTGTGCTCTCCTAGGACACACCCCCTCCACCTTTCTCTGCTCTCTTCATTCTTTCGTTTTTTTTGCGTTTGCTAGCTTTTCTCTTTTTTCTCATTTTATTATTCTGTTCACTCCCCGATCTGTACTATTTCAGACATGCGTGAGATCGTTCACATTCAAGCTGGACAATGTGGTAACCAGATTGGTGCTAAGGTAAGCCATTGAACCTAGTTTTTTGTAAAATGAAGGTGGTTATCAGTTCTGGGAGGTCATCTCCGATGAGCATGGAATCGACCCCACTGGAGCTTACAACGGCGACTCTGATCTGCAGTTGGAGCGTATCAATGTGTACTATAATGAAGCCAGTGGTGAGTGCATGATGCTCGAAAATATAGTTGCACACACACTTTTTATCTAAGCATATCACGTCATCCGTTTCAGGCGGAAAGTATGTTCCACGTGCGTGTCTTGTTGACTTGGAGCCCGGAACCATGGATTCCGTGAGAGCCGGTCCGTTCGGTCAGCTCTTCCGTCCGGACAACTTCATTTTCGGTCAAAGTGGAGCCGGTAACAACTGGGCAAAAGGTCATTACACCGAAGGTGCCGAGCTTGTCGACAACGTGCTCGATGTGGTGCGCAAAGAGGCCGAGAGCTGTGACTGCCTTCAGGTGAGCGAGCCACGGTTCAACGCGTCTAATTTGCTGCTTCCTGTTTATATTGTGCACCTGTTTCTTGAGACGGCTGTCCTCTCTAACAGCATCCGAATAAGAGGTTTGGGTGGGGGTGACACAATAGACACCTTTCGGTAAGCATATGTCGCATAATGACTGAGAATGGGATTTGATAATAATATAATGGTTAGACTAATTAGAAGCGGCGGCAATGACAAAAGACTAAGAATTACGTTATGTTCATTGCCAGACATCCGTATGACATGAATTAACATTGCAGGGCTTCCAAATGACTCATTCGCTGGGAGGAGGAACTGGATCCGGAATGGGAACTCTTCTGATCTCCAAGATCCGTGAAGAGTACCCGGATCGCATCATGAACACTTTCTCAGTGGTACCCAGCCCGAAAGTGTCCGACACTGTCGTTGAGCCGTACAACGCCACTCTCTCCGTCCACCAACTTGTCGAGAACACCGATGAGACGTTCTGCATCGACAACGAAGCACTTTACGACATCTGCTTCCGAACTCTCAAGCTCACCACCCCGACATACGGAGATTTGAATCATCTTGTTTCGATGACGATGAGCGGTGTTACCACCTGTCTTCGTTTCCCGGGACAGGTATACGTGAGCTTCAGACAATTATAACGTCATCCTGTTGCAGCTCAATGCTGATTTGCGCAAATTGGCGGTCAACATGGTGCCGTTCCCACGTCTCCACTTCTTCATGCCTGGTTTCGCCCCGCTCACCTCGAGAGGAAGCCAGCAGTATAGGTATAAATTTCGCAAAATATTTATAAATATCATAATTTCTCTCATCAGATCTCTGACTGTTCCGGAGCTCACCCAACAAATGTTCGACGCCAAGAACATGATGGCCGCGTGTGACCCCCGCCACGGACGTTACCTCACTGTCGCCGCGATGTTCCGTGGAAGAATGAGTATGAAGGAGGTGGACGAGCAGATGCTGAACGTGCAGAACAAGAACTCTTCGTACTTCGTCGAATGGATCCCCAACAACGTTAAGACCGCGGTGTGCGACATCCCTCCAAGAGGTGTCAAGATGGCGGCGACGTTCGTTGGAAACTCGACTGCTATCCAGGAGCTCTTCAAGAGAATTAGCGAGCAATTCACTGGTTAATTCAAAGAACAAATCAATTTAGTCATATTCGTAATTTCAGTCATGTTCCGTCGTAAGGCCTTCTTGCATTGGTACACCGGAGAGGGTATGGACGAGATGGAGTTCACCGAAGCGGAGAGCAACATGAACGATCTGGTGTCCGAGTATCAGCAATACCAGGAAGCCACCGCCGACGACGAGGGAGAGTTCGACGAGCACGACCAGGACGTCGAATGATCAATTCTCGCTCGTCTCAATTGTGGACCTTTCTTTCACGCACCTTTTCTTTTGTTGTCATCGCCATACCAAGCTATACTGAAAGTCACATGGATCTCTTTTTTTGCTACAATACTCGAAGTTTACGTCCGGAACGTCTTTTCTAATTCAGATGCTTCTTCCTTTTTTTGAAACAACAGTACCTGGATAAAGTTTTGTGTTAAAATGTTTACAGACGTCATTTTTTTCAAGTGAGGCAGCACTTTAAAAAGTTGAAGTGTTTTTTTTTGACCTCCCACGTGACCATATTTGCATTTTCTTTTGTTTATCCAAAACTTGCTGAAAATGTCGCAAAGAACAGATAAAAGAGGATGTCAATAGCTTTTCAAGTGCATGTGTGATTCAACAAAATGTTTTTTGGACGTACGTGATCGCACCACGTGATGAAAAGTGGATACAAAACAAGCTTCTTCACTCAATTTGGCAGTTCAAGTTGTTTTACGACCGTCTACGAGTACAAATGTGTTCTGTCGCTATGTCGCTTTGGGATGCTGTTCGCGATGTGTTAATGGATTTACCAAAGAAGCTCAAATTGGAAAAGAAGACGTCAAAGTTTGTTCAACACTTTGTCGACGTTCTGTGGCAATACGAAGAAGATGTAACGGAGATCAAAACGACGACGGAAATGGATAAATTGGAAGGAGAAGTCGAATTTATTCAAAAACTTTTGTGTATTGGCGGATAAGTCACCCGGTTGTTGCAAACCCCTTCTCCATCTCCTTTCGCCATCTTCCGACGATCCGTAGTCTTGTTCAATCTCATTTCTTCTATCTATTATCCACGAAGGCCATCTTTCTTCTTTTCGAAACATCTCGGGGGCGTCACATTCATCCATCACCTAGAAAATCAGTTAAAAGTTGAAAAATTGCTTCGTTTTCAAACTTTTTTCAGTTTTTTTTCGATTTATAACTCAATTCATGAGTTTTTTTTCTCAATTCTTTGCCGTTTTGCCCATTGAACTCCCCAAACTCAATTCACTGCCGGCAGACGATTCAAAGCGCCGCGTAAAACCGGCACGGGTCTCGCAGCGAAAATTGGCAACGGAGCGCACTTGCATCGGTTCGTTCGCAAGTTCACTTGGGATTTCGGAAGATTTAGGCCTACATGTTTGTCTAGGGATTATGTGCTCCGAGTGAGCTTTACACTGATTAGATGTGAAAATTTTTTGTCCAATTTTATAGTAGATTTTGATCTGAATTTTCGCTGAATCCACGTACTACTTTGCATGCATACATCTCAATTTTCAAATTTCCGAACAAATTTTTTTATTTTTCTCTCTTTTGCTTTCCTTCTGAACGCTCGAATATTCTCCAATTTCATTTCGACCTCGTTTATTGACTGGCTGTATAAAACCCATGAAACAAACAGAAAAAACTGATCATAAATAGTTGTCAAATTTTACAAAGTGATTACAAAAGTGATTCATCGGCAGGCTAGAGATCTACTTGTACTTGTAGAATCCCTCTCCCGATTTGCGTCCAGTCTTGCCCGAGTTGACGAGCTCGTCCAGCAGTGGGCTCGGCTTGAACGCCACTTCGTCCGGGTACTGCTTGTTCCATCCGTCCATGATGAACTTGACGGTGTCGAGCCCGACGTAGTCGCACAGCTCGAACGGCCCCATTGGATATCCGGCTCCCAGCTTCATTCCGACATCAATGTCCTCCTTAGAAGCGTCGCCGCGTTCGTAGAGACGGAGAGCCTCGAACATGTACGGGACGAGCAGGCGGTTGACGATGAATCCGGGGGTGTCCTGGAAGAGAGCACACGTTGCTGGTCGGTAGTAGAGAATATAGAAAGTTTTACCTTGCAAGCGACAGTAGTTTTTCCAACCGTCTTTCCGTACTCCATGAGTTGGGCAAACGTCTCGTCGGAGGTGTCGTTGTGACGGACGACCTCGAGCAGTTTCATCATCGGCACTGGGTTGAAGAAATGAAGTCCTCCAAAGCGGGTCTTATCCTTCAAGTTGAGACCAATGTCCGAGAGACGGAGCGACGAGGTGTTCGTGGTGATCAGCGTGGTTCTGGAATCATGTCAAGTTCATTCCGACACTCTTGGGATCCTTACGGTTTAGCGGCTGCCTCCACTTCGGCGAACAGCTTTCTCTTGATGTCAATGTTCTCGACAATGGCTTCGATGACCAGGTCGGCGTTCTTGACCGAGTCGGAGACGTTGGTGGAGAGCTTGATGCGGTCGAGCACGGAAGAGACAAGAGCTGTCTGGGCCTGTAAGATTTCTCCATTTTTCTCATATCGAAAGAGCGCCTGGAAAAATGAAGAAACCTTACCGCTGCGTCGTCGGCGTGCTTCTTCTTGGCCACTCTCTGGAGACTGCTCGTGATTCCCTTCTGGGCCTTGTCCAGGGCCGTTTGGTTGCTGTCAACCACGGTGACATTGAGCTTGGCATTGGCGGAGACTTGCGCGATTCCGGATCCCATAAGTCCCGCACCAATGATCGTCACATTATTGATTTTTGAAAGTTGGGCGGTGGTGGAGAGTCCCCGGACAGCAGCGGTACACGTTGAACTGAGCATTCTGTAAAAATACACCCCTCGAAAAGAGGAAACGATTGAGAGAAAAGGAGAGGCGTCGTATCCATCAACGACGTCAAAAAAGGAGGAGAAAAACGAAGAAGAATTGGGGTGTGGAGCGAGCGAAGAGAGGCAGAAGAAGGCGACGTGGGCCGAACGGCCCGAATGCCCCGCGTGTGAAAGACGGAATGGGCGCGTTGTCGTCGTCGTCGATTGCCCTGCCCGTGTACAACCCAGCAAAAACGCGCGCCTCCACCGACACCGATGTGTCTGCGTCTCCCCAATCTCCTCACTCTCTCGCGCCCGTCTCCTGCTGGACTTTGTTCGCTACAATCTTGCCAGCGCGTAGCCCAGGTAGAGAGTCGAGAGAAAATAACGATAATAGATAACGAGACAGCGACCGGAAAAGTAGAGGAAACGGAGAGACGCAGTCGGGCCCTTCTGAGTTTATTGTGGTGGTTGGATTGATAACGTAACGGCGGCGCAGTGAACAGATAAGAACAGGGACCGAAGGGTGACTTTTGGTTTCTTGAGGTTCACTTTTTTCAACGACAAATCTTAATGAAAGGTAATGGAAATAGGAGAGAAGTATGCGTGTTGTTTCGTCACCGCACTAATCGTTCCGAAATTGTGGGCAGCCGAGTCGGTCCCCCGACCAAAACAACCCCGCGATAAACCGAGGAGAGAGGCGAGGCGACGCGACGACGCGACGCGACGAGGCGCCTCTAAAAAAAAGAGGGGGAGACGGGAAGCAAATGCGCCCTGGCGAACACACACACACACACAGACGCCCTAGCCGCGGCGTGCTACGCAGTTCAGCCGGCCAACGAAACGTCCGCCGGGCCTCTTCTTCGATTCCCACAAAGCGACGTGTCGTTTCCTCGCGGGCCAGCCATTCGCCGATATTTTCTCACACGCTCGCTGCCTCCTCGCCCCTTCATCACTCTATTCCTTTCGTGGCCTACGAAGAAGACAGCGATAACGAAGGCTTGAGACGGCCGCGAACAACTGCAGAGGGCAAGCGCAGAAGGAGACGTGAGTCCGACGGGCAAGTAGGACTGTCTTCAGTAAGAATTTCTCACACTCCTAGTCGAAATCACTCGGAATGAACCTCTAGGGAAACCAGTCACACCCTCTCCGATCCGCCGTCCTCATCAGTCGGAGAGGTCAGTTGGAATTCAACTGGTCTGTTCTCAGTGTAAACTATCTGTTGATCGTGTCCTATATTTAATCCCGGGCCTCTTGACGCCAAATTGGTCCTAATTTGGTAGTCATCGTGCAGAATCCCTCTCAATTTTGCTCTTTTCTCAGGGAAAGGGAGTATGGTAGCAGTAGCTCGAAGAGCCATCGAAGTAGTGACTGATTGTAGCAGTTTAATCATTTTATATGTATAAACATCAGTTTTCGTTATGCTTATCACTTGACTCCTCGTTGGCAATAATAACAATTTGATGCTTTCGATTGTCGTTTCTGACCACATTCTCCGAGTCGAGTCAGAACCGGAGCCGAAGAGTCGCGTGATTACCGTAGCCGCCAGGGCGTCATTTTTCCAATCAAAACAAGTGCAGAGTGTATTGTCTCGCCGCCCTTATACACTCTCCTTTGAACTGATAAGCGCCCAACTGAGGCGAACCCATTCATTTCTTCTTTATTATCTCCAAACCGATTACTGGCCACCTTCCTCTCTCTCTCTCTCTCTTTCCGCCGCTGCCTCTGCGGGCTACCGTAGTAAGTTGGGTATCTTCGAATGGGTTGGTCAGCTCCATCGGATCCTAAAATACTGTTTCGCATCTCTAGATCCGATCTGTGATGGGCAGTTCGAGCCGAATTTGGTCTATGCATACGTGCATACAAGCAGCCAGTTAAACGAGAAGGCTTGACTCCGCCTCTACCGTAGTTCTTCGGAGACATCAGCGGCTAGAATAAAGTGGGAATCGCTTAACTTTTCTGAAATCAAACCGGGAAACCACGGATCTAGAGATGGGAAACGGTATTTTAGGATCCGATGGAGCTCCGCTCCCTGCAATTATCCGGTCTGGCCCGGACTTTGCACGATTATAAGTCTTAGTATCGAGTACTTTCAGTGAAAATTTCACCCAAATCGGTTAATTTTTTCTGGTAAAATATTGGAAATGAGCTGAAAAGGCGTCGGTTCTCAGCCTCTCCCCTCAGATCGTGAGTCACATTTTCGATTTCAGTCGGGCTTTTTTGTTTCCCATTGTTTATATCTACCGTATTCCCTCTTCCTTTTCAATATAAACATTCAGTTTCCCATAGTTGATTTCCGGCAGCATCGTCGCAAGGTGACGTCAGCTCTGGTAGATGGAGGTGAGCGGGGCGAGTGAAGCGCTCACAGAAAACCTCACAAGAGCTCAAATCACAGCCTTCACAAAATAATTGAGTCCTACCGGCCGGCCGCCCGCAGCATCGCTATTTAGAGGCGCATTCGATGTCGTTCTTTCGCCCTTCTCTTTTCGAATTTCGTCACTGCTTTTGGGCGAGGCTTCTTCCGATGTGCGCCCGCTCTCTTCGCCCTGGGCCCACTCTCCTTCCGTCTTCGCTCGTCCGCAAACCCGCACGACGCACTCTCGTCAGAAGGGTATAATTCGAACAACGAAGAAGATGAAGCCGAGAGGGACGACGCCTAAATTGGCTGTCCTCTTTGCTATCCGTCACGCAGCTCCGAGCTACCGTAGCCCTGACGTAGGCGACGCGGCCCTCTGTTTTGTCAGCCGACTACCGCACCATCCGCTCGTCACGAGAAGAAGAAAACGATCTGATGGGCTCTTAAACTTCTATAATGTTCGGTTTTTGCAAAACTCTCTGCGGGACGGTCTTCTCGCAAATTTATCGCTCTTCGTTTCCATATTCTTGGTTACTGTAGTTTTATTAGCAATAATTCTCCGAGAAAGCGCCCATTTCAGCGATGGATTTTGTGTTAGCGCTATCGGAAAGTTATTGCTCTTCGCTCCTCTTCTGTCTTCCACTCACAGTGTTGTGAGCGTATCTGTGCGCGCACTCACAACACACTATATGGATGAGGCATCGTCCCCCTGCTCGGTCGGCGCCCCGGCACCGGTCCCTCCCCCTTTGTCTTCTCGAACCGACGATCGCACTCGCTTCCCGTGTCAGTCGCAGCCGCGACGCCGAGAAAAGAAGCGGCACAGGCGTGCTGCTCGCATTCTACTCCGCATTTCTCATCTGCCCCCCTCTGATAGAGCTATCTCACTGACACCGCCATTGTGTCTGCGCCCGCTATTTTTAATTTGTGACCGGTCAAAACAACCGCTTTAGAGTTCTCTCTTTCTCTCTCTTCAAAAGCCACGCGGTCGCTGAAGAAGGAGAAGTGCACGCTCGCGCTCAGCCAAGCGGAATAACGAGAACCTTCCTTCTCTCTCTCCCCTCTCCTCGTCACGTGTTCAGATGAAGAGAGCGAGGGAGAGAAAGAGGAAAAGTGCGGTAAAGACGAAGAATGGAAATTAGCATACGCCTTTGAGCTTTGTGCTTGCTTTCTGCCCTCGCCCCCTTCTCTTCTCTCGTCCCAAAACGTATTATTATCACTCGTGAAATCGTTGCTCGCTTTCTCTCCCCTTTCGATTTCCTCCAGTCTAACGACTATACTTTCAGATCGAAGCAGCAGACTACCGTACACCACTCGCTGTGTTCTCCGATCGACAACACAACATCAAGATTGTTCGATAGGGGTAAGAGACAATAGACCGAAACTTTTGTAATACACTATTATAATCATCTATCCTGCTTCCACTTTCGTTTCCGTCTTCCTTCATCACTAGCTTGCTTTTAAGTATTATCTATTCTATTCCTTTTGCATCTATTCTTCCAGAGCAAACCAACGCATAATTGCCGTTTTGTTCTTCTTATCAGTGTTTTCTGGCGTTTCGTTCTTCTCGGCGTTGCGTAATATCGTTAGTCAGAAGCCGCCGCTTCTATTCTCCCCTTTTCATCTCAACTCGCTCTAATTCGCCTTCTCTGTTGTTTGGGGCCGACCGCTCTCTGCTTCCCCTCTTCTTCTGCCCGGTCAATTTGAGATCTCTGGTCGGCGCGCGCGCGCTCCGCCAGCTTCCAGCCATGTGTGGAAGTGTCTTTCAGAACATCGAGCGTCTTCAGCTCCCTCTCTTGTGAGCGCACACTCTCGCCCCAAAAAACACATCAGCGGCCTCGGGCCCCGGTGCGAGAGGAAGATGGGCTTCGAGGCTCCTCGCTCTCGACCATTGATCTGCGGCGGCGGGCTGAAGACGACTCGTCGCACTCTCTCCCCCCTTTCTCTGCTGGTGTTTCCTGTTCCTGGCTCCTCCATCGTCGAGGCCCTCGCCTTAGTTGTCGGTGTTGCCCCGCCGCCCGGGCCCTCTTCCCCCCTCTTCTCTCCCCTCTCTCTCTCTTTTGCACACTCTTTCCAGAAAGCGTTTCTGATCAGTCAGAAAAGAAGGGAAGGTGTCGAGAAGAGGAGCGCCGCCGAGGAGAGCGCTGCACTCACGCACACCGTGAGCGAGTGAGCGTAGAACACTCTCGGAGGCCGATCAGACACACCGAAGAGCCGTCGCCGCCGCGTTGTCCTCCGTCTATAATTTGGGAAAAGGAGGCAGCGACTTCTCTCTGCGTCTCGCCGCCAATCTCTTCTTCCGGGCGAACTGGGGACAAAACATTCGCGCCTGCCCTCAAAATATCGCGTGTCTTCTTCTTCCTCTTCCTTCCTCTTTTTCTTCTTCTTCTTCTTCTTCTTCTTCTTCCTTTCTTCTTTCGCTCTCTGATTACCACTCTCCTCTTCTCTTCACTCTTTCTGCTTCTGCGTTTATTCTCTTTCGACGCATTTTGGCTTCTCCGTTTTTTCTGAAAACGTTCTTCCGTTGTCTCACTTAATATTGTCTTTTTATCAGGATGAACAACTTCCCTCCAAACCCGGGTTACCTAAACCCACCCGATCAAGCTCATGGCGCACCAAATCTTCAACAACCGAATTTTGCTTTTCTGGATAATGCCATCCGCGAATCGCGGCAGGATTTGGCCATGATGCAAAATGAACAGCAACAGCAGCAACAGTACGCGATGTGGATGCAGCAACAGGCCGCGTACCAAGGAGGTCAAGTCCAGAATCATCAGGGTCAACCCCATCATCAGTACCAGCAGCACGGTCAGATGATGCAGAATGACCAGATGAATCAGAACGCTCAAATGCATCAACCAAACGTTCAGCAGCGCGCACCTGATGGAACTCGTCCTTTAGGTCACTACGGCGCACTGGAAATGTACAATAATCAGGCTCAGCAGCAGGGCCACATGGTAGCGGCTGGCGGTGTCCCAATGCAGAATCACAATCAAGCAATGGAACAAAACGGGGCCAGGCCGCAAATAAACCAAAGATTGCCACCAGTCCACATTCCCAACGGAAATGGAAACCACCAAATGCGAAACGCAGCATCCGGTCACGTGGCCCATCAACAACGGGAAATGATGCATACCCGTCTGCCACCACTCATCAACACTTATCCGCCACTTCAGAAGGTAAGTCATTAACCCAACTGTCAGATTCAATAAAACCTCATCAATTCCAGAACGATAACGCTGCACACTCTCGCAACTCTTCTGTCGCATTGCCTCTGCAGCAAATGGAGGGTATGCTCGAAAGACCAGAGAACGCGAATCATCCACCACAACAGGCAAGTCTGTACCTCTTTTTCGTGTACGTTCTCAGTTTCAGATTCCGTTTGCACATCAAGCTAATCCGCACGAACACCAACGTCAGATGGCAGGAGCGAGAGGAGCGGGGAGAGCGAGAAATTGGAACAATCATATGCCTCAACCTGCTCATACTTCTCTGACGGCAATGGACCACCGTGGTGTCCATCAACGCCAACACCATCAGCGAGAACCCGCTCAGCAATTTCAGCAAGTTGGACATCCTCCGACAAACTTTCCGGGAATGAACGTTTACAACATGGGACTTCCATACCCTGAGCACATGGAATGGCAGCCGGTAATCTAAACAAATTTTAAAATTAGATAATGATAGAAACACAATTTTCAGGGGATGAACATGCCTTATGGACCGGGACCTCCAGTACATGGGCCTGCCGTTCCGCCAGCCGTCACAGAGGCACCTCAAGGATCGACCGGACGCGGGGGACGCGGCGGACGAGGAGGACGCGGAGGACGGGGAGGACGAGGAGCGGCGACCACGGTTAGTTGAAGTATTTACAAACGAAACCGTTATTCTGCTCTAGTCAGTGCTTTGGCTAGTTAGCTCTTTTTGAAAATAAGGTCATTGCCCATTAGGATTGAAATGATTTAGTAAGCAGGCATAAACGAGATATTTTTCAGACACCTAGGAAACCACGGGCAAGCAAGAAAAAGACGCTGGAAGCCGAGGAAGCCGGAGGAGCAGTGGCTGAAAGCGGAGTAGAAGAGCGCAATCAGAATCCGTACATGACGCAGCATATCAGTATGGGAAACATGCCGGGAACGAGTGCAGAATACTACGGCGGAAACATATACTCTTCAGCTCAGACGTCTGAATTGCAGGCGTATCATGCTATCAATTCAATGGTGCATCAACCAGTAACTGCCAGCGGAGCCCGACCAGTGGAAGCAAGCGGAAGCGAGGAGCGAATTCAGAATCAATACATGTTCCAGCCGACAAGTATGCAGAATATGCAGGGAACGAATGCAGCACACCACGACGAGACCGTGTACCGTTCAGACCAGACGTTTGAGCGGCAAACTTATTCAGCCATGAATTCAATGACGGATAAACCAGTGGCAGCGAGCGGAGCCAGAGAAGTGCCAGAAAGCGGAGCCGGAGCAGAAGTAGCAAGCACAGCCGAAGAGCGCCATCAGAATGAGTACATGATGCAGCCAACAAATATGGGCAATGTTCCGAGAACGAGTGCAGCACACCACAACGAGAACATGTATCGTTCAGACCAGACGTTTGAACGGCAAACTTATTCTGCCATGAGTTCAATGACGGATAAACCAGTGAGCGGAGCCGGAGAAATGCCAGAAAGCGGAGCCGGAGCAGAAGCAGCAAGCGCAGTCGAAGAGCGCAATCAGAATCAGTACATGATGCAGCCAATAAATATGGGCGATGTTCCGAGAACGAGTGCAGCACACCACGACGAGAACATGTACCATTCAGACCAGACGTTTGAACGGCAAACTTATTCTGCTATGAGCTCAATGACGGATAAACCAGTGGCAGCAAGCGGAGCCGGAGAAGTGCCAGAAAGCGGAGCTGGAGCAGAAGCAGCAAGCGCAGTCGAAGAGCGCAATCAGAATCAGTACATGATGCAGCCAACAAATATGGGCGATGTTCCGAGAACGAGTGCAGAACACCACGACGAGAACATGTATTCTTCAGCTCCGACGTCTGCCTTGCAATTGTGTCCTGCTGCGAATTCAATGGTGCATGAAACTCAGAGGCGTGAACGGGACGAGATGACTATAAATGAGTTTATTTGTGGAGAAGAACAATCGCGCAACAACTTTGAAACCTGCAACGATGAACTCAACCGGGAATGTCAACAGATACTGGAGATCCAGAAACATCAAGAAGAGCTTCTCAGTCAAAACAGTGGTCAGCAGCAACAAACAGAGGATGAACAACGTTATCAGGAACGTCAAGGGCAGCTACAGGAACTGGATATGCATCAAGAATGCAAACAGGAATTTGAAAACCAACGTCAAACACTGTTGGTTGACCAAGACGCGGCGAGGCTCAGAGAGCAGGACGAAGTGCAGGCGGGGCAACAACAAAAGCGAGAAAAAGTGGTTCAAGATGAGGAAGCGGAGAGAAAAGGCGAAGAAAACGAGCTGTTGGTGTGTGAGAAGTTTGAACGCATACAGGTCACGACCGACGAACCACAGCGCTTGCAAGTACAGGTCCCCGAGAGTAACACAGGTGAGAAGATAAGAAAATGTGCATAAAATGTAAAATCCTTTCTTTTCAGAATCGGTCACTCAGTTAGTGCCGGAAGAACTCGGCTCAAAGGAACCGGGAGTCTCTCCGTGCGTGTCTTCGAAGCAAACTCCACCAGCTCAACAACAGGGTAAGTGAACATAAAGTTTTCTACCCGATACTCAACCGTTATCTTTTCAGTGACTCCTCCAAACTCTGTCTTCTTGACTCCTTTTGCTTCGTCTCCTGATGTCAACCCTGGGACAAACGTACAAGTAAGAAATCGACCACATTTTGCAAAACAAGCGGTTATTTTTTCAGACGACAGAACGGAACCTTCTGAATGACGAAGCAAGAGCGAAGCGAAACTTGTCTCAAGGGTCCACGGCTTGCACAAGCAGAAATGAAGAACAAGACAAAGACAGCCAGAGAGCGCCGCAATCTGACAACGAGAAACATGAATTGTCTAGATTCTTCAACGCTCACTCTGAAATTCGAACAATTGTGAATTCCATTGAAATAAGTTCAAGTTCTACGGGAAATCAAAGCGATGTACAAGGCAAGATCATTTCCAATCCTCTTCTCAACGCTCCTCTCACGGAAAAATCTGCCAAAGACAATGCTGTCGTAGAATCTGGTGGATCTCTTCTGCAGTTCGAATATGATAGATGGAACCCAACCCCCGAAGAAGATGCAGCAGTTGTTAAACCGGTACCAACTGTGATTGCACATTCAGCTAAAGACTTAAACAATGGTGCATGCGACGCAATAGAAAAAAACGCCATGGCCGGTGCAAATGCTGATATTGACTCCCGCTCTCAACTGACAGTTGAAGTGACGCTTGTTTCGTCGGTGTTGGAAAATGTCAAATCTCCTGTTGAAGAAATGGAAAGCAACGAATCGGAGATACCAATTTCGAATGCGCAAAAAAGCAACGTTCCGTTCGGGTGGCTTCCCAACTACAGCTCTTCAAACCTTCCTGCTGCCGCCGATGTTCATTCATTCAACACGGAGTGTATTTCGACCTTGCCACAACCGTCCCCAGTGACAACGTCTGTCATTATTAACAACGGATGTTTAGCCAATGATCCAGAAAATGAGTGTGATACCAGAAACTTTTTGATTGTCGAGCAGTCACAAGAAGAGTTCATGAAAATTCCAAAAGGTGAGGAAAAACATTTCTCTCGTTGTACTCGAGCCAACGTTGACATTTATTTCAGTTGAGAACACGGACGATAACACGATGGCCACCGATGAAGCTCTGGCTGCCGAGGAAAATCCGGCTTCCTCCGAGCGTTCAAATGAAACTGTCCACAACATGGAATTGGAAGAGGCCCCAGTTCAATCGTACTGCGTGCCACTCAAGAGCACAGACGAGAACACAGTGGTCACAGACGGAGCTCCACCAACCGTCAAAAATTCGTCATCCTCAGAGCATTCGAATGAAACCGACCTCAACGAGGGAGTGGAAGATGTCCCAGTTCAACCGTACTGCGTGCCACTCAAGAGCACGGAGGACAACACGGTGGTCACGGACGAAGCTCTGCCAGCTGAGAAAGTTCCGCCATCCTGCGAGCATTCGAATGAAACCGACCTCAACGAGGGAGTGGAAGATGTCCCAGTTCAACCGTACTGCGTGCCACTCAAGAGCACGGAGGACAACACGGTGGTCACCGACGAAGCTCTGCCAGCTGAGAAAATTCCGCCATCCTCCGAGCGTTCGAATGAACCTGTTCCTAACGAGGGAGTGGAAGATGTCCCAGTTCAACCGTACTGCGTGCCACTCAAGAGCACGGAGGACAACACGGTGGTCACGGACGAAGCTCTGCCAGCTGAGAAAGTTCCGCCATCCTGCGAGCATTCGAATGAAACCGACCTCAACGAGGGAGTGGAAGATGTCCCAGTTCAACCGTACTGCGTGCCACTCAAGAGCACGGAGGACAACACGGTGGTCACGGACGAAGCTCTGCCAGCTGAGAAAGTTCCGCCATCCTGCGAGCATTCGAATGAAACCGACCTCAACGAGAGAGTGGAAGATGTCTCAGTTCAACCGTACTGCGTGCCACTCAAGAGCACGGAGGACAACACGGTGGTCACGGACGAAGCTCTGCCAGCTGAGAAAGTTCCGCCATCCTGCGAGCATTCGAATGAAACCGACCTCAACGAGGGAGTGGAAGATGTCCCAGTTCAACCGTACTGCGTGCCACTCAAGAGCACGGAGGACAACACGGTGGTCACGGACGAAGCTCTGCCAGCTGAGAAAGTTCCGCCATCCTGCGAGCATTCGAATGAAACCGACCTCAACGAGAGAGTGGAAGATGTCCCAGTTCAACCGTACTGCGTGCCACTCAAGAGCACGGAGGACAACACGGTGGTCACGGACGAAGCTCTGCCAGCTGAGAAAGTTCCGCCATCCTGCGAGCATTCGAGTGGAACCGACCTCAACGAGGGAGTGGAAGATGTCCCAGTTCAACCGTACTGCGTGCCACTCAAGAGCACGGAGGACAACACGGTGGTCACGGACGAAGCTCTGCCAGCTGAGAAAGTTCCGCCATCCTGCGAGCATTCGAATGAAACCGACCTCAACGAGGGAGTGGAAGATGTCCCAGTTCAACCGTACTGCGTGCCACTCAAGAGCACGGAGGACAACACGGTGGTCACGGACGAAGCTCTGCCAGCTGAGAAAGTTCCGCCATCCTGCGAGCATTCGAATGAAACCGACCTCAACGAGAGAGTGGAAGATGTCTCAGTTCAACCGTACTGCGTGCCACTCAAGAGCACGGAGGACAACACGGTGGTCACGGACGAAGCTCTGCCAGCTGAGAAAGTTCCGCCATCCTGCGAGCATTCGAATGGAAACCGACCTCAACGAGGGAGTGGAAGATGTCCCAGTTCAACCGTACTGCGTGCCACTCAAGAGCACGGAGGACAACACGGTGGTCACGGACGAAGCTCTGCCAGCTGAGAAAGTTCCGCCATCCTGCGAGCATTCGAATGAAACCGACCTCAACGAGAGAGTGGAAGATGTCTCAGTTCAACCGTACTGCGTGCCACTCAAGAGCACGGAGGACAACACGGTGGTCACGGACGAAGCTCTGCCAGCTGAGAAAGTTCCGCCATCCTGCGAGCATTCGAATGAAACCGACCTCAACGAGAGAGTGGAAGATGTCTCAGTTCAACCGTACTGCGTGCCACTCAAGAGCACGGAGGACAACACGGTGGTCACGGACGAAGCTCTGCCAGCTGAGAAAGTTCCGCCATCCTGCGAGCATTCGAATGAAACCGACCTCAACGAGGGAGTGGAAGATGTCCCAGTTCAACCGTACTGCGTGCCACTCAAGAGCACGGAGGACAACACGGTGGTCACGGACGAAGCTCTGCCAGCTGAGAAAGTTCCGCCATCCTGCGAGCATTCGAGTGGAACCGTCCTCAACGAGGGAGTGGAAGATGTCCCAGTTCAACCGTACTGCGTGCTACTCAAGAGCACGGAGGACAACACGGTGGTCACGGACGAAGCTCTGCCAGCTGAGAAAGTTCCGCCATCCTGCGAGCATTCGAATGAAACCGACCTCAACGAGAGAGTGGAAGATGTCTCAGTTCAACCGTACTGCGTGCCACTCAAGAGCACGGAGGACAACACGGTGGTCACGGACGAAGCTCTGCCAGCTGAGAAAGTTCCGCCATCCTGCGAGCATTCGAATGAAACCGACCTCAACGAGAGAGTGGAAGATGTCTCAGTTCAACCGTACTGCGTGCCACTCAAGAGCACGGAGGACAACACGGTGGTCACGGACGAAGCTCTGCCAGCTGAGAAAGTTCCGCCATCCTGCGAGCATTCGAATGAAACCGACCTCAACGAGAGAGTGGAAGATGTCTCAGTTCAACCGTACTGCGTGCCACTCAAGAGCACGGAGGACAACACGGTGGTCACCGACGAAACTCTGCCAGCCGAGAAAAATCCGTCATCCTCCGAGCATTCGAATGGAACCGTCCTCAACGAGGGAATGGAAGATGCTCCAGTTGAACCGTACTGCGTGCCACTCAAGAGCACGGAGGACAACACGGTGGTCAACTACGGATCACCAGCAGCCAACAAAAATCTATCATTCATCGAGCGATCGAATGGAACCGTCCTTAACGAGGGAATGGAAGATGCTCCAGTTGAAGAGTACTGCACGGTGGTCACCGACGAATCAGAACAATCCGAAATAAATGCGGCATCCTCAGACCGTTCAAATGGGATCACTACAAGAGATGTCGAACAGCCGCTCGAGGATCTGGAAGCATCGTGTGATGCCAGACACTTCTTCACTCCGTTCCCTCGCTCACCGGTTGCGGAGAATTCGGCCACACATAATTTGAAAATTGTAGCACAGCCACAAGAAGAGTTGCTGCACATTCAGAGCGTTCCACCTGTTGAGAGTGAGTTTCAATTTTGTCGAACTGAATTCAACGTTGATATTTATTTCAGTTGAGAACACGGACAATACGGTGGTTACAGACCAAACAGAATCAGCCGAGGAAAATCCGACTTCCTCCGAGCGTTCGAATGAAACAGTCCCCAACATGGAATTGGAAGAGGGCCCAGTTCAATCGTACTGCGTGCCACTTAAGAGCACGGACGAAAACACAGTGGTCACAGACGGAGCCCCACCAACCGTGGAAAATTCGTCATCCTCCGAGCGTTCGAATGGAACGACTGAACCCGTTTCAGAGAATGTTGAGCAGCCACAAGAAGAAGAGCTGCAGAATCAGAGCATTCCATCCGTTGAAAGTGAGTTGCTATTGATCACTTGCAGCAGAAAAAAAAACATACGAATTTTCAATCTATAAAAATGTTGATCATCAAATCAATGTTAATGTTTATTTCAGTTGAGAACACGGACAAAAACACGGTGGTCATCGACGAAGCAACAAGAGATGTCGAACAGCCGCCCAAAGATCTGGAAGCAGAGTGTGATGCCAGAAACGTTTTCACTCCGTTCTCTCGCTCACTGGTTGCGGAGAATTCGGCCACACATGATTCAAAGATTCTAGCGCATACGCAAGAAGATATGCTTCCTAATCAGAGCGTTCCACTCGTTGAGCGTGAGTTGTTATTTTAATTTTACTCAAAACAACATTGATATTTATTTCAGTTCACAACACGGACGAGAACACGGAAATTACCGACCAAACAGCAGTATCCGAGGAAAAACTGTCAAACGACAATTACTTTGAAAATGCTCCTGGGGAACCAAATCGCGTATTACCTCAAACTATGCAGAGCACTCACGCGCCGGATTCATCGCATCTTCATGAATCTCCTGACGCCATTCCGGGATCGCCCAAATTGCCTATGGCCGACAACTGTTCGCCACCTTTGGATATCGCACATGAGAAACTTCAAGAAGAGGTCGTCTCGAAGGCCTCCGTAGATCCACAAGATGCCGAGAGACTAGAAGATGTTGAAGAAGCATCGGATAGGAGTGAGGAACTCCAAAAGATTGAGGACAAGCAAGTTGAGGAGGTTGTTCAAAAGTTAGATGACCGAGACGAAGAAGCTCGGAACGATGACCAAGAAGCCTCGGAAGAACCAAAAGAAATCCGTTACGGACAACGAAAAGAAGACGATGTTCGTTCTGCAGTCTTCACGAGAGAAGAAGACGGCTCTAATGATGCCAAGCTCCGGGAAGAAGAAAACGACCAAGATGAAGAGCGCAGTGGTGGCAAAGAAGACAAGCCGAACGAGACCCGTGGAGAAAACGATGGAGATCTCAGAAAAGATGGTCATCGACAAGTAGATGAGAAAGAAGTAGGACTGCAAGGTCGTGAAGTCTTTGTCAATAATGCAGAGCTGCAGGACGAAGAAGTCGAGGATGTGCCTGATGCCGATGATCTCAGCGAAGAAGAAAAACGTCGTTTGAAAGAAGTTGCTGCCAAGCTAACTAAGAATTATGAAGAATCAGATAAGAAGCGCATCTTACGTACACTGTACAATCGCAAGACGTTCGAGGTCCATCTGCAGGGCGACAATCACGAGTTGGACATTAACTTCACGCTCCCGGTTGCTCTCTCAACGCGATCAATTTGTACCTTGCACATGACGTTGATAAATGCGGAAGTCGAGGCTAAAATCAATGAAGAACATCTTTTGCAAGAGGTGGATGCTTTCCACACAAAAGGTGTTTTCGGAAGGAAGAACATCTTGATTGAATTCGAGGAACACGTCCGTGAACCGGGCGATCCGGAGTGGAACTCGTTAAACGCCGAACAGAAAAATCGACGGCTGACCCTTCCGAGCGACCCTCACATTGCCCGCGCCACCAAGAAAGAACTGGACAGCGAAGAACAGAAAATTTTTAAACCACTCTTCAACTCTATATCGGATCATTCGAAAATGTCAAGTGTGCGCAGAAAGGATTCTGATCCGGAAGCCGCAACCGTCAGACCGAATTCAATTAAAAGTAGTGTTCTTTTACAAATTTATTTTAATTTAAACGTGTACTTCATGTTCTCTGTTTACAGGTTTTTTCGCGGAACCTGCTGTCGATCCCACCTCGAGATGCGATCTCACCCGAATAACAATTATTTACGGAACGCTTGTCAGAAATCGAAGGCCAATGCTCTCCGGGCCGGAATCGAGTGTGATGCTTGAATACGTACCCGGCATGTACGCCTCAGATCTTCGCAACGTCAAAAAGTTCACTGTCAGTTTTGTTACCCAATATTCATATTCGCTAATATCATTGTTTTCAGTGTCTAGATGACGTAGAACTCAACTTGTTCTCACTGCTCCTGCTCCTCCACGCAACCACTCTTCAAGGATTCGCCTGGCGCGAACGGTTCAGAACTATGCTCGAACTCTGCTACCATCTCGCGGCTCGAGGAACATTCGGAAACATTGAGTGCATGCCCGAAAGACTTACTGCAGTGCGCGATTACCTCTTTCCAGCGAGGGTGGAGCCCGGTGCCACCCCAACAGATGAGATTATTGAGGAAGTTATCAAGAGACTCAATAGGGCCCTGTCTCTTTTCAATCGTTTCCCGTCGCTGGGTATCTTCAAATTTCTCTTTCGATACATCACGGATAAAATGATCAAGTTTCCAATGGAACGGTATGCAGAGATTAATTTAAATGAACGAGCACTCACGATATCCGCTTTGGATGAATTCTTCAATCCGTCAAACTCATCTGATTGGACCGATATATACTGTCACAAGTGGAGACCAAATGTTTACAAGCTCGATTCGGTTACGGAGAATGTGTTGGCCGCGGTGAAATTGGTTCTGAAGACCAACGGTGCCAATACGAGAATAAGGGATGCGAAGAGAAAGGAGATAGAGGCTAAGAAGAAAGCGAGACAAGAAAAACCGAAGAGAAAGAGAGCTTCTCGAAAGCGTGCTGCTAGATCAGAAAGCGACGGTACCGTGTCTAATGATGCTGAGAAGAACGACGTGATTGTTCCGAAACGTTCAAGAACAACTGAAGCGATGCAGCCTACCGAGCCAACGCCAAGAGATGCGCCTGAGTCCAATGATTCCTCAGCCGAGGCACCGAGCACCAGTGCCCTCTCGGAGATATCACTCAGAAGTCGCACTAGGACCAGGAAGCGCCCTTGCTATAGGCCAATCGACGACGATGAATCACCTCCACCACAAAAGAGGCGAAGAGGTCCACGAAAGAAGAAGGAGGTTGAGAAGGTTGTGGATACAGCTGATGAGGATGTCGTGGAGGTTGACGATGAATCGCCTCCACCACAAAAGAAGCGAAGAGGTCCACGAAAGAAGAAGGAGGTTGAAAAGGTTGTGGATACAGCTGATGAGGATGTCGTGGAGGTTGACGATGAATCGCCTCCACCACAAAAGAAGCGAAGAGGTCCACGAAAGAAGAAGGAGGTTGAAAAGGTTGTGGATACAGCTGATGAGGATGTCGTGGAGGTTGACGATGAATCACCTCCACCACAAAAGAAGCGAAGAGGTCCACGAAAGAAGAAGGAGGTTGAGAAGGTTGTGGAGACAGTTGATGAGGATGTCGTGGAGGTTGTCGAAGAGAATACCGCTCCTATCGTTGTTGAGGTGGCTACCGCTCCTCCCGTTGATGTGAATACGGCTCCTATCGTTGTTGAGGTGGCTACCGCTCCTCCCGTTGATGTGAATACGGCTCCTATCGTTGTTGAGGTGGCTACCGCTCCTCCCGTTGATGTGAATACGGCTCCTATCGTTGTTGAGGCGGCTACCGCTCCTCCGGTTGATGTGAATACCGCTCCTATCGTTGTTGAGGCGGATACCGCTCCTCCGGTTGATGTGAATACCGCTCCTATCGTTGTTGAGGCGGCTACCGCTCCTCCGGTTGATGTGAATACCGCTCCTATCGTTGTTGAGGCGGCTACCGCTCCTCCCGTTGATGTGAATACCGCTCCTATCGTTGTTGAGGCGGCTACCGCTCCTCCCGTTGATGTGAATACCGCTCCTATCGTTGTTGAGGCGGCTACCGCTCCTCCCGCTGATGTGAATACCGCTCCTATCGTTGTTCAAGCTACTGCTCCTGTCGCTGATGAAGTGAGTTAACTCCCAGTGTGTCAAACATACAACTTCTAAGTATCTGCAGAGTGTCCCTGTTATAACGCGCAGAGGCAGAGGCCGACCTCCTGGCTCCCGTTCAAAGAAGTCACCGCTCGAGTTCGTACCACGCAGATCCCTTCGAACAAAATAACAACCTAAGTACAATGTGAATGCCAAAATCCCTGTTGCTGCTGCTGATGCTGAGAATGTCAATAACGTCGTTGCTGCCGACGTCACCGGAACGCCAATGGACTGCAATGCTGCAGCAGGATCATCTTTTGTCTCGGCCTAACTTCAGTAATATCAGCAGGTAATTCCTCAACCTCAATTTACAAATATACTAGTGTCTACTTTACAGATTTCTACACATAAATTCTACTCACATGGGATACAACGCTTCTTGGATTTTCACATTGTCGTTTTTTCTCTTTTTTTTTCATTTTATGTATATTATTGACATCCTCCACTCACTCAGTGGTCTATTTATTCAAACCATTATTCCAATCCGATAGAACCCGACTACAAACTGTAAATTTACCCCTTTCTGTCAAATTGACGTGCGTGAACGTTATAGGTAACGTTTCTCTGTTTTTTTCCTGGTTCCTATGTTTAATCCCAATTTCATGTTAGGGCCATACTTCTTCTCATCTCGGATAGGTTTTTTGCTAGTACCACATCTTTTTTTTTCTGTAATTAGCATATCTTGCTCTTGGACCCCCCCCCCCTTCTCTCACTCTCCCAATGTTCTCCACTAGAATTACATGTTCCCACATCCCATTTCCTCCAAATTTCGCTTTACCTTTCCTACCCTACAAATTTTTCCTTCCTGGTTTCTATGCATCGTTTTTGTTTGTTTTTCGGCCTCATTTCATTCTGAACTCGAAGGGAGGAGTGCTGCCCTCCCCTTTGAAACATCATTGTATATTTATTCCGATTTTTTGGGCCTCAGCTGATTTTATTGAATATATATTGGATACAAATAAAGATAATGGAAAAAAGTAGGGATATTCAAAGTTCAAGCTTCAAATTTTAGATGGTTTCACAAATTTGGCGGTGAGTCGAGCGATCGTGTCTTCATGAGAGAACATCCCATTCAACTCGACTTCTTCCTTCCGATTTATGGTCAGCAAGTTGTCTTTATGCGGAATGGTCCTCATCAGCTCTTTTCCAACTTTCATGGTCTGAAAAAGACGGACAGAATTGAAGAAATTTGAAGGAGAAAAACTTACGCATGGGGAGAGAGTTGCCCAGCGATCGATAATCTTCTTGGCGTCTTCTTCGAATGTTGCGGCCGGCAGAACCTATAAAAACTGTATTCGAATCCGTTTTCTTTGAATTCTGGAACCTTAGTCACGAGCCCAGCAATATACGCCTCCTGGGCGGTGAACTTCTCACTGAACAGCATCAGAGCTGCTGCTTTCTGATGCCCCATGATTCTGGGAAGAGTGTAACTGGAGCAAGCCTCCGGGCACACTCCAATATCAGCGAATGGAGTGGCGAAAGTGGCCTAAAACGTAATTTTTGCGAACTGCTTCTTTGAAAAACATGTGTACTGTATCGATAGAAATCACTGCATCCATTAAGCCCAATGTAGTGACGGAAATGCCAACTGCGTGACCATTGACAAGAGCAATAACTGGTTTTGGGTACTCAATGAGGACATCGACAAAGTACTTGTATCCGTGGTGCTCTATTTCCCTGAAACAAATAATTCAAGGTATTTTTTCAACTTTCCGTGGAAACCGACGTCAAAGTAGCAAGTTCAGCTGGAGAAAAGTCGCTGCCAGCGCAGTAATATTTGCTTTTCCCTTTAAAATTTCAGTAAATATATAATTTCAAGAAATCGATTAGTTACCTCCAGTCAACACAACCATGCTCACTTCCTCATCATCTGCGGCTTCTTTGAACTTCTTGCACAAGTCCAAAAACATCTGAAATTATCTGAATACCTTTGCATGTACTTTTTCCTTTAAAACAGACCACTCGAGTGAGTGCATTGTACTTTTTCGGACGGTTTAGAGTGACCCAGAAGACTTTTCCTTTTTTCTCCGACAGAATAAGATCGGCGGACATTTCTGAAAATAGACTCGGTTCAAAAATGATATTTCGTAAACCTTGAAGTGAAGTTTGGTGACTTATCAGCCAAAACAGTAATGACAGTTGACCGGTGTTGATCGATAATGTTAGTAAACTACAATGTGGCCTATATTGTATCCCGATTGATAAGGAACAAGAAAGAAACGACACTGTTTCTGTGTTGCGCGTGTCCTGGTTCTGTTCTGGCTTGTCAAACTTTATTGAAGGTCACTCACAGCAAAATAGAACATCTGAACGAACAGCTAATTGAAATTGGAGAGGGAGAGTATGACAGGCGCATAATATGCTAGACAGAAGTACGATATAATGGAACGATATAAGGAGGAGGAGCACAGGATGTTAATCATCTTATTAATGAGCATTGAATGGGTGCAAAAATGTGGAAAAGAGAGAAAAACTAGGTAAGAATAGACGAAAAAAAGGTGTTTGGCAGGAGTATTTCCGAAAAGTAAGTAAGGAAGTAGAATGAGCAGGGAGAAGTAAGGAAAGTTTTGTGTCATCATCAGAGAAAGTATCACATTTTCAATTGGGTATTTTGGGAGGGGACAAGGAGAAGCAAGATTTTCTTATTAATCTAAACATTCTTTGGGAAGAATTGGGACAAAAAACAGAAAAATGAAAATGAATGAACTAGGAAGGACTGCTGTTTCGTGGCTTTTATGATATTTGAGGTGTCACTAATCGTGTCAACTTAATGATTGCGTCCTTTATGTTTGGTGGGTGGCGGAACCGATCCGTACGGGCTCGGCACGCCCATTGGTCCAAAGTGCTGTGGAAGGTAACGCTGCTGTGCTGGGCCCATCTGGAACATTGGCGGTGGTGGGGCGACCCATCCTGGTGGGATGAACGGAGTGGCCGGGGTTGGCGATGGAGCCTCGCCGCGGAGGAACCGAGACAGCTCCTTCTCAGTGTCGACAATCATGACGAGGAACGGACTGCCGGGCACGTGCTCGCCGTGCCATTTCACTTCGACCTAAAATTTATTTTATATTTCATCCGTCGTGATCAAGTCTGGGTCCTACCTGATAATCTCCTGGCTCCTTCGGCTCATACTTGCAGTGAATCGTTCTCTCATTTTTCTTTTCTCTTTGCATTTCGACATTGAACGCTCCCTTTGGTCCTCGGACACGAACAGTCAACTGACCAGCTCCGGCACCTCGGGTCTCGACGACAAAGTTGGATTTGAACCTGAAAAGAATCTATTTGAGTACATTGATACGTAAATCGAAAAACTGACAGAGAAAGAATTCCGTGTTCGACTCCTGGACCGTAGACGCGGACCTTGGACGGATCTGGAGGAAGAGAGACGTGAACGACGAACGGACTTCCTTTCACGTGCTCATCATTGTACTTGATCACCAGAGTGTGTTTTCCAATCTCAGCTGGTCTCACGCAAAGAGCATAAGTTCCGTCACGGTGGTCATACAGTTCACAGTACGCCGGCTTGACTGGTCCCATGCAAAGGGCCGAAAGCTGTCCGGATCCGGCGCGACGGGTATCAATGACCGTCTTGATGTTCTCATTGATGATTCCAATCTTCAGAGTGGAAGCATCGACGTCAATGAGGTCAGCGAGGTGGGCAGAAGTGTCAGCGGATACAGCAAACGGCGATCCTTTCACGTGCTTTCCGTTCCACAGAATGTGCAGCTCGTAGGTTCCTCCGGTGAGCGGGGTGTACGTGGCCTTGTAAACGTTGTGTCCGAGCTGTTGTATTCTTACTGGGATGTCTGCCTTAGATCCGAGCAACGTGGCAGTGATACGACCCTCTTTGTTGATGTCGCTTCCGTCGATGATGAATTCGTTGTGCTCCTTGAGGACCGCTCTGTGAAGTCCATCTCCTCGGACCATTATCCGGCCGACCTCTTCGTCGACACTCGAGCTAGACGACTTTTCACTGAAATTCAATTGATTTAGATGTAAACCGGTTTAAAATGAGTTACCGTGCATGATAGGAAACGTTGGTCGGTGGTGGGACTGGTTCTCTGACGGCACGCGAAGTTGTCGGCAAATCTTCAGCGGACGATCGGGCTCTCACTGGGAATGCGCTCTCAACCGGCAACTCGTTCCAGTACAGGTAGATTGAGTACCTAAAAGTTCACCAATTTTACTTGGAAAACAGTCCAACAAAAGAAAACGTACTTTCCGGGTTGCTCTGGATTGAATCGAACGCGGTATTTCCCCTGTCCCATGTCCTCGACAACCGGGCCATCACCGATCAGCGAACTGTCGGCGTCTCGAACTTCCGCGCGAAGTTTGCCTACAAAAAATGATGAAAAATTGTCGAGAAGCGTTAACTTCAGTACCGGGTCCGGCTGCCGTCGCGTCAACATCAAAAGAGTTCGAGTGACCAAGTCTTAGGAGAAGCGTGCCGTCACGGTCCATGTCCAAATCGTTCACAATGACTTTAGTTGGATCCACAACGTTCACAACGAACGGGCTTCCAGAGATTGGGCGGTTGTTGAAGTCAATGCTGACGTTGTAAGCGCCCGACTCTTCCGGGTAGAACACAACTTCCGAGGTTCCGTTTGGTCGGCGCATCACATTGTGGCGGACCTTCTGATTGTCCGGGCCGGAAACGTGGATCTTGAGACCTCCATTGTTTTTCTTCGGGTCAAAAATCAGAGAAGCTGGCTCGCCAATCTTTATCGATTGATCGACGGCCGCACCATAGACCGCTGGTTTTTCTTGCTCGCTAACCAAGATGGTTTGTGGATATCCTGGAAAATTTTTTTTAATGTTTTGTAACTCTGACTTCACGAATTTACCAGGAATCTGGAATCCAGCGACCTTCACATTGACTTTGTGCGGTCCAGTTTGGTTTGGCAAGAAAGTGATGCGGTCCTCGCCGCCTGGCGACTTGAGCATTTCAACACGGAGCGGGGATCCAGTCGGGTCAGTGACTTCCACTTGAAGCTCTCCACTTCCAGCATTACGGCGATCAACTGAAATTTTGAAAAATGTGTTGAAGAAAAATTGAGTCAAATTATACATACCATTGATAGTAGTGGCATGACGGAGAAGGATCTGTTCGGATAATCCACGAACTTCCACACTTTTCGGGTCGATGACTTCAGTCTTGAATGGTGATCCAGGAACCGGGACATCTCCGAAAGTCACTTCGATTGTGTGAGTTCCAAGATGTTCTGGAGTGAATTCGACCCAGTAACTGTCATCTTGCTGCTTGTAGCAACGGACCGGAAGTGGTCCTCCTTTTGGATCTGAAAATGGTTGAAGATTAGTTCTGAAACACTGGAATTGCTCTGAAATATCATTGGACAGATAGAAAGTAGAAGTCACATCATGCACCCAAAACACAGAAAAAGACACATTAACACACAAACTGAAAAGAACATGCTGAACAGATCTGAAATGATGTAAATTGACATTATGAATAGGGTCAGTTGAGTTTGGCACAGTATCAGAAGAAAGCGTGGGAGGGGGAGAGAGATTTGAGGGAGTTTTGAGCATTCTTGTGGATGGTGTTTACCTGACACCATGACATCAAGTTCCCCACGATTTTGCTCAACATTTATCACTTCAAAACGAGCCGTTCGAGCCCGCTGAGCTTTTTTCAGCGCGTCTCCTGTGGCACGAACCGTGCCCAGATGACTGATGAACACTTCGTAGGGTCCGTCTGAAAATTGGAATAGATAGAATGGGACAAAGGATAGAAAAAAACAACTGTTTACCTGTCAACGGAACTCCATCGATTATAACATCAATCTGATGTGGTCCGTCCACGAATGGTGTGAAAGTGCACAAAAGTTGTCCTGGCTTCACTTTCTTGACGGTGGTCGGAATTGGCTGATCTCCATGGCTGACTTCAACGGTGGCGATGGATGCTCCGCTGTTTGTATAGTCCACGCTGAACTGCTGCTCGACGCCAACCGGTGCGTTCTTCAGGCCAACCACACGGACAGCCGATGGATCCAACACATGGATTGGGAACGGTGATCCGGGAATTTGCTCTCCGGCGACTAGAATTGAGAGCTCGTGCTCGCCTTCAACTTTTGGTGTCCAGACGGCCGACCACAACGTCTCGGAGATCTTCTTCATGTGAACATCATTTTCCTCTCTGTCCGGACCCTCGATAATCACATCGACTTGAGATTCGACACCGGAATCAATAAGAATCTTCAGTTCGGTTTGCTCCCCGACAATTTCACGTTTCGGCTCCGAGACCAATTGTGCTCCATTAAGTGGGTCAATCACTGTTTGCATTTTGCGCTCTCCAATCGGTTGGTCGTCAACAAAAACGTCAATTGAGTGGGGTCCGACTTCTTTGAAGCGGCAGGAAACACGCACACCGCCCTCCGGAAGGTCTTCCATTTGGACCGGCAGCATTCGTCCCGAAGGTTCACGGATAGTCACGCGCACTTGGTTCTTGTCATCGGAGTTCACTGAAAAACAAACGATCATTCAAATTGTTGCAGAAAATTAGTCAACTCACCATCAAATGAGTACTTTTGGCCGGCAAGACACACTGGTGGAAGTGTATGTCTCTCATCTCTGATCTTGATCACAAACTCGTCAATCATTTCATGATCCAAGTAAATTTCCACAAGATGATCGCCTGAACACTTTCTTTTCAGCTTTGCTTTGCATGCAGGGGTAATCTCACCAGTTTGCGTGGGCGTGAACTCTGCATACGCAGACGTTGAAGACTTTTGCACTTCCACAGGAACCATCGATCCGTCCGGAGCTTCAGAACACATAACACACATACATTCAAGACCAAGGACAGGACAACAAGGAATGTCCGAATTAACCCAGAGAAAAAAGCAAAACAGAAGTTTGCGTTAGAACCCAGGAGAAAGGTACCCAGATACGAACAAGACAAATCCAATAGTAGTTTCAAAGAATTGTTAACTCACCAGTAATAACCACATTGCAATCCGACGACTTGTTGATGTTGTCGATGGTGAATCCCTTCTTCTGTCCAACTTGAGCCGAGTGAAGTTCTCTGGCCAATCCGGTCTTCTCGACCTTCTCCTTGATTTCCGGAGTCTTCTGAAGCACGGTGGTGGTGGTCTGTTTGACCGGAACTGGCTCCGAGGAGTGTTGTGGAGTGTGCTTGACGTGTTGAGTGGCAGCGATGGCTCCAGCACCAGCTCCAAGAGCAGCAGCAGCTGGAAGCACGACTGGAACAGCTCCTGCCGGACTGACGTCGCAGATGAGTGGAGATCCGGGGACGCTGATTCCATTGAACTTCACACTGATCACATGCTCCTTGGCGTCTTGTGGAGTGAAAGAGACCTTGAAACGGGCCTGTCCTTCAGCTTGCACAAAGTTCGGCACATTTCTGTTGTCAACCGATACAATTATTTCCATATTTCCGGCACCAGATCGCGCGGCATCGATCACAAACGTGGCTGGCTTTCCGACAACCGCATTCGTTGGCGGGATCAGAACGGTCTTTCTGGCGTCGTAGGCCTTCGCGGTGAAGGGGGATCCCGCAATTGGTTCTCCGGCCAGGAAAATGTCGACAAGATGGTTTCCAACGCATTTCGGGACGTAAGTGGCAATGTGCAGGGTCTCGCTGTCCTTGCTGCGGGTCACATTGACCGGCAGATCGTTTCCTTGAGGGTCACGCACACGGGCCTCTGGCGCAAGTTCGACGTCTGCAAATTCAATAAAAAAAAGTTACATTTGGAAAAGGTTTGAATTACCATCAGTTTGAATCTGGATATCGGTCTCCTCGTCGACTGGAACTCTTTCAAGACCAGCTCCGGCGGCAGTTGCTTGAGCAGTAGCGATAAGTTGGCAAATGAAGGGGGAACCTGCAAAAAAGGCGTCAGCAGAGTTTGCTTGCGCATTCTCAGATACCTGGCACGGGCTCGTTGTTGAAACGGACAGTGATGGTGTGGTCAACGTCTTCTTTTGGAACGAAGCTGATGTCATACTTGTGGTGTCCCAAAGCATGAGCCATTGATGGAACTCTACCCTCACAAACGGCCACTTCGAGGTTTCCGACTCCGGCTTCAGAAGCGTCAACTGAAAATAAACTTGGTCAGGAAAGGTTGAGAAGATGAAACTGACCGGTGAAGTAAACTGGCTTGTCGAGAAGACCCTTTGGAATAGCTCCGACCTTGATCTTAGCCGGATCGTAGGCTCTGCAGGTGAACGGAGAGCCAGTCACAGGCACGCCACCGTATCTGACGTCGATCTCATGATCTCCGACTTGAGCGGGAGTGAAGTTGATTTGCATGTGTCCCGGCTCAATTTCAACAATCTCAGTACCAATTTCGTTTTTTTTGCTGTCTGAAATGGCAAATGTCAGTAACCCCTATGAAACTTTGTTTGTGAGGGGTAGAGAAGTTAAAAACATGCATTGAGGGATAGTTGAGGGTAGGATAGAAGTGATATGATATTTTTGTTTGAAAAACTGCTATATTTAGGTGTCTAGTACGTCTGAAACAGGTTTAATCCGGGCATTTGTCTGGAATCACTCACCAAGGACGCGAATCTCAAGCTGATCGTGACCGGACACCTCAACCACAAGGGAGGACGGTTGTCCAACCCTTGAAAGTGATGGAATCTTTGAAACAGTCGTTTTGGCCGGGAATCTGTGACTCTTGCTCTGAAATTTAAGAAAATATTTGCTTGGGTGACAAAAAAGGGATTGGCTGAGAAGTTGACGCTTTCAAAATGTTGAAAGTGAGTCAAAAACCACAAGCATGCTTCGACCGGAAAAACGGGTAAAGACAACGCGCTTTGAATGATTTAGACGTGAGGTGACACGGACAAGGCCGTTTCCAATCCTTTTATGGGATTATTTGTCGTATGTGATGCGCGCGTTTTTCTTCCTCGTTCCCCTCGCCTCTCATCTCAAATCTTTAGGAAACCGTAAACAGAAAAACACTCAGGGAGGTTGAGCATACTTTTGTGTGGGGTTGAATTGAAAGCTCAAAACAGTGTTGCAAACGCTCGCAAATCTAACCTGACTCTGACAACAATTGACATGACATAGGACATTAATGTATGAAAATACACAAGCAGCCTTTTGCGGAGGTCGCATGGCTCTTCTAACAAGAAAAAACAAAACGGCATTAAAGTCGGAAAAGAGCTCACCTTTTTCTCCCGTTTAAGAGTGGCTTTCTCCTCTTTTTCGCGTTTAGCACGTTCCTTCTCCTCTCGCTTCTTCTCCTTTTCTTGCTCCTTCAACTCTTTTTTGCTCAGAGACGGAGAAGCGACGGCTGCAGATTCGAGAACAACTGGCGGAAGCGGTGCGTCGATGATGTTCACTTCGAATGGAGAGTCTGAAAAGAAAAAAGCACTTGAAAAAGCAAAAAAAAAACGTTTGGATAGCTCTTACTTTTGAGAACCTCCTTATTGAAAGTGATGTTGACGGTATGGGCGCCCTTGGTAGCAGGTGTGAAAGTGACGAGGAACTTGGCGGAACCGCTTTCCAGCTGCGCCACATGAGACGGAATGATGACCCCGTCGGCGTCCTTAATAGCCATCTCAAGATTTCCAAAGCCAGCGCGTCCGGCGTCCACTGCAAGGAAAAGTAACAGATCATATTTCACTTTCTTTCAATTCCCCGCCCGCCCGCTTCGCACAGCTAGTATTCAGTGAGACACTTACCGGTAAACTCGACAGTGTCATTGAGATGTGATTGGCTTGGAATTTCGCCGACGATAATTTCCGATGCATCGTAAACGCGGACAGCGAACGGTGAGAGCGGATGTTGGATCTCGTTCACATAGGCAAACACCTTGTGGGTTCCCACATCGGTCGGTTTGAACGTGATCTCGTACTTGCTGCTGCTCTTTTTCACTTTGGTCTCAACTTCGGTTGGTGGACCACCATTGGCTCCGGGGATAGATTTGTTGACTGGCGCTGAAGAATTTTTAAATTATTAGATCGTCAAGAAGACCCAAAACTTACGCAGAACAACTACACGAAGATGATCTTCCTTTCCAAGTTTTACACCCTCCAGCTTGACCTCCACTTCTTTTCCACGTCTGATGACGTCATGCTTGCAGACGAACTTGCTTTTTCCAAAATCGAAAAGTTTTCCTTCTTTTCCGTCCTTCTTGAACTTCAGAGACATTTTCGGAGTAGTGGCTGGAGTGGACTTGGAAGATGGAGCAGGAGAATGTGGAAGCTCGTCGGTTGGTCTCAAAGCGACTTCCGGAGCGATCGCAGCCTCGACCACGTCGTCACGAATCTGTTCGGTCACTGGCTCCTGGATCTCAATGGACGGCTCCGGTTTGCGAGTGAAACCGTGTTTCGCCAGAATTTTATCGTCTTCAGACTTCACACGAAGATACTCCTCAGTTCTGCGAGCCTGTTCAACTGCGCTAATTTCGATGATTGGGGGTGGTGGGCATGACTTGTCTCCCTTCTCATCGCCGTTCTTCGCCTGAATATAATCCTTCTTAGCTTCTTCCAATTCATGAGATTTCAAGTGGATTTCTGGAGCTTGCGGGTATTGTCCAGTGACTTCTTCTTTCACACGACCATATTGTTCGCGAACGACTTTCTCAGTGCTGTCAGAGAAGGCAATCTTGGGAGCTGGTGGACACTCTCCAGCAGGCTCTCCGTCGTCAATCTTTCCAATTCCATAGTACTCTCGTTGTTTCTTCTCCGATTTCTCGTCGTATGCAATCTTGGGAGCTGGTGGACACGAAACATTGCGAGACGCTTCGTAGATGTCCTCACGGGTTCCTCGAGCGTAGGCGGCAATTGCGGCTGACTGGTCTTTTTCGGAAATAGCGATAGACGGGGCTTCTGGGTGCCTCTGCAAAGTTTCCTGTGGCGGAAGGTCGTAGATCGACTCCTTCTCCTCAGAACGATGAAGGTGGGGCTGACTCTCTTCTGGCTCGAACACCTTTGCGGATTGAGTTCTCAGGAACGTCTGCTTGCTCTTCTCCTCATTATCACTGGCCGGCTCAACATAGCCCTCTGGAGTCGGAGCTCTTCTCGGAACATTCGGCTTTTTGTCGATGTTCTCGTACTCGGTGGTAGTGGTTGTTCGGGTCGTAGTGACTTCCGAGTACACCGGCTCGTATCCTTTGTAGCTGGCAGACACGTGTCCCTCAATTCTCGGCGGTGGTAGATCCGGTTTCTCCGGTTTTCTCTCATAGCGTTCGTAAACCGTGGAGTATTCCGGAGAAGTCGGTCTTTGCTGAGCCGAAGAATAGTATCCGGCAGACGGTGGACGGTCCTTCTTGTCAAGGGTGTCTCCGAAGTATCTTCTCTCTGGGGTCGAACGGCTGTCTCCGTACTGAGCAACAGTGTATCCAAGTGTGTTCTTGGTATCCCTTTCAAGCTGGACTCGTCGGCGTTCACGCTCATCCTCATCCGCCAATGGGTCCATTTTTTCCACCTTCTTGACTCTTTCAGCGGTATCAAACGGAGTATCGAGTCCCTGGATCGGAGAGAGTGGAACCTCGCTGATGTGGGAGTGAGCCACGCTGGAAGTTCTAGCTGGGGACGGCGATCTATACGTGGTGCGCTTCTCGATGAACTCGCGTTCGTATCCGGTTGGCGATGGGGAGCGAGCGATTCTTTCGGCAAACTCTTGAGTTCTGAAATAATTTGGTTGTCAGAGTGGTGCTCAGATGTACAGATAGATAGTTTCTAGAAGCAGATAGTTTAAGGGAAAAGTGCAAGACAGGGACAGTTACCTGACGCTTCCGTACGACGTATTCGACGCTCCTCTTGGCGGCGACGGAGAGCGGTGAGTAGTGCGAGTGATAGTTTCCGTGATTTGGTGGGATCTGTAAAGGATAGGATAGTGAGAAATTGGAAGGAAAAAATGGATAGAGAAGGGACTTGTACAGTTAAAACAGTCTCGTTCTGCTTGTAGAGAGTGACAACCACAAATCAAATTGATTGTTGACACCAGTTAGCAGGGAGGGAGAAGAAAAAGGAAAAGAAGATGAAGACCGCATGCGTACACAGACAAGAAGGGGGAGAAAACGCCTAATTTGTTGTGTCACTAACAAAAATGATGATTTCTTCATCCTCTTCTTCAAATCGAGTTTAGGAATTTACCTCAAACCAGTTGGCGACGGAGTCCGATGGATTACTGTCGTTGTCTCTCGGATGTTACGGTTTCGTGACGGGTCACTTGGCGACAACGTGCGTTCCACATCGCTGCTTGAGCCGTAAACTCGATCGTAAACGCTTGAGGCGCTCCAATCACGGTGTGGCGATTGGGAGAACGCGTTGCGCGACGAAGTGGGCGCATATGACTGTAAACGAGAAAATATACTTGTACTTTGAAAATTTGGGAGGGAGGGGGGATGCGTACCGTTTGCCAGGGCTTCTCAACTTTTCTAGACTCTCTAAGAAGTTGCGGGCTTCGGAGCATGGTCTCTTCGGAACGTTGTCGGGCATGTTGAAGAAGCGTCGGGGAAGTTGGACTTCTGGCGGAAAGTGGAGAACGAGCGGTCTCGCGGAAAGCACCAGAGATCGAAGAGGTTCCTCCTGTAAAATAGCCATTATTTGAAGATTAAACTTGAAACAGGTTTTTCTTAAATGACTGCAATGACTCTTCTTAACAATACTTTTGTGTTAACCCTTCTCTATGCCCTTCTCTATTGGTTTGGATGAGTGAATTCTTGTTCAAATTACCATAAACCGTTCTTTCTGTCCAATAACTCTCGAAAAGATTAAACGGAGTGTAACAATCAATCGGAAGAAGAGATTCCGGTTTTTCAATTTCCGCTAATCATAAGGATCGACCTTTGTCTCTACAGTTTTCTACGGACACACAACGCACTTCATCTAAATGTCATGTCAATCTATGGTCAGTGCGTTCATTCCTATTCTGCCTCATCTTATCCCCGTTCCGAAGAAGGACGAACACAACGAACCAGCTGAAATGGCGGTCGAAACAGCGGTCGGCGTCAAATTAGCGTGAATCTGCTGACCCACTTGTTTTGGCAGAATTTCTACTTTGATCGGGCAACCTGCAATTAAGGTGAAATTGTTAGAGTTCTTGCTTTTGTTTCGTCTTTCAGTTTCATTCAAAGTATCGGAAATCGAAAATTGGAAAGTTTTTGTATATATATATATGGTATTGGTATACTAAAGTGTGATAATCTGCACAAAGGATTAACGTGTACACGGCAGTAGTTGTTTTTTTGCAACTGCAACAGTGGCTGGCAAAATCAAAAAAAAAGAAGAGAAAAAAGAGAAAACTTGTTTAGCATCTTTTCCTCTAGTAATGCTATTAAATTTGTCTAATTAGATTCGAACACACGGAATGGAGAGAAAGTGAAGGGTTACATCAAGGCCTTACCATGAACTTGCTCGCCGTTAAAAGTGACATCAATGACGTAAGTACCAGCATGTTGAGGAATGAATGTGACCAAACATCTGAAAAGCAGAAACTATCAAAAATCTTTAAAAATGTACGGTACCTTCCGGCGCCTTGCATTTGCACATTATTCGGCACTCTTCCTTGGTTCACAGAAATCTCGAGTTGTCCTTTACCAGCTTCGACGGCGTCCACTGCAGGAATCACATACAGTTGGGAGTAATAACTCGGTTTTGTGGTTGTCGAAGCAGGAACCCTCGCCGGTTTGACAACCTCATCATGTTGCTGACTGTCACTCATCACCCCCGGGCGGTCCGCTCACTCTAATTAGAAGCTTGCGCCAGGTGCTGCTGTTTTTCTCAGAATTAGAACAGTACAATATCGAAGGACGGGGGTATCAGAAAACTGAACTGAACCAAACTGCGTAGTTGCTGTACACGCCTGTATACGCGCTACTGCCTCGAATTTTAACGCTTCCGCCTAGCGTTTTGCGACGCCTACTCTTTCTCTCTTTCTCTTTCTCTATCCTCTCTAATCTCTACACTCACTTACCATAGAACTGTACTGGCTGATTCGGCGCACCACCGCCCAACGGTTCCAGGCGAACTTTTTCGGTTGCGTAGCCTGCAAAACTTGTGTGTTTATTTGATAACGAAGAGAGAGAGTAAGGGAGAAAAGTGTATCAAATTACAAACGAACCAGCGACTGAGAGCGGCGAACCGTCGACTTTTCTGCCGGCGATCCAAACGGTCAGATGATGTTCGCCGACTTGTTCGATCTCGTACTCGGCCGTGTATTTGCCAGCGGTTCTTGGAATGATTCGAATCGGGTATTCTTTGTTGTCAGGCCCAAAGATCTTGGCTTGAATGTCCGAAAGCTCGAGGCCTTCGCCAGTGATGTCAAAATGTGCCGTTCGGGCGACAGGAGCTCTGACGAGTCCCGGACCCGAAAGCTCCGAGTAATAGGACATGGTTCTGAAAACGCAACACATTCTTTCTCCATTATTCTTCTTCTCAGCTTTTCCTTCTTACATATGTCATTTTATAGGTTTCGCGATCAAGTGAAGTAATAAAAACAAAGACGCACATGTCGGTAAAAGTTGTTTGTCTCTCTCTCTCTCTCTCTTTCTTTCCTTTCGGTCTGTTCGACTTGTGTGTGTATGCGCATGTGTACGCGTACGCGATTTTGTCTCACCGTTTCATGTGTGTGGCAGTTTTCGAGTATGTACATACCTTTCCATTTCCTGTCGCCTCTCACCGCGATCTTCCACTGGCAACTTCCACGGGCTTCCCGAAACGTGTTCTCCGTTGAACCTCATCTCGATCGTGTGAGTGATGGACTGAAACACAAAAACACTCGAAATTAAAAGAAACACTCAAGGGAGATGTACCTGTGTGGGTGTAAAAATAGCCATGTACTGACGGCTGCCAAGTTCTCGAACGCGGCATGGCACTCGGCCGCCGTTGATCATGATTTCGAGATTGCCGGAGCCGGCGGCAGATGCGTCGACTGAAAAAAAAGATATAATTACAGATTGTAAGAGACAAGAAACAGGAAAAAACTATTTAGAGACAGTGGCATTTTGAGGTTGGGTCGGACGCGCAAACAAACACTACAACTGAAGAAAAACGAAAAAAGGAACCGAGGATGACATAGGTTTTGTACTTTTTCACCCCGCCTGCCCTATGTGCGTCAAAATTTCTCAAGATTGTTGCATTCCGCAAACAGAAACATCTGGGGGTCTTCTCGCGGATTACGGTGTCATTGGCAAATATGAGGCGTTTTTCTGGAATTGGCGCCCCTCGTCGTTTCTGTTTATTTGTTCAAAAGTTGACTGGCAGAAAAGAAATATGATAGTGAGAGTAACAGCTTCTGGATTTTGGCTTTGTCTCGTTCCAATTTTTGAAGGGAAGGGGGGGGGCATAAATGTTTTTGGAAAATAAAATTGTGTATCAAGATATTTTGCACAACGGCCTTCGGTCAGGACAGAACACTAAAAGAGAATCAGAAGTGAACGAAACCAAACATTTTGTGCTGACTTTTGTGCCATACACATATGCACACAAAAATCAGCGTTCCAGGGGGAGTTGCTTGCGCCTGCGCGACAAAAAGTAAGTACGTGTGCCGACGGGCTCCTACAAAGCGACCCGGTGCCACTCGAGCGAGCGAAGGATGGATACAAACTCTCTCTCTCTCTTGCTCTCCCTTTTCCCTTCATTTTTTCTGCTCAAAGGTAAACAAATATTGTAGAAGTGAATGAGCATCTCCTCTTCTTTCCGCGCGAACTCTCGCCCATTTTTCCCGCTAACCAACCGGTCGTGTAAGTAAAGTTCGGCATTCTGATCCGTCAAGTGTTGGTGATCTTGGCAAAAAGTTGTTCCACTCCAAATTTGAGCATAGACCGTAGTTAGTAGGGTATAGTGACAAAATAAAGTTTGTGCGTGTCTGTGTGGATTTGTCCGAATAGGTTGGGTTTGCGCAGGTAGGTACAATTAAAGGGAGACGGCGAAATAAAAAGTCGAAACTGACTGTGTTTATGTATTTGTGTACCAGTTGTGTTGTTCACTTGTGTTCACCTGACTTTTCATGACTTTCAGCTGACAAAGCGCTCTTCCAGACACTTGGGGTTACGCAAATTGTAAATGTGGGTCAGCCGATTTCAAATTGACATGTCGTCATAAATGTTTGTCTGTCTGTGACCGTTTGGAATGGTCAGCGAGCGGCGGAAGGTGGGGAGTGACTAATGAGACAAAAACGTTGTTGTTTTCTAAAGAAACTTCGCGCACGTCTCTCTCTCTCTCAAGTTTTTTGGTTATCTAATCTGGCAAAAGTCGAAAATGGCATAGTTTTCGAATAAATTGGCATGAATCGCAACACAATTTCAGAGGGAACATGAGAACTAGTTTAACCGAACTCACTTTCAAACGAGTGATCTGTGTTGAGTTTCGACGGTAGAATGCGACGTGGCATATTGCGCACATGCACCAGGTCCGGCGCTCCGACGTTGCACGCGAACGGCGCATCAGGCACTCGTTGGTCCGCCAGCATCACATCCACACTGTGTTCGCCTGCAAAACTTACTTATTATGTGATGATAGCGCCAAAAAAAGACAGGAATTTGGGTGGTCTAATCAGAATCGTTAAATCGGCGTGTGTGTCTGTTGTCATCAACAAATAATCGATGGTCGGCCGAGGGGGGAACGACAACAACCGTCGGAAGAAGAAGAAGAAGAAGAAGACGTCGTCGATGTCGACGCAACACGGAAAGGGAAGAAGGAGGTGGAAGAAGAAGAAGAACAAACGGAGAGCGAGAGATTTCTGGGGGCCGGCCGGCAATCGCTACTCTCGTGTCCCGAGACGATGGCGAGAAGAAGGACACCATAGAGAGATATTGACAGATAACATTAGGCGCAATGTCGATTACCCCCCACACACCGGTGCGGTTTTCCCCCCTAAAACCTACTTTTATGGTTGGAAAGGAGAAAGAGGCCGGAGGAGGAGGAAAAGGTTGCATTACCTGTTATCAGTTCCCCCTAATGGTATGACTAACCATGTTTTTCTATAGAGCCCACGCGACCCGACCACCCATGAAATACCTCGGAACGCTAGGTATAGAGCACCTTATCAGCTTAGAAAAAAGCTCGGAAGTGTTAAAAAAAACAGTGTTTCTAATTCTAATCTTAAGGTGTTGAAAGATTGACTAAAAACGATTACAAATGACTGAAAAAAATGAAACCTTGAAAAACAAAAACACAATCAAGTGGACAGGTTTGTTAAAAGAATGTTGCCGACTACAATTTCTGAAAATCCAAAACTATAGAGAGAAGAAAAAACGGAATTTGCGCTGAAGAGTACTAGGAACTGACAAATGGCATCAAAGCAACCAAAACCACACCCAAAAACCGAGATAGATGGTTGGGCAAGTTGGCCAAAAAGTGATCGGTACTGATTAACTAGATACGTGTCTCGATAACGAAAGGTGTTAGTTTCTATGTATGATAAGAGTAGTCTCACTTTTCTTTGCCACTAAACAACACAAATACTTTTTCGAATTCAGAATCATATTTTCCAAACTTTGTGTCAGAAAGAGAGAGAGAGAGAGAAATAAAAAATAAGAAAGGAAAAGAAAGATGATGATGATGATGCGTGTCATATGGACACATTTCTGACAAAAACAAGGGCAAGCAAACAAATCCAATTTGTGTGCGGAGGCGCTCATTACGAACCTGGCTCTTTTGGCGTCCATTCGAGTTGAAATGTGACATCATCCAAAGTGACAACTTTTGTTGACGATTTCTCACCGGAAGGCGCTACAACTTATTCATTGCAATAAATAGAAAAGTAGTGAAAAAGTAAAACATTGAACATACCGTACCCACTTTAACATAGATTGAACTGAACGAAAAACATTTGAAGAGAGACGGACCAGTTGACTTGGACGGCTTACTTTTTCGATTAAGATAATTTTAAACAAAAAATTCTCGGGGAAAATGGTGTTTCATGCGGAATGTTTTAAAGGAAAATTGGGTGGAAAAGTAAGTTTGATGTTAGTTGCCAACAAACATGTGAAAAGTTTAGTGAGGGAGAAGGCAAAAATACCTGTGACGTAAGCACTGATATCCTTTGCATCGGCTCCAACGGCGTGCACCAGAAAAGACGCTGTTTTCCCCACAGACGCCGATCTCAGGTTTTCGCCGTAAACAGACACAGACGATGCATCGGCAATGTCCAAAATGAACGGAGAACCTGAAAATTTCAAAATTTTTTCAAGTTTTTAGTTAGTAACAAACCTTTAATCTCCATTCTATTGAACAAAACGTGGATTTTGTACTGTCCCGGACCGTCAGGAACGAAAGAAACGTTGTGGACTTTTGAGTTGCCTTGTTCCTCAACAGTCAAAGGGATCTCACGACCGTGACGTACTACGGATACCTGAAAGTTGTGTTCTTGACTTGGCAAATCATTTATCATGGCGAACTAATCGGAAGGAATGCGTCCAACACCCAATTGCAATTGCAATTCACATCTCATTTCATCATCGAATTACGGTGGAAAGGGTGACAAGATATCGTATGTGATATGATCAAAACGGCAATTCCCATAGTTTGACTGGGAAATTTCCGAAAAAACGTTGCCTCCCACTCACATTCAACGTTCCATGCCCTGCCTGAACAGTGTTCACCGAGAACCTGAGTTCTTGTCCCACCAAGCCCACATCAAGACCATAAACATTGACGAGACCAGCGTCGAACACCTACAAACGCATCGTTAAACCGATCATAATCATGTTGGCGCGTTATCATCGCCGACTGATAAACCTGGCATGCGAACGGGCTTCCTCGAATGTGTTCGCCATCGTACAGAATGCCGATTCGCCAGAGTCCTGCAAAAAAATACCGTTTTTCTTCTTCTCTCCGTGTTTTTTCGTTAATTCATCTTTGTAAGAAGATATCGTGGGGTTCTTTGATTGCTATCTGGTCTGGCAGAGTCCGTTCGGGGGCATAAGGATTGGAAGGTTGAATTGGCCCCCATTGGTACCGGTGTGTCATCAAAAGATACGGCCCGCCGATTTGGAAAGGGTCTCTTTCACCGCAAGATCTCGACAACTGACAAGATCCTTTGGCCTTCTCGCAGTACCCCCCCCCCTGGACCCTTTCTCCCTAACATACCGACTTCTTGAGGGGTGAACGTTGCTGTGTAGGAGTTGTTTTGATGGCGCACACTACAGGGGTGTACTTTTCCGGACGGCGAGACTGCTTCCACGTACACTGATCCGGATACTGCGTCGCCATGAGCATTGATCTGAAATGTTGAGTAAAAGTCACAATGCACGTACATTTCACAACAATCCAGCATACCACAACTTCTACAATAGAGCCAACAGAGCAGGGCTCGGTGAGCCCTGAGAATGAAACGAGTCCAACGTCTGGTGACCTGGTCAGTGGCATTTCTTTGTACGCGGATGCCTCCAAAACAGCCGGAATCGGTGGTGGCGGCGGAATTTTGGAGCTGCTTTGAGCGGGCTGGAAGTACGGCAATAAATAACGGGTTATCAACTGATAAGCAATAAGCTGGCGCATTCGTAAACTGCGGAAGATGAAAACAAGCCGAAATGAATGGAACGGTAGGCATTTTGTCTTTAGAATCTTTAGAAATCATAATACTAAAATTATAGCACAGAAGTTTCAAGGAATCTAGTGATAGTTGTAAAGGGATAAAGGTGAAGAAAAAGAGAAGTAATCGCAAATAAGTTAGCGAGTAAAAGTCACGCGTAGTTCAGTTCACTTCTCTGTTTTTATTACCGAATTCCTCTCTCCAATTTCTCTCACCAACCTGCACGACTTGAACTATCGACGGTGACTGCGAGTGGAGAGGTTGAGACTGATGAGGTTGTTGTTGTTGGTGATGCGATTTCGTCTGCAATGAATGTAACATTATCAAAACGAACAGGTATTTCGGCTAGCGCGAGGTGGAAAGCTTGTCTGAACCTTTCAAAATAAGAAGATATGACATTGATGAAAATATTTAGAGGCGAGGAACTTTTGTGATTGATGAATGCTATCTAACGTTCTTTGCTTATCTATTTGGATGACTGCCAACAAAATAAGTCATCTCACTTCTCATTTGATGAAGTAGTGTTGAGACGATCTCTAGCACCCGATAAAAACTGCTAATATATTTCACATTCAAGGTTAAACAGTTCGAATACCTGCGCTATATGATTGACGTGTTGCGCCTCGAGCTGCTTGATAATGTGGAGACGTCGCTGCGCGAATGATTTGTGCGATATGTCCACCTGAACACAATCTTCTATCACTCGTGTTGCTTATTGATTACTTACTTCAGTTTCCGACGAGATTTGCGTAACTTTACCGGGCTCTCTTGGGTCGCCAACTGGCGAAACTGTAGTTTTGACTACAGTAGTCGCCGTGGGAGATGTCGTTGGATTGCGATTTTCTGGGAAAGCACGAGAAGCAGCTCGGGATGAGCTTCTGGTTTCCTCTTGAGTGTGCACTTGCAGAGAAATCGGGCTCGCTGGGAGTTCTGAGCCCTGGCAGTAGATACGGACCTGGAATAAGCGAATTGGATGAATAAGCCAAGGAAAGGCAATCGGACATCCAAAAATTCCAAAAAGAATGTCCTAATTCAATCAATCACTTTTCCGAGAATGGAATTTGATATCAGTGCAAGGTAGTACGCCACAGTATGTATTTGTGTTTTACAATCTGTTTATCTCATAAACCAAGACTTCAACCTATTTTGGCCGATCAATCAACTTGAACAAAGAGTGATCAACATAATCTTTTCAAACAATTATTTTAATCCAACAATCCAGGGTGTGAAAATTGAGGGGAGAAAAACCCGGTGGACGGAAGGAAACAACACCGAATGCCACAGTTGAAGGTCAAGCATACAACCACCGGAAAACAAGGAGAAGTAGTAGGGGGAAGAGGGGAAGGAGGAACACGATCAACTGTTGTGACCGCAAGACATTTTCCTTCCCAGTTCCTCTCTCTCTTCTAGAAAACTAAACTTCAACTTACAGTATGATACACCCTGGCTTGGATTTTAAGCCGAATACTTTCATAGCCATCAGACATATTGTCATTCTAAGTGAAAAGTGGCGGAAATTCAATCAGGAAAGTGTAGAAAGTCGAAAAACTTGAGCAATTATCGGAGGAAAAGAAGAAGATCAACTTTTTCGTGATGGCTACCCGGCCCCCGGCAAAAGGTAATTGCGTCTGGCTAAAGGCTAGAACACACGGATCACGTGTACACAATAACAACAGGTCCACCGCGCATCATGTTGCGGTAAGCGACGAACGCATGCGTCGGCGGTCCGAGGTCAAGGAAAGGAGAGATATGCGGAGAGTGATGCGGCAAACGGAAATGCTGCTGCCTGCTGCCTGCCTTTGAATGGGGCGAATTGAACGGAAAACGGTTGTATACACTCACTTACAACCTTTTGGCGCGCGTGATCTGAACGCAAAAGTTGGAAAGTGAAATGATGAAAAAGTAAAAGTGCAGGCGGATTTGGTATGGAACAGGCGCAACTAGTTGTTTTTGAACAAACTGTTAATAAATCCGATAATAAGAGATCGAAAACTGTTTGTTTTTTGTTGGTTCTGTCGCTCGGCAAATTGTGCTGTTAGCCGTCACGGCAAAACTTTAATAAGTGAGAAAAGAAAAGAAAAGTCATTATGAGTCACAACTCAAGACGCCCATCTCCTTTTTCTTTTCTTTTTCTATTTTCCTTCTCCCCGGGCGCCATTTATGTTATCTTTTGATCGAATGAGGCCATGGTCCAAAAATGGTTTTGGTTTGGCGTACTACCAACAATACGTGGTTTTCTCATTATAAATGGATACGCAGACTCGAAAAGCACATACATACCTCTACTCGGGTCTTTACTTTCAACCGCATTTTTGGGGTGAATCGACTAGAAAAATATAGTCAGATGACAGGTTTTCAAGAACTGTCTTACAAATACAGAAAGAATGATGGTGTCGGTATCGGCATCGTTTCGTTTTTCCGGAAAAGTGTCATCAGTTTTATACTGTGTATTTTCTCACATATTGTATGGGGTGCCGGAATGGTTTCAAAATGGAGACTAGAGAGTGCGGAGTGCGAGAGAGACGGCGACACCACACAAAACTTGGACAATAAAACGATGAATATTCCGCATCGTGTTCGTGTTCGTTTCGTTTCGTTCATGTCAGCAGAAAAGGAAATGGAAACGTCAAAAACTCACTTGTAGAAATCCGGGCTCGACGGGAATTAGAGACAAGTTTGCTCCTTGAGTGGTCCGACTTTTGCGGAGTCGAATTGCGTCGTTGGAGAATACCTGGCCATCCGGACCGAAAACTGAAAAAGACAGTGTGAACTTGATGAACTTGAAATCAGTTAAAAAATCGAACCTCGGACATCCAACTCCTCCATCCGAACTTCGCTTCCGCTCGTGAACGCGAGGTCCAAATTAACCTGTGTGTAAAATTTTATTGGAAGTTTTCCGCGCCACATGTTTTGTTACCTGCTGATTCACATAGCAATCTGTGTAATTTGTCGTTTGTTCCAAAGGAATCGAACACAAAGCAGCGACGAGGGCCATTGTACCTGAAATAAAACGCAAATTAAATGTTTTCCATTTATGAATATTGTCCGCTCTCTTTGTCAGTTTTGATTATGCACTTGAGCACCTGTTCCACTTGATAAGAGTCCACAGAGGTGCCATAAAGTCAGACACAATAATAAAAAGTTTGCAGCACTCGTGTAAACACGTATAGTCACCTAAATGCTCTCCTTGCGGGTCCGCAATATCATCGGCGCCAATAAGCGATCCAACACCAATGTCTGCCGCCGCGTTCAACACTGAAAAGGGCAAAATATGTATGATGACGCTCACCGGTAAATGCAAAAAACAACAAACCAACGGCGACGTTATCAACAAAATCGTTCAAACTTTCGAATCGCATTTGCTCGAGCTCGGGAACAGCGCCGCCACACGCTTCGACGAGATGGGCGAGGAGGAACCCGTCACTCCACGAGTGCTCCAGATCTTCGACGTTGCAATCGGGAAGTATCTGCAAATGAACGTCTGAATAAGGTTCACTTTGAGGATCACCGTACCATTGACACTTTCTTCAACGTGGCACGGTACCCTGGGGCTCCTTTTGTAATAAAATAAGAGAGGTAGGTGAGACAGGAAAGTTCGTCCAAGTGTGGAGAAGACAAATGATCGGATGAGATGATCCGAGGAACTTCCAGATACCGTTCTGCCAGATGTAGCGCTCTTTCACAGTTCTCTAGAGAGTTCGATGGATCCAAACTCCTCCACTCCGGGCACAATCCAGGCTGACAATACTCCAGAAGAGCAGCGAGAGCTACTCCGTCATTCCAATTGGTTCGGAAGTTTGTGAGCTTCAGGTCAGGTAACGCACTCTGAATTTCTTTTTGAAACTTGTCAAAAATCGGCCTGGCCTCAAAATCATGTACAAAAAGTCACGATTTTGGGAAAATTTGACTCAGAAACCATGTTTTGAAATCTTATTACTACTGGCAAAACGACAAACCTGTATCCACGCCATCACAAGTTTTTTGGGAGGAATTTTTGTTTTACAGGCAATTTGGTATCTTTGAACCAGGCACCAGATGAGGCCAAGTATAAGTTTCTCATTGCCGTCCACAATGTCATGACTTCCAATGTTCACAGTTTTCACTCCGTCTTCTCGTAACGCATCCAGCGCCATTTGAACATTCATCAATTTTTGAATCTCCGTGGGCTCCTGATCGTAGACCTTTCCATAATACCGTCTTCCTTGGAGAATTTCAACCAGTCTGATGAGATTAACACCATCCGACAAATCGTGTGTCAAATCTTGAATCACATTTCCTTGAAGCTGCAAATATTCGCAAATATATATTGTGTACACAATTACACACCCTGGACTATTGTTGCTTTCCCAAACGTCGCAACATATTGCTAATTATTTGTGGAACTGATTATCCTACTCCCATTTTGTGTCGAAAAGCGCGTGTGTACATGCGCTGATTTACATACTACAAATCATCTTATCACAACAGAAGCGGGTGAGCGGAAATGGACGGCGACGGCGAAAATCTTTTGGACATGGACAAATACGGTGACAGTTACTTTGGGAAAACGGACTCTTCGCCAAGTGGATTGGCAAATACGGGCAAACACTTTGGCAGGTATGGTACACATCTTTGAATTTGTATAGTCAGGCGGGAGATAAGCGCGAATTATCCTTCGGCCACTTTTAGCTACTACAGAAGTGTTTTGCAAAACGAAAAAGTGTACCTGTTCATTAATCCAGTTGGTGAAAGTGTGCAATTGAATGTCAATCCACTTCTGGCGAGCCTCTACGCTTTCCTTTCCCATTTCTGGTTCGGGATTGTGGTAGAGGCAGAATTGCAAATAACTGAAACTTCCTGCTGAGCGAGATCTCGATCACGTGTAGTTGGTACAAAAGAAAGAAAGCAATAAAACATTTGCGAAGGTGGAGAGGTTTTGTCATGGATTAGTGGATTCGAATAATGAGATGAGATGAGATGCGTTTGTTCGTTTCTCCGATGTTAATGGGGGGAAGGGGTGAGGTAAAGAAGAATGTGTTGAAATGTCCGCAAAAGAGTGAGTCGGCGGTAAAGAGTTCTAAAGAGCTGTGAAAACACGAACGCGGGTTGGGCTTGCCCTCTTCCTCAGACAACAAAAAAAGAGGGAAAAACAGTAATACACGAAGAAAGTGTCTTTGGACACACGGGGGCCCCAAAGATAAAGTATTTAGAAGTAGTGAGAGACAAGTAAATAAAAAGTGCCAGGGTCGAAGGAGAGAGAGAGAGAGAGAGAGAGAGGAAGAGAGAGAGAGAGGAAAGGATCGGGGATTATAGAATCGGACAGTGAAGCCCAGAGACGCAGGCCATCAAAGCGATGGTGCGGGAGATAGGCAAATACGTCGAACGGCGAGCCGGTGCGCGGAAAACGAGGCGAAGGAGAAGAAGAAGGACTGTTCGTTTCGCCTTCTGCTGCTGTGATCAGGCTCACAAAACGGGCTCAAACATGCGCGGGAAAGAAGGAGAGAGAAAGAGAAGGAGAGGAGGCGCCACCACCACCCGCCGAGCATCCACAATGCTTGATTTGTGCATGTGTGTTCATGCTGGTAGTGTCGATGGATTTGCTTTTGTGTTGACATTCCCGAATGTTTCTTTATATTTATGAATATTGGCGCTTTTCGCTTGTTCTGTGCTCCCAATGCGCGCGCAAAAGTGTCAAAAATCTGCAGCTGTTGTCGGCACAGATGCCGATGACGCGTCTATTTTTTTTTTGTTCAAGTGCCTATCCAATCTATCCCCGAGCGGGCGCAGACTGTTCCGGATATGATATCAAGAGATGAAATCGAGCTGTCCATATGCTTTCATGCGGTTTTTAAATATCAAGGGTTCACATTTGACAGGATAAGAAATAAGAAAAATAGCACGAAGTAGATTTCGGTGGAGCAGTGGACAGGTCGGGTGGATACATAATAAGAGGGGGCTGGGAACGAATTTTGAGATGTGGGATGAGAGAGATACAAAAAACGGGGAGAGATGTTCTGGAGGGAGAAAGAGGACAAACGGATTTTAGGATTTTGGCAATGTACGGAAAAAGGTAGAAAACAGTGAGGAGGGAGAAGTGGAATCAATCATAGAAAAGGTCGGGGAAATAAGACTACTTTTGATAAAAAAGAAACAACAAAAAAGAAACGGTTTTAGAAACCATATGAAAAGGTGAACAGGGGGAGGAACAAAATTAGAAAATACAAAACAGAGGAGATATTCTAAGATCAGGCTAGAGACATGAAAACTAGTTGGGATAAATGTTATTAGTTATAAAAATTGCAAACAATTAAGTTAACAGAATTCACGATCTCGAATTGACAAGTTTCCAAATGTCTGAACCGCAATCCATTGTTGATGAAGTCTAGTAGGAGTGCTGAAAAAGAAATTGGATAAAATTTTTTAGTGTTTCAGGCAGACTCATAGGATTCCAACAAAATTTGAAACAAAATTTCTTTAGGTCGTTGGAGAATTACAAAAAATAGGTACTGCAGAAAAACTATCCCACTTTTCTCACCCTTTCCGGCATTGGATCCGTGCCGATGGTCGATGTTGCGGGTTGCGAAGTGTGAGAGGCGCTTGTGCCTGGACTGGCCTGGACTCTCGGCGGATACTCCGAGAAAGATCGATTCTCGATTATCGCCTCGATTTTCTTCTGATTATCGTCCTTCTTGAGTGGTGGAGTCGGATTCCGCTCGCATTCTGGGCGACGTCCCATGAAGATATCGGCATTGTACACTTGCGCTTTTTGGAACTCCCTTTCCAGCAGTTCTTCTTCGAGTTGTTTCGCCTTCTTGGCGATGAGCTTACGGGACGCTTTTGCCTCGTTCTGTTGCATCGCCTTCAGCTTCTTTCTCTCCTTCTCCTCTTGGGCTCTTTCCTTCTGCATTCTGATCTCTTTTTCCTTGCGAGACCTCTCTTCCTCTTCTTTCTTTTTCTTCTCTTCTTCTCTTCTGATTCTTCGCTCTTCCGCGCGCTGCTGATCGGCTCGTTCCTTCTCCTCGGCGAGTCGTTTGGCTTCTTCTTGTTTTCTGCGCTTCTCCTCTTGTTTCAGACGCGCTTGCTCCTCCCTCGCCTCTCTCTGGCGCTTCTTGTCGGCTTCCGAATCTCTGATGCGTTGCGCCTCCTCCTTCAGCTTTTCAGCTTCTTTCTCGGCAGCATCTCTCATCCGCTTGACATCGGCTTCCGCTGCTTCCTTGATTTGTTGCGCTACCAATTTCGCCGCTTTCACCAATCTCTCGGCTTCCAACGCGGCCTTATCCAAGGTTCGCTGACTTGACAACTTGGCCTCTTCAATCTCTTTACGGGCTGCCGACTTAGCCTCTTCGATAATTTTCTTGGCTTTTGACATGGCCGTTTCCTCAGCACTGTGGGCATCTGACATAGCTTCTTCCTTCATTCTCTGGGCTTCTCCCCTAGCATCTTGCTTCAGTTTATCGGCTTCTGTCTCTGCCGTTGCCTTGATATTCTCAACATCTTTTTCCGCCGCCTCCTTGAACAGCTTCTTGCCTTCAACTCTCATCTCTTCCATCGCCAGTTTCAGTGTCTCGATTTCAGCTTCCTTTACTTGCACACGTGAATTCGCTTCATCCTTTTCAATTGTGAGACAACCGATTTTCTCCATAAGACATTTCTTGCTCACGCGGATCGTTCCGTCGTTTGAAGTGACATCTACTTTCTCTTCATTCTCACTGTAAAAATGCACTAGTTCAGTTGTACAACTATCCACAATGATACCTGCGACCTTCCTCGTTTATTCCGCTGTCGGGAGTCATGCCGTCTTTCTCATGAGATGCGTTCGCGACAACAGCGGGAGGCTGAAATGAGATGATGAGCTACTTTCATTGATTGATAATTTTTGAATACCTGGACTTTGTCACAGGAGTTGGGTTCCGCTGGTGGCAGCGGAATTTTCGGAACTGCTTCTGGAGCTTTCATTGGAGCAGCATTCAAAGGTTTCATCGGAGCGACATTTGAAACTGCAATTGGAGCGATCATTGGAGCGACCATCGGAGCGGTCATAGGAGCAGCCATTGGAGCACCGTACGAGGCAGCCATCGGTGCGGTCATCGGTGTGGCCATCGGAGCGGTCATCGGAGCGGTCATCGGAGCAGCCATCGGAGCAGTCATCGGACAGATCATAGGAGTGGCCATCGGAGCGGTCATCGGAGCAGCCATCGGAGCAGCCATCGGAGCAGCCATCGGAGCAGCCATCGGAGCAGCCATCGGAGCAGCCATCGGAGCAGCCATCGGAGCGGACTGCATCCACTGATGTTGAGGATTCATTTGATGGTTTGGCGGAATCCATAGCTTTTGAGGTGGCTGCTGTGCAACTTTTTGTCCTCCGGTGACCTGGTGCGTCTGATTGGAAATCGGCTGGTTGTAGAATTGTGGATGCATCACATGTTGAGGCGGCGGAACATTGTACTGATGCTGTGGAACCGGCTGGTTGTATTCATGTGGATGTTGAGTTTGCTGCATCTGCATCTGCACCGGATGCTGCTGCTGCATGTACGGCACTTGCCAGGTCTGTTCCTCCATCCATGGTTCCTGTGGCGGGCTCGTCCATTCCTGATATTGCGGACCCTGCTCCGTCCACGTCTGGCCTGGAGGAGGCGGACCATTCCACATTTGCCCTTGCGGATTTGGGCCCGACCATGCTGGCTGAGGCTGGAACTGATACTGTGGCGCGAAGTGCTGAAATTGGATGTTTAAATTTCATTCGCACATTGCTCGTTTACCTGATTTGGCGGCTGTGGCGGCCAGCTTTTCGTAGAAGGCTTCTGAGTGCGTTGTTTGTTCATTCTGAAATAATCGTAGTTAGATCGGTTCTAACAAAGCAGGCAGAGAGAGAAAGAGTACAGTAAGATGGAAATCAATAGACTTGAGCACAAAAAGAAGGGTTGAGAAGAAGAGTAGCGAGGATGTCAAGAAATCTGGAGAGCAAGCAAATGGGCAATCAGAAGAAGAGAGGAAAAGGAGTTGTGACGTAGGCCGACTTCAATTTTGATTATTTCTAAAGCCATCACGAGTTGTCGACAAATGCGTTCTGATCAAAATGCGGTTGGGAGAAAGATTTCAGATTTCCGTATCCAATTACTGGAACTATGATGACTCCGCGCGCAAACTACATATTTCCGTTGGCTTCTGACTATAGCTTTCTCAATTGTGATGAAAATATGTTCTACACTACAAAAATATGTATTCGAAGCCAGTGACCACGGTCTACTATCTATGTGCTACCGTATCCACAACAGATTCTGGTTCGGAGAAACTAGCAAGATTTACGGCACGTCACTGTGAACTAGCCGGAGAAACAAGTGAGATCATGTCAAAAACAATGTCATAAATCTGACGGAGACGTGTGCAGCTCTCCGATAGGTCAATCTGTTCTGATGGCTAAAAAAACTAGCTAACGCCACGAGCACGCGTACTAAACATCAATCGTATAATTATGAGAAAATGGAAAAACAAAGTGAGGAGGATGAAGAGGCGAGGGCACGATGAACTTTTCGTCCTTCCGGCCAGGATTTTGCAGAAATGTTTGCAGAGTTCATCAGAAAACACTTTCGAAATTATGTATTACAAAAATCAGACATTGGAAGAATAGTGAGGAAAAAGTTTTTCAGCCGGCTAACCTTGCTCGTTAGTCTAACACTCTGGGGAAATTAAGTGGAAGTATGAGCGAGAGGACCAGATTTGGCTGGAAAGGAACAGAGAACCGATCAGAATTGATTGATGATGACTCATCGCAGAATCTTCTGCGAGTTTTTCGCTAAAAATCCTACTAAATACGTTTTGGGCCACCCAACCGCTTCGTATATAAGAGTGCTACGCAGATAACTTGCTGAGAGATCCGAGAAAAGTTGGCGCTAATTCAAATTTCGAATTTTGATGTTTTCTACTGCTGCGACTCGTGTTTCATGCTACAAACGCCGCCTAAAAATACTTTGCGTCCACCAGTTTCATAACCACTCCGTATCAACATAACATTGCTGAGTCGCTACGCAGATAGTTCGCGGTGAGACCCGAGACAACTTGGCGCGAATTAAAATTTTGGATTTTGACGCGCCCCGTGCAAACTCTGAAAAATATCTTTTCTGTCACCTTGAGCTGCTTCTTCTACGTCTATTCACGAGCGAAGGGCCTCGGCGGTAGTTGGCAGCTCTTCCGTTCAGAACTGTCGATCGATCGGATAGTAAGGGGCGAGGAGAGAAGAGAAGAAGAGTTGTGAGCGGTGGACGACGCAACAATGAGCGACTGAACGCCGGCCGACAGCTCGCCCCCTTTTTTCGACTATTAGGGGAGGAGCCTTGATGGTTTGGAGGTGTACGCAGACGATGCGCGGAGAGAACAAGAGAGAGAGAGAGAGAGGAAAGAAAAGTAAGTGATACGATGACGGGCGCGGAGGTGCCGGTGATGGAAAATGTTTGGGAAATTATGCATGGGGAAAAAGAAGAAGCCGGCCAGCAGAGGGTGTACAGGAAATCGGTTCGTGAATTCGTATTAGAGCAAGTGCGGAAAATGTTCACGAGCTCCCTGGTGAGTAGCATCCAATAACATGCCCTCCAAACGGAAATCAACGCGCCTTAATAGGCACCATCGTGGCGTCCGAGAGGGTGTCGCACTTGCCTCACATTTCCTTCTCTTCTTCTTCTCCTTCGTCCCCCCTCCCCCCATCCACCATGTACTGACCGCACCGTGCTGTCGCGGCGCGACGGTCCGTTCCTGCGTCTTCGGCATCACACTTGTGTTTTTCCACACTCGCTCACTTGCTGCACTGCTACTTGCCCTCTCAATTCGGGCACGCGACCCTCCCCAACGCAGAGGCTCGACGGCCGGCGGCGCAACAGCGTCTGCCGGCTGCTTGTCGTCTCTCTCCTTTTTTTACTAATTGATCGAATAGAGGAGGTGAATACGAGAGCACGGGTACGGGCGGGGCACTATTGAAAGCGAGGAGGATAAGTGAAAGAAAGAGAGAAAGAGAAGGACAATCGTCTGCGCGGGTTTCAGACAAAGATTAATGAAAAGGAGACGGACAGCTTGACGAAGGCTAAAATTTAGGGGTAGGGTTTATGTGAAAAATGGCATGCAGTGTTTGCAGAAAGAAGAAAATGAGCGGTTATACATAGAAAAAGTACACGGGATGTTTCGACACATGACTCACAGGCGGCGAACAACAAGAAAACAGAAAACTTTGAACGGAAATTTGAAAAGGAGATGATGGCGGTTAGGGAGAGGAAGGCGTGTTTGATCACAAGGCTTATCCTTTGCTGTCTTTCGGAATCACGGATTATAGATCAAGAAGAAAAAGCCAACAATGAAACAATTTGGCAAGAAATAAATGCACGCTATATCAGAAATCAAATTAACAAATTGCATTTTCAGGAAACACCTTATAAAAAACCTCAAAAAATCACAGAAACACAAGTTGAAAAAGGTTTTTTGTTTCAAAAATTTTCCGTTTTTGATCAGAACCAGGTGAGGAGCGCGGAGGATTCAATTCAATAGGACTCGTTTGTACCTCTTGTCCGATTTAATTTGCAGTCGAATATTCCTCTGATTTTTGCTCTGCTCTACTCTGCTCTGTTCCTCACCCTATAATTTACTATACATTGGGCACCACATTTTGTCTTGCGAGCAGGCAATGACACCAATCCCATTTTCTTGGCTTGAGCCGAGCGCCCTGGCACGGAGTCCTTTCGGATTAGAGAAAATTAGAACGTCTTTCAGTCGTGGTGTGGTCTTTTGATGTTAGCCACTCAAGGAGAGGAGCTTAGGGGTATCGGGATTGGGGAAAAAAAGAATCAATCTGGAAAACTAAATGCAAATGAAACTTGAACTCGGAAAAGAAGCAGCACTCACTTTTCAGTACGCGTGTCTATTTCTAATTAGCATTGTTCGGGTTTCCCGAGAAACGTATCCGATTCTGTGCACCTGTCCGATTTTAATCCCTTCCTCGTACTCCCCCCCGGAAATTCATTCCGTTTCTGGTTGCACAAATGTGTTCCTGCGGGCTAATTTTGAGTTTATACCCCATCGCACGCGTCTCTATCTCTTTTACCACAAGTCCTTCCACACCTGCCCCGTCTCCTCAGCTGAACGGCGCATGATTCGGGCGGCCGGCAGCGACAGCAGCAGCCAAAAGGCAATAATTTTCTGCGTCTCTTCTCTTTTTGCTTCTGCGTGTGCACTCCCGTCGCGTCCCGTCCGACTTGCCTCTTCCCTCGTGTGTGAGTGTATGTGTGAGTGCGTGAGTGTGAGTGTGAGCGTGTCTATCGACCATCAGTGTGGTGGCGGCAGCAGAAGCGAGGGCAGCAAAAAGAATATCGACAATTTATTAGTGAGGAGAAAAAAAGAAAGAACGAGTAGGAAGAGGGAACATGAGATGTAATACTTAGAACTCGCGTGAAGGGCATGCTTTTGATCAAGAAAGGAGGATGGATGGATAGTCGAGAACCGAGTGAGCAAAACAGAAACGAAGTGTGCCAATGGGTAAATGGAAGGAAATGCAAATATCCAAACTAAATAGTTATAAATAAGACAAACTAAAATGATAGATGCGAAACGGATGGGATTGGAATGAATTATCAATGGGTCTGAGCGTTGTCTTCTATTGCCAGGTAGTTTTCGAGCTGACGACGCAGCTCCTTCTCGCTCTCCACTGCGAATCTTTCCTGTTCCTCTTCCGGCAGATCGTTCACCAACGGCATCTCGTACTCCTCAAGACTTGGCACTTCGAAATCGCCACGCCATTCGGCATCCATCTGTCCAGAGCTGAAGAGATAGTCGCATGTCCAGATGAACTGCAATTCGACGTCCGGAAAGTCCGCAGTGTGATAGATGGTCGAGAGGAAAGCGAGTTCTCCGGATACTTGGCCGATTTTGTTGAAGATCACTGCCCATTTCTTGTCTAAGATTGTGTAGAGCGCCCGGAGCACGTAATTCCGGTTCGTTTTGTCGTCCGTCTGAAAAATTTGCAATGTAATAGTTAGTACTGGATAATTTCTTCAATGTATGATAATTTCAAACGGTTTCGTGTTTGCTGAGAGCATGTTGCTGGAAATCGGAAGGTAATAAAGCTTTTTGTGCTTCCGGTATGAACATTTGTAAATTTTACGTTTTTAAACGGCGATTTGCATACTTTTTAGGTCCAAAACGTCAGTTTTCACTTGCTTTTTCTAGTTTTGATTGTATATCACTTTTTGCTCATTTTTGCAGCATAGAATTGGCGCTTCTTCATTTTTACACATCGTTTGTGAAAATTTGATGACCTTACTACAAAAACTGTCAGATTCTCACCTCCGCAAGTTCCTTCAGCCTCTTTTTGACGAAAACTCGAGCTGCCACCATTTCCTCTAAAAATTCCATTTAGCAATTTTCCCCGCAAGTACTGAACTCACGTCGTGGATCTTCATCTGTTCCGTGTTTTTCACATCGGAGTTGCAGTGTGCCGAGCAGTAAATGACCACATGCTTTGATTTGTCCTGAAATGCACAAAATTTAGGATAATCGGCGGACTTTGGTTGAATTTTCCGGCAGAAATCTGATAATTGTAGCAAAAAACTCACTTAAACTCATCAAAGGTGTGTTCGGATCGAGACCATCCTCCATTTCGTCGATACGCGGCCAAGAAACGAGAATGGTCGCGCCAGTACAAAGGTAATTTTCGCAAAGCGTGAGAGAAAAGAGGACTCAGACACAACGCGTGCGGCCGAGAAGATGGAGAGTTGCATGTCGGCGGGGAGAGAGACACCCACTCCGGTTCACGCGGTGATTCGGAAGAACGAAAGGACAACTGAAATCAGTTTTTCGCCGCACTAAACTTGCAGATCCGGTGGTTTGATAGATGGGAAAGATGATAAATCAGTCGTCGGCGCGGTTTCGACATTCCATTCTCTTTTCTAAAAAGAATTTTTGAAAAGCAGACACTTTCATCCTATTTAGATTCAGCGTTTATAGTTGATCCTCTTCATGATTACTACCTTTCAGTAATCTTTGATAATATCATGTTTTATCAGGAAATTTCTATATGATAGCGCTCTGTTGAAATTTTCCGCGCCAAAACGGCTCAGAGGCACAAATGTTAATTTAATTGCATGTCATGCACAGATGAAAGAGAAGAAGGACGATGAAAGTGCGTACCCGGTTCTCCGGTTTCCAGAAGGATACTGTAGTAACAGCAAGGACGTGCTACAGTTCAGAAAAGGTCCTTTCGATGGACACGCGCCCATCAACCCCATCGCCCTGAAACAAGACACAAGGTGAAACGCCAGCTTTGAATGATGATAAGATTTATAAACGCCTTTCGGGCTGAAAACACTTACCTACCGTATCTGATCCGTTTGATGGCGTCATGGTGTTCGATCATTGATATTTGCTACTTGGAACCCATGCTCAAATTCGATACAGGTATACATTTCGGCCTAACTCACTGGGGTTTTTTTAATCAGAAACGGACGAGGAATTCGCTAAACGTGTTCAAACTGTCATCGCAACCAAGTTGTTTGTGGAGGCATTGCCATTTGACGGGAAACTGAAAAGCGAGAAGGAACGAACAAAGTACAGGGAGAAGCTGCAAGCCTGTTTCGCCGCCAAACAATGGGGACAATACGACTTCATAGAAAGTGTTCTGATATAAGTTTTCCATTCATTACCACTTCCACAATTCATTCGAACCAACTGCCATCATATTACTATCAGTCCAACTGTCGCTTTGTTTCAATGTTCGATTCCAGAAAAGCAGCCTATCAATCTGTATTAGTTCTATCAGGTTGTGATCCTTTTTTTGTGAAATAAAAGTCATAAAATTCTCAGTTTGCAGCAACATTTTCCATTCTATCAGTTTTTGTGATATTTTCCACGTTTCCAATATTCTACGTATACTTTGATCGTGTAAAAATGGATATTCGCAATGAAATGACATTCTGCAAAGTGCTCAAAGTTTGATCTCATTCTAACAAGTGAAAAGTTACAGAAGTCAGCAGAAAAAGTTTTCCATTTTGTCAACGAAGTCGAATACTATGATCCACGACGGCCACGGTTATTGGAATGAATCTTGAGTTTTGACTGTGGAGCCAACACGAACTGTTTGAGCATGTTTATTTGTATTTTGAGCCCAAATATCTGTTTCTTACATTGTCCCCATTCACTTTGATGCATCCGGATTGCAACTCGAACCGTCGTCTCGCTCCAATAAACTCATCATCTTTCTTATATATATTTATATATAAAATCTCAGAAATCTTTTCTTATACATAGCAAATTGCATAGCAATAATGTCGAACAGAAGAAGAGAGAGATGGTAAAGAGTTTGACTTCTTGCATAGCAATAATGTCGTAGAGAGGAAGAGAGAGACACTCAAGCAAAAAAAGTTACGAGAAAGACATAATCAACTTTGTACTCGGTTTATATAGTGACAGTGAAATCACGCCCACTCGGTCACTCCTCAACCGTGCTTCACCGCCACCACGCCCCTTTTGGTGACGATCACAAAGGTGGAGGAGGCGGGACCGCAAAAATTCTAGTTTTGGGCGCTGAATCTAATGGTGATGGTTAAAAATTTTCCCTTTTTGTTGAGTAACTTTTTTGTGCTTTTTTTTCGTCAATTGTGAATGATGCACTCTTAAAGCCCCATACGATTTTTTGAAAAAAGGTACCGTACTTGCACATTTCCCATCATATCTCGGAAGACAAAAAAATCCTAAGCCTAAGCCTACGCCCCCGGAAATTTTATCTGAAAACATTCCGTAACATATTCATGAGATCTTCATTAAAAGCGGTCGATAAAGAAATACATCTGCAATTTCAGCATAGGAATAGCATTGGAGAAGCCAAACGGACGAAATGGAAGCAAATAGAGTTTTTTCATGGAACTGTATCATTCATGCAAATTCTAACTCGGAATCAGAGGGGAACTAAATGACATCGGTACATTTTGTTGTGAAAGGGGGGAAAGTTAGCACGCTCACACCGGTGCGCGAGATCTTACCAAAGGTGATCGGCTCGGGAAAGGAGGGAAAAGTGACGCTAGTTTTGGACAGCACAGAGCTGGAGTACGTTTTTTTTACAAATTTAGGAGATTTATGTTAGCATGCACAGGTTAGGCTAAGAAAAAAGTGTTCAGCATTCTTGTACATATTCAGGATTGACAAATGAAAATCCTTCAAATTCGGTTTGATCTAGGTTCATCAAGAAGAGACGGTCGATCGGCGTGAGCTTGGGCACTTCGTGGGTGAACTCGGAATCGAAGTTGGATGTATCATCCGGAGATTTCTATAAAAGTTATCATTTTGACTGGCTGGAACCAAAAAGATTAACTGGAGAAGAGAGAAAGAGAGAGAAAGAGAGGTGTCTTAAAAGTGTGATTGTGGTGTGGAATGCATTCTTGCTTCTATGCATGCTAGGGAAATGGAGGTGAGAAACATACCTGTTAGTGAAAACCAATCCATGGAGGCCAGTTGGGTCACAATACAAATATCACATTCTACATAATTGGAAATGGTTTTTATTATTATTAGAAAAAAGAGGGTCACGATAAAGGTACGATAGTAGGGTTAAAGGGAAAAAGAAGCACAAAACGTCTGTGGTCATAATCATAATCATGATTATTATTATTATATAATTATTGTTGAGAAAAGCGGGAAAAGGACAGAGATAGAAAGTAGAAGTTGAGGGGCCTAGACAGAGGAATGGCAATAGGAAGAGAGGCAAAATTTCCGGGGTAGTCGGATATGAAAGCGAATGGAAAGGAAGCAAATAAATAGTACACAAAAAGAAGGAAGAGAAGCGATAGAGTTTTTCATCAGATCAAGTTTAGTTTGATTTTAAAAAAAACCTTATTTCTTTTGGAGGCAATAGAGGAAATTGCACAGGAACGAAAAGAGCGACTAGAAAAGGACTTGGTGACTTTTTTGGTTTTCCTACCTTTAAAAGTGTCGTACAGTACAAAATTAACATATTTCTCAAAAAGTTCAAGTGGAGATTCACGTGTTCCCGAAATTTGCTGAATTTTCCAAGAAAGCTAAGGAAACGACGAGAAGTACACGAGATTATCGATTTTTCATGCGGTACTTGAACAATTCGTTCTGAAATTTGATTCTGACCCCGGGATTGGCTTTTTTGTATCTTAGGACTACACTTTTCGTGGTCTCTTTAGCTGCTTTGGAAAATTCAGGAAAACTCGGGGAAATCTTTTCAGAATTTAGGATTTTGGGAACATTAACATTTTGTACTGCGCGCACCTTAAAGATTGTTTAGTGAAAAATAGACTAACTCACAAACTACTCTGAATTTACATTAGTAACTTGGAAAAAAAAACTCAGCACGGAATACATAAATGTGTACGACAATAATAAATAGTAGGATTGAGAGGAAAAGAGAGAAAGAGAGAGAGAGAGAGAGTGAGGGCGGGTTAGTATAAAAGTGTATGTGTTTTCATTTTCACGGCTCCACATCCTTGCTGTAAAACGGATTGACAAACGAGAAGCCCTTGAACTCGTCGCCCTTCAAATTCTCAAGCACCTCCCAATCAGGCGGCGTCATCTTGGTCGGCAGTTTCAGGAAATTGTGGTCAAAGTTCTCAGTTGACCTGTCGGTCTTCTGAAATAAATCACAACGATAAAGACATGCCAGGACTTTGAGTTTCCGTTTTCCAGGGGGGTGGTTAGAAATGGTGAGTGCACTCTTTCATTCCAGACACATACATGCAAGTTTCATTCCAAAGTGAAGTGTTTGTAGAAGAAAAAGATAGAGGAAATGGAAAATTTGGATAGTTTTGAATGATCCAGCTAATACGTTTAAAGCGATAGATTGACGGATTCGGAGCGTTTTGTTTTTGTGAAAAAGCTTTGCGGATAGAGTGGAAAGGGAAAATTGAACTTATTCTTTTCGAGAACTCAGTAGCAAAACTGTTATAGCCCGGGAGGACAAGGGACAATAATGTCTGAAATGTATTTAGACGTACCAGTTTTGGTTTGAATGGCGGCTGGATTTGACGAGTTTCAATTTTGTACCAGTCGATGCGTCGGAAGAATGGATGGTCCTGAACGGGTTACGGTAGGTGACTGGATAGTTTTCCGGGTTACTGTACCTTTATGTCTCTGCGAGCCAACTCATCATCTCCAGTGCATCCCAAGCGTTTGGACGGGTTCTTGATCAGAAGCGCTTTGCATAGCGACACAGCTTCCTTGGACAGACTCTTCGGATAAGAGACGTTGTGCTCAGTGATAGCTGAAATAAAACTTCTCTCGAACTCTTCTTCATGTCTTAAGGAGTGCTTGTCTTACCCGTGAACAGTTCATCCTCATCCTCCCCGTCAAACGGTGGCTGACCGGCAAGCATCTCAAAGAGCAACACTCCGTAAGCCCACCAATCCACCGATTTGCCGTACGGCTGATACAGGATGATCTCCGGCGCAATGTAGTCCGGAGTTCCGCAGAAGGTTTTGGTTGTCGCGTCGCCGAAGATGTTTTCCTTGCACATGCCGAAATCGGTGATCTGAATTGAATTGAATCATGGACGGCGGCGAGATGTTTACGTCTTCTTCTTATTCTTCTCAAGTGAAATAAAAGTTGTTGACGGATGAGCGCGGACAAGGAAAAACGACGAATAAACCAACCTTAATATGGCCATCTCGCTCGAGCATTACGTTATCCAATTTCAGATCACGATAGATGATTCCTTTCGAGTGGAGGTAGAACAATCCGACGGCGATTTCAGCTCCATAGAACACGGCAACCGGCTCTTTGAATTTTCCGACTTGCTGTATTTGGTACATCAGATCACCACCATTGACAAACTCCATCACAAAGTAAAGACGGTCCTGGAAACAAACACAAAAAATATTCTCTTGGTTTTCGATTCCCTCTTATAGAATTCTAAGCTCACCATCGTCTGGAAGCATGAATGAAGAGCAACAAGGAATGGCGGCTTCTCCGGAAGGGCGAGGACACGCTTCTCGGTCATTGTGCATTCCACGTCATCGTCTTGAATGATGACATCCTTCTTAAGCACTTTGATCGCAAAGAGCTCCTTAGTAGTCTTTTGCTCCCCGAGAAGCACTTTTCCGAACGATCCCTTTCCGAGAACAGTGAGGAAGTTGAAGTCAGAAGCTTTGATGACATCACGGTTCGTATTGACAAGTGGAGTTGGGTTAGTACGTGAAAAGTTGTCCTTTGGCTTAACCGATCCGCTATCACGCGAAGAGATCTGAAATGATACCTTATGAAGCCTTGAAGCCCTCCCCGTAACTTACATGGTGGTCGTTCATCTTCTTGCGGACCTTCTCCATGTCCTCGTCGTACTCCGGCGTGATGTTGATATTGTAGAACTCTCCCTCCTCGGCACTCAACAGTTTGTACCATCCTAACGCTGGCTCCTTCATGAGCTCGGAGATTCCGAACGACAGACTTCCCATGAAATCGTTGCGAGAGGTACGGTCCCAGTCCCAGACTTCAATCGACAAGCGACGATCCTTATCACCAGACAATAGTTTGCTAAAAAAAAGTAGCTAAAGATGGAGGCATTGTTCGACCCACTAGTGGAAGGTCTCGTTCCACAAAGGGTTGAGGGTGGCTCTCAAGGTCTTGGTCTTTTGCTTCGATTTGCAGCCAGAGTCCTCCGGAATAAGTTTGCACTTGACGTATGGGTCCGATAGCCCATTCGGGTCCATGGGAATAAGATTCTTAGCCTCGAGAACTGCAAAAAATACATTTCAATCTAATTTCCCATCAATTTCCGTTTCGAACCCTAACCCACGCTCACTTTTGATGGTCAATTGATCATTCTCAATGTGAGCTTCGATGCGAATGCGTCCTCGCTTCTCGGTGTTATCCGTTCCACACATATTTGGGACGTTCTTAACGCAACGGTGATGGACATTGGTGTCGCATGACTGGCACTTCATTCCCTGATGAATCAGACCGTAGAGAAGGGATCCGCAATGATCGCAGAAAGTGGGCGATGAGTAAGTTTGGACTTTCCATTTATGCTGCTGACGGGGATCCTTTAAAAAAGTGGATGAAAAGATGATGAGGGATAAGTTTTTTTTTAATTTTTATTTCATACATCAGTATCCACTCCTTTATCGGCTCCCGGACACGCAAAGTTGACGAATTCGTGGCATCTTTTGTGGACCACAAGGGTGCACACTGAAAAAGAATCTCCATTCTCAAGTTAAAAGGACAACTCTGATACCTTGGCACTGGAACCCTTGTTTGGTGATACCCCACAAAAAGTCTTTGCAGTGCGAGCAGAAAGTCGGCTGCTTGAAGAATCGTGCAATGAACTTGTGCGATCTGATAACGTTCTAGGGTGTAATTTAAAAAGTTGGAAACGTTGTCGTCTAGAGAGGGCAAAATTGTTTTTTCTCCTCTCTCTCTCTTCTTGCAGCGGAAATGAACGAGAAATGAAGGAAATGAATCGAAAGCGAAACGTTTTCAACAAACTCACTTGATTTCATGCACGTTCTTCTGCCGAAGCGCTCCACGACGAACGAATGCTTTGCCCTCGATTCGTTGAGCTGAAATGAAGACAAACATGGGGCGAGAAAAGGGAATGAGAATGAATGAAGTCGCCCAACTCCTGAGTTTTGCTCTTTTCCCCATTTTCACGCGCAATTATAACATCCCACACCATTTCATTTTTTTCGCCCCTCTATTGTCAACTTCTCAAAAGAAGACCATTTGGCTTCCGTGTCGTGAGGTCATTTGGCTCACATTTCCGGTCAGAAAAGAAAAACATAAATAAACCTTACAAATTCGACGTCTCACACTTTTGACAACTGAAGAAGCGCGTTTCATGTTGAAAAGGGATGGAAGAATGAATAAAATGTTTTATCAAGAAACACTGACACATATTGTCCTGCCCTCCTCCCAACCGCCCTCCCATTTCTGGTCATAGGACAAATACATACAAGAAAGGGCTGGCGAAGAGGCTTTTGTGCAGTAGGTCCTTGTAAACCTTGTAAGTCGCTCAAGTTTTCATAGTTTATTAGTTCTTCTTTTTTGCATACTTTGTTCAAAACCAAAGTTCTTACCTTGTTCATGTAACCTTTTTAGTAGGGGTCGAATAGATAAATGATGCGAGAATTCGAATCTCGGAAAGTGAATAAAACTGTCCGAAGAAGCCGAATGGATTCTGAGACTTGAGGGGTTTGAGATGGACTTTCGGATGCACAACTGTTGTCCGTGCCCACCACCACCAGCCGAACTGTTCTTGACGGGGCTGATAAGCGCGGCGGCGGACAGGGACTGTGTCTGAGGCACGTCCATATGATGTTCTAGCTGATGAAATAAGTTGAGAGGGCTCTTGGTGGCCGTCGCGCAGCACCAGATGATAGGATAAATGAGTTAATGTCGTGGAGGAAAGGGAGACGAAAAAAGAGAGAATCTCTTTCTCTCTCTCTCGGCTTCCTTCTCAAATGAGTCCAAAGCAAACGACGTCTAACAGCTAGCTTGGACTAGGGGCTGTCAAATGAAAAGGCGCGCCTGATGGGCGTCGTTCTCCACATGAAAAATATAACAATTTGCGTTGGGGTTGGAACCAGTGGCCCCGGCTCCGTTTCACTCCTCATCAACGCATACCCCTCCCCTCACCCACTCACCCATTCCAATTTCAATTCCTTTCTTTCCCTGATTCACCACACCTCTTTTCAAGACTCAAAAGTTTTTGCGATTTGTAATCTACCGTGTCAATTTGTGAAAGAAAGGAATGAAAATTATGTGATGTTTGGCGAAACAATCACAACTACATTAGAGTGTTTTCCCCTATTGGATCATGGATTGAAAACATACTTGTCCTGTGAAAAATAACAAGAAAGTGACGTTTTGAATCATACACAACATAGTCGGATTGAAATTTTGAAATTCACCAAACTATTCAATTGAAAGATCAATGACAAACACGAACTGGTTTTTGTCAATTAGATTGTCTCCTTGGCTAGTCTTGTCTCTCGCGCCATTTCCGATTTTCAAAGTTCAAATTGCGCTGGTCTGTGTGTTTGTGTGGGTGCAAAATGAGACGAGATGAGATGAGCAAGCCAAACCAAATAAGTCGCGGCGTCACATGAACATTTCATTAAGTTTCTGGAGGCGACTACTGTTTTGGCTTGACGTCAAGAGAGTGGGCGTAAACGGGAACCTCAGATGTCCTTGGATGATTGAACTATCAAAGTTTTATAGGATTGGAACGAGAAAACGGGCTGGAGAGAAAACTGCACTTTATAGTGCGCAATAAAATGTCAGAATATGTACAAAGGTTTTACGAGGTGCTGAAATCGAAACTTACCGAAAGCTTCGGAGAGCTTACGGAGCGCAAGATTCGACTCGAGCATCGGATCGGAGGAGAGATCGAGGCTCGGACGCGCATCCGCACTATTCCTCGGACCACCACCAATGTCGGTCTCGGATCGGCGACGCTCGGCACTATCCATATTCTCGCGCTTTTTCGCCTTCCTTTAGAGCAAAACATGATTTACGATGGTTTAATTAAAAGAGAGAAGGAAACGCAGGAGAGTGGGAAAAAAATAAAAGAATTACCGTAAGATATGGGATGTCAACGAGAACTTGTGTGACTTCAGGAAGCTCGACGTTGACGACGATTTTTGTTTCGGTCGAAGACTCATTTTTTACAGTAGGAGTATCAGAAATAGATTTGTTCCAGAAGGCTCGGTTTTCTCCTCTTTTCTCGCTTGGGGAAGTTTTAGTTGCTGGAGGAGCTGCTCGGATTTGTGGCGAGTATCATATTGCCCAATTAAAAAGCGACGCACAAGTATCAAATCCAAATCCAGCAGGCTCCGCCCGCCTCCGGAAGAGGCTAGATTGAGGAGAGAAGAAGAAAGGGCTGGCCGGGCGGCTCAGGAGCTCACAAATACGTCTCTCACAAAGCCCTTCGCCGAGCTCATCTGGAAGGTGCTCACACACCTCCGAGGACATGCCACGCACCACGCGCCCACGGCGAGAGGAGGGAACGATGACAGGCAAGAAATGGGACACGGATCAGATTTCGACATTGGCTTCTCTCTCATTATTTTTTGTGTATTTAGTTTTTGGGCGCACAGAGAAAGTCGCAAGTTTCAGGGTTTTTGAATATTTCTGATTCGGTTTTTGGAACCATGAATCAAACGGATAATGTATGCATGTACTCTTGTTAGGATTAGGATTGAAATCGTCTCGTCTCACGACATTAGCAAAAGTGCTCCAGAGAGAGAGAGAGAGAGAGAGTGAAAGTGAAGGAAGCGTTACAAAGGATGATCCCAGATTTTCCTTGTTGGTTGTGTTGTGCAGTCATCGTTCAGGTTTGACAGAATTCGGAAGATGAGAAGAATTTCGTGCAAAAAGCGTTGAAAACAGAAGAAAGGAAGAAGGCAGATAAGAAGCTGTTTACGAGAGGACGAAAAGTGAAGTATGAGGAGGGAAAGTAAAAGGCAACTAGGTTAAGCCCTCTTCTAACGGACTTCTTCATGAGCACATGCTCAACCGAGCTCTACAATCAAATCATGGGTAGAAGAAGTGAAAGGAGAAGAAGAAGAGAGAAGAGATTCCTCCTGTCACTTTGACTTAACCGCATATAATACACTTGAGAGCAGACAAAGTACTCGGCATTCTTAGTGTCAGGAAAAGTCGAAAGTTAGGATAAAAGCGGAACCCTGCAGCTGATAACCAGGAAAACAGCTATCCAATCGAGAAAAAGAAAAGCGAAAGGTTGTGACGTTGGTGGAAATTTGCACCTGTTCATCTCTTTTTTCTCCTCCTCTTTCTCCCGGCCGCAAGCATTTTCCACAACACCTTTCATTGTTGTTGTTTGTTTCGTTTCGCCCATCAAAAAGCGTTTACGACAAAGCCGGAGTGCAGCGGAGCAGAACGACGATGATGTGATGAGCTGCTCGTCCTGACCCTTCGCCCCCTCCATTTTGAGCGGACCACGCAACAACTCATCATTAAAGTTTTTATAGGCGACTCCCAGGAGAGAATAGCTGCCGCCGAGTTTTATTTCTCATCCGCACTTCGTTTTTTCTCGTTCACTCGTCTCTCACATACTTTTTTCTGTTCTTCCCCGCTAGTCAACAAGCACTGCGGGAGAGAGAGGAGGTCTCCGATCACTTGTTGGCCGTGCGGGGCGCAGGGGAACAAGAGCAGCGTGGCGCAGTGGAAGCGTGCTGGGCCCATAACCCAGAGGTCGGTGGATCGAAACCACTCGCTGCTAGAACCTTTTGGCTTTTCGGAAAACCGGAGGTTTCCCGAGTCACTCAATTCTATCCGTCACACCTAATCTAACACGTTTTGATTCCTCTCATCCCCCTTCCTCCTATCCGTCTTTTGCGGCAAATTGAATTTGGCTTCTGCTTTTCACTTTCTCTTAGCCTATGGATTACTTACTGAGCAGGGTTTGCAGGCGGAACCAGGAAATGATTCTCGACGTGAAATCATATTTGAAACAAGAGAGAAAACATCTGGAGATTGGAAACCCCTCACACCATTCGCTTTTCTTTGCTACACCGAGTTCTCTTCCACATTCTTATGATATCAGTCCATAAGTGTACAGATTAGAAACGATAGAGGAAGAGAGAGAGTTTGTTTGCTGTCTTTTTCGGTGTTAAGCACACATGCAACACCAGAAAATTCTGACTTTTTAGGGAAAAAAAGAAGTGAACGTTATGACCAATATTCGGGAAGTGAAGCAAAAGCGGAAGAGAAAAAAAAGAAAATTGAAGAATTTTGAATTCCCGAAACATTCCACATTCAGAACATGAAAAATAGCTTTTCTGGACAGACTGCATCAGAAATGCAGCCAAAAATTTGAAACATATGGATGAAGACGGACAATCGCTTCAAAAAACCTTTGTTCAGAAGCAAAGTGTGGAATGAAACAAAAAAAAATAAATTTTGAGGGTTTGCTGGCACCGCACGTTGTTTTGTTTCATGGGTATAATCCTTAAAACCCAGGACCAAAACATGGGATGGAGACGGACGATGTTTTTTGGAGCAGCTATGGCATTTATTCTACTTCCTACAAAAAAACCTGTTCCGGAAGATGGAAGATGGAAGACTTGTCAAAGATTTTCAGATTTTGAAAGAAATTGATGAGACTATAAAAAAGCAAGAAAACTGGCGGACGGACAAAATGAGCGCTTCCGTCCGGGAATATGTTTTCTTTTTTGTCGCCCCGGAATACAAATGAATGACATCCTTATGTATATTTATAGCGCGAGAAGAACAAAGAAACACATGTCCGCAGCGGTTTTCTCCCGCATTTTTCCACGTTTTCCGTTTTCCCTCCCGATCCGGACCAACCTTCATCCTCCTTGACGGAGCTGTTCGTGCTCAACGACATTCTCAGGCTCCGCTCGCTTCCTGTCAATAATACACAAGATGAATTTGTAATCGGGAGTTGAAGTTGCACGGAACAGAAAATGGAAACATTAGAGACAGGAAATCGGAATCAGAGAAGGTACAAAGTGGAGAAAAAGCACTAAAATCTCGTCTCGGTCATTTCGTTTCAGTCAGTGACGTTTTCGTTTTTTTGCTCGTTTTCAGTTTTTGACCAGCGTATTCTGATCAAAAAGTGTGTTCTGGTACAAGGTGGTACAATTGCGACTATTAAAAATAATGGGTTTATGCTCTTTCTGATAGTGGAAGAAGAGACGGGAGAGGAGGACATAAAATTTTGAATTTTTCGGAAGTTGCAACATTCCAACAGTTGACTGTGGAAGATAAATCTAGAAAAAATAGAGTCAGTAGTGAATTCGTACAATTTCTGATTTACTAGAAGCCTTCTCTTTTCAGAGAGAAAAAGAGACAGCGACAAAATTTTAAAGTGAAGTAGACACAATACACACACACACACACACACACACAGGTGTCAAACGAATCGTAAATGTGAGCCTGGGTGGTAGGTGTACGTGTTTGTGATAGTGATAGGCACGGACTGAAAGACGAGTGTTGCACAATGCCCGTTTTCTCATTCTCATTCTCTCCTCCTCCTCCTCCTACAATTGTTTCTTTGTGTGCCCTTATAACGCGCAAAAATGACATGGCGCTTATCAAAACATTAGTCACCCCCTCTCGTTCCCAACTCTTTTCCAAATCCAATAAAGCATGTCTTAGATGAAAAGAGAATAAAACGGGAGGGCCTTCCGACAAATGGAATAGAGAAACAATAGGGACGGACGGGGCATTGCGTCCCTGGTCGCATGCATTTATAATAGCTCAAATTATATTGGGAAAAGAGAGGGGAAAAAAAATGTTTTTTCCCCCAGCCCCTTAAGGTAACGGGTAACAAAGTCATTATTATCTGCGGTGTTTTCTAACTCATTGTCTTTTTCTGCTCGCTCTTCTTCCTCTCCTCGTTGTTTTCTGACTCCTACTAACTACTTTTCAAGTTGAATTGTTAGTTACTTAGTTAGAAAGAAAAGGAAGAGGAAGAGGAAGACAAAGATAGGTCAGATCAGAACAAAACAAAACACAACATCATTGATGATCTAGTAGTGATCTAGAATGGACACGGGCGCCCGACCAAACTAGTTTCCGCCTGAAGGTATCTTCTTGAAAGAGAAAAAGAGAGAAAGAGAGGAATCATCGATGATTGACCTATTGATATGACAGCAGACGATGACTTTTCGGTCTTCACACTCACTCACGTTTTGCAGAAGCCTCCGTCGCAATAGTTACAATATCGGCAAAAGTGGTCCGTGTCGCCGGCGCCACCACTGACGAACTTTCTTTGCAGATTGAGAATAACGAAAGGCACATGGTGAAAATAATTCCCTACTTTTTGCTTCTTTTCTAACCAGTCTAGAGCGTTGTGTGCATGCGATGCAACCATCAATTTTCGCGCGAACATCTCATCCAATTCTGATTTTTCGATTAGTTTTTCTTCGCGCTCGCAGACACACCAATTTTCTGTACAAAAAGTGCGTTGAGGGCTTCTGAAATTAATTGGAAAACAATCCGAACTACGGTTATTAGCGATCGCAATATCGCAACATAAAAAGATTATCATATTCTGGAAATAAATGTGCAAACGCGCACATTAGCAATGTCTGCATTTTTTGTTCTGGGATGCCTACTAGGACACTGTCCTTATGTCATGTGACTTGAGTTGAGTTGAGTTGCGATTGAGCTAATTTTTTTGCTCAGAAAGTGACTGGAAAGTAGTAGAAGAAGAAGAAGAAGAAGAAAAAGAAGAAGCCTTTGATCGAAAGTGTTGAGCTTGTTGGGAAAGGAAAAGAAAAAGACGAGATTGATTTGAAAATACTAAATTATTGATGGGCTACAATTATACGAGATTGAAGGATAAATCTGAATATGTCTGTTTTCATTATCCCTCAACTTTTTATCCTTTGTGTTTTGTTTAACGACGCTCTTTTTTCTCCAGTTTTTGAAAATGCACTGATGTGTGTCGGATACTTTCATTTCCATACCCCCTAGCTAAAAATGAATATGAATACGTCCGTAGGAAGACGCGCAGAATTTTTAATTCAAGATTCTCCTCCTCCTCGTCGCGACGCTTGATGCTTATTTGAACTGAACATAAGCACTAGCATATATATTTTTCTGACACGTCAAAAACAACGGATCACGCATTCATTCATTCGTCTTCACATCATCAACTAGGCCGGCGAAAGTGGAAAGGCGGAAAAGAAAAATGCCGAAAAATGGAACAAGGAGCAAAAGTGAGAGAAATGGCTACTTTCGGCGTGTTTACCGATGTGAGGAAGAAGAGAAAAGGAAACCGAAGAAGGGGCTGGAATTTGATTTAAAACTGACATTCAATAAGAGAAAAGGAGATGTTTTTCGCGCCAGGAAAAGTAGCAAGTGGGTGAAGAAGTTGACATCGCCGAAACGTTGTGTAATGTCCAGAGTTTGATTGTGAAATTGAGTTATTCGTGTTCCCTCGCTTTTTTCCATTCGATTCGAGTCCATCCCCACCCCAAATTTGCTCATTCAGGTTCAGAAGCGAGAGAAATTCAATACAAAACGCGCACACGCCAGGTTAGCTATACTATTTCTTGTCTCCTCTTCATGTTTGCGTTATTTTTGTGTTTTGGGATGATGATAATTCTTCTGGGATACCTGGGAGAATGGAAAAAGGAAAAACAGTTATAACAAACGAAAATATGCGTTAATGGACATACTAGCACACCCTTTTTCTTGAAGCGAAACATGAAACGCATAACTTCAAGTTTCAAGTACATAGTTTTAGTGGACTCACAAAGATGGGTTCCCAAACCGTCGCCAATTGCTGCTGACATCAACGGCGCCGAAGCGATGACTGCCGACGGGACGGACGTCTTTCGGCTTCCATTCGAAGCTGCAATTTGACCTTTTTTGGAGTCACAAGTCAGAATCCTCACTCGTGGAGCTGTTGCTGAAGAGCCGGACGACAGAACGGTGTTCGAAGCTCATTCTCGACTCATCCGACTGAAATAATAAAGGAATTGGGGAGGGATTAGTAGACCAGAAAAGGGAAAAGGAGGATTTTGGATTCATTGAAGCCTAATGCTGACTCTTTTTTTTTCTGCTTAATGACTTGTCCTTACTCGATTCATTGTAGTTGGCTTCGTTTAAGCAAAGTTCAGTGAGCCGCCTACAAGAAGTTGAAGATCCGAGGATTCTAGGTCGGAAAGTGAAAGTGAAAGTGAAGGAGGAGCACTTTCTCCGGGTGTTAAGCACTTTCTGGCTGACCAAATTGGATTTCAGGGGGTGAATTCAACAACTTCTGACGACGACTTTTCAACACAATGGGTGCTGAGGTCAGACGCGCGGCTCAAGTGACACCCGACGCGCACGCGTTAGAAAGTGGAATTGAATTCGCCAATTTCAATTCAAAATTCACCAAAACATTCACGTGAAGAAGAAAATCTGTCTGAGAGAAGATCATATCATAAATAAAACAGTTGGGGCAAGAGTCGCTGATAAATTGGCTCCAACTCTCTCTCTCTCTCTCCCAATCTCCGACAGAAACCGATAGATAACGGTATTAGAGATACGGAGACAAGCAAAAAGTGAGCGGCTTTGGTGTGTGTGTGTGTGTGTGTGTGGAGCAGAAGAGAGTCCAGGCCAATCATCCGACGACACGATGATTTTTCGAAGAATAAGCTTTTGTGGAATGATGTGATTCTGTGACTTCCTACAGAAACTTTTGAAAGAGTAAGCCCAGAAACTACAAAAAAGTGCACCTTGAGAAAGGGAGAGAGAGAGAGAACGAGCAACCAGATTGCCTTTCTTAAAATAGGGTTTCTAAAGGGGGGATTATTGAAAACTGGTCTTAACGGGCTCCAAAGAGGCAAAGTGCTTTTGATCTTCTATCGTGGAAGCGAACAGATAAAACTGATCCTTTGAAGATTAACACCACAGCTCCTCTGCAAAACTCACACCCGTGAATCCGTCTTTTAAAGGAGAGAAAAACGCCTTTCGTCATCCCATTCCGCAGGCGGATAATGTGCTGTACAATCTTTCACTCTTTTCCTCGACAATTGGGAGTGGGCGCCCTTTTAAACCCATTTCCACTTGAGCACGATAACATCTTCGCCTTCTTCTCTTTTTTTTGTTGACCAGAAAAACTTGAGAAATAGAGAAAGATCATGGGACGAGGAAGCGGAATTTAATGAATTTTTCATCAAAACTGTTAGGCTTCTTACTTCTCACTTCTCGCTTCTCACGACTTTGAGCAGGGTTCAAAACAGACCAATCGAGGAAAAGAGTTGAAAAAGGAGAAGCATCGCTAATATCATTTCTATCCAAACTTATTGATAACGATTTTTTATCAAATTTGGGCCCGATTCTGCTTATTTGCTCTCATATTTCCACTGCAGAGAAGTTTGGTCAGACAAACGTTCCAGACACTTTGAAAATACATGATCAAAGAGGAAGAAAATGAGAAAAGATACAGAGGTCTGCTGAAATGAATGAGATCCTTGTGTTAATCCACTCACACCTTTTCCATATCCAACTTTTTGGATAAGAGGGAACATTCACAAATAAACAAAAACAGATTAGTTTTTGTACATAAATAAAACATCAACATCCGGAAATCGGATTGTGAGAACTAGAGGACGTTCTCATGGCGTGATGTAAGCGAAACAAAAAGAGAGAAAAAGAAGAAACAAAAAGATCGAGCTCGATAAGAAACTTGGGAAATTTAAACTTCCATTTCCGGACCTTGGGAGCATGTGATTTCTAAGCTGAAAGGGGTGTAATTCAATTCATGGAAATTTATAAGAATTTTCAGCAAAAAAAGCGGCGTTTTCTCCAAATCTCCGCGCCAGACTCGTTGTGATGATGCTGTTTCTTTTCTTTCTTTTTTCTTCTACTCCTGCATTTACATTTCCCCCCACCCCTGGCCCCCCTCTCCGTCGCGGATAGATGTCCAGGGCCGTTTTCGTCGTCTTTAATTTGGTTGCAACCAACAACCCGGGTTAAACAAGCGTTGAAAGGGGCGAGGGAGGGACTGAAATCAAATTTTCGTGTCGGTGGCGGCCGCAAGAGGGAAGTAGAAGAGTGCGCAAAACCTATTACCCCTTTTTCAGTCAGTCTTGAGACCTCTTTTAAGAAAATATTCTTGGAAACGTTACCTTTTTGAATCGAAAACTTCTTCTCAAACTCATCGTCGTTTTCAAGAGACTATTGGTGACCGATGAGTTTCTGGCGGCTCCGGGTGGCGGATCTTGCGTAGGCGTAGGCGTCGACGCCGTTTCCATCTCGAATTTGAAGGAAGAGAAGTTAGTGCGCGGGAGATTCGGATTGCATGTATGATGGCAAAAGAAAAATGGGAGGCAATGGGTAAAAGGCGGACTGGAATCGGAAATAAGGAGCGTGCGAACTTGATTGAGCACGAGATCCACGGAAAGTCACTCACACTTGATTCCCCTCATTTCTGATGTCTCTTTTTTTTTCTCGGCCAAAAAACTGATGTGAATGTGAATGAAACTGCGCTAGTTTTGAGATGAAGGACAGAAATAGAAAGAAATGGGGCTAATGACCGAACCGACGACTCGTTTGTCAATTCAGATTCAGCTCTATTGAGAGGAAGAGATGGATAACCGAATAAGATTTTGGCAAGCGAGAGGGGGAAGGGAGTAGAAGTACCTATGATGAATGAAGGAATGATGAGTAGGATGAAAATGCCTACTTTTCACTATCCCCGGGATGATAAAGAGATTAGAGAAGGAAATGTTTCTATTTTTAAATTCATATCATATTATTCTAATCCGTTTCATTTCGGACGGTGTTCTCACGCTTGCAGCAATTCCGACTCCAACGAAATGAGCACCAACAATCCAGATGTGGCTGATCCATAGATTTCAACACTGACATCGATTTTAGATAGCAAAATCATCGGGCCAGTCCGAAATTTAGCAAATCTGTCAAAAACTAAGTAACTAAAGAAAGGAGTCACAAAAAAGGGTCACATGTAGAAAACAATAGAAAGTGCGGAATATTCATTGCCTATTCAAACGACTCTTATTTGCTTCTTCTTCTTTTCCCCCTTCACGAAAACCACATTTCGTAAATAGAATATTAAAGAAGGTAGGCGAGGAAGAGAGCGACGAAAAAAAAAAATGGAGACGCACCTCAGAGACCAGCAAAGTTTTCTTGTCGGGAAAAATAGGAAACCACCCACCGAGAATTGGTTTCCGAACGTTTCTCTCAAAAATTTTGGTGGTGTAAGGGGGGGGGGCACATTCTCAGGGACTTTTGAATAAAATTAGTATAGTACGTGAGAGAAGTTCTGGGAAATGGAAAAGCGTGACTCGCTATGGGAAAAAAAAAGTTTTGGATAGTCGAATTTACATATTACTTCACACGTCCTACTCCATTGCGGGAAGCGGGAAAACGGCTAAATTTTTGGGGAATAAGGCTCAACTTTTCGTTGAAAAAGTTCTTTAGGCGTTATTCATCTTGATTGGTGATATTTATGAGAAAAATGACACAGATATGCCACGTTCTCCCAAATAACAATAAAATTGATTAAAAGTTGCAAAAATTACAATCAGGCAGGATCCCGGCGACCGGGTCAGAACGTAAAGTCACAAGGGTTTATTTTGACAAAAATTCGCTATTCGGACTAATGTAAAAGCAATTGTTTTATTCCTATCCCCCAAAAACATTTTTTTGTCTTAGAACATCAGAATTGTTTATGCCTTGTCTGTGACGTCTATTTTCACCCTACCCTATTTTTAGGAATCAACAATCTTCAAGTTTACCCAAAAAAGATTGAGTTTGCTAGCTGTTTGAGGTTTTGAAGAAATCACAAATCACCAGAGGAAGTGCTAAACATTCAAAGTATGCAACTGAAAACGGAAGTGCTATAAAAAAAGAAGAAGAAAATGAAGTCAAATGAATGAGGTCATCATTGGAAGAAGTGTGGCTTAATTACAAGTGCCAAGCACAGAAGAATGCGAAGATGGAGAAGTTTTTGCACGCGTGGTTAAAATTGTTTCCTGGCGGTCGGGCATGAGAGCACAGAAAAGAAGAAACATGGATAATTGGGGGGTGTCTTTGGCAGATGAGATGAGAATCGACTATGAACACAGTTCTTCGTCTTCTTCTTCTTCTTTCCTCGACGAGCAGCACGGATTAGATTAGTGCTGAGTTTCTGGTTAGAAAGGATGAATATATGGACATATATGGAAGGGTTTTTGGGATGGATGCAGGAACTGACTCGGGTCTCGTGATTTTATATTCCTACCATAAGGTCAGTATATTTTTTGCTTCACAGTTATCCACGTGAATGATTATTTAAACTGGAAAATACATAAAACCATGATAAAACCCATGGTTGTCACGGGCTGGGCCAGGCCGGACTGTGATGGAAATTTCAACTCCTTATGCATAATTTTTACTGGTTTTCTCGGTTTTTGAACAAATGTATTGTTCTGCATCTATTCCGAAGTCATAGATGCATTTGAGAACAAAGTAAAGAAATTTTATACCGTACACATCACTCACCTCTTTGAAACTGTGCATACTGTTGTTCCGTGAAATCGACTTGAAGAATTGAAACATGTTCGGAATATATAAATATATATGTACAGATAGACAATTTTCTTCTTCTTCTTCTTCTTCGTTTTTTTTCAGATCAGCAGGTTTTGAGAAGGCTTTTCCAGCTGACGGCAAATAACACACACTTCTTCCCGATCGCTCGCCTAATCTTCTGTTTATTCCGACTCGAACGCGTCGGAAACAACAAGGGAAACAGGCAAAAGTCGATGTCGGAATGACGGCGTCAGACACGAGTTTAACCCGAAATTAGATGGCTCGAGCTTCGGTCGACGGCGGCGACGAAAACGTGAAAACTTGTCTTGTCTATCAACGCCAGTTTCTCATTTTCTTGTTTTTGCGTGGCGTTTCGAAAAACTCGGACGAGGGCGGATGTTCAGAAGCGAAAGACGGAGCACGGCAGAGACTTGACAAGAAATGTGGGCGCTGAAGAGAATTCACGCTACCGGAAGGCGTGAGGAGGCGGTTTTCGACGACGGCGCAGAGCACACCAACCCCGTAATTTGAATTATGCGATCAACTGGTGAACTATCAACAAGTGCATCTTCTAGAATCTTCCAGAGTGGAAGAGAACGGAAAGTTGAACCGGAAGTGGAGTGAAGTGAAGAAAGAGAAACACCAGATATGCAACAAGGAACCGTGAAATTCTCCGGAAATTTATCTAAATTTTTGTTCAAAAATGGCTGATTGCAACACCGATACGGGTTTTTGGCAATGTTACCGCACTTTAAAACACTTTCTCAAAAAACATTAGTTTAAAGTAAAAAAAAACCGAGCCGGTACTTACTGATGAGCGATCGCGACGCGTTTTGTGCCTTCGGAATATGGGCATATTGAAAACACTGAAAACACAGACCTTTTATTTGGAAAAATTTGAATAGAAATGAGCGATGAATAGAATGGAACGGAAACGGAACGGAAATAAACGAAAAACTGTAAACCGACGTCATCGATTTCTTAAAGTTATGCTGAAAACTTCAAAACGTTCTCACGATGCGTTGAAAATGTCAGATAATTGTGAGAAACCGGCAGAGTATATAAATCCAAGCAATTACCCCGCTGACACCTAATTGTTCTGCACTGACTTTGCAGCGCACATGATCACTAGTCTGCATACATTTCTCAAAAGTTTTGTTCATAAACGATTCACAAAGATTTTGATCGTCCATCGGTTTCCGCGTCCCTTCCTCTTCCAATTATTGTGAAATGAGCCTTTTCCTAACTTTTCCCTGAAATCCTGCGGTTTTTCGTTTCATATGGCTCATATGCTTGTCTCGTGCAAACTTTTACGACTAGATTAACGATTCGGACCATGAATTTCGTCTTCTTCGGATGCGTCAGAGTCCCCTGTCAACCGGAGGGTTTTGTCATGATCGTCATAATGAATGACATGGGCTCCATTGGAAAAATTGTCTGTTTTGACATCTCCTTGGCGATGGAGCTATAAAACTGAGCACAGGGAGGCACAAAATCGTCATTTCTTTTTTGGACTCTTTTTCTATTTTCTATTTTTGATGCCCTTTTGGTCTTTGTGATGGGGAAGACGATGATGATGATGATGACGAAGCGACCTCTCCTTATGAATCTATGAGTCCGTGTCATGAAACATGCCAATTTTTATGAGGGAGGCTCTTACATATGGATGCGGAAACGATGCGAAGAAACTCCCAGAAGGAAAAAAAAAGCGGGCAAAACTTGGAAGTAGGAATAGAAGCAACTACCGATCCGTATTTTTCTCTAGGAACTTCCAGACATGTTTTCTGCTTTTCCTTTCAAAAACTTTCTTCTTCCAATTAACTAACATCATCGCATAACCGACATCTGACCGGAAGCCAACCGCCCCTAGTTTTTATGACTAATCTAATGGGAGTCAAGGCTGTCTCAAGTTTTTTGTGCTTGTCAGCGAGAGGTTCCGAATATTGGTACCCTCCCTCATCACTTTTGAAGATCCACAACGACCTTGTTTTCTCTTTTTTCTCTTCTCTCCCAATTCTTTTCAATTTTGAAGCCGAACCTACTTGGACTTTATTGAGAAGATTGAATTCAATTCAATCGAGAGATTGGAGGAAAAAAATAGATTAGATGCATTCATTTCACTTCACTTTTTCTCTCATTCCCGAAATAAAACTTGCAGCTCAGCTACAGTATCCCCGGCGTTCAAATCCCTTGACTTAGCTTGGATTGCTTGATGTACTGGTCATCGAGCGAGCAGAAAGTTCTGCAGCCAGCCCAATGCAGTTTTGAAAACCGGAAAAAAGTAATTGTCGTCGTTCAGCTCCAGTAACCGTGGGCTCCCCCATAAAACCTAACTGCTTCTTTCTGTTTTTGTGGCGATGGTCGGTGAACTGGGTAGAAAAACGTCATGTTCCCTCCCCCTCTACTTAAACTAAAAGAATCTTATCTTTTTTTCCGAAAAAGAGCAGAGATTGATCTGTGACTAGATCCTAAATCGGATATAGGTGTACACCAACGGCGGCTGAATCATTTCACATTTTACATTTTCCATACTCGGCCCGCCTTCTTCTCGAAATTCTAGTTTTCTGATTTCTTCCAGATCAAGGGCATTAGTCGCCGACAAAGCAGAATCATGATGTGCCTGGAACGAGAACGAATCCCGTTTTCGATCCAATTCTTCTTTTAAAATTGATAGAATCGTTTCCTTTTTCCTTTTCAACTATAGCTGCTGTTTTGGGAGCGGACGAGCTTCATTTGAAATGAATTCGTGAACAGTTCCCCCCCCCCCTCTGGTTTCTATCACGCCCATTCTTTTCTCATAAAATATGTGTAGAATGAGCATGTTTTGGGTCGGGTGTCAGATTCGTCATGATCATTTCGAGAAGCTCCTCCGTGCAGTTGCGCGCCTTCTTGGAATGTCTTGGGATGACGGTCCGTGGGATTTTGCATTTTTTATACACGATTTATGCAAAAGCATGATTCAGTTTAATCTCATGTTTCTTTTCTTGCTCTTGCAAAGGACCTACACTTATGTACGCTTAAGTTTTTTGAAGTAAAACTTTCAGAGGTCGCAAATGATGGGTTACTCGCAATCCCGTGTCATCATCTCGCTTCTTCTATTTTCCGTGCTGATCTCAATTTGCCTGGCGGTCCCACCGGCTCTGCGTCCGCAAGAACTCAACGGTACAGTTCAGTACATCTCCTTTTTTTAAACTTTTCTTTGGATTTCAGCTGCTCCGGATGAGTTCTTGATTTATGATGAGGAGCCGTTCGAGCTGACCAACGACGGAACCGGAACCGGAGAGCCTCACGAGTAAGTAATCTTGGGACCTAGACGGATGCAAACGTGAACTACTTAGCGATAATTTGCACTGTTAAAGGATCTTTCCCACAGACTTTTAATACTTAAAACTTGAATTATTTGCAGGGAAAAACGAGCCGTGTTCCGGATGGGCAAACGAGCCGTGATGAGATTTGGCAAACGGGCGGTGATGCGATTTGGAAAGCGATCTGTGTTCCGACTCGGATGATTCATCCTCCACAATCGTTCAACACTCCACTTGAAATGAACTAAATACTTCCGGGCTCTTCTCTTTTCTCAACTACTTTCATACTATTTCTCTGCAATTTCTTTTTTTCCACAACGTTTTAAAGCCCAAGCCCATCTAGATACTATAGAAGTTCCCTCCAATTTCCATCTTTATTTTGATCAACCTGAAAAAAGTGTGTGTGTTTCTCAACGTTTGGAATAATAAATTGAAAGTGTGTTAGTCAATTTCCACTCTTTTTGTTTCAGGCTAGCCGGCATGTGCCGGGAAGAGTCAGGTAGATATTGTAAAATCGTATAGATTGTGTGTGACAAAAAAATATTTTTGTCGTCGTCTCCAAGGATTTCCACGAAGACATTGTCGTTGGAGTGCACAAAGTCCAAGACGGACTTAATCGTTTTCTAAGCTGGTACTCCTAGTCTCGAGGGATTCGTTAGCATGTCCTCATTTGAGTTTGGGCAAGTCCAAGGAAACTTCTGTTCGGGTTTTGTTTTTCAGGTAGTCTAATCTAGTTATCACCTAGTAATTGTATATAATCGCATGAAGTTTCCCAACTAAAATCAGTAAAAATCATAGATTACACGTACTCTTATGATGGGACTTAGTTGGAAGACCGGTTTTTTACCTGTGTTTTCTTCATTTTGGCGAAAAACCTGTGAAAAACTTGTGAAACCTAATTTTTTACTGCTTTTTCCGGTTTATGCACCAACTCTTAGCACATATATGACGGGCTCGCTTAGACAGCTGAAAAAACCATTAAAAACCAGTTCTGTGAAACGGAAATCTAAAAATAAACTGTTTTCTAGCCAAGTGCGTCATTCCTTCCCCCAAATGCCATCGTCACACACATCCCAGATGCATCCAAAGCGAAAAAAACGAAGATGCCCTTTGAATTGTATGCTGGTGTCTCATAGATCACGAGCTCGTAAACAAGCGGGCCGTCCGGTGAGACAGCGGAGGTCTTGTGGCCGTCACAAGACAGTCGCCTCAGCGGGAGAAAGCTAGTCCCCGTGCAAGAGTCCCCCGGCCACCACGTTGTTTTTGAAGGGACCCCCTTGCCGCCTATTGATTCACTTTTTGGAGGTCCTACTTTGCGTTTGGTCGCCAAAAAAAGAGGAACTCGACTGCGAGACTGCGGAATCTTATCAGTATTTCGTCAACTTTCGATTCCTCTTTCATCTATCATCTTTCTCTCCGTTTTCTCTCACGGTTTCACTTTTTTGTTCGGTTTTTGTGTCCCACTTCCTTGTCTTCCTCGCCAGTTTACTCCTCATTTTCCTGATAACAATTTTAGAATTGCAGATTACCGCAATTGATGATAAACTGCCAAATTTAGCAATCGACGTTGCTAAAAATGGAGCACGATGCGAGGTAATAACTAAGCATTCATTCTTTGTTGTTTTAAAGCACAAAATTCCAGCTTCAGCCGCCGTGAAACGATTCGCGACAGCTCGTACATCTGTGGAGTTGTGGAAGGTACATAATCACACAAAAATCACCAAAAATTCCTCATTTTTTACAGGATTTTACGGTCGACCGTGGACGTTGGAACAGAGGAAACACCTATTCAAACGGCAAAATCATCTCGGTCTGACAACCTACGTGTACGCCCCAAAAGATGATATCAAGCACCGTTCAGTGTGGAGACAAATGTACAACGAAGAAGAGATGGGTAAGTATGTCGAAAGTCGGCACGGGTTCAGCATTTTTGAGAAAAATGGTTGGTTTGACGCAATTTGTAAACAGACAATTACAAAAAATAAAATCATGTCTTGAAAGGTTTTGAAAAGACTCTCGACAAGTCTGTTTGAAAGAAAATCGTTGCTGGTTTCAGTTTACCTCCGAAACATGGTCGAAAGTGCAAAAGAAAACAATGTCAACTTTGTCTACGCGATTTCTCCGGGATTGGACATTGTGTACAGCTCCGAAAAGGAATTGGACACTTTGAAGATGAAATTAGAGCAGGTACAGCTCACCGAACACGTGGATTTCGTCAAATAGTTCTTTGCAGGTTAAATCAGTAGGATGTGACTCTTTCGCAGTACTATTCGACGATATTGAGAAGGAAATGCATCAGGAAGACCGAGAACAGTTCAAATCTTTCGCCCACGCTCAGGTAAATGGAATTGCTTCCAGCTACTATTCCGAACTATCATTTTCAGGTTCATATCGCCAACACCCTACACGAACATCTAAAATCTAAGACGTTCATGTTTTGCCCCACGGAATACAGTGAATCCCGTGCAGCGCCGACTCTGGAACGATCGCCCTACCTAGCGACAATCGGTGAACACTTGGCAAAGGAAATTCACGTGATGTGGACAGGTAGGATTCGGGATTCGGTTCACAACAACAAAACATGTAAAAACATTTCAGGACCACGAGTTATTTCTCGTTTTATAACAGTCGAACACTTGGTGCGAGTGGGTAAAGTAATCCAGCGAAAGCCGCTTATATGGGACAACTTACACGCGAACGATTACGACTTGAAAAAAATATTCATGGGTCCGCTTATGCATCGATCCGTCGAAATCAAGGAAGTCACTTCGGGACTGCTTTCCAATCCGAATGGAAAATACGAGGCGAACTTTGTGCCATTCCACAGTTTATCCGATTGGAATGCGGCTGACAGAGATTTGCTTGCACGTACGTCATTGAAGAATAGCCGTGACCAAAAACTAACGAAAAGTACATTATAGATGAATCGGGATTGTCGGAAGATAATGGAATACTCTACAACATTGACATCAACACCCCGACCGTCTACATTCCAGAAGTTTCCGTGGTGAATGCCGTGATCTCTTGGATCGACGAGTTTCTCATACCAACTCCCATCATTCCTTCACAGTGAGTCAGAAATGACAAGCTAACTCTAAAGATATCAGGCTCAGAAATCCACAACTCACCGCTGATGTCATTGGATCCGTGCCAGGGCGCCGGAGTTCCATTTGGCTTCAGGATCTTCCGACAACTCACGGCGTCATCCATCCGGAACCAATTCAGCCGGCCGAAATCCCGACCGAGAACATCATACAATCCGCTGTGCCACCTGAAGAACCGGTCCCATCGGAGCTCAATTCCCTAGCGGCAGACTACTCGCAGCCAATGGAAACTGATGATCTTTTGGATATGTGTGACGAGGATGACATGGTGACGGTCGACGACGAAATCGCGAGACCCATTGGTTTTGCGGTGTCTGAGGACGAATTGAGAAACCAGAGAATCGCTTTGCTGACATCGATTGTCGAGATTTACTATCTCCCATTCGAGAATGGACCGAGAGTTCAGACACTTTTCAAGGATTTCGTATGGCTCATGCGAAATGCAGCTGTGATGAAGAAATCGTTTCGAGAAATCGAGTAAGTTTTTGAGCAAATGCAAATAAAAATGCCGAGTTTTATTTCAGAACTCTGGATCCGATGCAATCCGAGTGGTTGGTCAAATACGATGGAATAAACGAGTTCCTCACCAACGCCATCGACGCGTTCTTTTTTATCACGCAGGCTCCGAACAAACCGCTTCTTGCCGAGCTCGTGCCATACGCATTCGATGCTCACAGTTCGTGTGTGGTCTTACTGGCTGTGGCTCGATGGATGATGCTGGGACATGCGGTGGATACCGCCGGAAGTCACTTGCCCGAAGATTTCGGATCCAGCGACGAGCGATGGATTCAGCAGAATGGATTCAACACGGACACCATGAGGTACCACACACACACACACACACACACACACACACACATGAACTCTCACCTCAACGTCAATACACTTTCAGAGTCCTCAACGTCGTCGACAACGTGGAGAAGATGTTTAGCACGAAAATCTTCCTTCCTCTCTGCATGTACTGCTTCGACATCCGGCCATTCAACATGTCCGACTGTGATTACATCTCCGGAATGGTAACCGTCATGCTGACCCACAACCAGGACCTTCTATTGCATCGTGCCAAGAACTTTGCCGACCGGAACATCATTCCCTTCTTGCTCGGTGGAGCCCGCCACAATTTTCTATGTGAGAAAGTGGACGAGACCGGCCACAAAGTATATCGCTCCCAGACACATGGATACATTATTCGATACATTTTTCAGCCCGTCTGTTACTCATCGGCACACGCCGACGGAATGCATTTCAGCCAATACCTCGAAATTCATAAATCGCAATTGAGGGAGAAGTACAAGGGACTGGTGGAGGATAGGAAGATCGGATCGACCAAACTCACGGAGGAGTACATCGACTTCATTCAAGACAGCCAAACACCAATGGATGTGGACGATTGGTATCCGAAAGTTCCGGAGCATATTTTTGAGAAGTATCCGGCATGGGTGGAAACTTATTTCGGATTGGATGCCACCGACGCTCATCCTATGAAGAAAACTCTGCAGATCACGGCTGTAACGTTGGCGATGAATGGTGAGCATTGTATTTGGACTTTTTTATAACGTGATCGGCTTTCAGGCTCACCCGGCTACTTCCTATCCGTGCCAATCGACGACTTTGCACGTCAGAAGTACTTTTTGGAGATTGGCCTTCACGACCTGGGACCGTCCCTTTGCCAACGATTCCGTCTTTTCGGACAAGTTCTCCGCACAGTCTCTCGTCAGTCTTCAAGTTCCGACGATTGATGTTCTTTTACGTTTCGCACTTTCGGTCCGAAACAGCATAAATTCCCATGTATTTTGTGCAAACCGTTTCTCATCAACTTTAATCTTTTCAACTGTTTATTTGCTTCCTTCAAAACTATAATCATTTTCAATGCTGTACCATAGTCCAATGTCCCTTTTTTGACCCGGAACTTCTTAATGATGTGTCACCTATCGCCTTTTTTCTCCAATGTGCTACAAATTCCTTCTCAAACACTTTACTTCTCAGCAAACTTGTCCTTTTATCTGATAAAACTGGTTTTCATCGACGAATGGCAATGCGATTGTCTTGAGCTGCCATTTTTAGTCATTATAATCCCTGTTTACTTGCAATAATAACATGAATGAATTCCACAAACCAGACTTATCTGGGGCCGTTCAGCGCATCAGCCCTCGAATAAAATACATCATTTCTGAGACAAATGTTTTGACAAAATCGTGTTTCGTTCGAATTTATAGATTAAGTATCAATTTCAATGAGAAAGGCGATTTTCCAAGTAAACGATCTAAAAATTCGCTCATTTTTTCAAAATGTTTGCAAAATGTCTTCGCCCAGTTGACCAGTTGATTCCTATGAATACACTGACTTTTATTTGAATCTACAATCGAATAAGTGAAATGAAAATAATAAATTACTCAAATAATTTAAATCCGACAAAATCAAAGGCGGATGGTTAGAGGCTCAGAAATTTTTGGAGGGTGCGCGACTGACTATTCACACAAAAACGAACGAATTGAGTGACAGAACATATTTTAAAAAAGAACTATTGCTTCTGAAGGAATAACTGTAGGGTACGTTGAAAGCGGACGAGGGGGTTTGGGTTTGGGATGCGACGGGACAAGTGTGTCTTACATTATGCTGGATACGGGAATGTTGCAAAAGCAATAATAATATTACTGCATACAAAAATCATTTTTAAAATAATAAAAGAATAACTTATGAAAATGCAATCTAGAAAAAAAAGGATCGGGATGAGTATAAGTGATTATAAGACACAGAAGAATGCTTCAGTGGGTGTTTCGTGGATGGCACAGTGCTCCTATTTTGATTGGAAGTGATGATTGAGGTTAAAATTGGTCCGAAAGCAGATCGACCAACGTCTTCACAACCGTATCCTTGCTTGATCGTACTGTCAGCCGGTACATCTGAAAATCAACTCTTTTTTATGTGTCCGACCGCAAAAACCAACCTTGGCTTGCTTGTTGGGCTCCAACCGAATCAGCGTTCCAATTTGTTGCGTTTGGGTGTGAATGATACCCGCACACACATAATTGTCCGGATTCGGATCCACTTCGGTCAGCAAATTCGCTCCAAGACCCTTCAATTTGGTCTCAATCGTCGCCGTCTCCATTGGGCTGAGCGCGGTGAAGATCTTCTGGGCCTCTTGTGAAGCGGCTCCGAGAGACTTCCATCTGGTGAAGAATTGCTCCGACGTCATGACTGTCGGTTCGAAGAACTTGCTTATAAAGACAGGAAGGTAGAAGTTCTTGTCGAAGTTTTGTAGAGCTCCGGCGCGGTCACTAGAAAATTTTGATTTTGTGTTGAACTACAAGTTATTGATGACTTACGTGAAAGTGAACTTGATGTTCATTATAGGCATCTTCTGGAACTCTTGTACACATACAAAGTTAATCAATTGCTGAACTTGAGTTCCAGCAGCAACCAATGGCTCCACCGGCTTCGCTTGGGCCTGAAGTTGGACCGCCAATGCGCCAGGACACGTGATGATCGGAGAGAACTTGTTGAACGGCTGCGAAGTTTTGTTTCCGTAGAACATGCCAAGACGTCCTAAATTGTTGCGGGTTTCGAGCTTACATCCGATTTGGATGTAGTCGTCTTCCCAGAGAATCGCATTGCTCTTCGTGACAAACTTCTTTATGTCCGCTTTATTGGCAATCTCGACGTCATCCCCAGGTGCCCCGACACTGGTGCCCGAGTTGTTGGCAAACACGTCGGCGAGCGAGGCGGTCGTCTCGTTGATCGTATCCAAGTCCACCAGAGACGGCGATCCCTCGTTCATCACTGCCGACGGCTTCGACCGTTTTTCCTTCTCCTCTCTCTCCAACTCCTCCAACTGCGGCTTGCTCTTCTTCAACTTGGCCAACAGACTGCTCTCCTTCTCCGGGAACGCCGGCATCACCTCAAGAATTGTAGCGAGCACATCGCCCGATGCCAATTTTGTCATCTGGAGATACTCGATAGACCGCTGTTGTAATTCGGCATCCGGATTTCGAAGGTTGTGGTCAGTTTGGAAGACTTGCTGCACCAACGGTTTCACTTCAGGGAACAAGTTGCAGAACTTGATGTAGGTGGTGAGCAGGAGGCATCGAGTAGTGATGCTGCACAAATGGAACTTGGAGTGCAGCAATTCAAACTGGATCTTGGCGGTCGAACGCTCGTCTCCGGCGATGAAGTTTCCAAACTCTCCGAGAATGTATCCTCCTACTTTGACCATGTTCTCGTGGCACGCTGGTCGCTGCAGAGCCTCGAAGACAGTCTTTGCTGCGTATCCCTGAACGTCCTCGCGGTTGACGACAATCTGAAAAAGCACAACTGATTGGACAATACTCGGGGATGTTCAAGATTACCTGGATCACACGGTACCAGACTTCCTCGCTAACATAGTCGCCGGCGATTCGGATGAGCTTGAGAATGACATCCACGTACCAAGTGTAGTCGGTCGCGTACTTCTCAGCCAGAATCGCCACCTTTAGCACCATTTCTTCCCGAATCGAGTAATCGGCAGTTTCCAGGTAGGCCAACATCTCGGCGACAATCTGGTTGGCGTTGGAACGATCGCACATTGCGTAGAGCAAATCGACGGCTCTTTGACGGACCGACACGTCTCTTTCGGTCTTCAGACTGTTGATGATCGTGTCCTGGTGCTTCTTGACGGCGTCGTGAGAGAACTCGGAGGTTGCCAGAAGACACATAGACTCGAGAGCCAGATATCTTAGATTGGTTTCCCTGTGCGACAGGAAGGTTCCTAATTGATTACAAGCACGAACAAGCAGTTGGGGCTCTGAGTCCATATGAATGATCAAAGCAATCGCCTCAAATAGGACTGCATTCTTAGCGTTGGAGTGCTGAACCTTCTTCGACTTCGGCGCATCTTGAGCTTTGTTCAAGATCCCTTCTAAACACTCCAAAAGGCGGGCCTTGTTGGACGGATCATCGGGTGGCGGGTAGTTTTGGAGAAGACGCAACAACTTGACACAGAGCCACGGCGCCGGCACAAAATAGTAGGTGTAATCTTGTAAATCCGTGTAGGTCGCGGTCACAATGCGGCTCAATCGGGAAATAGCCAATGGCACGGAGCCCTTGTACTCTTCCGGCCACTTCTTCGACATTGCTTCGATGAGGGAAGCCGCCGACGTGACAACACCCTGAAATACATGGTTTTTAGTTTTATTTCAAAAATCATCGCTAGAGAAATTTTGGAAGCAGACTTGTCGCTGGCAAGGCCGTTCGGTCAGGTTTCTAATACTAAAAATTTGAAGACATTATTTCTGAGTCAAATTGTTTCCGAAAATAATGATTTTTCGTAAGTTTGCGTTTGCAAAGTTTCCAAGTAATAAATCTGAAAAATCGACCGTTTTTCCAATACGTGCAAAAACGTTTGAACTCGTGCGGACCGGGCTGATTTTCGACAAGTCTGACCGGAACTTCCATTTTTCACCTGTTCCATTGCTGTCACCGGGCCGTTCCGTCCCATACCGCGAGTCTTTGAATAACTTCCTTACAGATGGGGAAACATTTTGATTTGTACCATTTTCAGTTAAGAGCCGTTGAGAAGGATAGTAAGCTATGGCCCTTCATTCACACGGCTTGGCTACTTGACGGCTCCTTTCACGTTACTTGAATGACAAATATCCAAAAGGATCAAACTCATCGAGATCTCAAATTTTAACTCCGATCGTGTACAAAAATGACGTTTCCTAGGAAAGTTATCCAAAGAACCGTAGCACGGCCCGGTGCCAACTATGACCTGCTCCAACGTTTCTTTTTCTTTCTACTCACCATGTGCGAGTCATTTAACAAATGCACAATTCGACTGGCGTACTCTCCAGTTTGAAACTGCTCGGGCGAGTTACGGAACAGCTTCAGAATGCACAACGCCGCCGACTGCTTCACAAAATCGATGGTCTCTCCAGAGACAAGCAACTTTGGAAGGTCGGTGCAGAACGCCTCGGCCATCTCGCGGCATCCCATGTTTGAAATGCACTGAAGGGCGAGGTTGACGTGCACCGGGTTGCGGGACGTCAGGTCGTTGCGGATTCCTTGTACAATCAGCTTCATCAGATCTGATTGTTGCTCAATGAGCACCGAGATGAACAGATACCCCTGCAATGTTTTTTTTTTCAAATTCATCATATTTTCTATTGCTGTCCTCCCATTTGACAGTCGATCAAATTAATCCCAAACACAATTCAACGGGAAATTAATCCGCGTTGATCGCGGTTTGGCAACATTTTCGCAATTTTCACACCCACCCATATATCGTGACAAATTTTAGTTCATTCGAAACTCACAATCTGCTTCTCGGTGTACTTGTTTGACGAGAGAAGGTTGACCGCTTCCATGTGCCCAAAGTCAATGTCATTTCCGAGAAGGAAAATGAAGAGCAGCTTGCACACGTATTTCTTCTTCTGGTAACCATCCAACGTTTTGTCGCCTGTAACCATACTTTGAATTATTTCTCAATCGCAATTCAATACCTTTGAACTTGGATCGAATATTGGCAAGTTCTTTGTTGATGCGCTTCAACTCGGCCTCCTTGCTCTTGCAATTACGGATGTCGCTGATGAAGACGGCGAGACCGCGCATGCCATCTCCCTTGACGGCCGGCATCTTCTGTAACAACATTCAATAGCCTTTCTGAAAAAATGAGGTGGTTTGTCCGGTCAATCGCATGCAAAACTGAGGGACAACAACAGAAAAAGAATATAGAACGGAGGAGATGGGGAGCGGGAGGGATTAGTGAAATTGTCTTACTGCTTGATTAATACACGCCGCATTCCTTGAAAGATCACGGAATGCGAATGAATGCATTTGCGTTGGCTTTGAGCTAGAATTTGTTGTGTGGCGAATGAGACCAGTGGCAATTGAAATATGTGAAATGCAACACGCAAAACGCAACAAAGTTTAGCGCTCTCGCTCCCGGTCAGTCTATCGGATTGTATTCAATTCATCGAGAACAAAACCGGACGACACCACTAAGATATCGATTGATTTGTAGGGCACAAAGAGCGTTGACTTTTGAGGGAAAACAAAAACCAACGGCGATTGTATGTATACACATATGACTGGCCGAGAAAAGAAGAAAAAAGATTCGTTCTGGGATAGAGAGAGAGAGAGAAAAAAGAAGCGATTATTGCGCAGAAGTCAGAGGAGGCGAAAAGAAAGACGCATTCTTTTTCGGGCAAGGGCACGCTAACCAAAATCCGATACGCGCTAGGGTAGACGACTGCTGCGGCCCCTTCGGACACTGGACAAGAAAAGAGGGCGCGCCGTGAGTGTGCAAACACCGCCACGACACTTTGCGTACCCATCGACACGTCCTCCTCCCGCGCATTGATTTCGGAGGGTCCTGCCCGCCTGCCGGATGGCCGACGCGCAGAGTAGTGCCGGCCGGGGCCGAAGGGACCTTGTTTGCTTGCAGTAGAGAAGCCGAAGTAGGAAAGGAAAAAGAGGGCAGGCAAGTGAAATGAATCCCTTCTTGCCCGGACCCTGCACGTACATATACACACACTTCAGGGAATTATTCACCACACTTCTTATAATTGGGTTCACCGTCTAAGAAAAAGGAAAAAAGAAGAAACTTGAGAAAAATCGAAACATTTTCGTGAGGACACTATTTCCTTCCAAAAAATTGTGTTCTGGTTATGAAAAGAAAGGAAAGACCAGTGTATGTTTGAGAAGAAAGAAAGAACTCGCCGAGCGGACCCTCTGAGACGGAAAAGGGGTCGGAGCCGTAGAAATTGTGCGCAAGATGCGAAAAGCGAAAGGAGATGGAGCAGATGCACGACACTTTGTCATATATGAAGGCAATAAGTTAGGACAAAGAAGAATGAACCAAAGAAAACTCTGTTTTGGTTTTCAGGAGAAAATAACGAGAATTGTAGGTGGTGTTAGTCAGAAAGATATAATTCTTCTCACTTTGGGTCGATCACATTCCGTTCGGAGAGTTTGTTCGATGTTCGCAGCGTACATGTGGTCTTTGGTCAGATAATAGTTTTAAAAGCGCATCGCCACTCATTTCCGGTCACTTCCGGAACCGTTGATGAAAAATTCACGATTCGCATGTTTTTTCTGCCCCATTTGACAATAAAGTCGAAGAATTTCATTGAAAACTGAAGCGAACTATACAAAAAGGCAAAAAAAGAGAGAGAATGATTAGGATGTTTGGTTGTTTTTGATTGACGAGTGTTTGTGGCAGTAGACATTCACAGATAGATACAGAAGACAAAATTGATATGAAAAAGAAGAAGAAAAGGAAAACGAAGACGCATGATTGTTTTCGCAAACGATTGATATTTATTTCAATCCTGGTAGAGCGGGTTTTCCATCAGATACGCGCATTCGCTGGGTCGGCGCGAAACGTGTGGGGAGCTGGTGTAGGAACGAGCGGAAGCGCTGAAATTGTTTCAATTTCAAGTATTATGAATCATGAATGAAATACCTAGAATATCTGTCAGGCTGTATCGGAATGGCCACTTCATAGGAGACCGATTCGCGGTAAGGAGAGACTGGCCGACCGTCGTGGATTGAAACAAATCGGGATTTCTTGGTTACCTGCAATATCACTAATCGAAATGAAAATGTTCATTTTGGAATTGATTGATGAAACGGCGAATACTTTTTAAATCAAATTGTTGCCAGACACCAACCTTCTTTAGTGGAAGATTCGCAGAGTTCACCGATACATTACTGTTTCTCGACCCGGCTCCAGATCTCGACGAGGCAGAGTGTCCAGATCTCGGCGATAACATGTTGATAGACCCGGATCGTGGCGAGACCTCATCTGCAACTTTCTTGAAAAGATCTCATTTGACTTTGCTGTCGTTCTTGGAACTCCGTCTAAAAGTCATCTCGTCACGTTTGCACACCAATGAGATGAGTAATGACGTCGCTCTAACAGTTTATTAAACTTCACTTGACGCAGACGTCTTCGCCGAAGAGTCTGTCATCCGGAACAAATTGGTTTTGTGCAAACCAGATACATCCTAGATCCGCGTTCATTTTCTCTTCAAGTGTATACTTTGTTTCATGATGTCACGCTATTTTCGTGCTCGCTCCCGTCAAATGCCCTTGTCCTCCCCCCCCCCCTCTATTGTTCTTCATTTGATGCGAATTTTTCATTTTTCGTACCAAAAGCTATTGCCTATTCAATTCAATTTACAAATTTCATAATAATTCTATCCCCGGCTTACTTCCCTCTTACCATAATGCAGTTTTCTCGGTGACGCATGGCGCGAAGAGTTGGCAGGTTGGATGTCGATGCGTGGGATATGAAGAGGCTGGATGGGCTTCAAACATCACTCCAATTAAATTTATAGTTCAAAAATCAAATGCAGAGTCTTCATCTGACCTCGAAACTTGCGAGTTTTGCGGTTTGGGACGTGTGTAAGTGCGGCACGTCCAATTAAAGTGGGAAAAAGAAGAAGAAGTAGACTCTAGCATGTACTTACTTGCAACAAGTGCCGACTCAACGAATTTTCGCCGCCAACTGGAGTGACAGGTCGGACTGGAGATGCCGGACGCACTGGCTCCGCCGGCTGAAATTAACTTTTTTTGCTGGATCGTTTTTCCATTCGCTTCTTCAAGACAGACTTGCAAGATTTCTGATCGGCAAATTTTTGTGAATTTTTGGACCCACCCCCGAAGGGCAGGAAAATTGCACGTTTTGGCCCAAGCAGTGTTGTCTAATCCATTCATAAACAAAGAAAAAAAATGCTGACTCTTCCGTTCTCGCATAAGCAAACATTGTACATAGTAAGAAAGTTGATTTTTTCCTCATTCCAATTCACCCCCGTTATAATTCAACCAGTTTTCTTCTATCCGCAGAGAAAAAAAAGAGGAAAAAAGAAAAAATCAGCTCAAATAATACGAGCTATGTATTTCGGGAGGATTTTGATGACTTTGTCATTCTTGACGTCGTGAAGACACTAGAAAGCGTTTATTCTTCGCTATGGCCAGTAAAATTGAGCTGATTGACAGCATGCGTAGAAAAGAATACGTAAAAAAGAGTCATAGAAGGAATCAGGTGGTAGGGGAGAGCACCTGCTTCAAAAAAAAAATGGAATTCCCGACACGAACATTGCTTACTTTTCTTCCCTTCTCTAATTTTATGCATGTAGTTTTATGAGGAACCAACTGACATTTTTCTCAATCTTCACCACAATTTCGCCGTTCTCATCACGCCCATACGTTCTTCGTTCGGTGTACTGTTTCGAGGAAACTTGTCGTTTTGGCTAGAAAAAATTAACATGTCCGTGTCTCAATCTTTTTTAAGCATACCTCGCTATGAGGTGTTCCGTGAATTCTACGTTCGAAAGTTTCGATTGTGTGGGCTTCTTCGCTTCCGATTTTCTGAAAATAGTTGAGTTGTAAGGTTTCCAGAATGGATTAGTCAAAAATTTTGAAGCTCAGATAAGTCAAAATTGTGACGTATACCTCAAATCTTCCACCCTGGTACGGTCGAACGTCCATAGTCGATTGAGTTGAAAGTAAGTTCGGAGAGAATGCGCAAACTGAGATGATTCAGTTCTGTGTCGCTTTCCAACCAAAAAGACTTTCCTTCCCCGCTTCCCCTCCTTCTTCCCCTCCCATCCTCCTCTAACCTCCCGGGCGGCTCCGGCTCCCACTCGCTCTTTTCGCAACTCTTTGCTTTACTTTAACACTATTAGAGGCGCACCACTAAACAAACAAAATACAGTTGTGAGCCCCTTTCTCTCTCTCTCTCTCACGCGGCGCAAGGGAAGGCTCAGCGAGCCGCCACGCACGCAAAAAACTCTTGTTGAACTCCGATTCAAGTGGATTCCACTTCTCCAATTTGATGATCTACTGGGGGAAGGATGGAAAAAGTTGGGGAGAGTGAAAAACTGGAGAGCATAACTGGTTATATCCCAAGATTTCAAGGTGATAACTGCTTGGTAAATAGGAAAACTGGAGAGTAGGTCAAAAAACACTTCGAAAAACATGGCAACGACGCGATTTGTATACGTAGAAGACATTGAAGCTTGACTCATCACAGATAAAGTTTAATGAAAAAACGTTGTTTTTCAGGTCCCGTTGGATTTTTTAGTTGGATGTCTGTTTTTTTTCCAGACTTGAATCGGGCCGACCGGTTCCAACACTTCTGAAAATTCCGACGTTTTGTTTAAAAGTTGCCCAAGCAATCCCCAAAAACCCACTTTTAGCTAGTTTACCACACGTGTTTTTCATTTTTTTCGCAAAAAATTTGTTCACGGTGTGACTTCCGGGACACCAAAACCTTCGACCCGGAATCTTGCAAGTCGGTTTTTTTCTGCAACGCCCTCGGTCTTTGAAATAAAACAAACTTAATTAACTGAATAGATGTCCTTGTCTCCTCATTGAGAATTCTGAACTTTCCCCGTTTCTGCTCCTCCCACCATGTTGCCATATGTCTGCGAAGTTTAATTCGCATCCACTCACATCACTTTATGCACAATTTATTTCATTTCCTCCCCTCTACTCCTCGTTTCTCTAGGACACATTTTTCAGTCGGATGGTGGAGGTGTTTTAACAGGCTTTGCAAAGTTTCATCCGGATATCGTTTCTGACGACGACGGCATAAACATATCCGGTTAGCATTTTTGAGAGCGAAAATACATATAACATTAGTGGAATTGGAATCATAGAGACCCAACACCCATTTTTTCCCCGCCCTCAAGAGAATGCAAAATTTTAGAAAACCAAGGTGCTAGAATATTACAGTAGGCGTTGTTGAAGTCCATTGTCATTCATGAGTTCACCCTCCGCAACCTGACCCAGAGACTAGCTCGCGTAGCGCCTCCCGGATGCGTCAAGATGTTATTTTGCAAGAATGTCAAATTTCCGAGCCTAAAGCGATTAGTCTAGTCAGCGGCAGCACAAGGTCAAATTGGTTCGTAATGTGGTTTGACTAGACTAAAATCTTATGTCCCATTCCATTTCCGTCATTTTTGTCATTTCCGCTTGACTACCAGAAATCTCTCAAAACGATGTATACGTTTTAGACTACTTTCCACTCTTATCCAAACGAATTTGTATTTTGTTATTTGAAAAGCAAAGCATTTTGTGATTGGAATTTGTCTGGAATTCACATGCTTGTTGTTGGATCCCTCTCCAAGATCCACTTTCTGTCTGCAAGAAGACTTCAGTTTTTCCGCTTTTTCCACTCCACCCTAGACGGCACCACAACCTTCTAGTTGATCAGTAGCTTTTCAAATACGTCATCAATTCTTCGGAAACTTCCAGTTCCCGGAAAATTCGCACTGAAGCCGAGACATGTGCATGTTGCCGGTCCGATAACAAGATTACAGACACACTTCCGTTTGCACACTCGCACTTTGTGGCATCATTCGATTCGGCCTCGCTCTTTCCGTCCCTCCCACCTATCTGTTTCACATTCAAAATGTGCCCGACAGATGGAATGAAAAGATTTCGGGGGAAAAGGCAGAAAAAGAAGGGGAAGACGTGAGAATAGGATAAATGATGAAAAGAAAAGATGGAATGGCGTACGGAGAGGAAAGAAAAAGTTCTCTTTTTTCCTTGTTCAACGTTTTCTTTGAAATTGTGTGTGTCTGGTACATGCACATACTTGAGACATTTGGTGCTTTACCATTGAACTTTGCCCTTAAAGTAGAAGGACGTACTCAAAGAAAGGCCTTTTCTGTCATGTTCTCAACAGAATCAGGTAGATCTCTGCGCAGTATGCCTTTGGGGCCAGCACAAAATGAATCGAAGTACCCCAGCTCTAAAATGTTATCTAAAATTTCGCAAAAATGTTATTCGGTAAGGCACGCTGACTCTGCAAGAGTTCCGCGTGCGTGAAAAATGAGAATTAGTCATCTGAACCCTGTTTTCTTCACGGGGACTGACGGAAACCCTGGGCGGGTATTTCACGCGTTTTTTTTTGCAATGGGACGAGTATCGGATTATTGTCTGTCCAACACACGTTTCCATTATTCATGAGGCAATTATCCGTGCATTCCCAACTAGGCCGATCCTTAGAGGATTCCTTGAATAAGTTGTCAAGTTTTTTATCCATGACATGACCTTGCCCTTAAAACTCTTCCAGTCACTTCTTCTACAGTATGACCGGAAATTCGAATCAAGATTCAATATTCTATATATTCTCGCGTCGTTTCTCATTTAACTCTAATCCAACGTTGACTTCATTTTCTTATTTAACCCACACTCTCTAGCGTTATCTACTAATGGAAAAGACAGAAAAGATCCCTCTTTTTTTATTTTAGGACGTACTAGACACGCATGGAAAAACAAAATGGGGATTTTTTGAGCGGCATTTCCGAGGAAATCCGGGATCAACCCGTGCTGTTCTTTACCGCACGTAGACCACCGTTCGGACAATCCAAATGTGTTTTCCTTCTTCGGCGAGCTTGTGGATTATCAATGATCAAAATACATAGAACCAGAATCTGATCCTTCGGGCTGCCCAAGTTTTTTCCCTGAGAATCCAATGAATATGCTCGCACGTCAGTCACATCATAAACCTAATCGCATCATTCTACTTTAAATCTTGAGAAAACCCGAACCAAATGATTCATTTTTATTGCTCATTCACAAAGTTTTTTTTATCGCTTTTCTCTCTCGGGTGTAAATGAGCAAAGCAACAGAAACAGACGTGATCTTTCGTCGGGACCACAGGAACCCCTTGTAGTTTTTCTCTTTTCCTCTTATCTTCTTTTCCTCTTCTGCTTTGTGATTTGAGTTTTGTTGTCGACTTGTCTTCTCTTCTCTGGAGTTGCAACGGATGGATCGGCACAAGTCCGAAGAATCTGTGTTGTGTGTGTGTGTGTGCAAAATCCAGCCTCCTCTTCAGTTACAAACTAAACTTTAATTAGGTTTACGAATTTAATTGCAACCCCTACTCATGTAGTACGTGAGAAGTGGTAAGATCCAAGAGAGATCAGATCCTTTACGAAAGTTTCCCACGCAGAAATCAACCACATTCTTGCCGGTGAGAACTATGACTAAAACGTGACTCAGGTCGGAAAGCCAAACGCTAATACGTGGGCACTATGTACAAAATTAAAAGGATTCACTTTCTCCATTTCCCTTTCGCAAAACATTTCGAACACGTAATTCGCTAATCCGGCTGGACATGGATGCCATTGTTGTTATATTTAAAAACTTCGGGATCAAGAACAAACGATTTCTGCGGGAGGATGAATCAACTTTGAGACAAACTTCAATTCGTTCAATACTCATTGAACAGAATTTTTCTGAAATTTGTAGCACGGATAGCAGTTCCCGTGATTCAGAGTCTGTTTTTCCGTGGGCACAAAATTATCGATCTAGGCTCAATCTCAGACTCTTTATTTGTATTGGAATAGAAATTTGATATGTATACTGACACTGACAAGTGCACAATTACCAAAAAATGCTGACAAGCGCCCACATCAGAGAGAGAGAGAGAGAGAGAAACTAACACAAGAGCATAATGAGCGCGAATGAATTCAATTCAATTTCCTCCCCCTCCCCCTAAACATACTTTTTTTTTTACATAAATTGAGTGGGTTAATAGTTACTACATTTCGTTTCCAGTGCAAAAATAGCTGGAATGATGTGTTATTTTGCCGTAGACTGACTGGAACCGCCGATTTTGGCTTTCGGCTCGCGCCCACACTTGAATAGTCCAACTAATGAATTCCGCCTTAATTTCCCAGCCATTCATCGGAGAGAAAATATGATTTCTTTCCGCTTCTTTGTTCGGCAGCCTTGGCAGACTCTTGGATAGAAACGTGCAAGTTTGCAGGGCTCCCATCAAACGGCCATTCATTTGTCGTGTCAGACACGCCGAAACCAATTTAACCGATGCAATTAGTCGCCAATTCTTCCCCGTTTCTACCTTAGAATCGAGATCAGAAACAAGATCAGCCGGCCTGCGGATATACATAGTTTTCACCTGCACTTGTGGCCTCCACCCTCACACCCAGATGCGGGCACAAGTTTTGACTCAGACCACTTTTGAGCTGGAACAAGAACTGAACGGGTTTTCAGAATCATGCGTTAAACTATTCGAGTTGAGAGCTTTAACTGAATCTTTGTCTTGTTTTCTCTTCCACGACACTACAAAACAACATGTTTTTTGACCAACCCCTCCGGCACCTACCACGATCACAACACCCCCTCTCCCCCCTTTACTCTCCCTCTCAAAATAATTTCAATTTCCGGAGAATCCAGGCGCCGGCCACACATTTTTGAACAATTTCCATGAAGCGTTTATGAATTAGTTGTCAATCTTTGGCTTCACCCTCCCGCTCCTCTCCGTGCTCCATTTCCTCAGCTTTTTTGATGTGACGACATTTGTCAGCTACCGTATACTTTTCAATTAAAGACGAACTGAAGGCTCTTCTATCTCGGGCCTTGGTCTTTCGGAGCGGGCGGAGACGCAGGCTTACGTTGTCCAAGCTCTTGCTCTCTTCGTCCCGCCCACTTTTGACGAGGAGAGCGGTAGGACGGACGGACGGCGCCGAAAATTCATTTGTTGTGCCATGATCTAAGCTGCGGGCGCCAGACCCTTCCTTCTCACCTATTGAACATCGCTGCCAAACTTCCTCCTTCCCAAATCGTACATCCTTCCTTCCGAATCGCTGAATCTTGAAGCATGCTCCTGAATAACAGAGTGCGCACAGAATTGCAAACAAGTATACAGCTGACCAAACATGGTCATAATCACTTAATTGCTCTTCCTTGTTCTGGTTTTTGATTGGAAACGAATGCAACCGATTCTTTGCAATCGTTTTTACGTTCACGACGTCAAACCACTTAGCCCTTTCCGTTTTTGCCTACGTTTTTCGTAAAGCTGATCAAAAACCCCACAACTAAACCCCCAAATTTTTCTGGGAAAGAGAATAGCAATTTATAAACGTCTTTGATACCATATAATCAGGATGTATGTGGGCTGTACACCACTTCACATCATTCTTCTTCTTGTTTTTTTGAGACTGAACTAAGAGTGGCTCCGATATTTGAAACCACAAACACGCCTCCCCACGCCTTCTTGCAAAACGACGCTCGTCACAAAGTGTTGCAATTGTCAGTCTCGTATTTCCTTTTTTGCTTTTTTTTCCTACGCCATCGTTTCATTGACGTGTCTTGTTTCCTTGTTCCTTATTCCATAAATCGATTTCAATACATTTCTGTATCCAGATGAACACCGACGCTAACCTAACAGACTTTCAATGCGAGTACCCGGCTATCGAGATCGGTCTCCAAATCAAAATCTGTACGGTTTTAAGCGCGAAAAGTCTATTACTATGATAATTTCGTTATTTTTCAGTGCTCGCTGTGGCCTACGGAATAGTTGGAGCTCTCAGCTTGGTCGGAAATCTTGCGGTTCTGATTATTGTCGTGTGTAGGCGGGAAATGCAAACGGTCACCAATATCTTTATTAGCAGTGTTTCGGCTGCTGATCTGGTCAGTTCAGTTTGATCTAATAGTTTGAATGTACTCTACTCGTTCGATTTCTGAATTTCTTGTTTTTCTCTTTTCTTGTTTTGTTGAAAATAGGTGGGTGTCTGGTTTCTAGACAAGTAACATGATATAGGATGATGTGATTGCCATGGGCGCAGCGCCCTAATTAGGTATTTTCTCTCGACTTCCTGCAAACTTTTTGAAAGAGCATAAACAGACGAATCAGTTTTCAGGTCATCACAAGTTTTTCCTTGTGGGCCACCCCATTGGCCTACTACCAACGCGTGTGGTACTTTGGAAAGTACATGTGTTACATGGTGTCCACAGTCCAGGGTCTGTCCCTGATGTGGGTGCCGTTGACCCTGGCGGCCGTCGCCCTCGACCGCTACACATTGGTCGCTTCGCCGTTCCGTTTGCCGATGAAAAAGAAGTAGTTCTACTCTGAACTTGCACCTACCTCACCGTTATCTTCTTTTCAGGACGTGTCTGCTGATAATTGCGGGGATCTGGATGGGCGGTTTCGCCGTCCTTTCACCCATGATCCGAATGGTTGAATTTGTTGACAGCTACGGACCATGCCATGTAAGCGCTCTTCTCAATCCATCTTGAATCCAATCTGCTTAAGCCGACTTTTCCACCACCAATTAGATGTTACATTTATACATTCATTTTTGAGCTTGGACTGAGAAACTAGAATGTACGGAAGACAGGGACAGGCCTAATCCTAAGCGGCTGAAAAGATAAAAGATTGGTTCCTAGTGGTGGGCTAAGTGTCCGTGATAATGTATTCAAAGGGAACGAAACGTGTCACTCAGAAGCGAAACCTTTTCGCGCCCAACTCCCAAACAATGAAGTGGGGGACGCACTTGCAATGAGCAAACAACACATTTTCCGTCCTTTCCCCTCATTTTTTCCTTCCGCTCGCTTTTTTTGGAGTGAATATTTGGAAATGCAGGCTCGTAATAAGATTAATGGGGTCAAGCTGGGTCAAAAATCTCCGATGATGACAATACAAGATTCTGCAAAGACGTAGGAGGAAATCTTACATATTCAAATATAATGACCATCATTGGATTCAATAGAATTAATCTATCTGATAGTACAAGTTTATTTTATTATTTTTGTCTGGCACGTGCCACGCCGCACAATAATAGATCTAATTCACCGGAAGAAACCAACCGGAGAGGAAATGGGAGAGGGGGAGACAAATTTTTGGAATGAGCGAAAACAGGCTAAAGGATTACGAGAAAATACATAGTGGTGAGAGCATTCTGGAGAATTTGACAAAACACGTATTGCAGTTCTGCCTGGAATCTTGGGACCATGACAATCAACACTATCGTCTGTTCTACGGACTGTCAGTTCTGATCATCCGATCAGCGATTCCGTTGATTCTCATCTCGCTTTGTCACTGGAGAATCGCGGTGATTCTGAACACGCAGACGAGGAAGTTTCAAACTCTTCGCAGTGCCAGGTTTGTTCTCCGAATTCCTTCCTGGATAACGAGCATTTCTGTTTTTGAGCTTTCAGTGTCGATTACACTCTCTTTTCAGCACCGCCACCCAATCGACAGACATCCGCCGCAAACAACGTCTTCAGACACTTCTTCTCGCGATGGTTGTCATTTTTGCCGTCTCGAGTCTGCCATTGGACTTGTCCAATGTTCTTCAGGATTTGATTTTTGTGTATCAGGTGAGTCGTCGGAAAACGAGACCAGACCGAGCAATATATCAATCTCTCAATTTGAGTTGAAGCTTGAGCCTAATGCATACGGAAATAGAGCGGTGGGAAAGGGGGAGGGGGCTTGGTTTGGACCACAGAGTTCGGGATCGAAGAGTGATGTCATTACTTTCGCTTTCAGGTCCGTCCGGTTGCGGAAAGCGTCCGCCACTTTATCTTCTTCTTCTGTCACTGGACCGCCATGGCCGGAACACTGCTCAATCCGCTCGTGTACGCGTATTACAACGAAAACTTCCGGCGTCAGATTCAGGTCTGTGAGTTTTGAAAAAAGCAGACGTCGTCTGAAGCCGTCTGTTTTCTGGTGTTTGAGTGGACAAGTTCTCAAGCCCTTCATTCATTTTTGTCCATTTTCAGACTTGTCTTGGAGAAATGCGCGGGCAAGGAGAGTTCAAAAGGGGCTTGTACTCGATTGTGTCGGGAAGGTACTCGTACAGGTAATTTGAGTGAGACTCTTCCGGAAGTATCGCGTTCTCTGTATCAGGGAAACTTTCAGAGGCGAAGACGAAGCCGCCGCCACCTCGGATCGCCGTCGGAATACTCGCATCGAGCTGGCAAACAATCAGTCCGCCGACATCGAAATTATCCAAACCGATCTCTAATTCCGTTTATCCCCAATTTCTTTCCATAATTTGGTTTCCCTGTGTTCCTTTTCTAAACTATTATTATCAACAAAAAATTAGTCGAAATTGTTATTTGTCAGTGGGAAAGTGGGAAAGCGAGCCCGTGTGTCAACAGTTCTCGCGTTTTCCCACTCAAGTAGCTTCCACTTTTCCTGCATTGCCATACGTTTTCAGTTTTATGCATAAAGTTCTCGAGTCTAACAGTTGAATCATCACAAACACAACAACAAAAGGAGAGGGAAGGGAAAAGAGGACGGCTGGCCAAAAGTTCGTCACTCTCTTTCTCATAACATCCATATGTACAGCTTTAAAAAGTGTTTCAAAAACCAAGTAATATTTTTCATCTCTCAAGATTCATTTTCACTATTGGTTCATCGAAATCATTCGGCAAATGACCTTGTGGTTGAAATAGTGGAAATAGACAAATATTATTCAGATTATTGGGCTTTTAAAACGAAACGAACCAATCAAAGTATTAGAGATCACACTTCCACCCACCAAATTTCATAATAACCACATTCTTTTTTCCCAGACAGAAAGGTACAGGGTTTGGCAACAGAAAATGACTGCCTTACTGAACTTTTCAACTTTTTTGTTTGTTTGCTCTGGTTTTTTTATGTTCTTTGTTCTATTTTCCCGTCAAACTCCTGAGAACTACATACTTTTCAGCATGAGCGTCTGTCAACTGCTTGTCACAATTATACTATTATTACCGACCACAGTTGTGTCTTTTCGGGACCAAATTGTCGGTGTGCGCGGAAAGTTATCATGCAATAACCGGTTCCTGCAAAGCGCCACAGTTCGCCTAATTGAGAAAAATTACGTTGGTGAGTGACTCATCATCTTTCTTTGTGTTATTTTCGCAATACTTTGTGTTCAGGCCCGGATGTGATATTGGCGGAGAACAAAACCAATTACCAGGGCTCGTACGAGGTGATCGGACGGGGTCGAGGTGTGCTCGAGATGAATGTATATCTCAAATTGTTCCACGATTGTGATGACGGTATTATTGTGAGTTTTGCACTGAAATTCCTGAGAATTAGTGATTATTTTGGTTGTAAAATGGCAGAAATTGGACTTATGTTTATTGAGCATGGCGGGCCCTGGCGGTGTCATAATGAGAAATTGAGTTGGTTGTTTTGAGAGAGGAAAAGGGAAGAAGAACGGGAAAGAAGAAAACAATTGGTGGACGAATTCCAATAAAATTGTCGCCGTTTTTCAGCCGTGTCAACGGACAGTCAGCCTTCGAATCCCATCGTCGTACATCAGCCGCGGCACCAGTGTCAACAATTATTTTGAGGCCGGCACGATGAACATGGCGTTCCGGTACCCAGATGAACAACGCTCGTGCACGGACCGGATATTCAGTTGAATGACAGATACTTGGAAACCCATGTATTTTTGGTGTTCATGATGAGGGGGAGGAAAGAATATTTCTATTTATTCTTACTTATTTATACATCACAGATTTTGTCGACAATGTTCGGAAAGGCAAAGGAGAAAAAGTAGTCACCAAATAAAATGTGTTAAGTAAAACGTAGATTGATCAATACCCATCGTGAGTTTAAGATTTCGAGCCGTCTCCAGATTTTTTCGGTTTCTTCGGCGACTTCTCCACCCTCATCTCATATTTCCGATTCGAGCTGTCCGAATCCTGAAAGTATAAAGTTTTCTGATGTTTTTGATGTTCAGATTACATTCTTCTCAGATGGTGGCTTTCGGGGCGGCGACATTGATATCCGGAACCTTGGCGGACGGGGTGTCTGGAAGGTTTTGTTTTGTGTTCTGGATCTGAATGCATTCCCAAAATAGACTTACGCTTGGTTTACTCCCACCTGGGGACTGGTCCTTTTCACGTCGCAGTCTTTTCAGTTCTCGTGGAGAGTGCGGAATTGGCGGCCTTAAAGAAAACACGAATTGCTTTTCGATGCCCTATTTCGCGAATCCTCACCTATCCGGGATCAGTCGGCCCTTTTCATCGTCTGTTGTCTCGTCCGTCGACATGAACTCCGTCATGATGGGTGACATCATCGCGGAAGTGTAACTGGAATGCGGATTGACGTTCGCCCACAACGGATCGTGGATTGCCGGATCGCCAAGGGACTCGTCAGTGGACGGCGGTCGAGTTGGGTCTTGCGAAGAATTTTCCACCGTAGCCACACTAAATATGGTTTTGATGATGTTTGTTTAAAAGTACAAGTGCCACGTACCCATATCTGATATTGTGTGTCGTACTTATCGGCTGTAACAACCTCCTCGCTGCTTGCTTTTCAATAGATGATGATGGTTGGCGAGAGCTACTCGAAGAACTTGCAGAACTCCTGAAAGATTGCTATTTATTTTCGTCACAACTCAAGGCTACTGTACTTCTTTTCAATTCTGAGTGGTGTGGCAAACGTGTTCAACGGATTCTCAATGATTTCACTGCAAGAAACAGGGTGAAAGAGTGCGCGTGCATTTTGCTTTTTTTTTAAACTTACATCTTCATTTCAGAGTTGGTGGGTGCTGTCGTCGTCGATTTAGAAGACGATCCAGAAGCGGACTGCGAAGAATTTTGGTCGAATGATTGGATGGCAGTGCGGTAGGACATGTCACGATTGCTGTAACGCTCACTTACACGTCGTGACACAATTTGAGTTGTGTCAAACGAAATGTAGTGGTTACCTGGTTCTCCGACTTGTCGAACTTCGTTTACTGGCGATTTCGGATCGTTCTCTTGAAGCGGGACGAGAGCCCTCAGGTGGCAAAAGGTATCGACTTTCTGAATTCCGTTTCTCACTTTCCTCGTCATCCGAATCGGTTTCAGATCCGGTGGACAGCTCTCTAATCCTTCGACTACCCTCCTCCATTTCCATGTCATCACTTTTTCGATTATACTTCTTGGGATCAGCCCATCCGATACACACCAAGAACTTCTGACGGAGGGAGAGTTTCGGGGAAACAAAAGACAATGTGGTTTCGGTGTCGGATGACTGTTCTTCTTCTCCAGTGCTATGATCCACTTCAGAAACAGAGCCCAATGATGGCACAAATGCTCTTCCGGACACACTCCGTGCTGTGGACCTCTGGTGTTGTGAGTCGTCGTCCGAGGAAGCACCACATTTCGGCGGTGCCAACTGGACTTTTGCTCTCTGCTTGTCGACGTTGCTGTCTTTGCTCTTTTTCTTTTTTCCTCCCGCCAATTCGAAGATTTTCTTCTTTTCCTCAGTCCTTTCCTATAAATTGGACCGGATTCATCGAATTGATCTGGAAAACTTACAAACATGAGCTGAATCGACAAATCTTGGTTGGCTTCTTTCAATCCGGACACGAGAGCGCCAAGGAAATAGATTGCAAGTCTGGAAATGAAAAAAAATTAGGGTGAAGTGCGTCATGAGATTCTTGCTTACAGAAGAAGCACGAGTATAGGAATGATAATTCCCGGAGACAACAAGTATTTGATACCATCTACCAATCTTGCATCCAGGTTTTCGTGCAACACATCCGTGATGACACTATAGAAAAACGGCTGATTTCTGTAAAAATTAAAGTAAACGGCTTGTTTTTTCTTGTCTATTTACCCGAACGGTCCACAGCTCTTGCTAGGTTTTCTGGAAGCAATTACAACTCCAACTGGCAGAGTACAAAGGAAGAGGAAGAGGAGGAGCAACGCGAAGAAGAAGTTGGAGGACCTGCTGGCTCGGAAGATCTGGCTCGCAGGTACATTGCAAGTCATGGCCGCCCATCCTCGGATGTACATCAGTATGATCAGTTTGATGTTATTGAGCATTGGGAGCATTGGTACAAAGAACAAGCCCAACCAGATCATTCCTGAAGACAAACCACTTTATAAATTTCAAGACAATACCTTGATACCTTGATTGTTGACCAGGTGCAAAACGTTTTCAGCTACCTTGAACTCTCCGTACTCTGGCTGAAAAAAATTGTTTATTGTTAGAATCAAAAATTTTATTACTTACAAAGGTTTTCTCGAGGTCCCACGGCCAGAAAAAGTTAAGGTATCGACAAGCAAGCCCGCGGAGGAAATCGATTAGGAAAATGGATGCGACAGTCATGTACAGATCCATAGTCACCAACTTTGTTATTTCCTGGCCTATGATCGTTTCCCAGCAAAGATCTTGATATTGCATTACTCGGAGAGAGGAATGAGTAATTGAGCGGCTTCTGAAAGATGGAAAAAGTAGATGAGCTTTACAATAGTGAATATTTTACATCGTTGGATTGATGGCATTCACTGTGGTCTCATTCCAATCGGAATTCGGTCCGTATTGATGAGTTTCCACCACTGGCGACTTAAAAATCGTCTCATCTTTGGTCACAACTGCCTTCGGATTGTACACCCCAAACGGTCCGAAATCCGGAAGAACAGTAGTCCAAGGACTCGTTGGGGCCGGATTTGGAGTTGTTGTGACCGGAGTGTAGGAGTAGTAAGTATGGGGAAACGTGTTCGGATAGTTGGAAGTGATGATTTGGCGGAGTGTTCTTGAATATTCATGAGTTAAAAAAAAACAAAACAAAAAAACAGTTTGTTACCTCGGCAACAAGTCCTCACTGTGGTCGGAGTTGAACGAGCTGGGATTCGTGGTCTCCAGTGCTTTCCGTTCCTCTTCCAAGTTGTTCAGCTGTAGCATCAACGAGTAGATCAGCGTGTAGTAATTGAGAATGTACAACACCAACACTCTGAAAAGTTTTGAGTAATTCTGAAGTTCTACTGCTTTTTCAATACCTTCCCAGTTGAAATCTCAATGCATTTCTCGGATGTAGTTTCTCGATTTTACCCAACAAGTCGAAAATATTAGGGAACACCAGAGTGATTAGAGAAATTGTGATGGCAGTGGCGTTCTGAAACAGATTGAAATCCGTTTTTCTTAGAAAATGCATTCCTCTTACCTGTGCGATAAAGTTTTCGCCTTTCAAAGAACCACACCTCATAATCGCCCAGATTGAAAACGCGTACATTGCAAGAATAAAGCAGTTGGTGAGGATTCTTCCCAAAAATCGAATCCATGGATGCTTGTCACTCGGTTTCTGCTTATCATCGTTGATCGCCTCACGGAATTTGATCACATTTGCCATGTAGACATTTCCAGCCGTTTCAGGATTACCTAAAGTTATCCAATTCGGGTCAAAACTCTACGTAACCATTACCAATTGTGTAATCCCAACCAGTGAAGGCTTTCCAGTTGAAAAGGTATTGCTGAGTCTTTCCGGATGATAGGTTACCTCGCCTTTTGTTCAGTGCCATTCTGAAAAATGCCCATTGATATCGAATTGCTTGTTCTTTTTCAACTTACTTTCTCAAAATGATGAATAATGAAAATCCTAGAACAAAGATATTGCAGAGAAAATAAGCTACTGGAACTCGGTATTTGATCGTTTCGCCGAAGAACGTCTCCCTCGAATAGAAACCGTAGAATAGCAACGAGTATTGGAAGTATCCCTGTCAAAAATTATATAGATTTTAACATCCAGATTCGCTGAGTCTCACTCCAAAATCCCACACAGTAGACAGCTCATCGGCACGAGCACGGACCGCGTCTGGCATCACTTTGATACTTTTTGTCTTGTTATACCTTCCGGAGCCAATGTCCATTCGAGAGTCAGCTAACCACTGAAAATATGCGCTCATTGTCAGAAACCGGGTAATTAGTTGCTTACTTCCGGAACGACTACAAAGAGGCACATGATAAAAGTGATTGTGATATTGACACCGAGAACCCATCGATGAAAAGTGAAATATGAGGAGACAACAGATCCAAAGTGACTCTCGATTTTTCGGATCTTGGCTTCCCATGGAATCAAATAGATCTTCAAGTTGTCCAACCATCGACTGGCTTGTGTCAGCCGCCTCCCAGCTTCCGCTTTGTATAACCTAACCTTTGACACTTTTGCCTCCTGTTGTTGTAGATGTTTTTGAGCGACCCTGAAAAACAAAGGACCTCAAAGATATGAAAGCCGCCGCTCACTTCAAAGTCCTTCGTTTTCTCCTCATGTACCACGGCTGTCCTCTCAACTTCTGAATGATCTCCTTCTTCTGCTGAATCTTTTTCAGTATTCTGTCCTTCGACGCTTCCTTGTCATCTTCCTCGTCGAAATCGTCATCATCACTGGAAGAGTATAGATAACACTTTAAGTGTGGGAAGCCAGAAAAAGGCTTACTCGTCATAATTCGGATTGCCTAATCGTGTGTGTGGACGCACGAGAACACTGGATGAGCGGCGGAAAAGGGAGAGAAGATCAGCCTGAAACATTTTTAAGATTGAGGGACACATTAAAAAAAAAATCTATAAGACTCCCGTGTTATTTTTTACGCTCTATCCGACGGTATAATTTGAAGAAAGAACTTACAATAACAGAGCTCCTTCTGCTCATCCGACTGTCGATTTCCTCTTCGGACACATCGGCCAACGACTTCACTGACTGTCCGGTCTCGGCTCCGTCGTCAGTGTCGTGTCGGACGAGCGGCTGATGTGCGCCTGACTTTGGCATCGTCGTCGTGCTTCAGATGACTGCACACGCGCGCCGTTCACTTCTCGATGTCTTGGCAGCTTCTGAGCAAAAAGAGATTCGTCATTTCTTCTTTCCGGTTATCGGTAGTTTTAAATCTCTCGGGCAAAGACGTAGAACGGGTAACGAGACGGGCGATTTGTCGTGTGAGTAATGGCGGTTTGCGATATGATTAGAAAAAAGCGCGTCCGGAGGCGGTGGTAGGGTAGGACCAGCTTTTTGTGTGTCTGAGAAACGAAAGACAAAGGGGGGGGGGACATGTGTCTGCGAGTCAGTATGTAAAAATAGTGATATGAAACAAGCGAGAATGCAAAGGACCGGGACCCTGGGCGCCGCCGCGAGGTGTGCTCGAAATGCAACAAGAGATGTAATGAATGAAATTTTTGCGGGTTGGCCACGGGCCGACCGACAGGAAGAGCGGAGCAACATCGGATAGGAAGGACACACTTTTTGTCTTGAGTGAGAAGAAAAGCAGGATAGAAAGAGGATGGATGGGCTCTTTGAGGGGAGGATACTGATAACAATTGATGAGAAAAGAGCAAATTGGAGATGAGTTTGCAACAAACCTCACGTTTGATTTGATGGCAAATAACATGGCACCTCCCGCTTGTCGTGCGCTCCTCTCGCCTGCCCCTCCTGTTGATGTCGCGGTTTCCTATCATTTTTTTTCTCGTCTGCTCCTAGCTCCGATCCGATCAAAGCAAGAAAACATACTCATTAGATCGGAGAAAGATCCAGAGGGCAAGAAAGAGGAGGAGAATGAACACCGCTAGGAAAACACGGGTGGGGAGTAGAAAACCGGGAGGGGGTCGTAAACTTAAAAGCGGGTATAAAATTTAGAGCTTAGAACTTACTAGCCCACTGAAAAATGAGTTCAATTAGGATGATTCTTCTGAGGAAAACGATGAGTCCTGCAGGCGGACACATGGTGAAACTTGATAGCTGAACTTGTCGGACTTTGTGCAAAATCAAGATAGGGGTCATAGAGACAAGGTCAGAGAGATCAGAAAAACTCAAAGATGAAGCTGTAATCATAATCACAATAAAACAAAAGCTGTGGTGTTCTTCTTCTTCTTCTTCTTCTCCATCTTCTTCCTCTCATTCCGTCTCTCGTCAACCTCCCATCATACCCGCCGTCCCCACTCGTCTCCCAAACGTTAGTTACATCCTCTCACCGACAAATGTGCCGGTGGATGGAGACGGACACCAGGAAAGAAGAAGAAGAAAGAAAGAGAGAGAGAGAGAGAGAAAAAGAGAGAGAAAGAGTTGAGAGACAGGGTCCGTTGATTAAACTGGTTATAACAAAACCGCTAGGAGCCAGGATCATCAACGACAATCGTCATGTTTTTATTTTTGAGCGTGTCGGGCAGGCAGGAAAACGAACGAAATGTCAAAAACTGACAGATTGGTCGGGTAGCAACCTTTTTTTGAGAAATGTTTCAAGGGACTGACGTCACGACTTGTTATCATCGCTCGAGGTCCAAAGTAAGTGGGGGTCAAACAAAACGTGTCACTCAGAGATCACTAAGCCTGGTGCGCTCGTTAACCGCATCATTGAAATAGAGTAGTCAATGTCGAAAAACGTTTTGCACGCGTTTCTTCTTCTTCTTATTTTTTTCATCATCGTCATCATCATCATCGTCGTCGACAAGAGACGCAAAGTGCTCTCCACCACTACGCTGACAATGTCGGCAAAAAAGAGATGAATTTTAGTTAGAAGCAAAGAGCAACTGACTTGCGGCACTGGTACAACATATTAATCAGTGCGGCAGAGGAAGAACAGAACATGTCTTCTTTTTGCGAAACGAAATGATACGACAACACACGTATCTCGAGAAAGAGGGAGCGATGTATTTGAACACGACTTTTGATCTGATTCGATGATCAGAGCGCTCACAAAGTGTAGGATGAATTGAAACTCTCGAAAGTACATACACCTGGTCACAACTTGCGAACATATGTCGATAGCGTAGCGCGGCACGGGACTCTTTTGACACAAGGTGTGAAAGCTAACAACCTGTGGAATGTTTCGGCTATTCGAGATTTATTGGTTTTTGATGGGGCCTCAATTCGAATCGGATAGAGAGGGAGGGTCAGAAGTAAGGATAGTCACTTTTCAATTTTAGATCCCAACTCTGTGAATGCTGAAATGACACAACGTTGCCGTAATTATCGAGAAAACAAGCGAGTCAACTCTTCTACCAGAAGTGTGTCGGAACACACACACACACACATAGAGTAGATCGGAATGAGAGGTGTGAGTATCAATGTTACACCCGTGTCCTTCTCTCTCTCTCCCTCTCCCCTCGGAACCGCTCCATCTTCCACTCATATCACCACCAAACGAGTTGTCAGTGGTTCTCGCGCCGTCCGTTTACACCTTCGGGACCAAGCCACGAGTCGGAAGGATTCCGCTCCGACGTCTGTCCCAATTATTGAGTAATTCCTCGGCGAGCTTCGTGAGCGGTCAGTTGCTCTGGCCCTCGATCTATGCACACAGTTGGCCGTGATCGCCATTAAATCTCGATCAATTGTTGTCGGTGTACTACGCACTTCTCGTGAGGTGTTGGGATCAACACTTTACCAGTTGACGAACGGAAACACAATGGGTTATGTTACCAACTTTATTCGTTAAAAAATATTCAGAGAAACATTAGTATAAGACAAATTGTGGTTACAAGTCAAAGAATATTGTTTTTTTGAGTGATTTAGAAAACTGATCTTAAATGAACTCTGAAAAATCCTGGATTTGCTCTTCGGTCATGTTTCTGAAGCGCATGAATCTGAAGTCGAGTATTTCCGCGCCAATTTCCTTAAATGGTTTACAATACTTTTAACTTAAGGTTTTCTCGATAAATCACTAAAAATAACATTTGTATCCATAACCTTGAAAAAAAGTGCACCAAAATTGTATAACTTGAAGAAGATGTCAACAGTAACCCGGAGCTGAGACCCAATACTATGCATACATATACCATAAGATTTCGAAGCGCTAGGCCCTAAGCCACTACGACATACTCGTATCTTACAGAGAATGAGTTATGCATAAACCTTCCAATTTTCTAGTGAAAATATTACCATCGCAATCCTATGCGCACTGCCATTTACAGTTTTTTCGAACTCTGGTTGCGGTACGGATCGGTATGTCGTATGAGGTGGTTGGTCCGGCTTGTATCGAGCAAGGAAGAAATTGGGTGGGCTCAACTCTCCGAAACTGTACAGCCAGTACTAAAACCGCGATTGATTCGGGAAGAAACATTGTTGTTGCTCACTTGGTCGACGCCGAAAGAATGGAAGACATTCACCACCAAGACATGTCCCCAGATTTGTTTTCCGTACAACATATCCATGATCATAACGTGCCTGCTGTATGGCCAAAATGAAATCTGAAACAAATTGTAGTCATGGATTATAGTGCTAAAATTCCAATACATTGGCGCGCTGCTCCGGGTCATACGCGTATATTTCCAAATCCATGTCTTTCAGGGAGGTTACATACGGAAACTCTGCTTCGTACCAAATTCTGAAGCCCCGTCCTACTTCAATACTCATTTTTCCGGTAGTTCTTTTCTGGAGAAGGGATTTGGCAAAGGAATGCGCTGCCGCCGTGAAAACGCCCTGATATTGCATAAGATACGGAGTCTCGTTGATTGCTTCCCACAGTGTGTAATTTCCGAAATAATCCGGATACAAAAATGGTCTTGAAAACGTGTCCGATTCAATGATCATCAGAAATATCTGTAGAGGGAGTAGAAAAAATGGACGAACTTTCATCGTGAGAAGGTGGCGTTTGAAAGCAACTGAGTGGATGATAGAGCTTGAAGCTTCAGGGGGCGTGGCTTCTTCTTTTAGTTTGCACATTACACTGGAATCAAAAATGTGGATGCTTCTCGAAATGTGATGCATACCGCTACCTTAAACTCACAGAAGTGAACAGAATCTATCATTCATTCGTTGCTCTCACCGAATCGGTGATGTCAATTTCGACCCAAATACACCTGAAAACCCAGATTCTCTATGTCCAACAAGCTTCGAATGAACCGACAATTGGTGTCAAAGTAATGATCAAGCAAAAATTGAGCATTAATAAATCACAAAGCTCTTAGTTTTCTTGCCGAGAGACAAAAGTTTCCCGAGTTGATTAATTTTAGGATCGCATCGAACAGCTGTTAGCGATCAGGTTCAAACAACTGAATTGCGGATGTCTTGCCGGTATTTCTCAAGTTCAATAAATAAAGGAGGAATGATGTGTTGTCTTTAAAGGAAAACAGGAAGAACTTCTGAAAAAAGTGACTGCGGCATTTGAATTCGCATCACTATTGGAAAGAATTGTGATGGAATCAATCTGAAATGTTCATCGAACACGCGGATCCAGACATCCAAGAAAGTGACTTTGCAGATTTCTTCGCTGGTCCCTTATATTATATTCAATTTCTCTCAAATTGAGAATTCAGGTGTAATTTTCTCGAGTGTCAGGATGATAACACTTTTCTGACCCGGAAAGCCATTTAAGCTGTTCAACAAAGCCAGATAACTTTGGAACCACTCCAGAAAAAACTACTTTGGCTTTTTTCCATTTTGACTGTCAAAACAAGTCTTGCATCACGTTTTGAATATTCCATTCCTCTGCAATTTATAATTTCGAATGTTATGTTTGGGAACGTGCAGACTCTGGTCGGTTTTTCAAGGTCATTCGAAACGCGCACCAGACAGACACAGGAAGGTCATTCATTTGAATTTTGGCAACGTTCTCTGGCACCTAGGCCAGGGACCAGCGTCTCGCGGCGCCACGCGCTCTCTCAAAACTTGATGCAAGTGCGCCCCAGCGGAATACCGCGAACAGGGAAATTCAAACACAACCTAGGGCTGGAAGAATGGCCTACCGGGAAAGAAGTTTCCATTTCTTCTTATTTGACTGTCAAAACAAGTGTGGCCTCTTTTTTCAAATTTTCCGCACTCATAACCATCTGCAATTTATCATTTTTAGTGTTATGTCTGGGAACGTACAGAACCTCGTCGATTTTTCTGCGTCTTACAAAACCGCGACCAGACGGTCAACAGACAGACACAGAAAAGTCAATAATTTGGATTTCGACAACCTTTGGCTTCGCTCCACGCGTTCTTTCGTTTCAGTCGCTCTTAAATTTTCCTTTGCAAGCGCCCCGCCCCCACCCATTTGAATGGTGCGCGGACCAGCGTCTCTCGTCTCTTGGCGCCGCGCGCTCTCTCGCTGTTTAATGCAAGTTCGCCCTAGCGGAATTCTGCGAACGGTAAACTTCAAACACAACTTCAATCAATCAATCAATGCACAGCCGGGCGTTTCGAGATGCTGCCTGGCCTGTCTGGCGATTAGTAGGCGTCGTCAGGACTGAGCAAAGTGCTTTCTTTAACTTTCTATTCAAATTAATTCAAGAAATGGTTGCTGAAAGGCTTCCGCAGTGAGAGCCACGTACGCGGCTCCGTAAAAATGATCACTTTTGGGTCACTCCCTAATAAATGTCAAAACCGTCGAACTCTTTGGTTTCGATGTATTCGGTATATTGATGAACTACATAGTTTCAATGTCTTTTTGAATCACTTCTTGCTTTTCCTTCGCGCGTTCCCCTTTTTTTTTATTCTATTTGCACATATCCCAATAATTTTCGGACAATTCACACGTTTTCTTTATGTTACTGTAAGGGAAGCTCCGCTTGCTCGTTCTTATCTGCGTCTCCCAGCGCCGCTCGCTCTCTCGCTGTTTGATACAAGTGCGCTCCAACGGAATACCGCGAAATGGAACTTCAAACACAACTTAACCGGGCGCGAAGGTAAGCAAGTGGCCGCGCGTGCTTCCAAATGAGATTGTCCAATATGTCTTGTCCAGTATGTCCTTTCTTTTTGAAATTTCAAGCATTTATTCCGCTATTTTGAAGAGAATTGCGTACAATTTCAGATTCTAGACAATATAATATTTGTGTTTCAGAAAAATGAGTCCTGTGGGCCCTGCCATCAAGCCGCCGATCTGTCTCGTTTGCTTCGAAAAGGCAAAGAACAGAAAATTCGGTATGAATCAAAAGACGAGGTATTTGTGATCCGGACTATGGTAGCACGAAATGTTTTTGTATCAAAAGAGCAATAATTTCTGCTTTAACGGTTTAATCGATCGACTCATTTCAGACGTGTTCGGATCACAAGTATGATAGACATACAATATCTGACAAAAATTGAATTGAATCTGTTCAGGTGTGGCCTCCTGCACGAACTGTGCCAATTTTTTCGAACTGACTGTTCGTCAAGGAAACAAACTTTCGTGTGAGAAACGTGGCCATTGTCTTATTAACAAAGAAACTCGTGTGACTTGCCAATCTTGCTTCCTACAAAGATGCCTCTGGGTGGGCATGAAGAGAGAAAGTCAGTTTTTTTCAAAATTAATACACGGTTTTAAAGACCTGATAAAATTTTTCAGACCTCTGAATTTTGCATCCATGATTTAATTTCAGAAGTCCCGCCGCAAAAGCTCTGCCTCCCAAGCTCGAAATCGAATCCGAGTGATCATCCGATGTCGAAGGGTCAGCAAGGAAGCTTCACCGCCGATGAGAAAACTGACGAGCTCGGAGATGGCAAGCCAAAGATGAGCCTCTCAAGCTGCACGTCGAATGGCCAGAACGGAAACGTCGCCGTTGACAAAAAGAAGAAGAAGGAGCTCGGGAAGGGAAAGAAAAAGTTCAGCCACCGAAGCTCGAAGCAATTCTCGAATGAGCATCGTGGAAACGTCACTGCTGATGAGCAGAAGAAGAAGAAGAAGAAGAAGCAGAAGCGCGAAGGCCCGAAAGAGTTGACTATGGCCGAAAAACAGCAAAAGGCCGTCGAAATTGTCGAATCGTGTAGAATCCGGGGCGTCGATATGGTCATTTTCGAGAAGGTCTATAGGGAATGCCTTTTGCTGTGAGTGGTTTTGAAGGCTTGCATTAATTTGACTCTAACAAAAATTGAACTAGGAACTCTAAAAGTAGTTTTCTATAAAAAATCTGGTGTTTTCCTTTCCTAATTCTTGAGCTTGGAAATAGTTGTTTTTCTGTCGAAATTCAAGTAGTGAAGTAGAAAAACTGTGACATAACCCATTTGCCGAGATGTTGCAAAACAAACGACTAATAGTGCGTTTTACAGATATTCCAGCATACAGCCAACAGAAGAAGAAAACGACAAATTATTCAGAGCCGGACCAGCCAACGGCAATTCATCTGTTTTCTTCATGATGTTGGCCATTGTTAACTTCTACCTCATTGTGAATGAAACAAATCTTGTTACATGCAGCGATTTTTATTTTTAATACCACTACATGCATTGGGAAATAGATCTTTCATCAGTGCCGTTGTGTTCAGGCTTTCCGCTCCTCAAAAATCACCATGTCGACGGTCTGGCTACTCAACAGTTCAACTGTCATCGCGGCCTTTTGTTGTTTTCAGCCTCAGTCAACTCTTTCGGGCCTTCGCGCTTCTGCTTCTTCTTCTTATTCTTCTTATCAGCGGTGACGTTTTCACGATTTGTTCTGTTGGAAAAAAAGATAGATCATTTCTAATTCTATCTCTCAATGTTCATGGTGACAGCAAAACTAATTTCGCTTCCTCGAACAAAAGCATCAATTTCTAAAGCTTTTCAAACAAGAAAGTATTTAAGCGAGCCTTGCCATTATTTTCCGTGCTTCACAATGCTGACACTGATCGTCCTTTCCTTTCTTGTTCACTCAGTTTCCAGTGTGGATCATTTAGTCGAGACATTCAAGTGAGTTGCAAAGAAATGCGTGCAAGTCAAACTCAATCACTTGAAGAAAACTAGTCGACCACAATGCGGATCCATGTGACAACTTCTACCGTCATGTGTGCCCACTTAGCAATTCTACAAAAATCATGGAGCTGATGAAGACCCCATTTCTACCAAAAAGCACTGGGATTTTGAACGAGTTGGAAATTATTGTTAGAAATATGCTTCAATTTGACTGTTTTATCTTTGAACCTTTACAGAATATCGGTTATACCGAGCCATTCGCTGCAATCGAAAAAATCGCAAATGATTTTGAAGAACTGTACGGATACTCTTGACCTAAACTTTTCACGTATTGAAATTTGTTTCAGGTGCAGTCAAGGCATTAACACAACAACCTATTTCACTCAGTTTGATGATCTGTTTTTGTCCAACGGTGAGAGACTCCCTCTGTCTCATCTAAGAGGTTATAAAGACTGTAAACGAGCAGCGGAGCTGATTAAAAGAGTTCTTGTTCAAGTCAATTCATCTGGAACCAGAGTAACATTTTTGCGATATCTGGACTGAAACTTTTTTGTGTTTCAGGATGCATTTAACATGTTTGGAAAGCAGCTCGAGACTATCAGACAACATCTCACAAATGTGCAAGCTGTTAGTTCAATATTGGACTACAATCTAGAAGAAGGCGTTGAGCAAACTAATGAATTTGTGGATGGGATAAAGAAGATTGCAAAAAAGTGGATTATGGAAACTCCGTGGACGCATAATAACAATGTGACGGAAGTGGTTTTGAATGCTTTGCTCTCCACAAGTTTGGTGGATACCTACGCAAAATCATTCCGAAAATCGATGGATCTCCTCATCAAAGCAGAATTCGACTACAGAAAGTGCAAACAACAGTATCACGACAGCACCGCTGCCAACTTTTTCTGCGTGTTAGCGTCTCTGAAGACTCATTTCACAGAGTCCGTACCTCTCGAATTCGGCTTGCCAATGAATGCATTCAATGATTTTCCAAATATTATTTTCAATGTCCCATTCTACTACTTGGCGAAAAACTCGGAAGAAATGGCGGCTAAAGTGAGTCGCTGAAGAAAATTTAGTTTCGAAAAAAATAATAACTTTCAATTTTCAGCTGGGAAGCACTGGAATTGTAGTGGGACATGAAATTTCGCACACATTGATTAAAAGTCGGGATGATTTTGTTTTGCCTTACTTTTCGGAAATGGCAACTGAATGCTTTCAGAATCAGTTTAACTCGACTTGTAATGAGTTCAAAGAAGTGAGAAACGGAGCACATACACAATAAAATTGCAAATTCAGGTGTCATGCGTCGTGGAAGATAAACAAATTGATGAAAATGGATCTGATATTCTGGGAACGCAACTGGCATATACGTTGTTAGAGGAACATTACGGAGAGCGACTTTATGTGAGATGAAAACGAACAACAACAGTTTTGAATGTATTTTTTCAGGACATTTATGCAGAATTGAACGTTACCTACCAGCAATTGTTTTTCTATTCATTTGGCATCATTTTTTGCTCTGTAAACAAGGGTTTCCCTTCAAATTGTGAATCCATATTTCAGCAAACTCCATTAGCAACTCAACTGAAAAACGATGGCTCTACAGACGAGCATTCTCTTTTCAACGTTCGAATTAACAGTTTTGCTCAGCATCCGGGATTCAAAGAGGCATTCAAATGTTCGGATGACAGTCGAATGATGAGATCCGCCACAGTGAGTGAAGAAGAAATGTTTATTGAAAAAAACTGCCTCAAATTCCAGGAACAGTGTCACATTTATGGAGCAGAAGCTCCACAAAACAAGCGACTTTGAAAACATGGTTGTTTTCGGTTTTGAATATAATAAATTATCATGACGATTCGAATTTCTTCCTTTAGTTCGGACGAGGCGCGTCTTCAGGTTGACGCATCCGCTTTCTGGCAGCATTCACGACGTGAAAATTGAGCTGTAACCAAATTGAGTAGTCAAATTTTCATCTTCTTATGAATTGTGTTACCCGCGCTCGGTTAATTCTTTGCATTCCGTACTCATCAATAATCGAAGTCACTGCATTCTTCAGACCCAAACCATCCAACGCGATGTGCTGTGGATTCGCTCTCAAATGTTGAGAGACTGTCTCCAAATCATGTCTCTGAAAGAATTCTTCTGGTGAGTGATTTGACTGTAAAACTTACTGTTGCCCTCCGCTTACGCGGTGGTCTTGGGCTTCTGGCTACTTTCCGACGGCGCATGGGAACTGGGTGATATTCTTCGTCCTTTTCTCCTTTTGGTTCTTCCTCGTCCTCTTCTTCTTCTTCCTCGTTATCTCCGGAATTGCCATTCTGTTCCTCTTCTTCTTCTTCTTCTTCATCTTCTTCTTCTTCTTCTTCTTCTTCTTCTTCTTCTTCTTCTTCTTCTTCTTCTTCTTCTTCTTCTTCTTCTTCATCTTCTTCCTCTACTTTCTCTTCATCTTTCTCCACTTCTCCTTCCTCGTCATCGGTTGACTTGTCACTCCCTGCTTCTTCCTCCTCTTCTTCCTCGTCTTCCTCGTCATCCACGTCTTCTTCTGCTCTCTCCTTATTTTCTCTTTCCTTCCGCCTTTCCTCTTCTTCTCGTTTTACTACGTGTTCAGAAAATCCGGCATTTTTCAACGGAGCATGTTCTACGATGATGCAATCATCTTCGACGTGTTCAATCGGCGGCGAAGCATAATGATACTCATTGCCTCTTTCTTCTCTGATCGCATCGCCCTCAACTCTCACAGGTGCCACAACGAGATTCTCTGCAACGCCGATCAACGGCAACTCATTCTCATATCCTTCATCCTCTTCTTCTTCTTCTTCTTCCTCTTCTTCTTCGTCTTCAGTATTTTTTCGAGGGTCCTGAAAGTAAAAAATGACCTCGGCTTTAGTTAGCACCATTAGAGACTCACGGGTTTAACGTGTTTTACGTAAGTATCCAAAATAAAAATAAGATTTCTCAAAAAGTCGCTGAACTTTCTTGTGGCTATCGTAAATCTCGCTTCATTTGTGGGGTTGGCAGTGTTAAACAAGTAGAACAAAAAGAGCGCCGTTATCTTTCTTTGATCGGTTGAGATTTTCTGAAAAATGTAATCAAACGTTTCTAGTTGCAATACAGTAAACGCTTACCATGTCTATAACTTGTTTTCTGATTTTAAATACCAGATCTGGACCACTCTCGATAGGACTTTCTGCCATTGTAATACTTGCCACGATTTGTCCAACGGGTACTGACCATATTGGTTTGTATGACTAACATAACAGAAAAAATGATTCTATAAAAGTATACGCTAACTCACGTAAAGCAATACACTATGTGCAATGTTCTCATACAATATCTTCACCGAAAATCTGAAATTTTTGATTCCTAAATCCAGAGCGTCCATAGATTCCAGAATCTTTTTGAAGAGAAGCCAGTGGACCTTCTGAAATCCGGAAGCTTTCAAGAATTAGAATGAAATGAGGAATTATACTTCAACTGGAATTTGGAGGATTTCTGCCAAAACTTGTTTGTGATTGTCGATGGCCACATTCAGGGTCTCGAGAAAATCGGCAAGTTGTCGCTTGGTCATTGACATGTTGAAATAGGAATATGCTAAGAGGAGTGGCGCGTGACTTTGAGTTAGGAACGAGCGAGAAATTTATTTAGAAAGGAGAACGGAGAACTAGCAGAGCTTGTTGAAGGGCAGTGAAATAGGGTTTGTTTGTCGTTGTCCGTTTTCCGTTGGAGAGGATTATCTGCCTGTTTCCATGGTTTCACCCACTACCCTCTTGCCCTATGATTTGAGCTCGGCCACTAAGTCGACGTGCTCTCCGATAGAGGACGGGTTAACGGGAGAGCGGAAAGAAACGTCTAATGAGGGATTTGCAGAAGAGAGCAACACGTGGGGTGTCGCATGATCGGTGTCCCAGTAAACATAAATAATATGTATGTATCATCGCGTCATTGTGTGTCTTGAGTAATTCCAGATGGTCTCACGAAAAGTAAAAGAAATTAATGTATTTATTGACTACAATACTATGATAGATTGATTGGACGCATTTGTTTCGAATTCTCTGTCGCACCGACGTGTTCCACTAAACAAAGGAGGTGCCGTTTTGAACATCTGATTGCAATTAATGCTCTTACTGTTTTCTGGTCCCAATATCTGAAAGATCAAAGCAATCCTCGAATTCTACTTCACCTATTCGCTCCTTTTTGTCTACGACGGATATGTTTGGGATGCAAGCCAGCAGAGCGGAATGAGCGAGAGTTGAAAAGAAGGGAGCGCGAGAACGATCTACTACCGCTCAAAACAAGTCCAGCAACAGAGACTGTCCGTTCTTTTTTTGCTTGTCAAATAAAATCCAATCCTCCTTCTAATGTTTCATTTCAGGAGGAATATAAACTTCAACTGACAAAACAGTACGTTCAAGAGTACGCACTCGTGAATAAGCGGTTTCTTCGATTGAACTCATTTGAAAAAAACCAATACGGCGAGAATTTACGGAAAGTATGACGAAAACGATGGAGGACGGGATTATGGCCCAATCCATTGAAGCTATTGAGGGACGGTTGCTGAGAATAAATGACACTAGTCGACGATTAACGGAACGGAAGCGGAAATTGCGTCTACGACCGCTTGATTCTCACGAAAACCGTCAAACATCATTTGATCGGTTTTCGAAGAAAATGAAGGCAATGGATGATGGTTCGATGTCGGATCAAAAGCAAATTCAGTAAATGACTTCATTTTTACCTCATCATCATTCTTATTTATTAAAAAGCTAACGAAGTCTGTCCATTTCTTTTAACCTTCCGAACCCAACCATTTCTAAACAATACTTCACGTGACAATAAAGTTTTGTGGAAGCATTCTGCTAACTATGTCCAACAGTATACACTGATTCGACAGTAGATCGTGCCATACATTTACTGTTGCAAGACAGCACTTTTTATCTTTTCAATCAGAGTCTAGTAAATATTTCAACACAATTTTTTTGAAACAAAGGAGCAACGGCACGAATAAACACAATTCTTCCTGCTATCTTTCATGGTTGAGTCTCCCCGCGGCACGCACACATTTTTCGAACAATAGAGAAGAGAACACCGATGAAGCTTTCCGGGTAGCGGTTTAAAACAATAAAATTGCTTGAACTGATGAAATTAGAAAGAGTTCCGTAGGGAAGAACATTTTGGAGACCTCCTGGCCCTTGGATGTCGAAGCCTCAGGGTGGTGATTGACGTTTGCGGACCATCCTTAGCTCAAAGTCTTTGAACGAGTGATTTGAACCCGTCCACAGGTGCGTAACAAATTTTTCAACGCTTGATTCAAGCTGCTCACTTCGGTCAAGTTGTGCAGTTTGTTCAAATGTGGAAAGATTTTGTTTGCCCCTCATCCTTGTTCCGTGGGTTGGTCGTAAATTCCTGCTGTACAATGAATCAAATGAAAACTAGTGGTAGTTTGAAATGATAACAAGTGTTTGACATAAAGTTTTCAACTCTTATCGGTACATTTTGCGTAATGAGCTGACCAGCCGCCAGTTTGCTTGAGATGTTGCCCTGTCTGCACAGCCTTATCTTTTCTCGACACGACTTGACATCTCATAAATTTCTTTTCCGATCGAACATTTCATGGAATCATTTACATTACTTTCTAGAATAGTTTATCCACAAATCAGTCCAGCATTATAAAAATCGAGTTAACTGTGATAAATCTTGTACTCATGGATTTCCATTGATGTATTTTGGAAGTAACCGACTTTTTTCTGAAAACAAAACATCGATACATTTTCTGATGAGTAGGTGAAAATCTCACCTCAATCTGTTCTGTCAATGGGATGTTGAAAGACTCCCATTCGGCAGGGGGCAAGACGGGGAAGGTAGTGAATGCCCACGGCTCGCCTCTGAAACCCCATTCGATAGTGATACATAAATCTTTGTAGCACAGAAACTGAAAAAAACAATTATTACTGCTCAACGTTCAATGTCTCACCTCTGTGACCCCTTTTGAATGAAAAAAGAAATACATAAGTTCATCTTCCGAACTGTCCGTGTTTGGGTACCGTACTCTGAGCGAGAACGAGTCTCTATTCAATATTTTTATTTGAATCTGACAAGAATAGAAGTTATAAAATTTTTTGAAATAAGAAAACAGACTTACCGCTCTCTCTTCGTTGAAAAAACATTTATCAAATTTTACGTTATTCAGGATAACAAGATTGGGCCAATACACTCCCAAGTCGAAGTTCCCGGTCCCGTTTGAAGAGTCTCTTGGTTTAAAATCAATGCCTCTGTGTGCTGGGATCACAAACGACATGGCAACCCGTTGCCAGAACGTGTATTTTCGCAAAAACGTGAAAATACCCGAATCGCCCACGTAATTATAGTAATGAAAATATCGGGAGTCGACTTCAACGACACTCTGTACAATAGTGAACAGGAAGCATGCCCCGAGCAGCAGAGAGAACTTCATTCGGTTGTTCAGAATAAAGCAATAATGATAGTCGTTATCAGGACGGTACTCTTTTGCGATGCTCCTCCCCCTTGCCTCTGTCGCTACCCTTTTTCTTGCAAAGCTACACTTTCAAGTCGTTTCGACTGATTGATAACATTTGACTCGGAAAAGATGTCACACATTTGCTGCGATATGAATTGGGAAATGGGGAAGGATTAAAAAAAAACGGAAATTTCGAGCTTTCAAAAACTGAAAATAAGCTCGACAATCTTTTTGATGAGTATATCGATAGCGGTAATTGAATACAGTCAATTTCAGGTTGATACAAAAGTTTCGCTTTCGCAATTAACATACATATTATTTGTTTTGTGTGACTTGTTATCATTGAGCAAACTAGCTGTGACCAGTTGTTACCTAGTTTTTCGCGCCCGGACTAATTTATATACCATATCGATTATCTGGTCAGGAAATATACTGATTTGAGGCCGTAAATATAGGGTTTTTACAAAAATTGCGGCAAGAGGCCTTCAACGTCAGGATCCGCGAGACTTCTGTCAAACTGTTTTCATATGTCAATTCCATTTGTACCCTATCTCACATGTCAATTGAACTTTAGGTACGATGTACGTGTACTCTCTTACTTTCAAAACAACCAGAAGTCGTCTCAAAGTAGCATACTTTGGCCTTCATAATCCGATTGAAAATTGTCCTTGATAAGAAATCACTCAAACACAGAGAAGAGCTCGGAATCGAACAAAGTGTACAAAGTTCTTTGCATGTCAGCATCTTCCTTGTCAATCATTGGAAATAGTGTCAGAAGACCAGAGTACAGAATGAGCGCACTTGCGTGATAACATGTACAGTTTTCATGAAGAATTTTTTTAGTCTTTTTTTAGGCTCAAGCAAAGCATTTTGTCCCGTTGGACATAATAAAACTGTGGAGAAGCAAATTGTGTAGCGCAGAAAATTGAAACTGCCAACTTAGGAGATCAACGTTCTCATCGCAAGTGAAGTTTCCTAAGGCAACTATCTCGGTGTCGAATAAGTTTGCCTCTAAATTGAGAAAATTCAAAAATGTTTATAAATCGCTGAACGTTGTGTACCTGCAAAAATTGATGAAGGTCTGTCCTAGCCCTTCCCAAGAAGCTTTCGATTGAGTCTTTGCCTGTCCGAAGAAGTAATCGATGAAGATGAAACGGTAGTCGTAGTAGAACACGTGCATCATTTCGCAATTGAAGCCAAGGTACTAAAATAGTGACAAATGAAAGTGTGATACTTTTTTCAAATTTCCCCGTAGGAGCGTTCAATCTTTACAGTCATGGTGTCGTTTTCAGTCACTTCGAATGTAATCTGAGACAAGGTAGGTTGCACATTTTAGAAAAAACCTTTTTAAAACTGACCTGTTCACCATCCTGCTGGAATGTTTCTCCGAACTTCACATCCCAGTAGCGGCGAATGTTTGACCCCCCGGTATGAAAGTTAATCGAACCATCGTTGTTCTGTTCTAATGCTTGTGGGTACCCCTTTTGCATAAAAATCTTTCATTCATACCCTTCTCGTGCTTCTCTGCTTGATTGAGTGAGGCTTTGCCAAACACGGACAATTCAGTTTCCTAGATCTCAGAAAAAGATACATGTTCAGGCAGTTTGGAGTCTTGAAAACCATTCCGAATGTATGCAAACATCTCCCAAAAGAAGAAGCGAAACAGTGACAAAAGCACAAAACAAAGTTAATATTCCACTTCCCACAACAATTCTGATAAGGATTCGGTTTGTGAACGAGAAACGATTATCACTCATGAAAATATCACTTCAATTTGTGAAATAATTGATTTCGCAAAGAAAATGGTTTGAGATTCAAGTTTAAAGGTTTCCGGCAACTGCTCAATAGTCCTCATCGTCTGGACGCTCAAAGTCACGGTACTGACGGCGTAGGCGGCATTCGCAAAGGATTGGGACCTGAAAAAAAAGCATACCATCAATGTTCGATACTTTTTGCATCCTCACTCTGATAGTTCCCGTTGCAAAAGGTCCGTGAGTGTTCGCCAATCTAACCATCGTTTCCACATTTTCATAAACAGTCACGCATTCGCTTATAAACCTTCAAACAAACAGTACACGTAATTTAATAGTGCCAACATCAAAGTTCAACTCACATTTTATCCTTAACACCGTGACATGTCGGACGGTCATCAATCATGCAGTGGACATAGGTCTTTGAAAAGTTATGATGCTTGTCTTGTTCGATTTCTACGCGACTACCGTTGAGCACTAGAATTGTCGTTTTTTAGATCTTTAGTGAGGAACCTACAATGTCCAAAGTGAGGTGCATGAAAATGGAGAATTACGGATTCGCACACTTCTTCGGTAGTTTCGCTCATTCCCACAAGAATTGACTTCTTGCTCACAAACTGCTCGTTTGTAACTCTTTGTGGAGTAGGCTTTGTGAAGTCTGCAGAGGTTTCCTAAAAAATATAGAAAACAAAATGATTTGCTGTAAACTGACTCATCGAATCGCACAAAAGTACAGTAATCAAGAAGCCAACTAGCGTGTGACCCATAGTGGTCGAAGCTGAAAATAAATATATCGGGTAAAATTGTTGGGTTTTCGAAACCAGGTCACTGCTGACGTCGAGATGGTAATCTTCTTAAAAAGGGAACCTCAAGGCACGCCCTTGCTATTCGTCATTCAAATCCACATCCACCATCGACAATTTGATTTCAGGTTTCACGTTCTTCTGGTGACAAACTAATTTTCAGCGGCCATTATCCCATCGGAATCCATCTAAATCGCATGCAAAACCAATCATTTTGATGTGCGTTTCAATCTGAACAGAAAATTATAATGCAAACTGCACTAGTAAAAGCCGGATATGGAAAGTTGCAGAGAAGGAGAAAGGATTAATTGGGGGAACAGATTTTGGTACTGGAATGGCACACACTCTATAAATTTTGAAAGTTTCTAGCAGAACACCCTTACACATGTTTTCTGTTTGTTCTTCGAATGGTTTTCCAAGTGCTTTTTGAAAATGTTTACTTTCTTCCAACTTGATCATTATTTGATGTGAGTTGGTTCTTCCCAGTCACCTGACACACCTTGTTTTCCAATTTCCTTTCTCGATAAAAACGCAGATTGTGCTCCATAAGCCTTTATGACAATTGGAATCTATTCGCAATCTGAAAGCTACAATCGAAATGAAGAGAGTACGCTTTACTCAGAGAGTGCTCGCGAAGGTAGCGGCGAAAAACCGGAAAACAAAAAGATCACATAAAAGAAGAGATTGAGATAAAGTAGTTGTCTGATCCCGTGGCAGTGAATTTGTGACCGAAACTATGAAGTATGAAGACTGTGGATTTGATGAAAGTATTTTATTTCTTACAGATTCATCTCACAGTCCAGCTCGAAAAACAAATCCTGTGTAGAAAAACAGTCGTTCTCTGAAAACCCAGAACTTTTGCCAACAAGGTGAACAATTCTACGTGCGGTTTCCTGTCTTCATTTTATTATTTGTAAGTTGTGCTTCTACAAGACCATGATTGCTTGAGCTCCCGCCCTTTCCATCATCATGTGCGTCGTCTGCTCTGATTGGAGTCCGTACGTGCGTCAGAAGCTTCCTTTTGCGTAAACAAACACCTACGTCAGTCTTCGGGAGCCTTCTACCCTACTCCACTAAACGTAGTCACATGATGGCGGTTATGCTAAGCTCCTCCCAACGGCTCCGACGCTTCGAGCCCTCCGCACACCCCTCATTCAACATATTCCTATGCCCGATGGCCGACCCTCATCACCATCGCGCAACTGCCATGGTGGCAGGAGTGGAGAAAAGTAAGTCGACGGGTTGAATTGTAGAAAAGGTGGGTTGACGAATAAGAACAGAATGTGAGAAATCTGGAACATCAGTAAATGAGAATGCTGCACGGCGGGTTTCAGTTAAGGTTCTTAGCCAAATGAAAATATACCTTCAATAAGAGGATGTATGTATTCTGTTATGAAAGCTTTAGTGAAATGGAAAAGATCAGAAAGCTTCGAATTCCAGAATAGGTTAATTTATCCTTCTTTCGTCTCTTTTTCTAAATGTACAATCGCTTTTCTTGCCCGTTCGTTCTCGGATGACAAGGTTTCAAATTTCCGTTTGAGTGGTAATGCGCAATGATAATTCTCCAATACTAATTGACTCGAGCCAGGTACTGCTCTCTGCAGTGCGGATTAGTCTCCCCTCAAATAATCGGGTATTGCGGAAATTGGTAAGGTAATCGGCAATGCGCAAATGTTTCATGAAACAGAACTAATTTCCGCTCGAATGCGCTTTCACAGTGGGTGGTTTCATGAGACAACTCCCTCAAATAATCGGGTATACATATGCGCAATGCACAATAATTACATGGAGAAAAATTGTATTCCGCTTGAATGCGCTCTCATAGTGGGAGATTGGAGAGCAAAAATGGTAATATCAGAAATGTTCTTCTGTGATGGATCCTTCTGGTACCGAGATGAAACAGATTGAATGAGACAATCGCGTTTTCCCGCCGTGACTTTCATCTAGTTTCTAGCCAAATTTCAAAACATTTTTAAATTCAAAAACTCATCTGACTTCATTTCAGAAACTTTCATACCTTGCCCCCATCATTCGCGGATCCAAGTTTGGTGGCGACGAACGGGAGAAGGACAGGATTACAGATCCCGTCTTTTGGTTTTCCAGGTGCGTTTTTGTTTTTTTAATCCATACTTTTCTATCAGTAGATGACAACGTTTCTAGTTTGCGCTCTGCATCTAAATGTTTCCATTAGTTTCAAATGAACCGGACGGAAAAAAGAGAAAACGTGGAACATGATAGAAAAGTAGAAATCTGACAGAAGGATAGTATCTCTAACTAGTGCTGGAGTAGTTTGACTCGAACTCAAAATATTCGAGATTTTTCTTCTTTAATTTCAACTAACTCTCAAAATTTTCCGGCGCTATTTTGAGATAGATGTGTCCTTGTTGGATACTTTCTAGTTTCCTCACAAAATTTTAACGCTCACTTATTTTAGGTGATGAGGATGAAGACGGATCAAAAAATAAATTTGTATGGTAAAAGCTACCTTTAGCGATCCATATAAGGCCCCAGAAGCTTGGGAAACCTTTCATTATTAGTTAGCAAATAATTTTAAAAAAGTATCTGTCATTCCAGTAAGGCTGATGATGGATACAACTTGAATTTGTATGGTAAAAGCTACATTTAGCTACCCATATAAGGCCCCAGTAGCTTGGGGCATTCCTTTCTTATTTATTTAAAAAAATTAATTGAAAAAAAGATCCATCTTTCCTTCACCTGGAAACATCCACAAGGCACATCTTGGTCAACATCGGGTTAAGAAGTATCAACGGAGGAACTTGTGTCACTCAATAAAAGTGAGTTCTCATGTGTTGTATGTACTAGCTTAGAGGGGTATGCATCAATTCTAAGAATAGCGATTGTTATTCTAAATTAATCGTTTCATTTCAGTAACCAACAACGGAGACCATCAGTCTTCATATAAAACGTCGCGATTAAGGTAAAACTAAAAGACTAGTAGTACATAACACTGATTGTACTGTTTTCAGATCCAACCGACAATGATGGGCGCTTGTCGGACTCTACAAGCTTCTACAATAATTTATTGTCTTCATCTTTTATCTTTCTTTCAATAAACGAAATTGAGTGAAAACTGAATTGTTGAGAGTTTATAGAAAAGATTGGATGACAAAACATGTCTTCGAAACAGAAAGTTCGGATGAAAAAGAGCCAAAAGAATGCTCATGTTCACAGACTTTTTGGTTTGACGAAGATCACCCACCTACTAATGCAGAATAGGATCAATTAACTGGAAATATACTCTTTTTTGCAGGCTAATGAAACTAAGGTCCTGACCACAAGAAAAACGTTTCCACTGCGTCCTGTCAAGATTCCTGAGGGCTCACGTTGATCACTTCCGTTAGTTGCATCAGTCATTTTCAGCCTAACCGACTATCTCAGTCGACATTTCACAAAACATATCGTTTTGGCACTGACATGCTGTTCTGTGCAACTTGCTCAAAACTCTCTGAATGTGAGTAGCCCATCACTCTGAAAACCTCGACCAACCCCCTTGTTCTGTATGTTAGGGAAATCTATATAAGTTCAATCTTCCCGGTCCATAAAATTATCGAGCATTTACATTTGCTTTCATGCAACTCTTCATTTTCTCTTTCCACTCTCTTCTGTGCCCCATCTCGATCTGTTCTCTTCTGTAGAGCTATAGAGTGCGGAAAGTTGCCTGCGCGTCGGGCATGTTAACTCCTTCATCGAGTCATCGATTGAAAAACACTGTCGCAGCTGGCACAAGGCGAAGGCGCCTGCGGGCCGAGGCATGTTCCCTCCTCCATTGAGATATCGATTGAAAAACACTGTCGCGGCCGGCACGAGGGGAAGTCGCCTGCGCGCCGGGCATGTTCCCTCTTTCATCGAGTCATCGATTGAAAAACACTGTCGCAGCCGGCACGAGGGGGACGAGCTTGTGGGACGAGACATGTTCCCACCCTCCATTGAGGTATCGATTGCAGAACACTGTCGCGGCGGCACGAGGAGAAGTCGCGTGCACGCCGGGAGGCAGCTCGATGATATTCACTCGTGTCTCTTGCCTGTCTGCCTACGCTCATGTTCCTTCTCCCGCACCCTTTTCCTTTTTTATGTTAGATTGATGTTAGATTCAATACTACAGTCCGTTTCATTCTATGCACTGATCTCAAAATTGTTTCCCGGAGGTTATTTGTGATGCTGATTTCGATTTTTAAGGTCCTGTCTTCGTATTTTCTTCAGGAAAGACCATATATTCAATTTTAGGGGTGGCCCTATACTATACTATATTATACTTGCTCAAAACTCTCTGCATGTGAGTAGCCCATCACCCTGAAAACCTCGACCAACCCCCTTGTTCTGTATTGTAGGGAAATCTTTACAAGTTCAATCTTCCTGGTCCATAAAATTATCGAGCATTTATACCTGCTTTCATGCAACTCTTCGTTTTCTGTTTTCATTCTCTGCTGTGCCCCATCTCGATTTGTTCCTCTCTACCGAGCTATAGAGTGCGGAAAGTTGCCTGAGCGCCAGGCATTTTCCCTCCACCATCGAGTCGTCGATTGAAAAACACTGTCGCAGCCGGCACGAGGAGAAGCCGCCTGCGGGCCGGGTACATGTTTCAACGTTGTGTTAGCGCTACGGCGTTAACCGTTCAGTAAATTTTAACTTTGAGGATTCCTTCATAGCCTTCATCAGTCGAGAATCTAGGGTCCCCTAGCTTTATCTGAATACGTACCTTTTGTTATCATCTTCGAAATCTTTTTGGTACTGTTTTTCAAAAAGTGTTCCTTAGAGCAATATATCGAAATTTCTTTGATTCCAGTGTCAAAGCAATATTTTACGAAGTGCGAAGTTTCTACGAGATTGAAATGGAGAGTCAATTCGGAATCACGGAGTTTTTGCTTGGTCATCAACTCGCACCGATTCGGAACCAGTACCTATCGAAAAGTACAGATCTCTACATCCAGGAAGTCAACGGTAACTCGAATCATGTAATTGTGTAGTTATCTCAAAAATTTCAGAAAACGGAGAAGAAGTCATTCCAGCTCGTAATGCGGTTATCCGAGCACCGCCCGAAATCGGCGGTATCAATCAGAACATCCAAAAACTTAATTTCATGTCCGATATAAATCTGTTGGAATTGGACAGGCATTTCACCAACGGAGGAAAACGTGTTGTGATGAAAGTCAATCCAAATGATTGGAAGAAGAGAAGAGAGCTCAAAGGATTCTTGGAACAGCGATATAATGGAAGCATGGTCTCAAAACAGCAAGGAAGGTCGATTGTGGTCTCACATATATCCATGCTCAAAGAACGCCCAACTTGGGATGAGGGGACGCCAGTTTTCTGTCACTTCACACTGGCGAAAGAGAATATGGATATGCAGGAGGCATTGGCAACAATTGCAAAGGCTCTCGGGTCAGTAATTATAATATTCCGATTTCAGCTTGCGGCTAACAAACGTTTTCCTTTACAGCTATATAGAGGTAACCGACTTCACATTCAATGAGGACAAGGGGCATCGGGCAGTGAGCAGTCAACGAGTCTGTGTGCGCCATGTTCTCGAACGTACCCTGCTCCAAATCAACAATGGAATGTCGAAAATCAAAGTGTTCAACGTAGAATATAAAAATGAAGCTATTCAACCATTCAGCAACAAAGGGAACCAATTCACCGTCATTCTAAGAAACATTGCGGAAGAGTCGATCAACGAACTTGCCGAAAGGTTCAAGGGGCTCGAATCGACTGGATTCATAAACTACATCGGTTAGTTACTGATTCTGAAAACATTTGGCAACAAATTAAATTCAGGCACACATGCGATCGGAATGAAGTGCCATATCGCTTCCGAAGCAGGACTGGCAATCCTTAAAAAGAATTTCGAGCGTGCAGTCAAGCTCATCCTTCTATTTTGTCAAAAAGATGTGTGGTCCCCAGCTCTCCAGCTGTTCTTCACCACCGGAGACGCGAGACAAGCTGCTGCCGCTCTGACGGCCGTGGACACACTCAACGCGGGACGCTTCCTCACCACGCTCAAGGACGGCGGCACTTTCCAAGCATGCATCGACAAACTGCCACGTGCGGAGGCCGAGAAGTTCGTTCATGCCTACCAATTCCATCTCTGGAATAAGTTGGCAACGGAGCGGATGAGGGAGGGCGGGTATCGAGTGCTCGGTTACGACTTGGGAGCGGATGGGCAACCACTGGAACTGTGTGCCCCCGTCTTTGACATTCACCTTCCGATGCCTGGATGTCAGACGGAACAGAGTGAAGATACGTATTCAGGACGGCACATCCTCAGACTGCTCGCGGCGGACGGCATCACGCTCAGTGATTTTCAATCACTCGAGAGGTTAGTTTACCCATTTCTCCTTATTCTCATTAAAAACAACGTTTCTAAACTTCAGATTGAAGTATTCCACCCGACCGAGACCACTCTTCATGCGAATGTTCAACTTTTCCTCCTGCGTCATCGAATATTCAGAGAACGACATATTACAAGCGGGAGTCCGCACTGGGAGAAACAATTACAGCGGATCTCTCCGAGCTCTCAAGATGTCGTTCTTCTTGCCTCCCGACGCCTACGTCTCCGCTGCGCTTCGGGAGGCAACCAGCACGGACATGAGCCAGAGAGCTCATGTCGACGCATCAAAGCCGCAGACAGCTGACGACTTCATGCACTCGGAGCACAAACGTCATGAGCTCGAGATATTGTGTCGGTGAAGGTGCGGAGCGAATTCCCGTTTCAAACTCAGATTCACAAAACATTTCAAACAAATTCTCCCAGTATCCCCCTGCTTTTTCGTGTGCTTTCTACAAATGTTGAATGTTTTCCGTTTTATTTTCTAATATGATATGTGAAACCGAATTGCTGAACTGTGTTGCTTAATCGGTGTTCGGAAAGTTCCAGTCATTTTTCATAGTATATGTTTTTGAAGAATTTTAGATGGATGATCATCCACGTTCAGGAAGACCGATATCTTTAGACTTGGAAGCATGGAAAAGCGAGATCGAGAAGGATCCTTTTCAATCCGTCCGTGAATTATCTAGGACACTTGGGGCAAGCGTATCATCAATTACAGGGTGATCCAAAGTTACCCGTACAAAAGTTTCACGCGGCGCGCGTAGGTACTGACGCAATTCTGGTGTGGCCCCTAACTTCAAAAATTTTGTATATTATCATGATCTTAACTATTTGGCCAAGTCTCAGAATTGACTGTTTTTACCGTTGTGAAGATGATGTTTTAGTTTCCGTTCAAAGTTGAACGCTTTGGACAGCTGACTTTTCATAAATAAGCAATTCTGTTGCCATGCAATGTCATGGCTCCCAGAATCTCTCATTTTTTGTCACTTTTTTGTTATTTATTGAAAACATATTCCTTTTTTTGCGTCGGTTTTCAGAGCTTTTCACTTCAAAAAACGTAGTTTTTTTTCAAAAAAAAAAGCGGTCAGCCTCAACATTTCGAAATAAATTTTCGTTTTTCCAACTCTTCACACTTTCATCTTTCCGAATTTTCAATATTTTCGGTCATGAAAGCTAAGAAAACTCCAAAAATTCGTGTGTTCTCCAGTTTTACAACGACAACCCTCCTCTTTTATTATCGGAAAAAATGTGCCACACACTTGCTTTTAACCCTGCCGCAGTCTTGCAAATGGGCGGAGCTTGGCAGGAGAACCACGTCAATTAATCGTTTTCAACCAATTTTGCTCCTTTTTCGGTCGATTTTCAGGACTTTTTCGATAAAATTGACAAATAGATTTTTTTTCAGGTCGAATGTATATTCACAATATTCAACAATCATGCAAGCGGTAACAAAACTCTTCATAGTCTTTCTCGTTGTCTTCATACTATGGACTTTGTATCTAGAGAATGATATTACGAGTGTAAGTTATTAAAAATTTGACGGACAAGTTCAGAAAGTATCGATTTTTGCAGAGAGCACGCAACACTGACGACTTTCACGATGTTCTCGAAGCAACGGCTCGATTAGAGAGATTGTTGCTCTTTGAGCAGAAAAAAGTGAAGGAACTGACGAAACAAGTTCACCAATTGCATGGAAATCGAGCTCGGCGAATTCGGATGGAAGAAATGGTGAGTTCACGCTCTGAAAACTGAGAAAAACTCCAATTTTTCCTAGTCAGAGCCTTGACAGGTAGAACATTTTTCAAAACTTATTATTTTAGCTGAAAATCTCAAAAATACATAGTATTCATGTTCATCTGGTTGATGTATTCGTAAATGTCAACATTTTCCAGGTTGCCCCGGAGTTGAAACGGTGGAAGGAACCGATTCCCGTCCTGGTGAGTCATTTCCCCTCTAATCTCGTCAAAAATCGATACTCTCGCAGGTCTTCTCGTGCAATCGAGCGATGGCAGTGAGGGACCACATTCAGAAACTCATCAAGTACGTTTTCAACTAACAGATTTGTCTTTTTCCTTCGATTTACACTTGTTTTCTATCCAGATACCGCCCGAGCCAGGAGCAATTCCCAATCATCGTTTCCCAGGACTGTGACAGCGATGGCGTCAAGAATGAAGTGATGACATTCGGCGACAAAGTGCAGTACATAAAGGTACACCTTGCAAACTCTCATCAACCCGTCAAAAAGCGCGCATTTACAGCATTTGGCCGGTGATAAGGCGAATATTACGATTCCACCGAGTCATCGGCAGTACACCGCCTACTATCGGATAGCACGTCATTACAAATTGGCTCTCAATCATGTTTTTGTGGATAAAGGGTACTCATCAGTCATTATCACCGAGGGTATGCGGAGAAGAAGTTTACGGATAGGATCGAATGAGAATTTGTTCAGATGATCTCGACATTTCCCCTGATTTCTTCTCGTACTTTTCAAATACACGATACCTGCTGGAGAACGACCCGAAGTTGTGGTGTGTGACCGCTTGGAATGATAACGGAAAGGTTAGTGGTTATTTGTGTCTCCCGGACAATCTTGCAACCGAAAATTTCGAAACCGCGACGTAGAGACAATACACAGAAAATGTGTCAAGCTTTTGGTTTCAAAACGTCGAAGGGTTTTGCGACGTCCGGGAGCAAGTCGTTTGTGACGTATGGACTCAAAATCGTGTTTATTCAGCCGGAGAACATTGACATAAACGCCGCCGCAAATCTGTACAGGACTGACTTCTTCGCCGGACTCGGATGGATGATGACTGCGTGAGTGGACTGATAGTTCTAGAATTTTCAAATAACCATCTTTCTTTTTTTTCAGGAAAACGTGGCAAGAACTGGAACCATTATGGCCAGTCGGATTCTGGGATGACTGGATGAGAGACCCGTTGCGCCGGAAAGAGCGTCAGTGCATTCGGCCAGAGATCAGTCGTACCGGAATGATGTCGTATGGAAAGGAAGGAGCCAGCAAGGGTCAATTCTTCAGCAAACATCTCATCAAGATCAAAGTCAACGACAAGTATACGGATTTCGCCAAACTCGACTTGGATTATTTGCTTCCAGTGAGATATTTTTATGGTTACTCCTTCTCAATTCTCAAAACGACTCGTTTCAGGCAAATTTCCAGAAGAAGATGAAGCACGACGTGATGGAAGAAGCCGTTGAAATGAATATCACCCAAGTTGCGTCTTTTGTGTTAAAGCGCGAGAATAAGGGGAAAAGTGTTCGGGTAGTGTACGACGGAAACGTGGACTATATCAGGAAAGCTGACAAACTCCACGTCATGCATGATTTCAAGGTAAGTCCCGTCCTAAAATTTTGTGAAAAAATGCGCATATTTCTTTAACTTTAAATGTTCCAGGAAAACCCAATTATTTTAAAAATTTACAGAAAATTTGACTTTTCTGGGATTTCTTCGTAGCATTTTCTTATAGTTCGTCATAGCCGTGCGCTAGACAGGGAGGAATCCGAAGTATAATCTCTTTAATTTTAGGCGGGAGTTCCGAGAACCGCCTACGATGGAATCGTGACTTGCTTCATCAATGGAGTCCGCATATACCTGGTCCCCGACCGCACGAAGGTCCCAGGCTATGATCCAAACTGGTCCGTACCCGCAGCTTTTGGAGAGTAATCTCAACTTTCATCATGTTTTATGTACAAACGGGTGACTTTCGTCACGAAACGATTCTAGTCTCGTTTTTGTATTCCATTCCTCTCCCTGTTACCTTTTTTCGTACTTTCTAGTCGTTCTTTCATACTAACCCAAGTGTGCTTACTAACCAATTGCAACTTTTGCCTCACAGTGATAATTCCACGACACCCTTGGCATGTGATACGCCTGTTTCTTGTTATTATGTCTTGCCTTAAAACTTTCAACTACATTTCAAAGAAAACCGACCAACTATGATGTTTATCGGGGTATTGGGCATTTGTTCTCAAAACACACGATTCCTTTGTTTCCCGGGAATATTGCAATTCAATTTCGCAGCTTCATGTATTGTATTGTATTGTTTTTGCAATTTTTATTTGGCAAAAATATGGGATAAAGCCGGCAAATATAGTTTTTAGACAATCAGTAACGTTCTAATCACTCGTGAAAAATGAGAACACCCGGATGAAACAGTTTTAGGTGGGAAATGAAAATGTGTAAGTGCGCGCTAACACAGAGCTCAAGATCACGAAAATTATCGAAATATGAAAGAAAAAAACAAAAATCCGGCTGATTTCGTTGTAAGTGCTCGTGAGAAGTGTGCTCAGAACTAAAACAGCATACGGTTAGGCGACACGTCATCTTGCGAAATTTTTTGATTGGCCTGAAATGCGAGTGAGCGTGTGAAGCTGTGAGCCGGTCGAGTACGCGTTTACCTCCTTCAACATGTGCAACGTCTCGTCGACTTGTGAGATGAACAAAAAGTCTATGTAAACTACGTGGGTGGTCCAAACTAGCGGAGCAAGGAGCAGTGCTAACAGGAGACTGCAGCCGAGGAGCACTGAAACTATTGGGATTGTGGATGGATGAATGGAATGGGATTACTGTACCTTGATCGGTTCCGAACGGAATATCTTCCAGTGGTAACCTCAGAAGGGCGGATAGGAACATTCTTGGGAACACTACAGCTGCCAGTAGAATCGCAATTAGTATCAAATCGTAGATCAGAAACACCAGCTGAAAATCGACAAACTACAGTAATCCAATTCACGGCATCTTACCTGTAATATCACAAACGGGATTAGACACATTTTGGCACCACGGAACGCTCCGTAACATGTTGATATAACCACAGACCCTGAAAAACCACAGCAATTTTAACATTCCCTTTACTTTCAGAAACCGCACCGAGAATTATCACAGAAAACATGACTGACGTGGCATTTCCGAAAAACGAAATGAACACGATGATGGCAATGTAGAAGGGTATCGTGAGTATGCTAATCAACTTGGTGAGTAACTGAAAAAAGACAATCTTTTTATGTTGGCGACCCTTCTGTTTGTTTTCGTGGTCTGTGATCGCTTACCAACACATGGACCCTTCGGCCGCAGTAGGAAAACGGATCGTATCCGAGTTCGTGGACTTCAGTGTCAAGCCGAGTCACTCGACGTCGCTTATCGGCTTCTGAGACCAGCAATTCGCTAAAAACATTTCTGGTTTTTTTTCATTCTCACAAAGCTGACATTTGATTATCGCACCCACTGGAAGAGGACTCATGGTTATCCTCATTCATACTTCCATGAGTCAGCAATTTATTCGGTCTGAAAACCGCAAAAAAATTGATTTAATAAGGAGAGCTTCGAGAAAAATTTTCTGTAATGATAAGTAGAGAAATTGACAATGGAGGTGGAGCGAGACGTTCAGGAGTAAATAAATGCATGAGAAGGAAAAGCGGAAAGGCTAAAATATTCATAGTCGAGTCATTAGAAAGTCGAGTCGAAAACAAAAGAGGGGGACAAAACACATTTATCAACGAGCGAAACTGCCCTAAATCATCGAAAGACCCTGTAACTTATACTGCGAACCGAGGGGGAAGGGGACACACCCATTGTGGTACAGGCAAAAGAAAAAACGAAATTCCGGAATGTTGAAAGAAAAAAAATGGAATAGCACTGGTTCCCGTGACTGTGATTTCATCCGAAAGTTTGGCAAAAGAAAGAGCAGACTCATCACGGGCCGGTTGTGAAATATTAGAAAGTTTCCGGTTGGGTTTACTTTGCCTGCACACAATTTTGTGTGAATATTCATCATAATTGTAGAAAGAAACAGTGAACAACCAGAATAATTCTGGAAAATAAACTTTTGACTCGACGACTGTGTTGCCCAGTGTCTTTTTTCCAAAACGTTAACGAAACATTCTAAATTTCGGATGGTGAAAAGGAAAATGTGAAAACTGAAAAAAACGCTGGTTCCCGTGACTGTGATTTCTGTCGAACGTCATCCAAAAACATTGTTTTGCGCCATTCGGCGAAAGAAAAGAAAATTGCAAGTCCCATTCTCAGTGAGTCAGTGGGAAGGAAATGAGCATGTCATTGCACAACTAACCAAGTTACATTACTTGTGCGCGCAGGCAGCGTTCTTTTTTCTTTTCTCTTTTTGGCCGACCACAAATTAATGTTCCAGAAATGCGCCGCTGATTCCCCACACCAAAATACAAAAGACGAACCCTCCTATTAGTGTTGTCATCCAATCAGAAAGAAATGATTAGAGGGTTTGGTTTGGAAAAGGGTACTTGGAAAAAGACACGTACCCCGACAGACGTTATCTTTTGATCTGTGGCCTTGCACCGAAACGCAATGAGGAAGGAAACGAAACGATTCTTGCCTTTTCAAGCATAAACGGGGGGGGAGTCTATATGTATATGAAAATGTTTTTCTTGAGCAGAAAAAGTTACCGAAAACAGCGTAGAGGAAGGCGCTCCTTGCCTTATTCCGCCGCCGTGACAAATACTTCACGGAGACAGCCCCGTCTTAGGGACATTGCGATCAGAACAGAAAGGAAGAGAAAGAAAAAGTAAATTTTTCTCTCTTTTTCCATTTAGGAAGGTCGAGATGAGTTTGAGTTCGATTAAATGGCGAAACTCATTAACGACAATTATAGGGGTATTTGAACTTTTAGCAATTCACTTGCCTAACTTTTTTCTTGTTGTTCACTATGGAAATGGGAACAAAGGGGTGGGGGTACAAAAAACAAGTCATTTTTTTCCGAAATCTTGATTGCCATGTACTTTCTTTTCAATGAGAAGACATAAGTATTCAAAACATATGAAGTGGAGGGAAATAAAGGAGTTTTCAAGGAAAGGAATATCAGACGAAACCGCCGGACCAGCACCTATTCATCATTCTTATAAGCTTTTTGTTTTTTTTTTTTCCTAAGAAGCAAAGAGTATAAATGCAACACCGTTCAGCTTTTGTCACTGGTCCCGCACATGTCAAAGACCAAAGGGGACTCGCACAAACAAGCGAAAGAAAGAAAGAAGAGGAAAGGGGAGAAGAAGCGGGGAGAAAAGAAGACGTTGACGATGATGATGATGTCTGACAACGTCGCAGATTCGGAGCAGTGGGGCGGTGGCTAATTTGAAAACGTGTTATTGTTGGGATGAGCTCACGACGGGAGCACACATACGGAACACAACGGCCCGCAAAAGGTTGACGATGCTGATTATCGGCACTTTTTTCAGGGGGGCACGTGCAAAAGGTGCGAGTACGATGATTGGGCGAAGGAAAAGTGAAAACAACTTGGAAAAGAGGGAAAAACGAGGCGGGACGGGATGGATCATGAAATTTTCATTCTAACGTTCCGGAATTCATTTCAATCTTGACTAGGAGCCAGACGCGTCCCGTAATACTTGCGTGTGTTCGCCAAAATCTGAATACTTGATTGGCTCTCGTCGTTTGGCCACAAATCACGAAAAGAGAAAGTTTTCCAGGGGACCAGGGATCGATTTGTCAGAAGGAAAACGCAGGAATAGGGCCCAATCAATATTTAGAAAGTCTAACCAGGCATCGCAAAGAATGAATTCAAGGTATAACATCCTGGCCAACCGGACCGGCCCGCAATTTTGCAAGTCTGGAGGTCTGGATGAAGGTCTGGATGAAATATTTGAACTTTCGGTTAAGTTTCGAAAGTTTCAAGTTACTGAAACATCATATTTATAAGTTTTCTAGTCGGATTTGAATGAAAAACATCAAAAAGTACACATACATTTATATTTTTAGATGTTTACATTTGATACATATCCGGATTAGCTAAAAAGTGGGCAAATCTTGATCTCAAGAAGAATGACAAGTTTTTGAACCAACTGCTGTTTTGAGTTTTTCTAGAAAAACATATCTCAAGGACAGTAATTGGACACCACAAATATCTCATTAGGTGTCCTACCCTGACGCACTCTAAAGGAACACCAATTTTTGTGTTGACACTCCCTGCCACCAACACCTCAACTGAAAACATTTCGATTAAGGAGTGATGGACGGCGCAAGTTGGATTGGGGTGCATGTGACGGCCCCCTTGAAGACGGCCAAGGAAATTCTGTTATAACCTACATTGGGCACCGCAAATTTGATGCGGAAGCGGCGAGCGAAAAGGAAAAAAACGAAAACGAAAACGATGGACGATGTTGCAAACGAAAAGTAAATTGAGATGGGTCTCATCTGTTCCTTCCCCATTTATTTTTCATACTCCTGAGAAGAAGAGTGGCCGGAAGTTTGTCAGGTTCTCAGGAATGAAAATGAACATGGGAATGGGAATGAGAATGAGGAAAATGAGCAAAAGTTTGTCGTCGTCGTCGGCAAAACGTGTCAAGGTATGAATTATTTTCGCAAAAACTTTTCGACCAAAGCCAACAGCAATGTAGAAGCAAGTAAACAAAACTTTGACCACATTTTGGACCGGGTTCGAACGAGTTGTTGTTAGTTATTCGACCAGTTTCTGATTCGTCGTGGCGCCCGTCAAATGCGAGCTAATCTTTTCTAAGGGCAACAGAATTAGAAAGTCGATCGATCCATTTAGTGGCGAGACCAAGCACCAATTTAGTCTCGCAAATCGGAATGAATAAATTAAAGTTGGAGGGAAAATGGTCGGAGGATTTCTGGAAATGAACCTCCCGAAAATTTTGGTACCAAGGTATTCGACGATAAGAGAAATTCGATAATCATGAGATTCTGAGCAAAAGTTTTAATAAATCATGCGCCGTGCATAAAATGTTGAAATTTGTCTCATGTGGAGCCTTTTGGGCCGTACGAGCCGAGCCGTGACAGCTATGAGAAAAAAAAACACTGGAATAACTTTTCCTAGTTCCCAAAATCAAAAACAAGTGTCACAATTGAATTGGAACCAAAACACACCGTCTTTTTTCCTCGTTTTCCAATTTAATTATTAATCAGAAAACACAAGATGTCTGATCAAGTTATACTTGTTACGAAACCTCTTGAAAAGTACTTGTGTCTTCTCCTTCTTCTTCTTTTTCTTCTTGCGCTTTTTGGCAGAAGAAGAAGAACAGGCTAATTGGAAGAACGAGGTGTTGAAAATAGAAAAGTGTGATAGAAGAATGAGAAATGAGCGAAAGAACTTTGAACGTTCAGAATAAAGTATAGAGTAGGGTTCAGTGAAACTTAATGCTTGCAAATTACACGATTTCGTGAAGAACTAACATATTTTGTTGCTTTGTAGAGGAGAAGAACGTTTTTCAGTGAAGATCAGTGAAACAAGAGCCAAAGGACGAATGGAAACAGTAGAAGCTTTGCAACGAAAAAAAAAGTGAGAAGTAGTTGAGCCGAGTATCTTTGTTTTTAAGTGATAAGACATGGATTGTGGTCGGGTCGGCCGATATCAAGTTACGCTGAAAGTTCGACCATTTGTTACGTCTCGCTCGGCAATCCTTGTTTTTGAGGAAGAGATTGCCACCAATTTATGAGATTTTTCAGCTTTAGAACAGCTGAAAATCACTGATCAACTGTTTCTTTTTCTCGACTTTGGCAAGTGAAAGTGAAGAACTTTTTGAAAAGCAAAGAAAAGCAACAAAACAAGACGGAGAAATGAAATCTGTGCCGTCTGAATTGGATAAAATTCCACCCACACCTCGCTCAGAAAAAGGTCATCAAAGCATCAAAGTTCGCTTTCCTTTGTCATAAACAATGAGCTTCCATCCAAATCGAATTCAAATTTCGGCCTTTTTTTGGGGAAAGGTTATTTCGAATTTTGCGTTTCAAACGGAATTAATGGAAAACTGTGACGAAGAGCTGTTATTGTGTGAGAATGGAATTGTTCTGCACAAGTTCACCAAGAAACTTATTCATCTTTTCCCATTCTTCACAAATTTCTTCATTTCGTTTGTTCGTCTTGAAACTTCTAGACATTCAATCTGATGAATTCTCAGTTGAAGAAAAGTATTGACGAGTTCTGGAAGCCGGCGCCAAAAACGTTCCGGACGCTTGCTCAAGACAGCATTGTGAGTTATTTTCGACTTTTTCTTATTTACAGCTTTACCGGAAGTGGAGAAGGTAGACGCTCTTCAAATTGAACTAAAACGGTTCCTAGAATAGAAAAAAAAGAACTTTTTCCAGAAGTCTGGAGGGATTTGGGAAGCGGAACCCAAGAAATTGGATCGAGATGAGCGGAGAGAAGACGATACCGGGTCATTACGACTGAAAGAAAACAAGGATCAGTGGAATAGCAGGTGGAAGAAATGAAGAAATGAAACAAGCCAATTAAATGTGTTTTGCCTGGCAAAAACATTGCAATCCGTCCGTAAAACTTCCATTTACCCAATGAAAACTTCTTTTTTCGGAGGGGCTTAAAAACAAAGAAGAACGAATGTCATCAAAACAAGAAAAAGCTTTTAGGGTTTCCCTGATTCAAAATAAAGGTTTACAGTCAATTTCCGCTGGCCCAGAGACCAGACAGAACGCGTGTTCAGCACAATTTAAGTAACTCTGAATAACGCAGAAACCCTCGAAAACATTCTCTCCTTTTCAAGAAAAGATTGGGCGGGAGAAGATGGAGAAAAAGCGACGACGAACATGCTCGGCGGCGAAAAGTGTTTTTGTTGTTATTTGTTTGTGATTCTGGAGAGGGATGGCGAGGAACTAACTCGATCGAATAAAAAATAAGGGACCCCGTCGCTTCTTCGGCTGACTCGAAAGTGAACACCTTTTTGATGGACAACTGTCAGCTCGTCGCCCCCCCCCTCATTCGACTGCAAAAGCGAAGAAAAGAAGAAAGAGAAAGAGAGAACTTTTTTCTCTCGAAAAACTTTGTCAAAAAATCCTACAAACCAGCTTCCGGTTTCAACCGAAAGGGACACTCTCGTCTGCTGATTTTGCATGTAAACCATTGGCACAAATCGCCGCCGAAATGATGATTGACAGAAGGGGTGTTGTTCAATTGAATAGACAATAGCAATGACACGATTCGACTTCATTTGGTATGCCTTGATGATCTCGTCGTCTTCTTCTTCTTCTTCTTCTTCTTCCTCTTCTTCCTCTTCTTCCTATGCTGGCATTTCTCTTCCAGACAATCATCATAGCGCGAACAGAGGGGAATGAAAAGAATTGAAGAAGACTGAAAACTAAAAGAATCGAGCGACAAATAACATTAAAAAGGCGCACACGAATCCTTAAATCACTATTTTCTTACATTCGATTTTCTTTGAAATTCTATTTGGACAGGGACAACTAGAAAAACAATAGTGTTTTCACTTCTATTTTCAGCTTTTACATTGTGATTTTTGAAATTCTACGTATGTGACGTCAGTTCAGGTGTCAGGTGGTCCTCTGTCAGACGGATGTATCTTTTCAAATCACGTGGGCCCGATTTCCGGGTTTTCTGCTTATCTCTTCTCATGTTCATCTCAAAACCTTCAAAACCTTCAATTGATTTGATTACATGCTCGTTGCTTTCTGAGTTTTATAAAGGAAAAATTGGCAGCGATTATCGTCCTGATCAATGTTTCACTCTCTGAAAACTTTAGGAATTGCTCTGTTTTATGGTTTAACGACCGACTCAACACGTTTTCGAAAAGATACGGAATTGTCGTAAAAAGTGATTTCCCTTTTGTCCTATCACTCTTTCCAACAATTGTCGAGGGCATCTTTCAGGGAAATCAAACTGGAAAACTTTTTTGCCTTTAAAATAGCCAGACTTGCAAGATTTTTGGCCGGTCCGGATGTTTCACTTTGAGCGAATTCTTGGAAATTTTTGGACCAAATTGGAGTCTGCCGGCCCTCAGAATTTCACGTCTCGGCCCGACGTGGACCGTTGCATTCACGGCGTAATTCGTCGGTTTCCAATAGATGTTCACAATATCTCGCGGAAAGAACCTAAATCTTCTGTAAAAATGGAACAATACCCCTCCTTTTCTTGTTTTCTCTTCTTTTTTACGTATTTTTGTGCAGTTTTCAGGTCAAATCCGTCTTAAAATGGGTCCAACTCAACAAAACAGTGCGCGCGCGGGCCGCAATTGTGCGTCCTTTCCGGTGCACTCACCAAGAAACGACCATGCGGCGCGGCGAGCGGCCAGCTCACTTGCACTGTTCTCTTCCCCTCCCGCGTGCGTTTTCCTTTCTCGTCTCTCCGCTCTCTCTCGCGATTAAGACCGTGTTTCGCAGTTCTTTTCGCACTGATAACAGAGTTGTCTTAAGAAGATTCGCATTTTCCGCATTGCTCCGCCTTTCGTACCTAAATTTTGAGCGTTTTCGAGTCCGTTGACACGCTGGTCATTCATGGTATCCTCATCCAAAAATCGATAATCTGCGATTGGATTTGAGCGGCGTTTTCCGATTGACTGGTCACTGACAGGTGTCAGATCTTGCACCGCTTATCACTTAACACCTGATTACAGCGAATTTTTTCGCAAAAACCAAAAAAACCACGTGGATTCCGAGTTATTTTGAATTTCTGGGAACAAAAACATCTTCATCTTCTCGGATGACCGAGCTCGTAAGCAGGGGTCTCTTTATCTTTTGCGCTCTCTAATCTTCGAGCTTCTCCTCTTCTTTCTCTCCTTTCAAACTCCCTTTCCTCCAGCATTACTACTCCCCAAAGACGAGAAAAAACACTGGCTCCTCGCGTCCTCCCGCTCGCTACTCTATATGTGTATTCGGAAAAGGGAAAACCGAGCGCGGTTGCTTCCTCTTCACGTTTTCCGCCCCGTATATTTGTCTTTTAATGGTTTTCCGCGTTTTGCAATGTCCTCTCTTTCCGCCGATGCAGGTATACAAGTACAATGCGCTGTTTGTAGAGATGGTCATTTGTGTGACAGGAACATTGAACACCAAGCACTGATAACAATAGAAGGAAAAGGTCACGCTGTGTTCGCTGATAACCACATTCGCAAATTCACGTTTTGACGTCGAAAATTTCGATGATGACCCAGACCCGACCCCCGGCCGAGAATGTCCTTCTCGCGCGGGAAGATAGAGATTCAATGGCGTGATTAGCACTAACTTTCATCCGTTTTTCGCGCCGTTAGTCAGTTTCCAAATTGGATTTTCGTTTTCTTTCCGCCAAAGTTTTGGACGACGATCGATAGGTGACTGGGCAAACAAAATGTCCATGAGTCACTCTTCGTTGCCTTTTTTGCCTTGTTGTGCAGTGTTGTATACACCGCAGTAACCCTTCCGTAATGTAGGCGCAAAATCTAATCCACCTGCTCTTCCCCCGTTACCCGTAGCAACTACGCTCTCTCATAATTCTCATTTTTAAAACTATATCAATTCTATTTTCAGGGTAATATCAACACTGAAACATGGGTGCTGATGATGGAATCAGCGCGGACCAAGTCGACATCCGACTCCAGCCGCTCAACACGAACGCCGGACGCAATGCGAACGGCACCGACGAGGAAGCCGCCGAGCAGATCCAACTGCGGGTGTACAAACGTCGTTGGATCGTGCTGCTCGCCGTCGCGCTGCTCAACAACACCAACACCATGTCGTGGATCTCGTATGCGCCGTCAGGAAACTACGTGAACAGCTTTTACGGCCCGAACAGCGCTGCTTGGTGAGTGAAGGTTCAGATAAGAGCGAAACAGAGCACGAAATGAAAGGGAAAGGAAAACGTGTTTGTGAAAATTTGATAGAAGGAAGAGTGACCGTTTGATAAATGAACAACTCAATTAGTGATAGTGCGGTAAATGACGTTTGCACGATCGGAAACCACTGCCGTTTGTGATAAGAGCGAACGAAAATAAATTTTTCAGGCTCTCGATGGTATACATGATGTGCACAATCCCAGTTGGAGTTTTCGCTATGTGGGCCGGTCGCGAGTGGGGTCTCCGCACTGCCATCCTCATCGCCGGCTGGACCAATGGAATCGGAGCCGTCATCCGAGTCATCTCCTCCCTCGACTTCTTCCCGGACGCTTGGCGCTTCACCGTGTGTTTGACTGGTCAAGCGATCGCCGCCGTCGCCTATCCGTTCATCATGTTCCTGCCGACAAAGGTTGCCGGCTCCTGGTTCCCGGACACTCAACGCGCCATCGCCACCACTATTGGAGTGATGTCGAATCCGCTCGGAGTGCTCATGGCCAATCTGATCAGTCCGAGCATTGTCAAGGCTCCAGAGCACGTCATATGGCTCAACATTTTCACCTGCATCCCATCCGTCATTGCCATGCTCATTGCCACTGTAAGAAATCACCGTGTTTTAGAGAGATGTATTTTATTTTTATTTTTTTCAGTTTGGCGTGAACCGAAGTGAGCCAAAGATCCCGCCAACCTTCAGTGCCAGCAAGCCACAAATGGACTTTGTGTCGGGAATGAAATCGTGCTTCTCCTCGAAGCAGTACATAATTCTTCTCATTGTGATGGGCGGAGGAATCGGAATGTTCAACTGCCTCTACACGGTCATGCTTGAACTTCTGTGCCCGTCTGGATACTCGAACACGTTCTCAGGAGTGTGTGCCGCTCTCATGATCATCGGAGGAGTGTTCGGAGCCGCCGCCAGTGGAATCTTCGTCGACCGCACCAAGCTCTACGAGGAGACGCTCAAGATTGCGCTCGGAGCCGCCGTCATCTTCGGACTCATCTTCCTGCAGCTCACCCTTCACACCGGACACCACGTGCTACTGGCCGTCACCTGCCTACTCTTCGGAGTTCTCGGATTGGCCACCTACCCGATCGGATTGGAACTGGCGTCGGAGTGCACGTTCCCAGTGTCCGAAGCCACGTCGACCGGACTCATTGTGCTGTCCGGACAGATTCAGAGTGTCATCTACGTCTTCATCATGAAGAACTTTGCCCGTCCGCTCCAACCGGATCGCATGCACGCTCAGGTCTGCCAGCTCACTCCGGACGACACTGTCAACACGCCGAAAGATAACACAATGTCGATCATGGTAAGGAAAACATATACTTGGAGCTATATAATAATGCTCAATTTCTCAGATCTTCTCGCTTCTGTCCACTCTCCTGGTGCTCACACTCGTCGTGCTCTTCAAGCCGGTCTACAAGCGTCTCGAGGCGGAACGCGGAAACCGAGCCACCGCCGACAAGGCGAAGGAACTGTCGAACCAGACGAAGGACCGTGTGACCCTTCCGACCGAAAGCGCCGTTCAACCACTCCAACAGCAATAATTCCTCTTTTCTAATACCTCAACGATCTTTTCGAGCATTTTACACAATCCACCAAACTGGATTGTTTTCCCTTTCCTTCTCAACCCAACCAAAACAATTGTTGTTGTTTTCTTATAATTATTCTGTTCCTCCCAGTAATTATTGTTGCGTTCCCTTCCCTGACGGCAGCTGATCATCAGCTGCTGTACAATCTCAATTCTCCTCAATCCACAGTACCCGAGCATTTCTTTGCGTGCTTTGATGTTTGGTTGTGTAATTGAAAAATCTCAGGCGGCCAAGAAGTCACCAAGAAGTCGATTCGTATCGATTCTAGGTCGATTATTGTGAAACCAGAGCTTGCTTTAATGATAAATTATTTTTGTGTACACGCGGTTTTTGCGTGTTCCTTTTGCAGGATTTTGTTAAAATCTACTTGGGTTCTGAGGACTGATCGACTGGAACCATAGAGGGATGGTCCAATGGATGACTCCGCAATTACAGAAAAATGGGTGAGTATTTTACGAAAAAAAGCGGAAAATGACTAATTGTTTGAGTCATAAAACTACAAATACGTTTCATGAAATGTGTCGAAAAACAAATCCAATCCGCGACTGGAAGCAGAGGGAATCATTACTTTTTTCTAATTTCGCTAAAAAATCGGGCTTTCTGAAAGTATTTTGAGGATTAATTGGGAAAACCAGAAAACCGCGTACCAACCGGACGATACAATTTCAAAAAAAGCAATGTCTTCGAAGGTACGAAGACACACACGTTCAATGTTCTGCCCAGAATTCTCCTCGGAGACTGTGTTGTATCCGAATTTTGCTCGGCAACGAAAATTGAATTCAGTTCGCATGTGTCTCGCACAAGTTTCGAAAACTCCCAATCAATTTGCAAATGACTCATTTTCTGAAATAAGGGGCGTGTCGGCGATATTGAGCGGTCGGCTTACAGATTTTGAATGAGTCAATCACTCGATTTCTTCATTTTGTTCCGAATTGCCTCTGTTTTCCCGCTTTCTCTGAAGCTCTCTCGCACCACGCGCTAGTTTTCGTGCCACATATGTACCAGCTGCTGACATTGTTTAGTTAGGACCTTTTTCGTGGTACAGCTAGGTTCTTCAATAGTCTACGACTCTTTGTCTCTCTTGTCTCTGTTTGTTTCGGAAGACTTTTCCAGATTTGGGCTCACAGATCCGAAATGAGTCAGCCACTCAATTTTGCGCCTGTATTTTTGTGCCCTACACAGTTCTGTCACACATATTTGATTAATATTCATAAATGCCAGCGACTGCGTGTCTATCAGTTAGCTTTCAGTTGCGCAATCGCTTTTCGAATAGGGTTGCCGCTTATTATGTCCCTTTTCGGTAAGAAGTGCACGCAGTATCCTGAAACGTTAATTAAATCTTCATTTTTTTTCAGAAATTCGTAACATGGATATTTCGGACACCGTCGAATTGTCCAATGGCAACATGATGCCAAACTTTGGTGTTTTCACGTGGAAAAACGACGAAGAGACCATTACCAAACTGAAGAAAGCCATTGAATTCGGCTACCGTCACCTGGAAATCGGATCGGTGTACGGAAACGAGGAGGTCTACGCCGCGGCCATCAAAATGGTGCTCGAGGAAGGGACCGTGAAACGAGAGGATCTGTTCATCACCGTTAAGGTACCCCTTCGTAAATTTCCGGACAATTTCAAACCGTTCACCTCCAGATCTGGATCTACAACGTGGACCCGGCGACCGTTGTCCAGACGGCGACGGACATGCTCAAGAAGCTCAACCTGGACTACGTCGACATGTGCATGGCCCACTTCCCGGCGGCTTATGCCAAAGTGATCGATGTGGAAAAGATTTGGCAGCAGTTTGGCGCTGTCTACAGATCCGGAATGACGAAAGGGTGCGGAGTGGTTAACTGGAACTATCCGGAAATGGTCCGCGCCCTGGCATCTGACAGCGTTCCGATCCATCTCTCCCAATCAGAGATCATTCTCTATTTTGTGGAGGATACCACTAATTGGGCGTTCTGTGATCAAAATCACATCACAACCTCTACAATTGCTACGTTTGGCTTGCCTTCCGGCCTTAATATCACTTATGCCTCCAACAAGTTAGTTTTCTGCTCTGTTAGATAGAAAATGTAGTTTTTCTTTTTTACAGAAACCTCTTCTGGACCACATGTCCGTCTGAATCGACCAGTTACAAGTTGCTGACAATCGCTAGAAAGTACGGCAAAGAGCTCAAACATATTATTGTTCGTCACGCCGTGCAGGACGGGTTTATCGCTTTTCCGACGCCTGCGGCTGCGAGCAGAATGGTGCCCGACATTCGCGTGGACAACTTTGAAATTACTAGCGCCGACATGATCAAGATCGAGGAGAACAAAGCCACGGAGCGTCTCTACTTTTGCGATCGGAAAGTTTTTGTTTTTCACCCTCCAAGTTTCTCTGACTCTCGACCGTCTCGACACCGTGAAGAATATAAAAAATCACGCAATTTTTCAAAACTTTAGAATCTGGGCCAGTTTGGCGAATAGAGGCAACACTGATAGGCAGATAATTTGGGAGGGTTTCCGGTTTTCAATTCTCTGCTCCTTTAGAGACTCTTAATAATTGTCGCTTTCAGTCACACCGCTGATATCGTGAGATTCGACCTGGGAGAATCCGTCATTAACAACAACGTATAAGACCACTGCCAACCGAACACAATCTTTAATTTTCATCGAATATTCTTCTGACCACTGTGTATCCCCTCACGAACCTGTACGCCCATGATATAAAAGTTTCGAATTTTTTTCACAGAGAAGATGACTTTCCGGCGGCAGACATAAAAGAATCAAAGTGCCACACCTTGAAAAGCGGCAACCGTAAAAGGGAATATATCTGTTTCCGCCTAAATTGATGCAATACACCCCACACCCTACCCATTTTGTACTTTCTTTCTTTCGATTTCAATTCTCAAATCCCAAAACCCATTTGTGCTTTGCTCCAAAATGCTTTTGTACTACCCTCATCAAACGGAATGATCATCATCCCATCCCATTCACGCTCTGATTCACTCTTCCGTTATTTCTGCTTTTTCCTCTTTTTCTTCTTCTTCTTCTCCGTTCTCGAAATGGAAAAGAATAGGAGTGGGAATTGGCTGCGAATCCAGTGTAATGTGGGCAGGCACTAAACTGTTCATTACAAACCGCCATCAGTTAGCCCAAGTTTTCTCTCAAGACGATGGGCGCCCGTCCCTCTCTCACTTTTTCTCTCCCGTTTTTCACTCATCATATTTGTCAGAACAATGTGCGCAGAGATAGCGAGACGAGACGGTTGGCCCCCAATGCAACTTACAGGCGGTCTCGGGTCGCTAACAGTTTCCGTCAAACTGTCTGCGTACGGATAAAAGCCTCTCTCTCTCTCTCTATTTCTTTTTCTTCCATATCTCGGGACATTGGTTGCTCTCGCCAAATTGCCTGTTCTTCTTCTTCTTCTTCTTCTTCTTCCTCACTGCCAGACCACATAGGTTCGCCGAAACGTACAGACCTCGTGCCATGCCGTTCCCCGCCTTCTTCACTATTAGCTCACTTTCCGCTGAACTCTTCACTTCTTTCTCTCTTTCCCTCTCTCTATCTTTCTCTCTCTCTCTTTTCTCCCTGCCCGCCAGTAGTTCGACAAAGAGACTACGCAGGAACGGGTCATTTTTCATTCTTTTTATCTTTTTAAGGTGTGACGACACAATCTTCGAAAGAATTCTCTCTCGCGTCTTTTTGACCGAATTGATCCGAATTGCTGCCGCAAAACACTCTGCAGATGTTCCCTTCCCTCCTTTCTCCGCGTAGGAATTCGTTTGAACATGTGAAAAGTGTTGCGACATTTTAAGTGTTACTATCAAATTCCATTCACTGTTATCATTCGAAACCAAAGAGTAAACTAAAAATATTCTGAGTGAAAAGTGACCGTCGGAAGCGGCCCGAGTTCTTGTGCTATTACGTGACACCAACTCTCTAGCAGGTGACTGATAAGGAATCGCAACATGTTACACTTTCGATACGTTAATACACTTTCTCGCTCAGCCATCTATCATTCATTCACGCTTTTTTTTTAATTCTCCGTCGTTCCGAAGGTTTTGTTTCGCTTTTCCTCCTCTCGTCGGACCGAACGATGAAAAAATCACTGACGAGGAAAGAATGGGGGGTTTTGCGGTGATGCACGGCCTCGGAGATTGATTGTCCGAGTAAACGCGGAAAGATATATTGCTCCATGCCTTTTTCTCGTCTTCTTCTTTTTCTTCCTTTTCTGGGCGATTTTTCCCAGAAAGATTGTAGCTCTGCCATTTCATTCGTTTTCGCCTCAGCCATTCAAACTCAAGCACCAATTCTAATCATAAGGTTTATGTGTCATTGAAAAAGGAGTAGGAGAACGAGGAAAGGGAGAGAGCGAAGAAAACGAAAATTGAATGAGGCGGGTGTTTCAGGACATTCGTGTGCGTGTGCGTGTGCCAGGTGACTGTGATTTCAGCCGCATTCTTTTCTCCCTCTCTTTGCTCCGCTCTGTTCGCTTTACCAGTAACTCTAGAGTTTTGCAGCTTCCCGATGATGACCGCTGACAAAGTAAAGGCTAAGCCGAGACGCTATTTGGACAACGAGGAGCTGGAGCCGGTAGGACCGGGTCCGATGGTTGTGTTCACGCAGTCCCAAAAGATGTCGATCTACGGACCAAAGTTCGATTGTGGACCCACTCAGCTGCGTAAGCAGAGACTTCTCGAGAAGGTGGGTTACTGTAAGTTCAGCAGTCAGAGGGTTACTGTTTGTCCATTAGTTAAAGTTGGTCTCAATGATCCACAACTATGTATATTTCGATTTTCAGATAAAGAAGGAGGCCGACGAGGCGATGGCAATGAAGATCGCCGAGTTGAAAGCGGCTCAGGAGGCTCTGGATGCTCAGGCCGAACTTCAGCGTCAGCGCAACCTGGAACACGCTCGGATGGTGCATCTGCAGATGCAAATGCAGCAACAGCAACAGCAGCAGCAGCACTCGAATCCGCACCCAGAGACTAGCTACAACGATGAAAATGTAGGTGATACAGTATGTTATCACTTCTTCAAACGGCCACGTAATCCGAAATCATACCGGTTCGAATAATGAGATCAGCTGTCTATCATTGACGTGGTGTACATAGAAACAGGTGCAATGCGCTCAGAACAGAACAAAACAGAACGATATTTAGGAGAATTAAAAGAAAAGTCAGTCTTATTAAATTTGAATTTGGCCCCGTGAAAGGCCAATGCGATTTTTGATAGAGGGGGGGGGAGATAATCAGATCACAGAAAAAACATTGGGTTTTATTTCAGCACGGCGCGCAGATGAACGGGAACGGAGCCGGATACCAGCGAGAGTATACGGTGCAACAATATCAGGAACTATATCAGATGGCACCGCCACCGCCGCAATACGATCAGCATCCGCAGCAATTCCCGCAGTACCCCGATCAGCAGTTCCAGACGCCGTACTACAATCAGTACTACGCCAACAAGATGTGAAATGGATCATCTCGAAGATATCATCGCACCATAATCAATGTTTTTACAATCAATTGGGCTTCTCATTCTCTCTCCTTCTCTCTCTCTCTCTCTCTCTCTCTCTCTTCTGCTTTCTTATCCACAATTGCTAGACTGAGTTGACGTAGTTTGCTTTGTATGTCGCAATCTTGCACTGCATAACATATTTTCCCCTATCCCCGTCTTCTTTTTTTGCTTCTTATCCATTTTCAGTCCCCATTCCTTCTGTAGTTCTTCCCCCCCTGTTCCCCATTCTCCACATTCACATTCTCCAACCTTCCAGGGTCAGAAACTTTCAAAGTTTCTGCACGTTTCATTTCGAAATCATTCAATCACCCTCGTAACTTATTCCCGTCCGCCCACCCATTCCTTTTTTTCGCTGAAAAAGTTCTGGAGTTGATTTGAAATGAAACTATTTGTGTTAAGCTATACATATAAAAAGTTTGATGGGAAATAGCAGGCTTGAAATGAGTATTGGTTAAGATTGGCATCGACGGATCAGGTCAAACTGACTTTCTTCGCCAAGAGTACGGAAGCGATACAGGATTTTGATGAAGAACCAAATTTATTAGCAAGAAACAAAACAAAACAGGAAGAAAAACTTGAAAAAGAACATCGTTGCAGAGCATTTGTGGGAAAGAAAAGAGCAAAAGAATGGCGGGATAACAGAACTTGTAGAAAATAAGACGAATTCAGAAGTTTGAAGTAAAGAGAGAGTGAGAGAAAGTGAGTGTGCTCTGCTTCGAAAACCATTCAAATTTGAACTTCGAACCTGGCGTTGCAGAGCATTTGTTATAGAAAATTGGGAAACAAAAGACCAAGAAAACGGTGGGATATCGGGTTTTGTGGAAAGTAAGACGAAGGGAGAAGTTCAAAGTGCAGAAAGAGAGAGAGAGAGAGAGGAAATAAATGTGCCTTGTTTCGAAAACCCTCCAAATTTTAACTTTTAAATCATATTGAAGTGAGCTTTTCCAGAATTCAACACAATAAAAACATAACTAGGTGCTGATTTTAAGAAAACTAAGCGCCGGGATTATAAGTTGGACCGCTTCTCAACAGAACGCAAATAACAGGCGTTATTAGCTTACTTTTCAGGAAAACGGACACCTGCTGCGCTCTGAAGATCTTCGAAATTCGTCAGCAGGTACGGGGTGACGGGCACATTGTGAATCAGGCAGCCGTGCACTAAGATGCATTGGATCCAGCCGTCCTTGGTCGGAATACATTGGTTGGCACATAGATCGTTCAGCAGTGGTTGGATGATCTCGTTCTTCCTACGAACGTTGAGTGTTCTTTTTGCGTAGACCATCCCGGAGAAATAACAGAAAATGTCAAGCTTCGGAGCGTTCTCCGAAGATATCTGGAGTCCGTGAGTGGTGGCTAGGGAGCAAAAGTCGGTTATGAATCCAGTTGGAGATATTTTTTGACGTGCTTCGAGCTCAGTCATAATCCCCAACACTGAACGGTGTTTGGCGGACAAACTGGTAGATGGTGGAACTTTCCAAAAGCCGCCTCTCAGAATTGATTTGCTTTTCTTGGGGTCTGGAACTTCCGGAGCATCGATTTCTCGAGCGGTTCTCTTCAACGGCCTCTTTTTCTGGACGCCCAAAATATCGGCAATCATAAAGGACTTCTTTTTTTTCTGTCCGTTCTTTTGGGCATGTTCCCTGGTCTACAAAAAATGAATATTTAAAAATTGACAAAAAAGGAACGAACTTACATTGAAACACCATCTCATTTTGAAATGTCCTCTGTTTCCAGTTCTGTAGGTGGTAGTTGTGTAAAACGAGGCGATTTCGAGCACTTTCTCAGCAACGGTCACTCCAGTTACAGCATCCCGAAAAGAGACGACCGGGATGTAACGCGAGTTACGTGTAAGCACAACCTGCAGAAATACCATGGCATTTAAAATAATGAGTCACTGACTATCATTTCCGAATCACATCGTTTCTGGACTACGAACTCCACTGGCCACACCACGGCACCCGCGCACCACTGTTCACCACTTTTCACACCGTCCGGATGAGTCAGGATCCTATTGTCCGTTTCCATTTCACGAGATTTTTTTTCATCAATAAAATCGTGTCTGAATGCAAATATGTTAGTTTGTAATTTCAATTAAGATCACTCACATGAATTTAGATGCTCTCTTGAATTCCAGAACTGCAGTATATTTGACGTCTGGTCTGAGACCGACGACTTTCGTTTCGATTCGTGGAATCATAAGTTTTGGCGTATCAGTGATTCTCGTTTCGAGATGTGGATGAACTTCTTTGAATTCGTTGGAGTTAAGAAGGTCAATGCGAACATTTTCCATTCTGAAATAGATACAAGTGAGACTCGTATGATTGACTGTAGAAAAAGAAAGAGCGAGAGAGAGAGAGAGAGACAGTAAAGTCTCCACAAATAAGAAAATAAGCTTGGCTTTGCTTGTAGGGTTCATAATTTTGGCGGGAAGTGCAAGTAATAAAGATATTTCTTGGATTTTTTGTAGAAAAACGTGGCATTGTGTTTTTTGCCACATTACAATGGAACTAGAGACGTTGATTTTGATGACATTTTGAACCGAAAGTGCGGTGAAAAAAGGTATATTTTGTAGTTTCTCATGTACGAACACCGCGTACGGCACAAAATTACTTTCAGTACACGGGACGGCCTTTGTTTTTCTCTATGGAGCGCATTTGCAAAACGATCGCATAAAGCCCTGGTCCCTTTTCTTTGCTTTTTGATTTTTTGATCACGTCACGCTCCCATTTCCCCATTTACATAGATACAGTGAAGTCGTGAAGCAAAAAGGGGGAAAGAGACAAAAAGGAAAGTGCGGAACACTGCAAGAGAGTGTCGCTTATAACTAAATTTTAAATTCAAAAATGCAAGGTCACTTGCACTCGCGTCTCGTATGTTGTTTTCCAATTAGTTGTCTCGTTTCCAAGGATATTCGGAATCTTGCCGACAAGGTACATGACTTAAAATAAAATTAAGCATTATTTAAACTAAAGGACACATGCCGATCATCGTCAAAGCTTCAAAACAGAATGATTTTGATGAGAGAAAGGGGGTGAAACTCGAAGGAGCCGACATGCATTACAGTCCAATAATGCGGACCGTCTTAGTTTGTCCCTCTGAAAAGATAAAGGAAGAAGAGCCGACTGTGGTCGGATGCAAGAGTTATTGATTTGATGTAGTTCTGTGATCAAATAGATAAAATGGTCACACGATTTATATACAAAAAAATACAATTAAAAACGGGTGTACGGGTCTATATTTTCCTTGTTTTCATCGTCATCTTCCTCAACCACCACCTCATCCCAATTCTCGTCCTCTCCCTCTGCATCCAAAGTGACCTCTTCTTCTTCTTCCAAAACGTTCTCCTCCACCTCGATCACATCCCCTTCCTCGCGAACTTGGTCCTCCACAGTCGTGTCCGCCAACTCCGGAGAGTGCTCGAGATGCTCAGAGTACTCGCTTTCATCGTCGGACTCCTGACCCTCATCGTCTTCGCTGTCGCTTTCGCTCTCCTGAAAAAAGAACATACAATCTAGAAAACGTTATAAACTTCCTTACCGGTTCCGGTCTAACACGATTCGGGCCGTGCGTGTACGACGGATGGTACATACTGACCCTCCTGCGTCGCGGAGGCTCATCCGCCGAGGATGACTCTTCGTCGTCAGATGGCAATCCGCGCTTATTTGGATTCATATTGCAGATCCCAAGTACCTGAAAACGACGAATTAAAGTACTGATCACGGAAATTGGAACATGCGTAAGTCAAAAAGAGGGAAATTCCGGCGAAAGATGACAGACTGTGGGAAACGAAAGGCGAAACAAATAGGGTAAATGTGACGAACAGCCTATGACGAGAGAAATACGAGGTTTGACACCGCCGAACTCATAATTTCAAATAGATTGTTCGAGCAAGACCATGAGAAGTCAAGCGGACACGTAAAAGTTATAAAAGTGATCGCTTAGAACAACACGATTCGCCAGAAATTTGCCTGTTTCGCGTTTGGGACCAAGAGGTAGTGCTCGCAGAATGGTTTAGTGGAAGAAAAAGTAGAAAAACAAGTTTTCTTCGTAAAAAGGCAACAAAACAATGACAAAAACATTCGATGATTGGGCACAATACTGGCAAGTCAATAATCCGATATAGCGCGTCTGCGTACCTTTGCGGTATCGCGCGCACACGGGGTCGAACGTCCAGACACGCAATTGTCGGTTTAGTGTCGGTTTTAAACTTTACTTACATGGATACTTGACGTCCGTTTGATCACGTGATCTGATTGTTTTCACACGCTGCGGATAAATCCATTTTGTAAGATCGCAAGAATAGAAGTGTTTTTTGTGAATCACAGCGATAAGATGATAACACGAGACGTATATATCTGGAAAATAATTTCATTTTATTCATTCTTCAGATATCTCCTCAGCAACTGCCCCGTCTACGTTTCCTTTTTAATCAAATGATCTTTGATGAGCTCCAACAGTCTCAGTTTCCCATCGTATTGTCTTGAGGATGGGGAAACAGTTGATTCGATTTGCGGAAACTCGTAAAAGCCGCGACTCCCGCCATTTTCCTTCATTCTCGCCTCGGCTCGCCCACCAGCCAGCGACCCTCCTTCCCGATGCGCCTTCTCGCCCTTCTCATCATCTTTCCCGAACTCTACGGAGCCGTTAGTCCTGTGCAGCCGACGCCTCGACTGCTGAGCGTCCAAATTCAGCGGTGCCCGCTCGCCGTCTACACCAACCTGCATGAAGAGGAAGAAAAGACAAGCCGCTTGGTTGTCCAGTCCGAATTCGACGAGACTATACGATTCCAGACGAATGAGACAGGAACTATCCAGTTCTTTGTGACTGGACCCGGAAACTTGTCGTAAGTTGACATTGTTGGCTACTGTACCTGAAGAAATATGACTTCAGGGTTCAAATTGTGACCGACAGAGATGTGCTGACCGGACTCGTCGGCCGCGTTTATGCTGATCCGAACCTGGGTGGAGTCGTGTTCACCAAAGATTTCAAAGTCGTGTCCCCAGTCCAGGAAACTATTATCAAAGTAATCATGATCAATGGGGATGTCAAGAAGATCACCCGAGTCTATGCCAGCACTCAATCTCTCGAGCCCCGTACGCGCATGGTCCCTTCTTTCTGTACTTTTTCCGTTCTTTCAGCTCGCCCGCCATCAAGTCATACCTCCATGATTCTGACCCCAGAGGAAGAGGCTGCCGCGGAAGCATTGGCAAACGAATCTGGCACGTCGAAGAATTCAACCCAAGGAGCCGATACGATCACTCCGCCTTCTGTAGACACGCCAAGCACACCGGTCAAGAACGGTACACAGGACGTGACGGCCACTAACTCGACCTTGAAAGTCGTCGTTTTCCCATCTGTCGAGGATATTCTCCACGGAAATTACTCGCATATTGATCAGAGTAAGAGTGGTTGGAGTTTTCACAAAAAAAACCACATTTTCTTTCAGATGGTCTGCGCTTGACTAGCATCAACTTGATTAGAACCACCAAGAACGTCACCGATGAATATGTCTCAAAAAGTATCCGAAGCTCCTAGAATTTGACATTTAAAAATGTGACGATTTTCAGGCAATGTCTACCAGACTAGGGTCAGCAACAACGAACGCGGCTTCATCATATTCTACATATCTGGAAAAGGCAAGAAAAAGTAAGACATTCGATTAATTTACAAGTCCATTTTGTAATCATCGCAATGACTTACAGAGTTTCGATCAAATCGGTGGCCGTCAAGAGAGATGTCGTGAAAGTGTTGAAGACTTCCGGAGATTACGTCGCTATTCCCTATTCTGGTTAGAGATTTTTTGAAGGTTTTGTGTAATACTTGAATCTTTTTTTAGCTCACGCAGATCGTGTCAAGTTGGATCGACTTCTGGTCAAGGTGGAGAATGATCAGAATGAGGCCGTCTACTACTACGTCACCGTCAGAAGAACAACCAAGTGATTGCTCGATGTTTTCCGTAATAAACATTCCGAGCATTATCCTAGAACTGGTTTTGTCGACTAGCCGGAAGGAACGCAGTTTACCTGTAAGAAATTGGCAAAAAATGACGGTTCCATCCTCATTTCTTATTTATTTTAAGAACAAATGACGATGTCTCTGCTCATTTTAATTAGCAACCGTCTCGAAAACTTCATTATTGACACCGATTGTTATCTTTTCTCCTTTATAAACCATGGAACACTGGCCACTCATCTCTTGTTCTCTATTTTAGGTATTTCAGTCGTAATACTCTGGTGCCACGTCACAAACACCCTGGAGGAAAGACGTCACTCGAAGCACCCACTCGTTTATATTGTAGTGTACGCAGACAGCACAGTTGTTTTTCGTTTCCACATTTCATATCCTCTCTCTTCGTCACCGTTTTTTTCTAAATGAGTCATTAGTTAACCGAATTTGCATTATGACACCTCATTTGTGATTATGCCTACAGTGCGTTGCAAGTTTGAAAGGCCACCCCCATTAGGCGCTGCAACGTGGCACTCGAAAATATTTCCGGCCCGGCGACTTCAAAATTGGATTCAGGGCACAAAGTTGAAGTTATACATCTCTAAAAATATGTTTTAAAGCAGTTTTTGTCATTCTGGCGGTTCACATTTTCTCGGAAGACATGCCAAGAGGCACTTTCTCTACGGATTCCATTCAAAACGGGTGGATGGCCTAACTAGTGCATAACAATAATGTCAAATAGAGGAAGAGAGAGATAGTTGAGAGTTTGACTTCTTGCATAGCAATAATGTCGAAGAGAGGAAGAGAGGGAGTTCGACTTCTTGCATAGCAATAACGTTGGAAGGAGGAAGAAAGAAATGGTTGAGAGTTTGCTGTTGTACTCGGTTTATATAGTGATAGTGAAATCCCGCCCACTCCTCAACCGTGCTTCACCGCCACCATGCCTCTTTAGGTGACGATCACAAAGGTGGAGGATGTTTTTCCGATCGGTCACTATCAGTGCTCTAAACCGAACTGCTCTCAAACGTTACTCAGTATTATTAGTCAAAAAGACCAATTGAGACATTCCTCAAAAAATTCTCTCACAAGTGATATGCCTGAAATTCTTATACAATATGTAGTACGCTCAAAACTGTTTAGAATGTATTAATGGTCCCAAAATTTTCTAGATACTGTTTGCACTGTTATTGATTGATATGTATTATACGTATATGCCTTTTGTTCTTAGTTGATATTTTACAGTTTTCAGAATACTTTTATCGTTGTTTACGTCTTCAGATATCAGACGCTGACCATGAATTGTCCTCGGGTTCCTCTTTTCCGGACGTTTCTGCCAATCCGAACAAAAAACGAGGAAAAGTCAGTTCTCATCTTTGTTAGAAATTACATGTTTTCCTAGTTTAGGCCCTTAGAAAAATTGTGAAGACCCGGAAACCACAAAGGATGAGTAGGAGACAGTTGGATTATCAGATCTACATGGCTCAATTCAAGGCTGAAGAGAAGGAAGTCAAGGAAACAAAGGATTCGGATAGGAAACATCCGCAAGTTACGATGAGTATCTATCCGCATTGGTTCCCCCGCCCGGAAACACAGACGGCGGTTGGAATCTTGGAATAGTCTCTCTAAACAATCTGCTTTTCATTTCAGGACATCCGAGTCAAGAGCAGTATTCCGAAGGAGGAAATCATCCAAGAATATCTTGAGTCAACGAGAAAGACAGCAGGAAAAGTGTGAAAGGCTGAAGAAGAAGAACAAGGAAAAGCGGATCCAAGAACGACCATAATTAGATACTGAATGAAAACGTGTTGAATGAACTTTGAATTAGCTAAATAATTAGCTAAATTGTTGTCGAATACATAGTTTGTCACGTTGTTTGTCACGACGATCATCTATCACTTGCTCAACTTGTGGAATTCATAAACGACTTGGTACTTAATGAGTCAGACTTCCAGATTCTTCCTGTTCGCTTCTCCTTACATTTTTTTATTGACTCTTTTTGACCTCTTCTTAATCATAGGGTGTCTTTCTCTTCACTTCTTATGGTTTTTTTTCTCGGAAAATCCATTCAGAATTATGAGCTCGGCTGTTGCAAACCATGCAATTATTTTTCTCGTCATGGGTTGTCCCACCACATTTTCATCAATCGCCTCAGCTTTTATTTCTCCAAAATCTGCCATTTTTCTCCGGCATTTCTCATTTTTTGACATTCGCACATTCCAATTTCCGTTCTCAATACTGCAGTTCTTTCCTCGGTTATCTTTAATTGTGTTGTATCAGAATATGGACGCCAACAACAACAACAAGCGCAAGCTTCCGATCGACGACGAAGAGCCCAGATTGGAGGATGAGCCCCCGCGCCCGAAGAGGGTGAGCATCTACCACCCGCACTACAGATACGGTCCTAATCGTATCCGTCCAGAGCCGGTAAATAAGTGCATACTGTTGGATAGATTGTATTGTTTTTCAGGTCGACGAGAGCGAAAGCGATCAGAGTGAAGAGAACGAGGAGTTTAAGGAGGAGAGCGGGTATGAGAGCGAGCAGAAGGTCTCCGAGGAGTCTACGTCGGTGGAAGATTCCGAGGACGAGATCGAGTTGGAGCACGAGGAACAAAACGAGAATGAGGATGATGTTGATGTGATCGAGGAAAAGGAAAAGAACTCCGACATCATCGTCCTCAATTAATTCGTTTGTATTAAGTTATGAATGAATAGTATTGGCTTTTTTATTGATTTGATCAAAAAACGACACTGTCGGATATTTTTTCCTTCGATTTGCGGTATTTGGAAAAGAAGTATACATTTTGAGATGCTGGTTGCGCCGAAAAACCACAACATAATAGAAGACTACAGATTTTAGATTTATCCTAACATTTGCTTCATATTCAATGCGCCCGCAACACTCGATCACAAGCGAAAACTTGCCTCGCCGGCTGTCAACATTTGCCTCTCGCCGTCCTCCACATCTTAGCGCGCGACACTTCTTTCTCTGTGCGGGGGTATAGCTCAGTGGTAGAGCGCTCCCTTAGCATGGGAGAGGGCTGGGGTTCAATTCCCCATACCTCCAGAAATCTTTTTCGCTTTTTGTTCAAAGTTTAATCATGTTCATAATCAAAAAAGAACGTTCTTGACAAGTTTGTGGCTGTGGAACCTCCTTCTCGCCACTATCGGTGTCATTGAATGGATATTGAAAGTGATCTCAAACTTTCCACAATTTTCTTCGCTTTTTTTTTGGAATAGTGTCACGAAAGGGCACTATTATGGAAACAAACAATCAAACCGGATTTGGTGTCATTGAAAGTTTATTCGGTTGCTCGGTGTTTCAAATATCACTTTCATGACGATTTTTTTGGGTTTTTTTTACAAATAAGATGGGATGAGTTGAAGGGAGTAGAAGAGTTCTAGAACAAATTCCGAGACGCAGAGCATCCGGGTGAGATGGATGGAAACGGTGCGAGTTCAGGAGTTTTGAATAGAACTGAGTAGACTGAAGCTAATGAATATCGAATACCAACACCTCCAGTAGAAGGACATCTACAAAAGTTGAGCTTTGCCGATTTTCAGTTAATTATCAAGTGATCAACATAGTTTTGAACTTTCAAAGTCTGACAAAGGAGGTAGAACAAAGGTTATGCCCTTCTAATGGAGATTCTTTCGGTATACGCAGAATTATGCTACGAAACGAGACAAAAATAAATGGATGATAATGGGATATACGAAGGACAGATAGGCATTTGAACCTAATGAGGAATTTAAATGAGGAGTTTGGAATGAGTTCGAAAGAGGAAAAAAAGATCTGAAATTGTCGGAATTTGGGGAGAGAGAGAGAGATCGGGAGTGAGTTTCATAGAGCGGCCAGTCGATAGTTATACTTTTTTACATCGGCGGAACACAAAAACGCGAATATCGTGGTAGGGACCCTCGGAGATGGTTTGAGGAGAAACTGAGATGTATACATCGTCCCCTTCTTCCATTGAAAACGCCAAGTTCACACTTCCATAATCGTTCATGAAGCCGTTTGAGATAGTCTCGATAGCGTTGCTGTTGTTGGGAAACCTGATTCTGCAGGACTGGAAATTCGGACAAGCGAGGTATTTCTGAAAAATGGAACAGCTATACTGAATACTTTGTTGATTGCGAGCTCACCTCCATCAGATCATGGGCATCACTGTAGGAGAGATCACGCAGACCAATCTCGCATACATCGAAGTGCCAGAATTGGGAGATTGGCAACTCGCAGAAGGAGTTGATGTGCATTGTGAAAATTTTTGCCTTAGTCCAATGAGGATACTGGATCATCGTGTCCATCACTGGGAAATCGGATCTCTGTTGGAAGGCGACGCTTCCAGCTTCGCTTCCCGGAAAGTCAAAGGAGAGTCTTTGCAGTGAGTTGTCATCGAAGGCGCCGATGAGTTCCATTGCCTGCGGGTGAAATCCGTGGACAAAGTACAGGTTCTTGACCTTCAACGAACTGTTCTTCGGGAACCACTTAAAGATGTGGTCCCAGCTCTGCTGTCTAGTTTCGTTATTGATCGAAAGAGTCGAGAAGACAAAATCCTGAACGATGCTGACGCGGCCGGTAAAAAGAGCGGCAAAGTCTATCATTGCCTGCTCCGCGAAGTGCACGTCCGGCACAACTGTGAAGTTTTCTTTGTTCTTGGAGACCATGTGTCCGCCGCCGTCCTGTCGGTTGTACTCGACACCCGTGACTTCTCCGGCGTCAGTGACGACATTCCAAAAAGCCGCGTTCAAATGGAGGTTGAACGAAACTGAATTGTACCGGAAGATCTTTCCATTGAGAATGTCGCGGCCTGTTCTTTGCAACACCACTCTGAATGGTTGATTTGAAAAGTTTAGTACTTTAACCAAATTCTACCTGTCGCGGATGCTTGTATGCTTCAAGATATCGTCTTGGATTATGGGCGGAAGAAGATCCAGAGTGCTGCTCATATTGGTGTTCGGAAGTGCACTATGTTTGGATGAGTTTCCGCAGTTTGGGCTGATCTCAGTTGACTCTGCCCAGATCTGAACATTACCTTTTTGTTTGTACAATAAAGATTTCGTGCATTTGCTCCTAATTGGCTGTCCCGTTCAAAAATCTAAAAAGTATCTTTGTCCTCTCGGAATTTGTACATAGCAAATCTTTTGACCCCCCCCCCCTTCCTGTAAAGAACCACAAGGACCCGTAGCCTACAGGTAACCGAGACTTCTCTACATTTCGAGCAACTCGCAACGGCATAATCACGTTTTCCCGGACTCAGAAAGACCCAACATCCACAATATCATCTGTCTATCTTAAACAGATTTGTTCCTGATAGTACTAAGGGTTCCAAAAGGTCCCTTGGAATCCTATGCGATCAGAAAATGGAAACTGATCCATTCACTCACCCGACGGGAAGTCGCGTGCGCGGGAAGTGGTGGGAAATTGAGTAATTTGGCGAGCAGGAAAGTTGCCTGGAAAAGGAAGTGTGAGTATGAGTGGGATCCGACTCGGAAGGACACGCGGAGCTTCATCCGTACTCTCTCTCTCACACCTATAATCACGAAAGAGAGAGAGCGAGAGAGTGCTATCACGTGGTGATTATTCCAAAACAAAGTTTGCTCAGAGAACAAAGTGCGGCCAAACTTCCAAAGCGCTATGGAAGTGCGCATGAAGAATGGAAAAGATAAAGGATTGAACATTTTCAAAAGTGTATCGGTGTGGGATTAGAGCACGAGAATTAATCCTTTCTGACGGAAGAGAAGGACTTTGTCCGTTTTAAGTAATTGGTTTCGAAAATAGGAATATTAGACTTTCATAAGCTTAGTCATTGCAAGGACTTCCAGACTATGTAGTATGGATTATCCGATTAGGACCCAACCCTTGATACGGTTGTTAGGCTTTGCATGAAGCATTTTCATTAGAATTGGTGAGTAAATGAATTGAAATAAAGCTGAAACACAGAGTTTTCTGCTTCGTTTTAATATATCTAAAGATTATCATCCAAGGTTATTGAAAATTTGGCTGAAGCTGAGGATGCTCCATACAAAGAACAGTGACAATATCGAGAGTGGCCTAGTCTTGGCCCAGTCATAGACTAGAAAAAGTGCAGTGCTTCTCAATCTTAGGCGGAGAATAAGAAAGGAGCTTAAAACTGACCGCAAAGGAAGATAAAAGTGCTTCTCGAAATCGGATTGTGACGACTGTTAGTTAGTGCCAATATTCAGCCCAAGTCTGAAATTAGAAACGTGTGAAACGTAGAAAGGAAAGAGAAAAGAAAATCAGAGAAGTACAAATGACGGCCCGCTTGGCAACGTTGGCGGGAGCGGAAGAGGCGTGGACTGAGCAAAGCGAAAACTGAAATAGCGCGAGTGGCTGGCTACATTATCCCCGTCAGAAAATCATCGTCTGCTCCGAGCACGAATGTCACCGTCTGCAACTCGGAAAGAGCACGGGATTGAATAGGCGACTACATACATCACCTCAGCCAGCAGAATCGTGTGAGAGTCACTGACTACATTCTCTCAGCCGAGTGGGTCTGAGTCAGCGACGCTTTACCAATCAAGCTTCAAATCATCATAGGTCTAGAACGGAAAGAGCACGTGCGAGAATAGCCGACTACATCATCCCAATTAGCAGGATCTGAGACTCGAACGACGCTGCTGTCATTTGTTCACTGATCGGAATGATTGGGCAGAGAGCAGAACATTTAGCCTTTTTTGGAGAGTTGCACGAGACTTTTATCTTCACAGAGACAAACAATCGCGTGCAAAAATTGCCAAATGAGGTGTGATTCACGCGCATGATTGGTTAACACAAAGCTCGTTTCTACTGACTGAGTTTGAAGATTACTGTAGAAGATTCGAGGCAAACCAAACATGTAACCTTTTTTATCATTTGTGATTGGCTGAATGCGCTTGAGCGCCCAACGTCGTCTGAGTTTTGGACAGTGGATATTACTGTAAACAAGAAAAGCAGAGCGACGACGACGTAATTGGTGGATGGTACCGAATAAGGAGCGACTAATCTAATAATGTTAACTGTCCATAGATGTCGCTCGGTCCTAATTGGCCCGACCAAGAAAAAGACTCATACATAGTGTACAACAAGTCGTCGCCAACTGGAAAAGTCTACCGTATGAGATGGATTAATCAAATTACTTCGTCTGGCATTCCGATTGGAGCGCTTGGAGAGCTTAGGGCGGAGTCTTAGAGTTTTTGCCCGAAGCGAAACACGTGGCCTCTACCCAAAAGTATAGGCTGCGTTGAAAGATCATAAGGTTTTCGGGGAAACAATTAGAGCATGAATGTCACCGTGGGCGTCATGGAAAGTGCATGACTACAGTATCCTGAGAAGAAAAACTTCCAGATTGACGGAACGAGCAGCTGGATGAAACGCGTGGGAGAATCACTGACTAGTCAGTCTGAGATATCACCGCCGGAAAGGGCACGCGCGAGAATGGCAGACAACATCATCCTAGACATCAGTATCGTCTGTCTGAGCGACTTTCTTTGATTTGTTCACTGATCGGAAAACTCGAGGGGAAAGGCTCGGAAGCTTCTTGTACATGGCTAATAAAGTTGGATTTGCATGTGACTAAGCGGTTTCTCATAAATCTCAAAGCTGTCGAAAGAACTCTTCGGCAGGTAGACTACTATAAACGCGGAAGTATAAAAGTCATGTGACTGAGCAGTTTCAGAGAGAATGGCAAGTATGCTACGCATAAATAGTCGCTAAGTAATATGGGCGGAGATTCGCGCTTGAGTGCTTCGTCTGAGCGTCAGAGCTTCGGAAAGTGGGGAATACTGTAACCAAGAAAAACAGAGCGCAGACGTAATTGATGAATAATACGGAGTCTTCCGAATGCGAAAGTGCTAATCTATTAGAAAGAGACTCATACACTGTATTGTAACAGTCTAAGGCTTGGGATGGATTTGTTGAATTATTGTGTTTGGCACTTTGATTGGACAGCTCGGAGGCGGAGTTTTCGAGTTTGTCCCCGATGAGAAGCACGTGGCCTCTACTCACAAGTATAGGTTGCATTAAAAGATTATAATGTTTTCGGGGCAAGTAATTAGAGCATGAATGTCACCGTGGGCGTTTTGGAAAGTGCAAACTACAGTAACCGAGGGACTTCCTGGTTGAAAGAAGAAGACGAAGCTGGAGGAAACACGTGTGAGAATCACTGGCTCTATCATCTGAGCCTAGTCGGTCTGAGTAAGCCACTCTATTCCAATCAAACTTTTGAATCATTGTCTGTCCAAAGCATGAATATGATATCACCGCCGGAAAGAGCACGCGCGAGAATAGCAGACAACATCATCCTAGACATCAGAATCATCGGTTTGAGTGAGCCTTCTTTGATTTGTTCACTGATCGGAAAAAATGCCTAGGATAATAACGCTAACTGGGAGTAATTGCATAGTGCAAGCGAGAAAGATGCTCATAGTGCAAGCGAGAAAGATGCTCTACAGTAATCCAACCAAGTTTCCCGAAGCTTCTCAGTCTGACACTCTTCTCGAGAAGCTCGGAGAAGAGCCTTCAAGCTTGTGCGCGGAGAGCAGCAGGTGGCCTCTGCCCGAAAGTATAGGTTGCATGAATAGATCAAAGAGATTTTGGGGGAACTAATTAGAGTATGAAACCCACCGTGGGCAAATAGGAAAGAACACAGATTTAATTAAACGGCAGACTATGGCAGACGAAATACCCTATCATAGGTCCGAGGAAAGATTTTGCCACCTGGCCACTGATCGGTGAGCTCCAAGCGCAACAACCCGCATTATGTCTAATCATAGGTTGTGTCTGAATGTGAGGGTGATCAAGATTTTCAAGGTTTGGCTCAGCTGCACAGATCTTACTTGTGTGCAGTCTGTTCGTTAACCGGCACAAGTCCACTATCAGAGAAACGTAAAATGAATGGGAAAATCTGAGTTGCACGTGACTGATAGTTTCAAAAAGTATGATGTGCGTGCGAAAATTGCCAAATGAGGTGTGTTTCTTGCGCATGACCGCTCAACATGAAGCTAGCTTCTTCTGACTGAGCTTGGGGATTACTGTTGAAGAGATTGACAGTAAAAGGATCATAGCCAGGGCAATCTGTTCTTGTCACGCTTTTTGGAAAGCTTGAACGAAGTGAATGAGAATCGGACACCGTCAGCTAATTGGAAGGAGCACGGGACGCTACTGCGTTTCATTAGTAATCCGGAATCTCGAAGGAAAAGCCCCCAGCAACCACCCTCCCTCTCGCAACATGTCCTTCACGGGCAAGTATGGCAGATATGAGATATTCCCTACTCACCAGAGTCTTCAATTTGAATGCACGGGCAAGATCGGAACTTGTTGCTTTCGAGTGTAGTTCGTACCAATACTAGCCCAAGTCTGAAACAAAAGAAGCCTGAATTGAAGACCGTCAGAAATGAAAGATCAGAGGAATACGAATGGCTGCACTTTTCGGTGGTGAGAGGGAGGACGCAAGTAGGAACAATAAGTAAGAGAACAAACTATTGTGATTCATTTACATGCTGCCGTTGACTGCTCAAATAGCATACTGTATTATTCGTCATCAGCAGCAACAATGGGAATCGCGCGAGTTTGAATGAAGCAAACTACAGTAGCTCAACCAGCCGACTAGCCAAGCCGAGCGAGGATTCTGCGTCTGGCACTATGCTTGGAGAGCTTGGGGCGGAGTCTTAGAGTTTGTGCCCGGAGCGAAACACGTGGGCTCTATCGAAAAGTATAAGTTGCGTTGAAAGATCACAAGGTTTTCGGAGGAACAATTAGAGCATGAATGTCACTGTGGGCGTTTTGGAAAGTGCAGACTACAGTAACCTAGGGAGAAGGACTTCCTGGTTGAAAGAAGAAGGCGAAGCTGGATGAAACATGTGGGAGAATCACTGACTAGTCGGTTTGAGTCAGCGACGCTTTTCCAATCAAGCTCTCAAATCATCGTCTGCCCAAAGCATGAATATGACATCATCGTCGGAAAGAGCACGTGCGGATGGCAGACATCCCTAGTCAGCAGAATCATCGGTCTGAGCAACCTCCTTTGATTTGTTCTCTGATCGGGAGGCTCGAGGGGAAAGGCTCGGCAGAGTCTTGTAGAGGCTGAGAAAGTAAGAGTTGCATGTGACTCAGTCATTTCAACGAGAAGTAAAAGTGTGATTTCCGTGAGAAAGTCTTGCGCATGAGTGCCCAACGTCTTTTGAGATTCGGAGAGTGGAAATTACTGTAGAGTAATTCGTAAATGGTACGGAGTCTTCGACACGCAATAACACTAATCTAATAAAGCGAGCCGTGGTCGGCCCGACAAAACTATACAGTATGGGTTGGAAATATTGGGAAGAACTAAAGTCAGTATCTCTATTTTTGCCGAACATTTCAGTTTCGAATTAATCAAACTTTGATGAACAGCATTCCAACGATACGCCCTTTCGCAGAACGCAACTTTGAAGTCCGAAAAAATATCAGTTCACTGATTGTATCTGACAAAAAGATAATGCGAGTCTCTTCTCCTTTCTCTCTCTCCTTTCTTGCAACAAGGCGCGATTTTTTGGAGAAAAGTGAAAACATGGTTCGGGTGAGGAGAACAGATAGATGAATTTGTATTTCCACGATTGGTTTCGACTTGAGTAAGAGAAGTTTTAAAATTCTAGAATGGCTAAGAAGTGAGCACAGAAAACCATATCAGTCGAACGAACACCAGAAAAAAGAGAACTTCTCTCTCACTTCGGGCAAAAGAAGGTGACTGTTTGAGAGAACAGACAGGGAGAAAGAGAACGAGACGGAGCGGTCCCTTTTGATGACAAATTAGGTAAAGCAATATTTATGTCTTAGCCGCGCGTACCTGACCAATTTGGATTTCAAAAAGGAGTGACCTTCAAATATGCTTTAGCGAAGACCGAACGGAGAACCGCAACTTTTCTCTCATTTTTATCGTTTATTCAAAGCAAAAAAAGTTTGAAAGACAAATGGGAGTGTTAATGATTCGACGAGTAAAGTATGAAAGCAAGGGAGAGGGAGAGAAAGAGCGGGAGAAAAATGAATTCAGAAATGGCGAGAAAGATCGCGGCAAAGTTGGGAATAGGGACCTAAGAGTTCAGAGGGAAGGGGATTGGGTGTAGAAATCTGTTTAAGTGAAGGCCACAGTAGTAATGAAGGGTTACGTGAGGAGGGAGGGGGCTTTAGACGGGCAGGCTATGAGTATACGGAGCATGATGATATTCGTCCCCGCGCACGCGCTCCTCGTTGTCCTGCTCAATGTCCCGAGTCTCGGTGACGTATCTGGAATAGAAACAGGAAATTAGAGTGGATCTGGGGAACGGAAAGACCTCGTGGTATGGGTTCTCTTGATATTCTTCTCCACAACTTCCTGATCGTCGTCGCTCAAGCAGTAGGTGCGCTCGCGGGTTTCCACCTCATCGAATCCGTCCATCGGCTCCACACGTCCCATGTCTCTCTCGTAGGCAAAGTTACGGTAGCTCGAGCGGTCCGTGAACCGGGTGTTGTCATGGCTCGCCTGGCGTTCGAAGCGATCACGCGTGGTGTAGCGGTCGGAGTTTGTGGATTGGGATTCTCTTCTGAAAAGAAAGTACGTTTGGCCTTTATTTTTTAGAAACCAGGGGCTTACGGTAGAGTTCTAGTGTACGCTTCATGGACCATTCCCTCTCGGAGAGAATACGATCCGCCGGCAATCACTGAGCCTTGATCGTACTCCGCTAGTGATCTGGAGTACTGATTTTGGTGATGTTGGTGCTGATGCTGGTGCTGTTCTCTTTCCAAGTCCGCGGCGGCGAGAATAACCTACAATTGTCTACTAGAATTTGAAAAGATTATTCGAAGATCTTACAGCTGGCTGAACTTTGACAATATCCTGGGTGTCGGTTCCGACACAAGTCACCGAAACTTTCTCGGTCCCCACGCCACAATCTTTTCCGGTGTTACCGACCACAACGGTGCTGAAAGGAACGTGCCGTGTATACTACGATTAATGTTTTGGATTGCATCCTCATATTTGTTCTCTTCAACGCATTCCATCTTACATGTTAAGATGACAGAAACAGAAACTGACTATACGACATGGGATGCAGTGTCGGTAATGTGTGCGTCATGACGCTTTTGTTTTTTTTCTTGTTTGACTGGGTTAGTACATATTCGTATCAGTAGATGAAATTGAAACTTACGTTGCCGCGGCTGTGTGTCTCTCCTTTCTTCTTTTCATGAACGCGGCGAAACAGAGGGCGAGGAGGCAGCAGAGAAGGAGAAGAAGAAGGAGAAGGATGAGGAGCCAGATCCACCATGGCCAGAATCCTGCACCAGAACCTACAAGTAACAGTATGGGAATCCCACGAGACCCTTGACCCCACACAAAAATTTTTTGGAAGTAAAAGATAGAGGAAGAGACAGGTTAGAATAGAACATACCGTATGAGGAGGCGGAAGAACCGCCTGGGGGTACAACTGGCGGGACCATCGGAGGAGCATGCGGCGGCACATTGTAGCCACCAAATGGAGGAGTGGGATAGATGTTAGGAATAGGGATGGGGAAGGAAGGAACTCCTGAATTAGATTTCATGCTTAGAAGAGAAAAAGTCATTCCTGAAGGAGTTAATGTCATGCAAACAAACACGCAGCATTCGATGACTTACCAACTCCGGTGGCATAACCTGGCGGCGGGTACATGAGTTTCACTCCGTAGTGGTTGTAATGAGCGAGTGCGATCTGATCGCGACGTTGGCAGGAGCGCTGAAAAGGCGGTCTCTCCGGCTTTTTTCCCCTCTCTTTGACTGCATTAGTCAGACAGTGTCCGCCCGCCAGGCCCTCCACCTTTTTTACACGGAATTCTATGGTTCGGAAACGAATTGTATTATTTGGCCGTCTCTTTCTACGTTTCTCGCCTTGTCAAGACTTTTGAGGAGAAGGGGAGTTAGATGGATGGTTTTTTTTTCTAATTGTCCCCAAACGACACGTCATTCAACACCCACCTCGGCACACCCAGAGCAGTCGATTTTCTCAATGTCGCAGTCGAACGAGATGGTCTGGAAAATGTGTTGTTAGAAGTTTCTGAAAAAGTGGACGAATAAGAGAGTACCGATGATTTAGCGACAAAAGTGATCAGAGTCCGCTTGATGGCTCCTGGTTTGTTGTAGGACTCGGTTTCGACGGATTGACTGATGCAGTTACCACATTCCACGCATCTGGAAAAACATAGTTCGATAGAAAAACCGGTTTCCTAGATATTTTCTCAAAATCGCTTACCCAAAGCTTCCTATAATGACAGCTCCATTCATTGTGCACTGCTGGACCATGTAGTCGTGTTGAGTGGTCTCATCCAGGAAGACTTCAAAGGTGTAGACGCTTCCGATCTCGTAGCTGGTGATGTACTGATGAGGTATGATACCGGGGTCTTGCATATGAAGAGCGCCTGGAAAGATTTATAAAATCTCAAGTCTGAAAATCGTAGAGATTACCTTTATGAACTCGGAGCTCGGGACCATAATCAGCAAGTACAGTACTCACGAGAAGAAGGACCAGGTAAAGAAGAGCTCGATTTGTGAAGGCGATCATGTCTGAAAGTGTACCGTATCAGTAAGAGAATGCGGTGTACGGAGCGCGTCGAGAGGGGCAATGTTTGACCGGAGGTGTGTCCGTTTCTGTGCAGCAGGGGCTACTATTATATACAAGCGGCCGTGCTTACCAATATGTTCGCTCTCGACGCCGTCCTTTTCCACGGTCCGAAATTGGGAATGAAAGCACGCCTCCTTTTGGCGTGAGTCACGGCAAAAACATACAAAAATCTTAACGAGAGTCTCACATTCTTCCTAGTTCTCACCAGAGGGAAAGAGAAAATGAGAACGTTGTACGATTGTGGCATTTGGCTCAATTCTGAAATTTACTAATTAGCAAGAGTTACGGATTGGTACTGTACTGATTAAGGGGCGGAAAGAGTCTTTATTGCTCATAGGTCGAGGTGTGACTAAGACAAAAGTAAAGTTAAGATCTCATTTAAAAAATCACTTTTGCTTTACGATTTTGTGACACTATGCATTTTTCGTACTACTGATCTCCAAACTTCCTAAAGTGTCACCTATTATTCTGTTTTTTTTTCCTCTTTTCATTGATGGTATCTGCAAACATGCAACTTTCTCTCCGAACCAAACGCATATTTGTTCAGTTTCCCATTCTCGAACACACCCTTTTCGCTTGAATGTTTCATGTGACTTTTTTCCAGGTAAAAACTTTATTAAGTCTATAAATACGAATAAGAAAAAGAACAACTGAAATGCATGAATTGCCAATTATTATGGAAAGAAAAAAGTTGGGGGGAATCGGAAAACTGAAAAAATGGGCATTATCTGACTGCGGGACCCTTACGTTTGAAGGAAAAATGTTTGTAATTCGTATAAACGGACAAATAAAAGTGATAGTTTATTGCATCATGAGAGTTTTGAGGTTTTGCTCGAGAATGGATTCTCGAACATCTCGGAACACTCTTCGGATGTTTTCGGTGTCCACGGCAGTGGTGAAATGGTAGAAGAAGGGTCGGGCACGGTCACGGCGCGAGGCTTCAAACTTATCAACCAAGAAGAATTGGACGTCACGCACCTGGAATAGTAATTTTTGGAAAATACAACTTTTCCTTTCAGTTTCTTGGAGAAAGTTCTCTGTATTTAATTTTTGTAAAGTTTTAAGACGAAATGAGCGATTAAAATCACTTGCATACGTACTTTAAAAAACAAAAAGACATGATTTAAAACATGAAAGTTGTCCCAGAAATCATGTTTTGAAGTATTACTACAAAACTCGGTCCTGGCCGGATGTCTTCCCGATTTTCCAGAAAAAAAACTGACCAAAGTGTGATCTCCGTTGAAATCGGTAAAATACTGACGAATATCCGACTTTGGGACCTTCTCTTGCAGTAAATCATTTTTGTTCATGAACAAAATAATGGAGACATTAGAGAACGCTCGGTTGTTGACAATGGTCTCGAAAACACTGCGTGATTCGACTACCCGATTTGTGCGTCGGTCTTCGAGAATCACCTGAATGTGATTTTCAACATGATCAGAAAGTAATGATCTCTAACCTGATCGTATTCGTTGCTGGCCACCATGAACAAGATACTCGTGATGTCTGTGAAACATTGGAACCACTTTTGGCGTTGTGATCGCTGACCGCCGACGTCGATGAATCTACAAACAATTGACGTGTGTGTTGTGGTCTAGGTTGACGAAAAAACCTGAAGGGAATCTTATTGATTTCGAAGATGTGTTCAGAAATGCCACGTGTCGCTTTGCGGCAGAACAAAATGTCTCTATTAGTCGGGTAGAAATCGGGCATCGCAATTCTAGATATGTGCTCGAAGAAATACTGGCACGAGTCGCTCTGAAACGTGGAAATATGCATTTTAGCTTGGAAAGGTGAAAGTTTACAATTTGGAAAAGGTTTCTTTGCTCGTAAGTTTTTCGAATAGCCGCGTCATTCCAGAAATCACTGATTATCGGGGCGATTTCAACAAAAGTCGTAAAATCGATGCCTTTCAAAAGGTCGCCAACTGTAAATCTGAAAGAAATCCTTCTGTATGAAAGTAAGTATGAAAGTGAAAAACGTACCTCATAACCTTTTCCACTTCCACTTGTCGTTTCGGATTTTCCCACGCAATTCCGAGTTTGTTCCTGGCGTCCAATAGAACACGCATAGCGCTGATCGCATTCTAAACTGTGTTCCATGAAAATTAGTCGAAAATCCTGTTTGCTCACCTGATAAATCTGTTGTCGGTACGCCCGAACTTCGTCGGCGGTGAACTCGCCCGCTCCGTGAATAATGTGCATTTGCTTGACAAACGTCGACTTTCCCGATTCTCCCGAACCCAACAACAGCACATTTATCTGTAAGAATCGGAGTCATGATAGTTCAAGAGCTTTATAAAAGTTTTCAAAAAAGTCTACAATTTTGTATGCTCTTGAGGTAATAATTCAATATGTTTAGAATGAATATATACCTGTCGTCTCATAATCTTCCTTTCCTTCTGCAATTCCTTCTCAATCGTCTTTGTCCGCTCATCTTTCTTGCCGAAACAACAGACCATGTTGTACAGCCTGAAAAAATAGAATGCCTATGACGATTTTCGCTTTTTTTTTCATGGAAGTTCTTTCTCTCTCTCCCTGTCTCAAGGTCAACCTCAAAAAACCAGACGAAATGAGATAATTCTAGGCTACACAACTTTCAGGGGGCAAAATGTGGAAAATGATGAGATTAGATGTGTAGTGGGTGGAAGAAACTATCTATCGACAAGGGGTAGGATGATAAATAAAATGGAAAGTGCAGTGGTCAGATATGAGATACACGGTGGGCTAAAGACCTCGTCACTATCACGTACTTCTTTACAAAAACGGAAAAGATGAGACATGCTGAAAAGACAAGCTGCCAGCAGCCGAAAAGAGAGGAAAATGAATGCAAATTGCAAACAGTGGGGTCGTCGTTGGGAGGGTGACCCGCGGGTAAGAACTGAGGCGGCAGGGATTACGTCACGGCCAAGACACGTTTTACAAGCCAACCATGACTCATCGATTATTTTACCATGCTTTTTGACTTGAACAAAGGTCGGACGAGACGGTGGAAACGATAGAAAAAGGGAAAAGATGCTGGTTGTATATATCGATGGTGTGGGATTTAGGATCGGGTAATGAGGTCTCAAGGTCTCACGAACGTTTGCAGAGCCAGCTTCTAAAGATACATACTTTTTCGGAAAATTTTTAGTTCTCATGGAAAAAGTGCCATGAGAACCGCCTCAAATTCGGGACAAAAAAACACAAAATATCAACTGAAAGTGATTAGCCTACTGTGTCCGGCGAGCGCCGATGCTGTCTCAGCTGTATTTGCCTCGAAATACATAAACACAAACACAATTTGCAAGACTCGCCCACGCGCACGGATTATTGTCACTTCCCACCCGCCTTGCCGCCCTTTTCAAAAGATTCGATGAGCACTATTGCTCAGCAAAGCAATCAAAAAACGGTTGCCAAGTGTTTGGACATTCGGAAATTTGGGCCAACCTGCTTTTCCGCTTTTGGAAGCTACCGAATGAGTCATAGCGTGGGTAGTAAGTACAAGTACAAGTTTGAGACAAGACACGTGGGGGGGGGGGCAGCTAGTAGTAAACCAATGTGATTTTATGAGGAGGGAGGGTGCGCAAGACGAAAAAACCGAAAGTGCGTACAAGCGAGGAGAGTGAGAACTCGTCGCGCAAATAAGTTTTCGAAAAGACTGTATTGTTTGGTGTTGTTCACTCTCGTCGTCACGGCATGAGATTCGGATTTAGGAAAATAAGAACATTTCGGTGCACCCGCCTTGTTGTCCAGATTAATCGATAAGAAGTGAATCGGAGGGTGGACAGAACAGTGATACCAATTGAGATAAGTGGGAAGAGGGGGAAAAGAGAGAAAGATTGACGGCAAAATGTGGAAAGTGTTGTGGGGTAGGGTCTAGTCCACCGTGCGATTTTATAGTAGGATAATGAGAACAATGCGTGAGAATTGTCTCGTTTTTGCAAAGTGTAAGTGTGAGAACTTTAAGAAGGTTCAGGTAATGTCTTGTGAGACAATGACTGTGACTAATCCAATTTTATAGGCTTTTTTTAGGTTCCTACAGGTATAATGTACTTTGTAGTTTTTGTCACATTAGACCCATTAACTTTGACTTACCACGCAAAAAATGACCGTATCCATTTGACGATCTGCTTCATGATGGCATGTGATCTTAATAAATCTGTGGCCCAACCAACCAGCACACGAAAAAGATAAATGAGAAAATTTTCGCTTCGCTCAGGTGGCAAACAAAAGCGGACGGAAATAGGGGGTGATAAGAGGATGGGCCTCTGGTTGGCGTTGGCACAGGATCCTGCTCAACACAAACATCTCTCGTAGTGTATATACAACATCTCGAAATGTCTCAACAGGTGGGGATCGGCAGAGGCACGAGGGGGAAGAAACACGCGGTGAAATCCGTGTTTGTTTATAAAGGATTGGGGGATGAGTAATTTGTTAAACAAATTATGCGGTACTGATCTGTGGATCCGAAAATCTGAGAATCGTTTCCTGAATGTGTGCGATTTGAAGCAAATTCTGTTAAAACTAATGCGCCAGGGCGGGCCGGTGGAAATGTTTGACCTTGTCCCGGTTGGATTAAAGTGTTCTCGGTCAAAATTTCAGATTATGTGGAAATATTTATATTTTATGCTAAAATACTGTCTTCTCTAGATCTTCGAACCAGAAATGCTATTGTTTGAAAAGCTGGCACGTTTGTGTCGGTAGACCATCGAAATCCCGAAATCCGTGTGCCCATCGCGTTCCGACGCCCTTTTTCCAAATCTGACATCCATTACCCATGCATCATCGCCTGGTGTTTGCTGCCTGCTTCCGTCTGCTCGTTCGTTACCCCATTCATTTGCTTTTCTCCAAATAATCGTGACAAAAAACAGAGAATATGAAACTCGTTGCCCGTCGGTCGTCGGCCAGCCAGCCCTCTCGTATTCCTCCGCTGCGCCTTCTGTTTTGGTCCCGCCCCACACAGCTCCTAGAGCCGTGCCACCGTTCAAACTTGCTCGTGCTAGGCCTAGACCCTCCCGCGCATTTTCGCCTCTTCCTCCTTCTCTTCAGCTTCTGCTGCTGTTGCTTCTTCCTCTTCTTCTTTTTCTTCTTCTTCTTCTTTTTCTGCTTCTGCTTTTCGTGTGGTAGTGGTGGTGCGTGCTCTTACATTCGCACTCCACGTCACGCTTCTGCCTCCGCCCTATCTGTACCTTACTCAAATTGGCGGCCCACCACATCCTCACATATTCTTCATGGCCGTATGTTGTTCGTGTCACACTTTCTGTATTCTCCTGTTAATCGAGCTGGTACCACACGGATTTGGAGAGAATCGGGGGATTTTTGCAGTCACGGAGAAGAATGACACTGAAAATCGACGGCAGTTTGAACTAGCAGACAAGTAAGATTTCCGTCGTGGATGCTGAAAGGTGATTCTGTTCAGAAAGTTCAAAGAGGGTACTGTAGCAGAAGAAGAATATGTTTCCGCCGTGCTTCCCTTGCCCAACTTTGACCCGAAACAACTGGAAAGAGCACTACGAACTAGTAAGTGTCTGGAACTTCTTCTCTCGTCTTTGAATTCCGACGTGTCATTCAACTATCCATGTTTTGATGATATGTCAAAGTCGAGTCGAATTTCAAAAATCCTTTCCTTACTCTCTATCGTTAGTTTTTTCTTCTCCATCTTCCACTCTTGTTGTTTTTGAGCATGAATAGATTCGATATCCTTTTGATGGCTCCTCTCAAAACGCAACGAGAAAGTGGCATGAGGAAATATTCGAGGAAAACCAAACCCGGGAGAAAACATGGAGAAGGTGCTGCCAGATGCCCGGACACCCCCAAAAATGCATTACCCTAACTAGCTTTCTTTCTGCTTTTCCTTCAGCCTTTCCCTTTTTATGACTCAAACTCAAAGAGGAAGAAGTTCAGAAAACAAACGCAAAGGATGTCTATTAGCAAATTGAATTCGAGATTCTTCCTGTAACGAATCAAAGAACGTAGAAGCTTTGGAAAAAAAAGAAAACAGAAGATTTCGTTGATAAAAAGGAACGTGTTGATCATTATGATCCCCAGGGACCAATGAGGGTCGTCTAATGTTTCCGGAAAGCAGAAAAAATAAAACCGCCTCTCTAGTTCCTCATTTTTAGAGGGTGCAATCGACGGAACCGAAGAAGCTCTCTACCGATCCCTATTGGATCGTTCCGTGTACGAACAGGACGTGCGACCATGTCTCCATCACTCTCAACCCACAAATGTCACATTCGGATTTTTGCTCAACCAAATCGTCGAGATGGTGAGTGGTCACGCGTTTTCGGTGGCGCTCGCTATAGTAATCGTATTAGATGAGTGTTTTTGGTCCCTCAAGAAATGCTCTTGCTTTCAGGACGAACGGAATCAGGCACTCACCACAAGGAGTTGGCTCAACATCAATTGGATGGACCCGAGACTCTCGTGGAATGAGACGTTGTGGTCCGACATCAAAGCGATCTACATTCCGCACAATCGGATTTGGAAGCCCGACATTATTCTGGTGAACAAGTGAGTTTCATGTTGACGGTACTTCAATTTTTCATAGTTTCTACTTCCGTGTTTTCCGGGCCTTTCTTTTAAGAAGATCTTTCAATTTCTTCCAAATTGTCATCATTAAAAATACTCATCGGTTCGTCATTTTCGTTCCGGTTTCCTTTCCCGTTTTCATTTCCAAATGAAAACAAAATAATGACTTGTTTTTTTGAGCGTCTGCTGAAAACTGGAAACCCATGTTTTCAGCCAGTCATCCCCAGACCCCTCCACAAACAAAAAGGCGTCTCGAGCCTGCCGAGCACATATCAAACGTTACGTTCATCTTTCAATAAATTTTTCATTTTGGGTCCTCGCGTAGATCCGAAAACACTGAAAGTAGAGTTGGGGGTGAAGAAAATAAGGCATTTACTATTTTCCCTTTCCATCCAAACATGCAAATTAGCATCAGTTGCGCCCTCCCTCCTGAAAATGAGCCCCGAGGCGTTCAAGCAAAGAAAAACGCGCAAAATTTCATTTCAAAAGTTCTCCGCTTCTGGTTAGCATACCAAACAGAAAATAGACACAATTTACGGAGAAGTACATCAGGTTTGCATACATTTATCGCGAAATCGCTCACAAATCAGAGTACAAAGTTGGAGGGTAAAAATTTCGATGCAAGGGGACATCCATCTGATAAATGATGCAATGATCTCTGTCGTGAAACAATTTATGCATGCGCAAGTCTCAAAAGGAATGAAAATAAAAACGAAACGTGACGCGATTCATCTGTCTTCTGTTTTTGAAAAGCATTAATTTCGAGATGAAACACTAAAAACTTGGCAGTTTTTACTTGATGATGCCTGATGTTACTTGGAGCTCTGTGAGAAAACGTGAAAGGCGCAAATCTCAAATTCCGATCAAAAGTTATGCAAATGTTGAAACGTTTGACAGAAAAGTGACAAAACGTCGTGGACAAATTCAATGATCAAGTGTGACTGCGAAGGAATTGGCAAACAAAGGGAGACCATGACTAAAGTTGAAAAGTAAACTAGAGAAAAGATTTCTGGAGGTATGGGGAATTGAACCCCAGCCCTCTCCCATGCTAAGGGAGCGCTCTACCACTGAGCTATACCCCCGCATATTTCGATTCCCCTGGCGGTCAGTGAAATGGAAGCCTCTTCGAATACGATTCGATCCGACCGAAAAAATAAAAAAACCTGTTTGCAGCGCGATCCGCGAATACTACGCATCTCTGGTCTCTACAGACGTTATGGTGACAAGTGACGGCAACGTCACATGGCTCTTCTCCGCATTATTTCGCAGCTCGTGTCCCATTCGAGTTCGCTACTATCCTTTTGACGATCAGGTCAGATTACTTCAAAGATGAATCATACGAGAGAATCAACGAATCAAATATCTTTGCAGCAATGCGATCTGAAGTTCGCCTCGTGGTCCCATGATATCACGGAGATCAACTTGGGATTGAATACAGATAAGGGCGATTTGTCGAGTTACATGAACAACAGTGAATTCGATTTGGTTGACATGACGGCCGTCCGGGAAGTGGTCAGGTTCCCATCGGATACCAATAGTGATTGGCCGACTATTGTGATAAGGATTCATATGCACAGGAGACCACTTTTCTACGTTTTTAATCATGTAAATTGTGTTTTTAATTCGCCTATCATTAAAATATTAGCGTGTGAGACATTTATATCATCGGATAGAGCGTGAAAAGTTTCTCAAAATCGTTTTAAGGGCCAGATTCAAAGACTAAGAGTATTCTCATTGATGAATTGCACGTCTTTTTGTTTCGTCGCCATTTTGTCGCATAACCGAAGAGTGAGGGGTTTTAGGATAAAGTAATCAACTAAAATTGTTAAGCTCAAAAATTACAAAAACTTTTCAGTTGAACACTTTTTGAAATAATCATCGAATCTGGAGATAAAAGTGTTTAAAGATTATTGATTTCTAGAGGTTTATGTAACTTTTTTCGCTTTATGCAATGGTATAAATAGCGCATACAATTTTTAGTGACAGGTCTCCTTCGATCTATAATATTTCGATTTCAGATAGTCCCTTGCGTCCTCATCTCTTCCATGGCCGTCCTCGGCTTTCTGATGCCTCCAGAAACCGGCGAGAAAATCAACATGATCATCACAACCCTCCTCTCGATGGGTGTTTACCTCCAATCTATTACAGAGTCTATTCCTCCAACCTCTGAAGGGGTTCCCCTAATTGGTGAGTGACGTTTTGTGCTCTCCGACCATCCTCGACCTTTCAGGCATGTACTACGTGTCCTCATTGTTGATGGTTTGCCTCGCCACGTGCGTCAACGTCATCACTTTGAATATGCATAGGAATGGAGCGGCGAATCAGGGACGGCATGTGCCTGCGTGGATGCAAAAATGGATTCTGGGATATCTCGCGACATTTATGAGGATGTCGATTAGAGAACCCGATAGTATAGCTCTCCTGAAATCGTCACAGGTCTCAGACTTTTTGATTATTATCGATTTTTCCCCGTTTCAGAGTAAGAAATCAACAATCCGACGAAGTTCGATTCTCCGTGACTTGAAAAGGGTCAAGAACATGTCGAATGTGAGAGCAAAAGCAAAAGAGCAAAATGCAAATCAGGCATGCGAGTGCATGGATCCACTTGTGGTGAGTTAAGTGAACATTTCCTATGCGCACTAAAAAACAGAGTGCGTCATTCGTGAGTCACGAAAAGAGAAACGAGGAAAAGAAGAAAATCGGTGAACAGAACGTTTTCAGCACATTTACGCAGAATCCATTATAAGCTCTCTGGTTGATGCAAAACCAATGAATGGGTCGGCGATAAGAGAAGATTTCTCGAGCGAAAGTGCCTTTCTTGGAAGAGTGGTTAGCGATGGGGTGAGCTGACGTCATAGGGTCAAAATTTCAATTTAAAAATATTTTCCAGATTATGCCCAGAATAACAGCGTCGTCCAATTCGGTGTTGACGGAATTTGAGACAAGGTTCAGAAGGATATTGAAAAGAGTTTATCGGAGTCTTCAGCAGCATGAAATAAGAGAGGAGGTGAGAAATAAAACGATTTCTGGAGGTATGGGGAATTGAACCCCAGCCCTCTCCCATGCTAAGGGAGCGCTCTACCACTGAGCTATACCCCCGCGTGGTGTTAGCGCCCCGCGGGCTAGTGACATTTTGGATCAGCGCCGCGAAAAACACCTGCCGGCAAAGTGTTTCTCTGCTTGTGTAATCGAACAATTTGGTCACAAAAACTTTGTTCAGATTCTCGACGAGCGATCGCGAATCCAATGGCAATGGCAGCAACTCGCTTCCGTCGTGGATCGACTCCTTCTCTGTCTTTTCTGCACAGCAACCCTCTTCACAATCATCTGCCTCCTACTTGTACCTGTAGCTTGTCGTGATAATGATTCTATTTTTTCGTTTCTCAATTTTTTCTAAATTTCTCTGCTTTACCTTATCATCAATCTGTTACTTTTTTTTATAAATGAATTTTGTGTATCGGAAGATAGAAATTAGGAGAAGAAGAAGAGATAAGAAAGATGATCATGCTGGTTGGTTGGTGGGCGCGGAGTTTTTTTTGGTTTTGGCGATGTGCGTCTGGGAAGGAATACTTGATACCCAGGACTACTTTTTCTACTGCATCTCGCTTCCTATAAAAGCCTTCGTTCTGGCTGGGAACATCATCAGCGTCTTCCGACGATGACGTTCGCTCTTACAGTAGCCTGCGTGACAAGCGTGATTGTCATCACTGCTTCCCTCTGCTCTGTCCTTGTGATTGTCACTGACATTAACAAGTTGAGCAATGAAATCTCTGTTGGAATGGAGAACTTCAAGGTGAGCGTCTCTTTTCTTGTAGACACACTTATCATTTGTTACAGGATGTTTCGGATGTGACTTGGGGAAACATTATGGCTCTTCATGGAGGTGCCCGCCAACAATCCGCCTCCGCTGATCGTGAAATTAGAAAGATGATGGGAATCAACCTTCGTAACAAGAGACACTCCGGTAGCTGCCAGTGCGAGGCCCGTGCTGCTGGATGTCCGGCCGGAGCACCAGGAGAGAAGGGAGTCCCAGGACTTGCTGGACTTCCAGGACCAGACGGAGAGGATGGAAAGGACGGAGCGCCAGGAGTTGCTCTTCTTGTCACCCATGACATTCCCGGCGGATGCATCAAGTGCCCAGCCGGACCACGTGGACCACGCGGAGACGCCGGACCACCAGGGCCACCAGGAAACGGAGGACGCCCAGGACAACGCGGTGGCGCTGGAGAGCCAGGAACCCCGGGACCAATCGGAGAGCCAGGAGAGACCGGACCACAGGGAGCCCAAGGAAGACCAGGACAGCGTGGAGAGAGCGGACAGCCAGGAACCACTTACACCCAAGGACTTCCAGGACGTCCAGGACCACAGGGACCACGTGGACCAGCCGGAGAGCCAGGAAAAGACGGAGGACCGGGAAATGCCGGAGAGGAAGGACGTCCGGGACACGCGGGAAAGAACGGAAGACCAGGAGCGCATGGAAAAGACGGGGCGCCAGGAAAGTGCGGAAAGGAAGGACCAATCGGACCAGACGCCGGGTACTGTCAGTGCCCGACTCGTTCCAACTAATTCCAACGTGTCTTTTTTGTATTTATTCGTCATATATAAACATTTTCATTAAAGTTCCATTGACGCAATTGTATTGAATAGAAAATCAGAAAAGAAAAACGACTGAACAAAAGGTAGCATTTTCTGAATTCTTGTGGTTGTTGGACTCCAACTATAACTTTCTCATATCAGATTCATATTATGTGCTGAACTTCACGGTTTCACCTGCACTGACGCACAACCTATATTCCAGACAGAAAATACGTTTCCGTCATGTACTTTGATCTGTCATGGGCCGTAAAAACATACAAAAATTGTACATGATAGGATGGCTCCCACAAAAACTGACAGATAAGCCAATTATTGTATCTATCACCACTATAGTCATTATTTTTCCAAAACAAATATTGTGCATTCGTAATAAAACCACACTCCGCGTTTCCAATCTATAATTGGCGACAAAAACCAATGAAATGTTGAGGTCAATTTTATCAGTTCTTGTCTTGTCATATGCTTCTCATCTGCGTCTTTCCTGTCGCACACTCACTTTCCGCCTTCATACAAGGAGGAGGGGACGGCGCCTTTTGTGGCAGGTGCAAAAACTGTCCACTTACATAAGCCTCAGAAATTTTTCAGTGGCAAGCGGGCAGGAAAATGTCAATCAATTTGGCTTTTTCTCTTTTTCCAATTTCGTAAAACAATATAAAGTCTGAAGAAAAGCAAAACGATTCAGACACGTCCCATAAAAGTGTCTAAGCACCATTTTCGTAAAAACATGACATTCTCCACTCTTCTTCTCATTTCGTCTTCATTTGAGATGCTCAACCACAACGCCCACAATCCTTTCACTTTTCTATTTTTACAATTCGCTCTGACTCACTTCAGCTAAGCTTTTGCACTATTTTCATAATTAAGGCTCAGCGTACCCCTCTGGAGAACTGGACCAAAAACAGATTCCAATCAATTGAATGGACTTCTAATCGAGTCAGACTCTGTGAGCCCACGATGCCGCGCCGCAGCACCACCTCCTCTTCCACTTCAAGCAATTTCGGCATCTCCTGGAGCCTGGTGGATGTGTTATCGAGCACCACCGCCGTTTTGCAGGTCAGTTTCTGTGATTTCCTTTGTACGTTCTCTTGCGACTCTTTGCGGGCAGTGTGGACAGTACTGTTATCGGGGCGATGTTAAGGCAATAAGGGTTGTAAACTGATAAAAATGGGTGTTTGGCATACAATTAGTAGCCGTCATAGTATAGTATTTATTGTTGTTAGCAGCATTTCCGGGCTTTCCCCCAACCGGCATGAGATTCTTCTTTTGGCTTTGGAAAGTTCGGAACTTGTTGAAGTCGAGGACCGTTTTTTATATTGAGGTAAGCGTCGCATTGGATCAAATCACTGATCACATTGGAAACAGGTGAAAGTCAAATAGGCAGATGTTATTTATCTAACTGCGGAAAGGCGAGGCGCTTTGAAGGTCTTAGGCCCGATTGGACCCAAACTTTTCAGGCTTCTTGAACTTGGATTGAAATATCGTGGGTAAATGTTTAAAACCGATCGGATCATTTTCTCAGGAGATATGTGGATCCGAGGTCTAAAAGATCGCAATCTCTTGAGTGAATGATTCTATCGGTCTGAAACTTGGTCCGATTGAATTATTGTAAGTGTTTCAAAAGTGCAGGCCTCGAGATACCTTCGCCTACCGTGTCTTTAAGACAATGTTACATTACATACATAGTTTAGTGATTTTTGTTCATCTGGACACTTTGAGTAATGTACGCAATGAAATGAAAGAGCGAAAGAGAAAGAGGCTTGAACAAGATTTCATTAACTATGGTAATTTATGCAAAGGTTCTCTCGGATGTCATTTCATTCTCACTGGCTACTATCTATATTGCGAACAAACTGCATTATTTTTCCGAGAAATCATCCGAGCTCCAGTTATTTTTACCGATGAGTCACAAAATCTTATCACTCTGCTCCATTGTAAACCTCGGGGGCTCCGGGCTCCAACTGAACTTCTCTTCATGATAAATGCCCTTTGTGTGATAGGGGGACCCATTTCTGCGTCTCCGCTCGCCTCTCCGGATCTCTCCCAATAAATTGATGATGATAGAGGGAGAGAAGAAGCGAGAGCTCAATGCCCGAGCCGGCGCATAATCTGTTGCTTTACGGACCGTGTGCACTTGGGAGGGTCAAAGTGCACGGCTCATCGAGCCCCATTCTCATCCATCTTATCCGCTTTGCCATCATTGACAGTCGCGTATTGAGGAGGGGGGCTCTTTACCCCCCGCTCTTTTTGGTATACACTTGACCTAATCTCCCGTTTTCCGTCCCTTGTTTGCTATTGTTGAATTCTACTTTTTTGACGTCTATTCCAGAAACGTGGGTTCTATATTTTATATATATTGTACGATTGCACTCACTCCTTTGTGTGAAGTTCAATCAATGTGCATACATTTGTGTGAATAGCCGTGTTGACATTCCATGAATGTTTTCCCTCAGTTTATAGTTTACAACACACCATTATGCGTGCTTCCATATATTTTCATAAGATTTTCCCTCCAATCACTATAGCACTTTGTCTGTGTTTGTTTGTATTATATTCGGCGTGGGTTTTTCACACATCTGGCCGGCAAACGGGGGTCCCTTGCCCTCTGTGAGTGCTTCGCGAGAAGGTCCTAAGCACACCCCAACCACACCCACCGCATTCTCCGCTCATTTTTTTTCTGCGTACATACCCACATTCTCTAACTTTCACTCCTTTTTCCATTCGAAAGCTTGTTTCACGCGGTCTTAACCAAATAAGTTGGCTTGACACTTCCGTCGTACGGCAAGTAAATCTTCATTCCTCTATAAGGACGCATAATTGTGGGGGTCTCTACCGAATCGACCGTAACTTGCCCTATTGTTACACCACTGCCTCGTCTCGTCTTGCAAATTTTTTCGGGTTGGTTTCATTCGGCAACACAATCTCTTCTCCTCTTTCGCAAACACATTCGGGTCTCTACCTGACCAAAAATATTTCGCGCGTTCGTTTCGTTTCATTTTCTGAGCTGCCTGCGGCTAAATTTCAAGTTTCAAGTAAACCAACTATTCTTTATTTATAAATAAGGCTTCACTTTTCTCATTTCCGTCATCTGTATGTTTATAAACATAACGATGTTCTTCCAAAGTTTATAGCCGCCCATTTCCGAAAAACGTCCTCATTAATTTCCTTTTTTTTTTGCGATATGACCTTGTTAAAAGTACCGTCAAATCTTGGTCTTGATCTGGCGAAGGATAGTAAAATGCTGGTGCTGATTTAATTTCCAATTTCCAATTTCCGAAATCGATCGATCCGAATCTCGAAAGAAAGCTGATCGCGCCCGCCGATCGGTCGGCGAGTGGGGGGATGAGGACAGGACAGGCGTGTAGATAGATGCCCCGAACATAATTGATTTCTATCGAGATCTGTGGCGCTGGTGGTGAGCTTTTTCTATCGGAAAAAGTGAGAGAGAGACAGAGTGAGACACTTGTTCGTCATTTCCGGAAGCTCGTTCAATTCGATTTCTCGGTGTGTAAGAAAAGGAGGATTTTCGAGATTCCAGAACTGTTTCAGAAAATCTGAAAATCGAGTTTACAAAATAACAAGCGCCAGGTGTGTTCAGTCACTTATTTTCCCTGTTATTATTACGAAATGTCAATACCTACCTCCCTCGCCCATGTACATATTTCATAACTTTTCAAGTGAAATGGATTTCCGGGGGCCTTGGCGTATCAAACAATAACTACACGTTTCCGTGTCAATCAAATGACATTGAGGAATGTAATGTCATATCCTTCCCGACCCCACGCCCTCACTCCGTTTTCCATATCGAATTCCATTTGGACAGGACTAAAACAAAGATCAATTTTTCAGATTTTTCTCGGATAACTGGCTAAAACCATTTTCTATTCCATTTACATGAAACGAACAGTATTCAGAGAAAGAAAAGTCTGGTTTGATACCGAATTCGAATTCCATTTCTCGCTACAATCATCATTGTCACTTATCATTGGAAATCCGTTGAACAAACATTCCGACTTCTCATTTCACCACAGGACACATTTCTATTATCATTGTCCACTTCACAATCCGCTGTTGTTCTCTCTGACCGCTCGCATTGACGGCTTGTACATAAAAAGTTCAATGAACTGTGAAAGTTTGGGTGTATAATCCTGTCCTGTTTTCACCAGAACCCCACTCCGTTCGATTTCGGGTAAACAATTTCACGACCGAATTGTTCTATATAGTTGGCGGTTGTGTGAAAAATTATAGAAACTGATAAGTCTTTAAAATTGTAGTTTTGCAGTTAGTTAGCATCAAGACTGATGTGAGAATTTCTTGATGTTTGAACCCGAAAATCCAGAATAGTCGTCATTTTCTCACGAAGCTAGGGAAAGGTGGCGCTGGTGGCGGATAATGCGCTTTTCTCGAGTGGACAGTCAGAGACATCAAGCTTGTGTCGAGTGTGTGGCCGGTCAGCGAGCACGGGATGACATTTTAGGACGGCGAACATGATCCGGTGTCCGTTTTTTGCACGCCAATTTTTCTTCTTATTTTTTCTGAATGCTTTTGTAGACTTCACATTCCCCTCGACACCTTCCGTGTGTGTGTGCAAACTTCTCAGCCATCTGTCTTGCCTTCCCTATACCGGGGCATGGTAAACGGTCGGTCGGAGAGGGCACGGAGGAGTCTCACTCTCACTCTCTCTCTCTCTCCCTTCCTTTCCGCTGTTAGTCCGCGAGAGAGTGCGATCAGTGGAGAGGGTGGAGACGCCGAGTGCGACCAGACCGGTGCTGCGAGCGATGGTGGGTGGTGAGCGGCAGCGTGTCTTATACCGCTATGACATTGCGACGCACCTCTTCCTCCCTGTATACCCATCTCTATCTCTCTTTCTCTCTCCCTCTCTCTCCCTACTTCTTCTTCTTTATCCGCCACCAATCCTTGTTCCGTACTGTTATGGTGGTCCGTAGCAATTAGTCAGTCGATAAAACGCGCATTTGTGGCCCCATCTCGTCTACATATTTTCGCTGATGCTAACCGTTTTGGCGCTTCGACGGCCTGCCCAAAGAAGAGACAGCTTTTTGACGCCGCTTTTGTATGAAAAGGTAATTTCTACTTTGTGGGGCACCAGTGATTTCACTTAAAAGAGCAGAAATCACAGCTTGCAAGTGCATTTCCGTTAATTTCTCAGAGTCAGTTCAATTTCCAGCTGTCACGCAGTCGTTTGCTCTTTACCAGTACTATTTTACTCCTAAAAACTGTGCACTTGTTCATTTTGACAGAGAAATAATGTTCTGAAAGTTTAACAGTGAAACCTCGGGCAGCAGCAAAAACGTTTGAAAACATGAAAAACAATATCTGGATAACTTTAGTACTTAGAAAATCTCAACACGGCCCGTCAAAACTTGTCAGTCTGGACCGAGCTGAGAGAAAATTTAGCGGATTTGGCACGGAATGCAAAAAATGTAAAAAATGTGTGTACAGGATAGTTTGAACAGAAAATATACATTTTTCCGTGTGTCTGGGCTGCGTGGCCCTGATCGTATACAAGTTAGGTCCTGTCGGTTGTCGTGGGTGACAAGGGAGCGGCTCTTCTCCATTAACCCCCTGATTTATCGACGCTTCACATCTCATCTCTTCCGCGCAATTTCCATCGTACTAGTTCGTTTTTCCGCGCCCACCCTTCCGCCTCTTCCTAGATGTATTTCATCGAGTCCACACCCCCTTGCCTCATCCCATAACGCCCTTCCATCCATTCACTAAAGCGTCTTCTCACCCCAGCTGGCTTCACTCTTTTGACCTACATCTAAGACGATAAAGGAAATAGAAGAAAACAGAAAAAAAGTCTTTCTGGAAAACGCTTCTCTATTCATAGTCAGCCAATTGAAATGACCTTGTGATGGCAAACCGAGTTTGGCCAAGACCTCTCCATATTCTCTGACTCATTCGTCATCGCTTCGGACGATATACTCCCGCGCTCGCATGGTTCTCTATGTCCGACTCGTCTATAAAGTAATGTTGACTCTTGGCGAACACAAAAATGGGAGGTTGGGGAATGAATAGGCGTTGTGCTTTCCTTTGGTGCCGTTTTGAAACATGAGAACTTTTATTGTGAAAAACAAGAACGGAACAAAACAACAAACCACTTTTTGCAGGTTCCCATGAGCTCCGGTTGTGAGCTCTGGATCGGGGCCGCCCGATGGTTACGCGACCTCAACGTGCTCACCAATGACAAAAACGGAACTATGCTCGAATTCGCGTCGGTACTCAGGTATGCCTTGACTTTTTCGTCTCTTTTTTAAAATACTTGATATTGTTTCAGAGATGGAGTGCTGCTTTGCCGTCTTGCCAACACCCTGGTCCCAAATTCAGTGGACCCAAAGGAGATTATGAAGACGCAGCAGCAATCACAGGTAGGATTTGCATAAAGAAACAGCAAAGTAGACTAGTTTCAGTTCGCCTGCTTCAACAACATCAACTTCTTCGTGGACTTCTGCCGGACACACTTCAAGCTGGCCGATGCGGACCTTTTCACCCCGGCCGATCTCTTCCACATGACTGGCTTTCAGAAAATACTCAAAACCCTGTCGATATTGTCGAATTCTGAGGAATCTGTCAGCCGAGGCGTCGAGTAAACATATTTTTCACTAATATCAAAGTATAGACATCAATTTTTTACAGGCCCTTCCCGGAAATCGACAAAAACATGCAGGGAACCTCGAGTGCTCCGGAGTTTGTGGATGACGAGGAGATTTATCAATCCCTCCATGATAACATTGAGAACATTGACCCCGATCGGACCATCTACGGTCCTATTACAAGTACGGATCCCGAGGAACACCAGTCCGAAGTGCTTTACGACAGAATTGTGACGAATCGGAAGCCGAGTCTCAATGAAAACGATGTACGTTCCATTCAAAAAGTTTGTGAAAAATTACAACGCCAACTTTCAGCTCCAGAATACGCCGACACTGAAGCGAAATCGATGTATACGCGAATTGTACGATACCGAGAAGAACTATGTGACGCAGGCTCTCGCGACTATAATCAAGACGTTCTACGAGCCGCTGAAGGGAATCATTCCGACTGACGCCTACAATGTCATTTTTGGGAATATTGAAGAGATCAACACTCTGCACGCGGCACTCTTGGAGGATTTGCACTGGCCGGTCGAAGTGGCTTTTGGTACCGGGGACGGACAGCCTTCGAGACCGACGACGTTGAGTGAGCCACCTCCTCAGACGATCGGAGAGGTTTTTATCAAGTGAGTGTTAATCAAAAAAGTTTCACGGGCCGGGTCGGGCCGGTATAGTTAAGCCGATACAGTAAAATGACTGGATGTTGGTAGTAGGCGCATTCTTTGTAAGTGTATGCATATTTTAAAAAAACACACTTGACCGAAAGTGTTTTTTTTGTTATCATTTCAAACACGAGACGTATGTTGGAAAAATAACGGAACCGTTGTGATTTCCGGACAATAAAACAGTTTCGGAATAGTTCTTCGAAAAGTTTTTGCTTTGAAATCTGATGAACAAAGTTACGAAATGAATAACCGAATAAACGTTATTCCAGGTACCGCGACCAGTTCCTCATCTATGGAAAGTACTGCAGTAACCTGCCAGAAAGTCGGAAGACGTGCAACGAACTCTTGAAGACAAACGAGTTCATTTCCAAGAATATTGAAGAGCTTACGGCTCAGGGAAATTGCAAGTTCGGCCTGAACGACCTTCTGTGCGTGCCATTCCAGCGAGTCACCAAATACAAACTCCTTTTACACGTAAGATCTCGGAAAAAAATCTTTACAATACTTGTTTTTTTTTTCAGGAGCTTGTCAAAAAGACTGATATGGCAAGTGCGGATCGGAAGAGTCTCATAGAGGCGGCTGAAGTCATGGAGGATGTGTGCAACTACATCAACGAAGAGTCCAGAGACACAAGTTCGAAAAAAGTGATTGACGAGATTGAGCAGAGCATCACTGACTTGTCAATGGTACTTTTGTTGTACATGCTCATCATCATAATATCGATTTTCAGCCGACCAACGTGAAACTCCATGACTACGGCCGAGTGAACACTGACGGTGAAGTCAAAATGGCCGAGTCAACGCTCACCACTTTCGGAAAACCAAAACAACGCTACGTGTTCCTGTTCGACAAGGTGATCGTCGTGTGCAAAGCAGCCAGCAAGGTATCCACAAAAGATCGGAGTCCTGGAACTTCAAGCAAGGCCAACACATTTACGTACAAGAACGCGTACGTGATGTCGGAGCTGAGCATCGATCAGAATGTGTCGATTGACACCAAGTCCGGAGGGACCATCACGCGGCGAACCCAATACGTCATTCATATGCATCGCGATCGCACCGACAGCAATGAGATTGTCCAGTTGACGTTTTATTTCAAGAACGAGACGTCACGAACAAAATGGCTCAAAGCGCTGCTGGAATCGAAGTGAGTACCAGAGTTTCCTTGTTAAGAAATTAAAAATAAACTGACACATACATACGCTTTTCAAATTCCAAATCTCAGAAATGCCGAGGACTTTTCTGCGCGCTGTTCCGTTCATAGGCATTTCTGAAAGTTAGGGTATTCTCTTAGGCATGTTTCTTGAAATTATTCCTTAGCCCCTTTTAGCATTTATTTTACCTTTTTTTCAGAACAAACGTCTCGCCAACCGAACATCTCCGCGACACCAACCACAAGGTGGCGTACACAAGTTTTCGCGTCGACATCAAATCCCCGCTGACATGTGATGTGTGTGAGAAACTGATGAAAGGATTACGCTACCAGGGATACAAGTGCGAATGTGAGCAATGTTCATATAAACGGAATTTTTAAAATTTTTCTCGTTTCAGCCTGCAACATGGTCATGCACAAAGATTGTCTAGGCCTAAAAAGATGTGAGGCTAGACGCAAATCGACACATGAGACCAGAAGCTCGCAAAGCTTCAACCGACCAAGGACCAACGGCAGTTCTCATAGTGAGTGGAGAAAACATTAATTGACCAATAATTATTCAATTTCAGTTCACAACGGCGACATTGTGATGGCCACTTCGAACTTCACTCCGTCCGACCTCACATTCCTGCAGTTCTCCACCGGCGACCGTATTGAAGTGATCGAAATGCAGGGAGTTAATCGGTTCACGGGCTGTCTCGTCAACAACCGTACTCGAACTGGACTCGTCCACACCAGCCACGTCTCTCAGACTCGGGTTCGTTTCCACTTTTGTTTGCATGGGAGTAATAGAGATGTACCCGATGTTTAGACACCAGTTAGTGTCTTCTCTTTGTCTCCGTGCACCTGAACATCTGTGAAATTTGAAATGAGCCAGGCTCTCGCTCTCTCTTTTTCCTCTACTATCGCTTGTTCAGTGCCGTCCTCGCGGACCGCTCGGTGTGACTCATCTCACTTTGCACACTTTATGGGCGGAGCGAGCACACTTTCAATGTCAATCAGACGGCTTGCGAGCCATACAGATTGAACACTTTTATTGCTTTTCTCCTAATGCACGCCGACATTTTCATCATTCTTTGCAGACGCACTCGATGATCGGACTAAGCCCTCTCGATTCGCCGGCCGGATCGATCGTCCCGCGTGTCGACCGCAGAGAAACGACGACAGTGTTGCCGACACGACCTGAGACTTTGTTATCTGATGGGTAAGTCGATTCACCAGCGACAAAATTCATTCCTGACAAAAATTTCACACTTTATCCGGTTCTATTCTATTCGGAATGGTATTCATAGTTGCAACGTGAGTGAATCTAACGTCACTAGGAGCATAGGAGCACCTTTGTGCCCGTATGACTAACTGTTAGCTCAGGTGTTCTTTCTCATCCGGCACGTGTTTGCACAAAAGCAGGTGCTAATAGTTTCACAGAAAAATATCATAGACGTTGAACTTTTTCGAAAAATGTTGGTCTATTTTCCAGACATGTCTTGCTTTTTCAATGTTTCTGTAGATATGAATAGGTATTCACACAAAATACCTCTAATTGAAACCAATTTTTTAGTGGTGCCCGGAGCACGAGTAGCCAAGGAGCATTCACAGCTCGTAGCTCGAGAGCCTCTTCTTCATCGACGATCAACGGAACAGAAATGCCACGTCAGCAAGACTATGTGAACACGGAAATATCCGAATTTCCCTGGTACATGGGAGATATGGAACGGGCAAAAGCGGAGAACACGTTGAAAGGAACGCCGAACGGAACTTTTCTGGTCCGATTCAGTAAGAACCGAAAGCAGACGGCCATTAGCTTGAGGTTAAACTCTAAACGGAGTTCTCTATTTTAACTTTTTTTTTCAGCTACAAGGGAGAAGTGAAGCACATGATAATCGAGGTGAACAAGGATGGCAAAGTGTTCCTGGACGAAGATTACATCTTCAATTCCGTGGTGGTGAGTCAATGTGGACGGTGTTGTGAGAGAATTCACATTCACATGACTGAGTATTGCCGAGAATCACATTTATTCGATCTTTCAGGAGCTCGTGCAATATTATCGCGACCACAACTTGATTGAAATTTTCCAAGCACTGGACACGTGCCTGAAGAGCCCGTATCCACAGTGTAAAGTGTTCAAGGCAGTTCACGATTACGATCCGCCGCCACCGAACACGGAGGGAAAGTTTTTATCGTTGAGGACCGGGGATATTGTGGTGCTTTTGGACACTGTTGGAGAGGATCGCGGATGGTGGAAAGGACAAGTCAATAATAGGGTAAGAAATAAAAAGAACACATTTCTGGTTCGAGAAATAGTTGTTACGGTCAAGAAATGACAAAAATAACAGTCGTCAGGCTGCTGGGCCGTCAAAATTTTTCTACTTTCACAAGTTTACTTATTTCAGACTGGATTCTTCCCACTCAGCTACGTGAAAGAGTACGATGCAGTCAAGGATGGAGCCCAGACTCCGCCCACCCCAACTTCCTCTTCCAACTCTTAATTTTTTCAAAAATCGTGCACACTTGCCCTGATAGGAACTATTCTAGAACCCATATTGTATCTGCTCCCTTTAAAATCTCATGTAACGTACGTGTGGAGTGACGAACCGATCCGCCAAATCCTTTTGCCCTTCCCCTTGTCCTTGTCCGTTTTCCCCTCCAACAAATGCCATACACTTGTGATCAGCTTCCTGCATGCATCTTCTATGACGTCACTAGTCATAATTTTTCAGCCAATTTGTCATTTTACGCTATTTTTTGTCTGAATTCATTTCAGTCTCCGCCCTCCCGGTTTCATAATCCCTCACCGTTTAGCACTAGTTTCACTTTCTTCCATTCTTTGTCATTTCTGTCTCAAGTCTTCTTTATGCGTTTATATTTATTTGTGAATGCTCGTGTTGTGAAATATATATACATATACATACTACATATGAATCAATAACAATGCAAACAGTTTCTAGAAAATTTTGGGATCATTAAAACATTCTAAACTGTTTTGAGCGTACTATTGTATAAGAATTTCAAGCATATCACTTGTAAGAGAATTTTTTGAGGAACGTCTCAATTGATGGTTATTCATCTCATTATTTTGACTAATAATACTGAGTAACGTTTGGGAGCAGTTCGGTTTGGAGCACTGATAGTGACCGATCGGAAAAACAACAGAAAAAATATCAGTTGAATTTTCGACAGCACCTCTCTCGCGTGTTTTTGATTAAAGAGCTAGGAGTGATACATGTATGATGCCTATTTGCCCTATTTTAAATTTTTCCTCCACCTTTGTGATCGTCACCTAAAGGGGCGTGGTGGCGGTGAAGCTCGGTTGAGGAATGGGCTGGATTTCGCTATCACTATATAAACCGAGTACAACAGCAATCTCTCAACCATCTCTCTCTTCCTCTCTCCGACGTTATTGCTATGCAAGAAGTCAAACTCTTAACCTTCTCTCTCTCTCTTCCTCTTTTTGACATTATTGCAACTTTCGTTATCGATAGCTCAACTTTTTTGGCAAGGAACCAGACAAGAAATCATAAAAGGTGACAACGTTTTTACGTTTTTTCGACTTTGAATGGCGCTGCTCCCACCGATCTGCGCCAAACTCAACTACGTGATGGAGCTACAACATTTACATTTGCTCCAAGTTTAACAGTGAAAATCGGACCACTACACGCGGAGAAATCGAATCAAAATCCGATATTTAAGGCCCTTGTTGCATTTTGTTCGGTGAGATCGCCACGTGGACGCCATGTGGCGACGAGTTAGCACCCCCTATTTTTGTTGCGCAGTTTTATGCCGTAGGCTCTACTCATCTTGCGTTCAGATCGGCTTCTACCCACTGAATCGCGTGGTGCCACTTGCTAATTGATATTTTTCCATGAACTTCAATGAACACATTTATTTGGCATACTCAGAAAACCCACACATTACTGAACACCGGGAAAGAAATACAAAAAAACGCGAAAACGGTCACACATGAGAGTTATTTACACAGCGGAAACGAACAGAAATGAGAGGACAAAATGAGTTATTTATGCTACTGTTGAAAATACCAGCAAAGAAAATTTACAGATTGGCAGGGCTTTGTAAGAGATGAAAAGCGGGAAAAACTAGAGAAAACTACACACTACTGTATTGGTTTTTATGACCAGTTCAATGGAATGGATACTGTTCCATCATTTGTCACATAAATGCTCGGGTTGGTTGAAATCAGGATCGAAAGGCCCGAAACCAACTGTCTGACTTCTGGAGAGCATTGAATGAGCCGGTTGATGCAGTTAAGGACAATCTCCGGAGCAAACGTTGGTTCCCATTTCAATCCGGTCAACTTGAGCTCTTGAATGCATTCCTCACGCGCAAATTCCAGTTCATTCTGCAACCGAATATTCAGTTTTGCAAGAATATGTTTGAACTTACCATCAGATGATGCATGTGCTGATTGATTTCCGCTGCTTTCTTCGCATTTTCCTCCAAAAACGTGACGAGCGACGGAACATCAACATTGCACGGAATGTAGAGCCTCCCATCCATACCGATCGCCAACTCATCATAAGAAGTGACCACTTCCAGCATCGAGTTGGCAGCCGACTCCTCCACCCTTTTCAGCAACGCTTCTTTCTTCCATATCCTCACTCTCAAGGTTTGCAGTTGGGTCAAAGTCTGAGCGAGACCCTTATAATGAGGGAGTAGTATCTGTGCTCCTCCGAAAGTTTGCTCGATTTGCTTTGCTGTCTCCTTCAAGAGTGGAATTTGGTTCTTGCGAATTCGATGCTCCTGGCAGGCTTGTTCCCACTGTTCCGGCACGTTGTCAGCGCCCAATTGCAGAGATCCGTCGCAGCAAGTGAAAGATCCTCTTCCGAATCTCAGAACATTCTTGAAGAATGCCTTCTCGATTATGACTCTGGTCTCCGGAATGGCTTGGTCGAGCATACGATTCACGTTTGCAATGCATCGCCGCATATGCGACTCTTCCCATGTCATTTGCCACACGACCTGAGAAATATCGAGGGTTTTTTTCACAGAAAAAAAAATTAGGTGAAAACCTACATGTCGAAATGTTTTTGGCGTTTTTAGTCTCGATAGGTGATATTTATGTTAATATTACACAGATAGACCATTTTCTACCTAATAGCAAGTAAATTTGATAAAAAATGAAAACCTACATCTTTGAGTTGTGTTTGGTACTTCAAGTCAGCAATGTCTTCTTTGATCGACACGCGCAGTGTCTTTGCATCTCTCGTTTTCTTCATTGCCTCCTCCCGTTGATTAGTCAATGAATCATACAGATTCGTGATGATTGTCGCCTTTTTTCGTTTCAAGTAGCTGAAAAATCATGGTCATCGTGATCAATCTTTACACTTTGACCCACGATCTGAGCAAATCTTCCTCCACGTTGCTTGTCGTGTAACCTTTGCCTCCCGGACTGTTCCTTGATGAGACGGTCTCTTTGAACTTGAGCTCAGATGTACTCAACTCGCATGATTCCAAAGCGTCGCTGTAAAAAACCGTTATCATATCACAAAACGTGACCACGTGTTTCTACTTACCGCACAATTTTCACTGGATCCGTGCCTGTCAGGTTGATGTGAATCTTTCGGAATGTTGTCGATTGTTTGTCGGCAATCGAGAAACTGACCTGAAGCATAAACGGTAACAAAACGGACTTTGATTTGAATTCTACCTTGGTCGGCTTTAAGGATGGCGACACTGGGAACAGGTCATTCATGTATCCGTTGAAGATTTGCAACGATTTCTCGTTTTGCGTTTGGATTTCGGGAAACTTGGCGTACCTAAATGGGATTTTTAGATAGAAAAAGTTTTGAAAAATACAATTAAAAACTCACTTGTCGGGATGAACCAGGAAAAGAAAAGGTCGAAGTGCCTGCGCGACTTCATTCGAACTGATGCATCTTTTTGAGATTTGCCATAACGATCGATGTTTTGAAGGGGAGAACATGAGTTCTGAAACAAAATTTCTTTGTTTCATTCATACGCGCGTACAAACGAACGGAAGGAAAATACAAAAAGATAACAACAAAAAGGTGGTTGCAAGAGAGAAGGAGTAGAGAGAAGGAGGGGTAAAGAGGAGAGTGCAAGTGTAAGTCACATGTCTTCATGACCGATTCGATTCCAAACTAAAAATGGTTGGCCTGGAGGCCATGCAATCAGATAAACACAGACTGATCAAAGGAACTATTGTCCGCTGGCGGATGACTGAGAAAAAGAAAAAGAAAAAGACTGAAGGAATTTGATAGCGGAGAATCGGTCTCTTTCTCTTTATCTCCCCCACGTGAGGAATCAAAACAGTCGGCGGACACAGCGAGAGATCAATTTTATCAAAATTTGTACATTTCTCATGGTTTGTGGTCAATTGAGAAGAAAAGGACACTGAAACAAACGAACGATTGATGTATTTTTTGTTTTTCGAGTTCTATTTTTACATAGAAACTGGATTTCTCTATTGCTCTTTAAAAAAATGATTCCACTCGCTGACAATAACAGTATAGCCTAGTTTTTTCTGCGGAAAACATTCGGCCTCGCCAGAGCTCACCCGCTAAACCGCGCGCAGTTGGTGTAATTCGGAGCATCGTTGGATAGAAGGACCGAACATTCGAGAACGTTTTTTTTTTTGTTCAAATCAGGAAACATTGTGAATTTCAGAGCGATTGAGAGAGAAACCAGCGTGTATGCCTGAAATAGCAACGAAATGTCATTTACACCCATTTTTATGTCTACAAGTAAACACCGTACGGGCTTATCGGCTCTTCGAAGGTTGTGTGCTGCGTGCTTTCGAACCGCCACGCGAGGAAACGAGAAGACGGAAATTTGTGACCCGATAAGGCCACGCTCTGTTAATTTCATCGGTAAAATATCAGATCAAACATCCGTTTACCGCAGAAAATCCAGTACATTTATTTAAGGTCGTTTATTCGAGCAACATTACTGCAGTTGTCATGCGGGTGGCGGCGGGGGAGGAAAGTGGAAAAGCAGTAACGGGGAACAATAAATACACATAAAAGAACGCCCAATTTCGTTGAAGTGACATGTAATTGAATGGAAAGCTCTCAAATGAGCCCTTCGACGTTTGGCGGTTGAAGATATGGTAAGTCTTTGGCGTGGTGCTGCTCTTCGAACTGCGGACGGTACTCGCCGTGGTTTTTCCGACGGTCTTTCACGTATTTGAACGCGAAAAAGCCAAGAACTGCGAGGAGGAGGACACCGACCTGCAGAAAATTGGGATTCTGAAGAGAAAATGTGAGTAGAATGGCTTACAATGACTGCAATAACGATTCCCGCAATAGCTCCACCACTCAAACCCCCACTCGGCTCTTTGATTGTCGATGAGACCACGTCAAGCAACGAAGGTTCGGTGACTTCCACCATACTTGTACTGTTTGACGCCATTTTCCGGAAAAGCGTACGTCTAACTGGACATATACAGAATATGTCTTCTCCGTCCAAACGGCAACCAGAGATGATCGGCGAGAGGGTTGAGGCTGGAACAAAAACTGTTTTTTTTATTTGAGTGAGAGGGAAAAGAAAAAAGAAACTTTTTATAGAATAGGAATAGGAAGAAGTGGGCGGTCAATGGTGAGAAAAGTGAGAAAGGGAAATAAATGGGTTCTGAAGTCAAAGTCTGGAAAGGAGAGAGGAAGGAACTTTCGAGTTAACCCTCTTTTATTTATGGCTGGAAAGTGAGAGTTATTGGAGGGCGTCGGATTGAAAAACGTATTGAATTTCAGGTGGAGTAGTTTTGCATGTTTTTGTTTATAAACTCATAATATATACAAAAACATACAGTGAGTCACGTTTTGTTAGGTTAGCACAAAAGGTTTGGGGGTATGATAGGTGTACTGCCGTTTCTTAATTCCCTGCCCGGTGCTGTTTACTTTATAAAAAAAAGTCAACGACAAAATAAGTTCAAACAGCTTACTATCCCAGAGTTTAAGTTTTAGTATCAGAACGATCAATAAAAGTTCATCGCATTCCATTCCAAAATGAATAATATTTGTGGAGCGAGGAGTGTACTGATAAACGAGACAATGTTAGGAATACGTGGTTGGGTGCAATTTGTATATGAAATGTATGAAAAGAGCATAAAGGTGGCCGGCCTCGAGACAACGTCAAACAAAACACGTTGAAACTTTGCGCAAATATCATTCGGGTTGGAGATCGCGTTCGCGTTTGCGTTTGAGCAACCGAAAATCACCTTGTGTTAGTAGTCCCGACACTCGCGGTCCCGGCTGACTAATTTCTAGTTTGTGTCGCCCATCTTATTATGGCTGCTGCCAAAGCAATGATAAGAAGACGCATGGAAGAGGACAGAGGAAGGAGGAAAACAAAGTGCTTCAGACAACTTTACTTTGTTATTATTCAAACAAACAATATTATACATATTATTATAATACAACATATAGTAACAATGCCATTCCATCCTAAAGTTATGCGTCAGGCGGAAAGATAGAACGAACAGCTAGAAAACTGGGCTAATAGTGGAGAAAAAGAAAAAGAAAAAGAAAACATAATAATACAAAGCATAACATGCAAATACCAGTCACAGAAGTGAAATTTGAGTCATTTCATTGGCACTGCTACACTAGCTCGCAATGTTCATGTTCCAGGGTTAGATATTATTAATACGCGAGAGAAAAACGGAATTGTGGGGAGGGAGAGGGGCCGCGTGTTTGAATACTGGATCGCCGGTCGGCCATGAACTGAATGTATTTACAGACAGACGCACCGGAACGTTTTGGTATTGTTGAAATGTGATATTCACGGTTATGATTCTTTTATTCGCTCCCCTTTCTTGTGTGTGAATTCAAGGAGTGCGAGTAGTAGTGACTGACCGATTTTATGGGAAAATATCAATTTGTGTGAGGAACATCTTCGAGTTCACGATTATTAACATGTTTAGGCCAGGAATAACACAATATTTCAAGAGCAAAATGAAGAGAGCGTTAAAGATAAGAAACGTGGAAAATGTGTCAGCAAGTGTGTGTAGGTGACAGTTATCATTTGCATGACTAAAGCCGTGTGGGAAGAGAACAAGATGACTCGTTTTTCTTCTTTCTTATACGAATCTGAATCTGAATCTGTTTCCAAATCCAAATCTATGTACATCGACTTTTCCAATCAAAAAGATTGGAATCAGAATGATATGATTGAAGAAGAATACTGGGTGGGCAAACTAAAAGTGATTAGGAATGCAAAAGTGAAAAAAAAAACTGAAAAAAGTCAGGTTGCCGTGGATTTTCGCACATTTTGGCCTGCGTATCGCGCGTTTTTCTGTGCGCCAATCCTCGAAATCTCTTGAGCATGTCTTGTTGTCAGAAGGAAACTAAGAGTTGGCAAATATTAACTGACGCTTAGAGGTTTTTTTTTCTTTTTCTCGTTCGCTCGGTCACAACTATTGAAATTTCAATGTCAATGAATGGGGGGAGAAAAGAGAGAAGTGAGGTGGGTTAAAAGGAAACATGTTTACACTCGGAGTGACTTATAAATGACCTTTCGCAAGAAAGGCAAACCGGAAGCTTACGCTTACTTAAAAAAAAGTTTTTTCCCTCTTAGTTTAACACTAAACCAACACGTTTTTATGGTCACGCTTCATATATAGTTTTTCGATGGAAATTGAGACGTTTTAATGGCTACTTGTGTACTTTCACATTCACCATTTTTGACTACTTTTCCCACAACAAAAGTGGAAGAACAATCAAGACAAAAGGAGGGGGGGGGGGGTCCTGGGACCAATTCTCAAGGGGCACATTAATTTCGCCTAACAGCTACTTTCAAAGAAAAGCTATGGAGTTTCTTCTAGTGAATTGCTTTTCAATCTTATTCTTTCCTATCAAAATTGTGAAAGAAATTAGGAAAAATGGAAAAAACCTGATTTTGAATAACCCTGCCTTTTTCTCTCTTTTTGGAGTAGGAATTCAAGGACGACTCCTTCTCGGAATCCATACCCGACCGCACTTGAGAAGGGATGATCTTTGTTGGTTTTTTTTTTCATTTTAGACTACTTGAACTCGATTTGGAAGAAATTCCAATTCGGGGAAGAAAAAATGAAGAAGGGCGTGTGATTTGAGAGGCAGAAACCAGTCCGGACGGGCCACGGCGGGTGGTCGCTATAAATTTTTCCCGAATTTTTATCATATCTTTTCGTTTTTCGTCTTTTGCCATAGACGACGTAATATGCAAAGAAAGAGAGATGGAGAGTCAATTTGGAATGTTGAAGCGTGGGCGGAAGGGATTAGCAAAATAGGTGTGACGAGGCTTTGATATTATTATCAATCTCAAGCAGAAATCTAGAAAAAACACATTGAAGGAGCACTTGAAACCGTTCTATCGGAGAAAAAGTGGAAATGCAAACAAGCGCATCGAGTTTATATATATATTTATAAAAGCGAGTGTTCAGAAATCAGAAACACAATAGAGAAGCCAACTCACCAATCAAACAATTGAAGTTGCGCCAGCAGAAAATATGAGAGCATGGTGGTGATTCTGCACAACTTGTCTGACTCGAAATCAAGACGAACGGCTCGTAGGAGCAGCTCATTTTTCAAAAGAAGGATACAATTTGGAAAGGGGGGCTCTCGAGACGAACAATGTCGGAAATGCGGCTCAAAAGATAAGAGCAACAATACACTTCACAGACCCTTTGTCCCTTTTGTGTTGTTTTTGAAAATTGTAAATAATGAGTAATTTATTGGATAATACTTGAAAAAAAGAAGAGTGTGAAATTGAAATGAGTTGAATCCTCAAAAAGAAGAACGCCTCGAAAACGACTCGCACCAGAGGAGGTGTCAAGGTTAATGACAGTCGGACATCTCACGCCTTTGACGAGTCAAAAGACGAGGTTTGAGGGTTAATTTTGAGTATTATGAGGAAAACGCAAGACAAATGAGAGAATGGAATTGAGGGAAATGAGATGAACAGACATAAAATTAAGAGGGGTCTTATGTAAATCAACTTGAGGAGACGATTTCGAAATACACAGACGGTTGAGAAAAGAAGCAAACTGTTCACAGGGAAAAAGGTGTTTTGGTGCGTGACTTTCATGGACCAAGGTTTTCGCAAGTAGATTCTAAAAGTATTTTCCACTTTCTGAACGGATTTTTAAAAAGAACGATCGGGGTAGGCATTAAGAAGCAAGCGTGTCCTTATGAGCAAAAATCTCGATTAATACGGTGGCATTTTGTCAAATGTGCCCAATTAACGAAGAATTCTCCTCGCCGCCAGAATGAATCTCGTCTCTCCGTTCTTCTTCTTCTTCCTCTTCACATCGTCCTTTTCCTCAACCGGCGCGTTGCTACGTAGTTTCTCGAGCACTCCCTCGCTGGCACTCAAATCCACAAGTGTGAAAAACGCTTGCCACAAAATATCAGTGGCTTTCGCCAGCGAAAAGGTGACAATTGACGTAACGACGAAGAGAAAGATGTGGAAGGCTGTAATTAGACGGTGCTCGGCTTAAGGTGGGTGTTGGTGCTGGTCAGTGGTGGTTTACACAACATTTCTACTCGTGACCTTACCTAAGAGAACGTAATCGTAAGCTGGAATACTGGCAAACGTGAAAATTATGCCAGCAAACAAGCAAATGTAGCAGGAAAGAGCGCCCATCTGAAAAAATGTTACAAATAAGTCAGAATACTTCTGGGAACATGTTTTGCCTCTTACCACGACTGACATGAACGGAATCATGAAGGCAAGCTTGAGTTGCTGAACTCCATGATCCAGACACATTGCACTGAGAACTGTGAAACTGGTGATGATGATTTGAGCAACAACGCAACGAAAACCCTGCAAAAAAGAAGACGAAAGAATTACGGTAGTTCCTTTTAGTATACCAATTGCATGGTGCCGGTGTACTCGGCCGTAGAGAACATGAACATGTAGCAGAAGAAGATGAAAACAGTAGATCTCTGGAAAAGTTTACATGAATGGAAAATCCTATCTGAAAAGAGGAAGGATTCGATTCCCTACCGCCTTTGAAATGTCTCGAACACATTTCAGCTCCCAGTACTTTTCCCAGTACGTCTTTCTCGTTTTCTGCTGATTTGACTGATCGCCTCCACGGATCACGCGGTACAAACGGATTTCCCCCCGTGGTACCATTCTGAACACAAATACGTCAAATCGGCCGGAGAAAAGAAAAGAAAAGAGGGCAAAAACGAGGAAAGAATCGACGTATACGGACTGACTCATGTGCTTCTGTCTTCTTTCCTGGAAGAAAATCATTTTTGTAGCTGTACACTCTGCTCGCTCCCTCCTCTTTTCAAGAGAAGAACACAGAATGGGTGGAGGGAAAAGGAGGAATAGGAGAGAATGGTTTTGAAACGGGTAAAAAGAGACTAGAGGAGGGTAAGAATAAAGGGATTGGTGGTGGATACGATGGGATTGCCTTTTTTCGCTTTTTGTGCAGTGCCGCATTGAGTGACGTGGAAAGGAAATTGCACGAACGACAACCTACCACGTCCTTCTTGAAAAGGGTTGTAATGGAATGAATGGAATGGCGCAGCAAAAATGAGCTCTCCGCCTAGAAAAGATATATTCCTTCTCTAAAAGGAGCACAAGCACAATTAAAACTAACAAGATACGAGCAGGGCACATTCTTCGGCGTCTCGAAGAAGGAGCAGGAGCAGGAGCAAATTATGAATAGGAGCCTGAAAATGAATCTTTGTAAGAGTTCGTTGCAAAACGTTGAAGCATGATTATACTTTGTTCTATTCTGCTATCTTTTAAACAATGTGTTCTGAATCAGGAGTGTGCCGAAAAAACAATACCGCACTTTTTGAAGGCTCACAGATAAAATGTTTGGCCTGTCACTCAAAGACGTTCACAATTGCGATTGGCATTTTCGAAATATTCCCAATCTGCTTTTTGCGCGTTGCTGGTCAGTAGAAGGTGTTCACAACTTGAGAGTTCTATTTCTGACCCGTTTCGGAACCTCTATTATAGAAACGGATGTATCTTTCAAAAAATTCCCAAAAAAATCTGAATCTGAGCAGGGTACTGTAGTTGTCTTGTTTCCCCTGTTTCTTTCCGAGTACTTTCTGGCTCTCCTTTGACCCGCTAACATACATAGGCAAACAACACAGCCTGATGTGAAGACAAAGATCTTTTGATATCGAAATTCGTCGAAATTCGTTTCGACAAGCCAGCCCCACTGTTTACCCACACCTCCCTGTCGTCCATCACTGACAGGCCCGCGCAAAACCGTATCAGAATCCTTGTCCACACAAATCTTTCCAAGAGCTCTTCTCCATTTCTTCACGAGAATGGATCCAACATCCGAACAGACTCTGGATATTCTGACTCAAAGCTCTGTTATTTTCATCGCTTTGCTCATAGTAATGTCCGTCGCGTTTGTAGCGTATCGGTAAGTGCTGTGTACGTCAGAAGTGTCATGTTTTTCTTATTCGGACACGGATACAAGGGAATTGATCCAATGAGCTCTGGCCAGTGAACCAGCGGCTTATTGTAGGGGTTTCACGTGCCGTCATGTTTTTTTCCTTTTTCAGATGCATCCAGAAGACTTAACGGGCTTCCTTCCTTCGTCTTCTTTCACTCAATCTTTCCAACGCCGCCACATCATCGCCAGATGCTCAACTTGATCATTTTGCATCCGTTAATTTGTCATGCTGAGGCTTGTCAATAAACACTCTCTCTCTCTCTCTCTCTCATTTTTCCTCTTCTCAACACGTGCTATTTTGTCACGGAAAAGTTGCGGTTCCCGCTAATTGCCCGATAGAAATCACTTTTCGCTTTTTGTGAAATGGCCACGTTTTTTCTGCTAAATACTGGTGATCTTGACCAAGTCTCGATAAATTGAATTTGCCTTTCGATCTAACCCACTCAAAAGACGGGGAAAGAATGAAATCAGCTGTTGTGTGAGACAAGCCGAGAAATAAAGCATATATCACCTTGAACACACCTAAATCCCTGCAAAAACAATTTTCCATATATATCCGCTGTTTCAATAGTCTTAATCATCCAATTTCCACGAATTCATAATTTCGCCTCTTCCCTCTTCTGCTCTTCTTAGAGATCCCGTCTAATTGGCACGTACCCCTTGTTTGTCATGTTTGCACACCGCTCCCACAGCCCAATTACGGGCCATTCACTCACATCCAATATTCATTCTCTGAAACTTGTGTTGGAAGCATTTTGAACCCTTCGTCCTCGGATTTTGTGCAAATCTAACCCATGTGAGCACCTGCCTTTTCCAATTAGTCACTGCGCTCACGAGCAACGGAACAGTTAATCGACTCATTGTGCTCATTTCTATGCTCTATGTTTATGGATATGTAAAAATTTTGAATGAATTGCGTGATGTTCTCCCTTTTCCTATTAAAAAAGTGAAAAGTGATCACTGATGTCATACGTGTGTTTGTTAGTGAGTTTCCGGCTTTCGGGAGTTTCAGGTGTTATTTCTAGGTGAGGAAAATCTGTTTGCAGCATAAATAACTAAATAATATGCCTTTTCTATATTCTTGCGCTGTGCCCTCACATTTTTCAAGCAAGCCGGGCTCGTCCGCGCCGTGTCGGGTTTCAGAAATTTCCATCAAAGCACGGCCCGGGCCGTGAAAACTGTGTCTAAATTGGTAGTCGGTAGTTTTCAAACGTATCTTTATGATCTTTTTGAATTACACTTCTCATTAGCAGTCCACTACTTTCGATAGGCGAAGAACACACAAACCTTTACAATATAGCTTATTAGAAGGTACCGAACCCGCTTTACATAACGCATGAATGCTTAGTAAGCATCAAGACAAACGGGGAGAAATTCTCATTACCTGAATTGTCAAAATAAGACATGAGACCGCACTATGCGAAGGGTCAACGTGATTTGATGTCCTATTTCCCAAAGGATTCGTTCATTTATTGAGAAAGCAGATGAAAAATCCACGTATGCACTTAGACGAGTGACGTCATTGTCTAGGCTTTTCATTCCGCATAATGATACGCTTTTCTTCGTCAACATTTTATCACTATCATACATTTAAACTGCTTGAAAGTGAAAACTGACGGATTTCCTGAATTCGCTCATTTTCTATAACGTTAATTACGCTTCACAGTGTCTCATTATTTAAAAGAATTTCGTTGTTCTCAATGTGTTTTTCATTTTTCATTTTCCGCTCCAATACACTTGACAGGTGAAAGAATCTGATTTTTTTTCAGAATTTCAAACTACCTGGGTTGCCTTCCTTGTTTGATCTTCCTTTTTTATTCTCTCCTCAAAGAATGGCCCGAAAACCAAAACGTGATGGTCCCGGAAAAAGAGGACAGGAAGTGGTTATGCATTTCGAGCATCCCGACGGATTCAATCCAACCGACAAAATCTACAAAACGTGCTGCTGTCACACAAAGACTTTCACAATTGTGATGGGCATTTTCGAAATATTCACAATCTGCTTTTTGCTTGTTGCTGGTGAGTTGAGGTTGTTCAAACTTTGTTTCTATTTCTGAACCTTTTTTTTTTTGAAAACAGAAGTAAATTACTCATTCGAGCGTACTATTCAAAAGTTCATGTACATAGAATCTCAGACTCATAACCCCTCTCATTAGAATTCCCAATTGGTTTCTCCCTACTCTCATCTTCTGATTTTAGGAATCATGTTTGATTTCTAGAATAACTTTGAAAGTTTCAGTCCTCCCAGACGTCACCACTCGTATCTGCGACAAGTTGACAAACGAAACATTCATCGCATTACCGCTGGAAAATTTCGAACTTGAGTGAGTTTCAACTGAAGGTAAATGTGACACAATTTTGAATTTGCAGGGATATCCGCAATGTGACGTATGTCAGCAACGCCTTGTGCAACAATAATATGTGGTGTCTTCTTTGGGCACTTGTGCAGGTATCAATTATATACGCTTACTAATGCAAACAAAGCTTTTCCAGATTATGGCGGTGAATTGCATGTTCTACGGAATGAAAACTATTCGCTACTGGCTTTTCATCCCCCACTTCATTTTCCGGTAAGTAATCTCCTTACTCTTTGTGGCCATTTGTTCAATTTTGTCTATATTTAGAATAATTTGCATCGGAATCATTGCTCTAATTATCAGTTGGATCACATACAAAGCTATAGGTGAAAACGCGGATGAACATCTCGCCTACATAATCACAATCATTGGTTTTTCACTTTTCGAATTAGGAACTCTCTATGCAACTGTGAGTTCATCCAGAAAAAGAAAAGAAGAATATGTAGTTGTTTTGCAGTGGATGGAAATTCGATGTGCGCAATTTGTGAAAAAGTCACGTGAGACGGGCTTCTCGATCAGCGTTGCCAGACCACTCGGACCGGCTACCATTTCGCTGACCGAGAATCAAGGATCAGCTGAGCCACCTCAGGTAACATTCGGTTTTATGCTTAAAGGAGTCTGTTTCTGATACCATCTTGAGCACTACTCTTTTTATTCTTTAAAACGATGCACTTTCTGTTCAGGACCGCATCCTGCCGCCCCTTCGAGGCCGCAACCAGAGCAACTACATTGTCCAGGACACACCAGCTCCGCAGCCAGGACTCCCTAATGGAAGTGAGGCTGTTTTTGTTTTGAACTCTCATGAAACAAATGTTGATTATCCTTTCAGCTCATAACTGAGTGCCAATTAAATCGAAATCGCATCATCATTCCCAACGGGGACTTCAAAACGCAATTAGACTTATGTGAAACCATCGCCCAATACTTATCGATCTCTGTTTTTCGTGTTTATGATCCCTAAAATCTGAAATTACTTGTTTCTGGCACATCTTTTGTCGATTTTTGTGTTTTCCACGTATGTAACAACTTTCTTCCATCCAAATAGATCTGAACAGTTTTTTTCCTGTAATGTATGCTACCAGCGACTTTATTAGCTATGAGAAGCCCGTGTTTTTCACGTTTACACCGATTCGTGATATTTTGGAACATCGTTCCGTATACTTTGTTCCTTTTAATATGATAACACCAAATTCATTGAAACAGCGTTCTAATGTTTATGAAGATTGCAATGCCGACCCCAAAATGTTTGTATAAATACGAAGCAGAACATGCAAAAAACATGACATAAACCTTCTATTACATAAACCTTCTATATGCCTTCTATTACTTTTGATGAACAGTTGACTGAGCAGAGAGTGAGTTAGGAGTTGCTTCATTTCGCAATCGGAACTTGTTTTTCAGATTGAAGGGAAAGTGCGTCAACTGGTGTCCCTGGTCGCCAGAGTTCCTCTCAAAGACGTCGGAATCTTGTTCTCTTGGAAAGATGTGCTCGACGAGAAACAACGTGCCGAATTCAACGAGATAGTGGCCGAGGCGTTGACTGCCTACTTCCAAGTGTCCACAGAACCTAGTGACGTGGACAACCTCAACTACTTCTGGGAAATTGTGAATCGCATCACTTGTAAATGTTAGTTATGCCACTGTTTCGTGAAGTTGAAAGAGAGAGAGAATGAAGTAAACAATTAAAAAATATCCCATTCTCTCCAAATTCACATTGATAAGAAACCGTATGTCTCCGATATCAAAAGATTGTCAAGTGCCTTTCCTAAGTGTAATATACAAATAATAATTTATTGCAATGTTATTCGACCGTTGTCTTTTTCGAAGCTTTCTCACTAAAAACAAAGAGAGGATGAATTCTGTGACATTTCCTACTTTGTCTGTCTGATCTTCAATCCCTCTTAACGACGCGTTGCCATTTACCTTCAGCCATCTTCAGAAAGTTTTTTATTTCTTCTTTTACTTCTCAACGCCTCAGGTTTGTAACAAATTGAAGTAAATAGTCAACTGACGAAAACACGCCCCTTCCAATTGCTTTATAACCCCTTATCGACGGTCAGAAACGGATACGAAGTATCTTTTCACATTTCTCTCTTCAACGTCTCACGCTTACTGCAACCATGGCTGACTTCGAATCGGGACTGACTGAACCTACGGTAAGACATGTGATCAGAACTTTATTTCCGTAGAAAGATTGTGAGAGATATTCTATTAGTCATTTTCACATATTTTCAAGGTCGAAGGAAAAGTTCGTCAGCTGGTCGGTCTTCTGACAAACACTCCGTTCGAGGATGTCGGCACCGATTTCAACTGGAAGAACATTCTTGATCAGGACCGTCTGGACTACTTCAATGTGATGGCTGCGGAAGCACTCACTACCTACTTCAATGTTCCATCTGAACCTGAAGACGTTGACGGAACGAGCACTATTCAGGACTTGGTCAATCGTATCAACAATGGCGCCTAAAATGTGTTCTTATGTCAGTTTTGAATGTAGTACCGATTTACTCTCACAATTCTTATGTTCTTTCTAAGTGCTTATTCTGCGATTCAAGTGGATATTAGAGATAATAAACATTTGAGGAGAGAACGCATCTTCCCCTTCACATATTTCAGTCAATCGAACTCGTTTATGCTGCCCATTCCTTTTTTCGTTTCTAATTATTTGAAAAGGTTTAATCTAACTTTCTTCATTCATTAATTCATTGAAGCACAGTCTTGTTAGAAAGTGTAAAGGAAAACGATGCCAAGCAATTGAGTAGAAGGCATTGTCAAGGACGTTTGATCGAACATCACACCTTTTTTCAAAATTTTTATTATTATTTGTATGTCTTCCGCTCGACGAACAATTTTACATGTTAAAATAAATTATACACACAAAATGAGCCGGAGTACTTTCACTTGGCAACTGACATTTTTTTAGCCGTTCATCATGAAAATTACAAAAGGAAGGATTAAGAAATTCAAAATTACATTACTCAGGAAATCGTTTCATTTTTTCCTGAAAATTTAACTGAAATGCCATCTATCAGTAACATGGAAGAAGTGAAATCACGAGAACCGGAAGAGGAGCTCCAACCGGGTACATTCCATCTTATGACTTTCATTTTCAAAAAAAAAAACGTTTGCAGAAAAGGCTAACATCGCTCCGATGACTCGTTTAAGAATCCATTCTGCTATTTAGTCAAAGTGAGAAACAGCAAAGGGGAGTCTGCGGTTCACAGAACACTGAACGGTAACCAAAAAAGGTCATATAAGTCTCTCTCAACAGATATTGTTGAAAGGGTTCTGTTTTACTTCCGAGCATTTATGTACGCAGCGTGTATACAGACTTGATCTTTACTTGAGCTAATAAATGCACTGGACCCTTGATCTCCAGTGTGCTCCGAAAAATTGGCAACGAAAAGCCGCAAGAATTTTCATTCCTTTTGTTACCCTTATCACAAAGTTGCAACAATCAAGGATCTCGAAGAAGCATAGACCCCGTTTATGCGAAAAGTGAGAGAGCGAAACTAAAACACAAGTTGTGTGTAAGATAAGGATAGTCTTTGAGCTTTTCACGCGTTTAGAGAGGGCATTTAACGATGTTAAGGTATTCATGCAATTTTTCAATATTTTCTTTATTAAGGGCAAAGGTCGGTCTTCTGGCAAACATTTGATTTCCACTGGAGAACTTTTCAGGATTGTCTGGATTACTTTCATCTGATGGCCGTGGAAGCACTTTGAGCACCGTTTTGGATTCCATAAATCGTATTGACAACAGTAATCTGTATTTTTCAAAATTATTTTATAAGAAATATGATAAAATTCAAACTTTTCTCAAAAGATACATCAACCATTGGTGTTTGAATGGAATATACCGGTTCTAGCCTGTCGGTCACACTTTCACTTTCTCCCTCCAATAAAACCTTCAACCAAAAAACGTTCAGTTTTGTGTATTAGTTTCTGTTAAGCAATCCAATAAAAAGTTGTATAGTTGTCACTGATAACACGAACTCTTTGTTCCTCAATTTCGTCTTATCATAATGACGTCAAAAGTGGTTCAGTTGTACTGGTATTACTTTTTGATACGATTAAATAACAGAAAAAAGAAGTCGCATGTCATTGATGTACTTTTCCGTGTCGAAATTTGAATAGTTTTCACAGATGCACTTTATTCAAAGGATCATCGACTGGAAATGAACAAGACTTGATAAAAAAAACGAAGAGAGACTAGAACAGACAGAACAGGAGAAGGACCTCAATAGTTATAATCTCAAAAGCGAAACATTCTTTTTTTGGGGGGTTTGAGGTTTACCATTTTTTTTATAAATAAAGGGGGATGATCCAATACTTTCTATATACACCATCTTCAATTTGAAGCACTAACACATGTATCAAAAACTACCATTTTCAGATACCAAGAAAGAAAAAAGGAGGAGGGGATCCGATATGTTGCGAGGGGGTTGGGGAGGAGGAGACAATTCAAAAAAGCGTACTGAAGACATATGTATATTGTGCATGATTTGATTCACAAATCAGAAGTGGGCTCACAAATGGAAATTTGTGTGGCGACGTCTTCGAATAGCTGCTCATGCGCGGCAACTGGCGGATAGAATTCCCCGCTGGTGTCCGCTGACATATCCGAACTGTTGCTGCCGGTTGAATCTGAAAAAATAAAATGTAATTTGGGAATGAAATAGGGAAAATGTGATGTTAAAACCAAAACGAGAACAAAAAAGTTAAGCACCCGTTAGTATACGAAGAATCCTGGTAGAAGCTTGACGATTCTCTGGACATTCCGCTGATTTCCATCTCGCGTTCGGTTTGGAATCGTCCGGCGGACCAACTGTTGTAACCTGTGGAAAATTAAGGAGTTAGTGGATGGTACACGTACACGCGTGAGGTGTTGGTTAGTTAAGCACTTTTGGGCAAAGAGAATGGTGTTACCTCCAGAATGAATCTCCTTGTAAGTGTTATCCGCTGATCTGACGTCCTGCTGAAGGGTCTCAATGAGCTGCGGATGGCTCAAGTCTTCCACTTGTATCATGTCACTTTTTACCTAAAAAAAACACTTTCTCTTGACTAAATTGTGATCTAAAATACCTTGAACGGGCACACGGCTTGAGCTGGCTGTCTCTGCATCCTGTTCTCAATGTACGGATGGCGGAGAGCGTCTCGAATGTTCATCCGCTTTTCGGCATCGTACTGGAAAAGTTGTTTCACAAAATCGATGGCGTCACAATTTCCGCGAACAATTTGCTGTAACGTTTGAAATTCTCGTAAACCAGATCAGGTTATCGTTAGGATACCTGATCTCCTCTCGCCTGGCAGTACATGATATCATCCCACTCGGCATCTGTTTTCCTTCCAAAGTCTTGAATCAACTTCCGGGTGCGATCACATCGAATCTTGTCGATCACGTACTGCGGTGGTTGTCCGAGCACCGTGAGCAGCAACTTGATCTGTCCGTGCACACTTCTCCCCGGCAGCAGTTCACTTCTGATGATCATTTCTCCGAAAATGCATCCGACCGCCCACATATCCACAGCCGTCGAGTGCTCCGGGAGCACAAACAGCAGCTCTGGAGCTCTGTAGGGAAGAGTGGCGACGTGTTGGGTCATGTAGAAGCAGTGCTCCTCGTCGTCATGCTTCTTGGCACTGTTATCCGCGCACTTAGCCATTCCGAAATCCGCTATCCGAAGGGTTCCGTCCAGGTTGACCAGCAAGTTGGAAGGCTTGAGATCTCGGTGCGCGATGCATGCCGCATGCAGATACTGAAATTGTTTTCTGTTCCCAGTTTCATTTTCAGTTTCAGTTTCCGCCCGAGACAATAGTTTCAAATGTTTTACGACCGGCGCCACTACTGCAGACGTCACTCCTTTTCCCTCTAGTTCTCTCGCTTTTCTCTTTCAAAAAAAAAAAAAGAGGGGAGGCTCTTTTCCTTATGTATAATAATCATATGTTTACTTTCGTATAGTACACTTTTGGCGTCTTGAAAGGAGAAGAATATTTGATTAGTGTTATCGAAGAAATGATTATAGGCCGTCTGTGCAAACTTGAAAAATGAAAAACAGTATCATGTGTGCGTACCTCTAGTCCTCGCAACAGTTGTCCTAGAAAATGGACAAGGATGTCTTCTTCGAATGGATCCTCGTTTCCATAGATGATATGGTGCAAGTTGTTGTTCATCAAGTCCATCACTGAAAAACCTCATTCACGTGCTTACTGATCATTGTACTATTTTTATCATTCGACGAAAAACCTATAGATAACATACAAAAGCGCTTCACGAATTGAATCGGTCATGTCGTAAACAATTCCGAACCTACTACCAACTCACCAAGATAGACATCAATGCCAAGCGGTCCTTTTGTGCGGAAAATGTCACGGAGAGTCACAATATTTGGATGGTTGATGTAACGGAGCACGCGGATTTCACGGAGAGTACGTCTTGCAAGAGTGGGTGTGGCGGAAGCATGGGCGACTTTTTTGATGGCAACCTGAAAAAATTACTGTAACTTTGTTCTTTGGGGGGTCGTGTCTTACCCTGTCTTCACTGGAAGTTTCGATCGCCTCACAAACGATTCCGAACGCTCCGGAGCCGATGTTCTGTACAGGTTTGTAGGTCTCGGCGGCGCGGTCCAGCTGGAAGTCGTGCTCCAGCTGACGCCTTTTCAGACCGTCCAGCACGCGGTTAAAACCCGCTTGCTTTGCTGGCATCAAGCCTGAAAACGGAGCACTAATAAGATTAGGACGACAGCTGACAACAAGATGGTTTTTTGAGGCGGTATTAAAGGACATGAACGTACGGGCTCGAAAAACAAAAACAATGAAGGTCAGAAAGCAACGTTGAAAAGATTGGAAAAGGCTGGAAGAAGGAGAAAATGATAAGGAACTCTCATAATTTGCATATACTTTTGGGAAGGACATCTATTGACTTTGCGTGCGGTCGGTCTAAAGGGACTGACTTTGCAATTCACTTTTAAAGCAGAACTTTAGTACCTTACACACTCACTTGAACGTTGCGACGAAAGGACAAAACAAGACAGGAAGGAACATCACACGTTTAACGACAAAGGGCTATAAAATTAGGCGGAGTGGACCGTTTTACACACTTACCCACACCATTGTTCAGCGAAATTTCAAAAAGCGCCTGTCTTGGTGCCTTTGCGTGCTTGTTATTGATGTTGTAGGTGGCATAACTGATTGGCGATCGCTGATTCTCCTGTGGAGGCGACATTTCCGGTGCTTTGGTGAACTTGAATATGTTCTCCACTTTCTGTTTAACCTCCTTGATCTGAAATTGTTAAAGTGTGATAGTTAGTGGGGTGCAAAGTAGAAATGAGCTTTAATTAGAAAATATTGTATTGTTATGCCTGATATTGGAGAAAGCGTCAGAATGTATCAATGTGCGAGTGATAACAATAATTTATGGAGCGACACTACGTTTGGTCTCATTTTGTGCATACGAAAAACAGTACAACTATCATCATCATCATCATAATAATGCGAATGGCAAAAAAAAACCAGACACCGTCATCGGTGCCAGCGAATCATTGCAGCATGATAAGCAGCACATTGTGGCGGGGCGGCCAAACGCAAAAACCATAAAGTAACGAAGGAGGAGAGAGAGACGGAAAGTTGGGAAAATGGGCGGAGCCGAAGGACCAAGCTGTTACGTCAAGGCGTCCGAGTCTGGAGGGGAGGACAGTCTTTCAGTGAAACGAAACGAGTACGAACATTTGAAAATAGATAAGTGGATTAACTTTTCCGGTAACACACGTTTGGCTTGACGTGTACAGTTATTTCACGGAAGTTTCAAAGTGTCAAATACTAACTTTTTATTGCAACACTGCCGGTTGTCGGCAACGTCACAAGGGACGACGCTTTACTTTAGATTGTCTCAATCAGCCTAATAAAAAGGTTCAACTTCTTTTTAGAGCTTGCAAAAAGGCACTAAAAACTTGAACACTATGCAATTCTATCAAGGCAGTTTGCGTTGGAACAGAATGGCACCGCCTATCAATTTGAGACTATTAACTTATACTTATTGTATTTGAGGAGGAGGAGGAAATGAATCACACACCCACGTAGTAGCCCTTAAAAGGTGTGAAATTGATAAGATCTCTAGTTCTGTTTCTAAAAATAGAATGATATTTTGGAATAGTGCTTCATACAAAAAAGTTAAGAAGATTTGACTTTCATTGTTCCAAAAACGTGTGAATAAGAGTGTGTTCGAAACGGTTTAGAGTCTAACCCTAAGTGCCAAGGCGTGCAAAACGGCGCTCGATAAGAAAAGTAGGGTAAGGCTTTTTGCTCGTCCCCCCCCCCACTCGAAGTTGACCGGTTTAGGCTGGCTTTCCGGTTCCGGAGCACACAATACAAAATTGTTACAAATAAATACATACGGAGGAAATGTGGCTGCTGCTGCTGCTGCGCTGCCGAATTGGAAATGAAATGACTAAATAGGGGTGTGGTCTGATAAGTTTGACAGACAGATGCAGTAGCCACACCGCTGTTCTGACTAATTCAGGGCCGGAAACTGATAGAGCGGATGTGACCGAATAGGTAAGTAGGAAAAAGTTCACGTCAATCAGGGTATTACCGCAAAAAGAATTTAAAGGACCAGGGAACCCAAAAATTTTTTTATTTTTTTGTGAAATGTTTTTGTGACTGTTTGAATTGTCTCTTATTGCCTCATACACTGGTGAAATGCTGCTTCTCAAAAATGCCAATGAACGAAACGGCATGCAGTTGAAGTTGTGGCCGTGGCCTAGCGCCAATGGCCGAAAAATATATAAAAATATATGCGCTTCTCGGCCATTTTATTTTTTCCGCTTTTTTACCGGTTTTTTTCCAAAAATTCACGGTTTCTCCCATTTTGGCACTTCATATCGACTGAATGAAAACAATTTTTTAGCAGTGAAAAAATAAGTAAGTGCCGAACAAATGTCAATCAACTGAAAAATGGTAGAAACCGTGAATTTTTGGAAAAAAACCGGTAAAAAAGCGGAAAAAATAAAATGGCCGAGAAGCGCATATATTTTTATATATTTTTCGGCCATTGGCGCTAGGCCACGGCCACAACTTCAACTGCATGCCGTTTCGTTCATTGGCATTTTTGAGACGCAGCATTTCACCAGTGTATGAGGCAATAAGAGATAATTCAAACAGTCACAAAAAAATTTCACAAAAAAATAAAAAAATTTTTGGGTTCCCTGGTCCTTTAAACGTTTAAAAAGCTACTGCGTAGATTGATGAAGTTTTGAAGTGAACTTGAGTGAACTTCGAATTTCAGAGTTTAGAGAAAAATATCATTTTTCCAAGAAAATTTATCGAAATCTAATGGAAAACGAACAGACTAGTACTGTGACATAGAAAAGTCAGTTGTCACATCGGTTGTGACTGAAACTGAAACCACCCAATACACTCATCATACATATGATAGTCATTTGATGAAGAAAAGAACTGTAATCACACGACCAGCTCTTCTTCGGACCGGTTCCCATTTGATAAGTTTCTCTTTATTTCTTTGTTTTCTCGGAACTTTTGGACTACACATCTGCCATCCCAATTTCAGACACACCCTATTTCGCAACTCTTTTCCAAGTTCTCTCTCTCTCTCTCTCTCTCTCTCTCTCTCTGTTTCTCTCTTCCTCTCTGCAACAATAGTCCAGAGTTTTATGATAAGCTCTGTTTTACGTTGTCAATGGTCGTGGTCATTAGTTTCTCTTTTCCGTTTTGGTGATCACGGATCCTGGACAACAATTTTTAGGGGACCCGAAAACGTAAACCGAATTACTAATTACTACAGGTTTTTCCCTATTCGATGATGAAATGTTTGGGAAAGAAAGGTGTGATCACAGCATGAATCACCCGGCCAACTACTACTATTCTTCTTCTTGTTTCTATCCGATTGGGTGTGTCTTCCCTCGAACTTCTTCCTCTTTCAGTGTCCACAAACCAGCAAACGTTTTTAAGAAGCGAAAAAGTCCAAAGGAAAAAGAAAAACGTGTTTGATTTAGGTGAAAGTTTTCAGATAAAAAGACATACCTTCTTCCCGAATTCTTGTAAGAAATACATTACTAGAATATTATAGAGTTAGTAGTGCAAGTTCAAAAAAAGGAAGTACTATGCAATGCGGGAGAGAAAAGGCTTCGGAGGGGTTGACGACGGGGGTGAATGGAACGTTATCATGAACTCAAAAATGACATATACTAGCTGATAATTGAAAAATATTGTGTGTCTTTCGCAATGCTCTACTTCCAGCTCTATGTTTAATAGTTACGGATCTTTCAGACTGATGACGTGGCGGCAAGGTGCGTCGGAGGTGTAAACACTATATTTACGCTTTTCTATTATCATATTACTATTGACGTACTAGCATGTTCGTACGGAAAATATGAGTTCTCCCGAAATAGAAAGCTTAACGAAACTGAGAACATAATACTTGTCAGGGACCTGGTCGGGCCGAGAATTTTTGCATTTCTCACAGATTTTGAACAAATTGAGTGTAATGTAACTGTTCAAAAGTCGTAAGAGAAAGATGAATTTGAAAAAATGAAAAGTTTGAGGTTCCAGCCCGGCCTGGCTCACGCCGTACCTAAAAATCACAACTATGAGGGCAGACAAATGTGAAAGTTTTGAGAAATTAGTGGCAGAGAAAAAGTGCAGCGCGGAATCGGAATGAGGGTGCGGAAAGTGGGAGCAAAGGTTCGCGAGAGAGGTAGAAAAAGCAAAAGAGTTGACTGGAGAGGGGGGAAAGAGCTGGTACGGGCGGAAAAGAAGATGAGTAGCAAGTTGTACTATTTGCTGACGATTTTCACGCGCGTGTGCTCTCTACGTGTACATTGTGTACACGCACACACGTACGGATCACTCCCACGAACTCTTCATCATCGCCACCATCATCTTCTTCTTCCTCTTGTTTCTTGTTGCTGGTTTCGGAACCAAACTAAAGATTTACTATGTTTCGGGGGCGGCGGTAGGAATTGTTTTTGGTTGCCCTTGGAGTATTTGCATAACGATACCACCCGCGGTGCAGCTATTCAGATACCTCACGAAGACATACATACATCAGGCAAACCATTAAGCGATTACCGTCATAGTTTTGATGCCGACGGATGGCTCTCTTCAAGGTTAAATGTCAAGTATTCTTCTGAAAACGGCGAGGGAACTTTGTCAGTTTTTACTATAAAAATAAGAGATATGCCGTCAGTTTAAACTGTCAACTAATACGTGTTAGGGTCGAGGCGGAAGTGACGGCAGCTCTGCGACGGGGGAAAAAATAAAGATGTTATTGTACAGAGTCTCATCCGATTCTACTTTTACTTTCCATTTTTTTACCTTTCGTCTGATAAAGCTGAACAACAAACAGTCAGGCCAGGAGGGAAAGAAAGCGAACGTCAAACAGAAAAAAGTCAAATCCCTTTAGGGATAAAGAGGCAAGGAATGCAAAAGGAAAGGAAAGGAAAGGCAAGTCCTGATAATCATTCAAAAGTCTCCGGTAATTACACGCTATTTCGTTTATCCCCCGGGCCGATGTTACCTCATCGTCGTCACTATTTATGTATGAGATCCCTCCCTCACTTCCGAATATGTATACAGTCCGACTAGTCAACCAGTTTTTGTCCTATTCGCCCGTCCGTCCTCTCTTTTCTCTTTGACATGTCACGTTTAGGACGAACAAGAAAAAGCTGAGGTCGGAAGAGGAAAAGGAAGGGGGAAGGGGAGGGGGAATGAGAAATAGAAGCAGAAACAGAATGGAAATGAAAATGGACAGTTGGCAGATCAGACCGAGCGAACAGAAAACAGAAAACTCGAAAACCATCGAGTCTAGCGCCGACTAATCCGTCTATAATTACAAAGCGGACGGCGCACTGTTGCGATTACTGTGCGTGTGGCAGCGGTGCGACAAAACAAGTTGTTTCAAATTTCACACTCGATCCGATTATGATGAGACGAGAGCTTTACTATGCATAAACTTGATCGTTCCCGCATGCAAACTTTACTGATCGTCTTTATAGTTTGAAAAAAAGTTCCAGAGGAACAAAACGTGCGATGAGACTAGAAGAAATAGGAAAGAGGGCAGACGGCTAGGTAGATATGCAAATATATTTCGGGGGGAACCTAAGACGAGAATCGCGGCGGGAGGGCAGGCAGGAAACAAGAAGCTTCTGTGATCATGATGAGAATGATGATGATGATGATGACAAAGGTTAACGGAAAGGGAAGAAGCCCCCCACCCCGCTGGCAAGTGTCAAAAGAATGAGGAAAAGGAAAAACGACGGCGAAAATGATGCGTTTTCATCGTCAGCATATCACCTGGCGAGGGCGTATGAATACGCTTCAGAGTAGGCGGATTTCTGAAGGTCACACATACACCCGTACGGGCGAGATTTCTATTTTATTGCATATCTCGCGGGGACAAGTGGCACGATGGTAATTTACGTCTTTTCCCCAAAAATTTCGGACAAAATTTGGGTGTGTCCAGATCTTTGACACAAAAAAGTTGGAAAGCTTCAAGGTTGCGAGATGTGAAGATAAAGAAGAGATAAATAAAGCAAAATAAAATAAACTTGAAAGAAGGAGAAGAAAAAGAAGAAGATCTGGACGGAAGCAGTCAGGCGGAATTGGATTCGAAAGATTTGAACGAACGTCTTCTCGCGGCAAAGACATGGTGTTCTATTCTGCACGCAAGTTCATAGGGGGGACAATATGGGTCAGGCACTTTTCGCAAATGAGAAAAAAGTACTAGACGGGAGGGTTTCATACATAATTATGATGATGGTGTCGCGCATAATTGCCAGGGCCATCAGTCACAAAGGACATGCGGCGGTGAGCGAATCCACGCTGGCAAAAAAGTTGGCCAACGACCGCACGCACTTTGAAAAGTTTACTTAAGTTACAAGGTTAGAGCGTGACATGAATGACCCGAATGAAGACTTTCGGCCCGGAATTTCAAAGCAATTTAAAATTTTCATTTCAGCCCGGCCAGGCCCGTTGCAAGTATTCACAAATGAGAATTCAGCAGGGAAAATAAAAGCTTCAGAGATTAGGTTCATTAAACAAGACGACTCATAAAAATAGCCGACATCGGCGGCCAATAAAAGCGTCCCAAGGAGGGTAATCACCAAAAATCGGTTCGTGTTCTCCTTCTTCTTCTTCCGCGTCCCCCCAATGGAACACTGGCACACCGACCGGCTCTCCAGCTGCTTTACGCGCAAAAACCGCTTTCTTTCCGTGTTTTACACCCATACAACAAATACACACCTTTCTCTCACTCTTTCTCGGGCAAATAAACACATTAGCATACATTCATACACTGACCGGTCCCCCCCCAACCTTCATAAGAAGAATTAGAAGAAGTTCTGTGGGTGGGGTGGTCTCGCCTATTTTTTTCTTTTTCGGTTTCCCGTTGACCAACCGTAATTGGATACGGTCACGAGAGAGCGAGGGAAATGAATGGAATGATTGTGTAGGGACAATGAAGTGGAAGCAAGAATGGAATCGGAATCAGAAACAGAAACGATATTTGATGTGGTTCTGGCAAAAAAGTGGACTGGCAGGACCACTCGAACCGGTTGGTAGAGCCAACAGTACAGACCAACCCGAAATGGAAGAACATAAGCAGATTATAAATCGAAAGCATGTAACATACATATTCGTAGTATTACGATAAAAATTGGTCGAAGGAAGAAAAAGTTGTGTCCAGAGGAAGCAAAAGGTGTAATCGGTAAAGAAAACAAACCATTTAGTGGGTGAGTATACACGAAAAGTGAAAGCAATTTCAAATTTCGCTAATGTCTCAGAATACCTCTCGAGGACAATGCAATACCTTCTTCCTCTCTTTCTCTCTTTTTCCCTCTCTTCCTACTCGTTCTTCTTCAAAGAATTTTCAAGAAGAAGGCAAAAAGTTTTCAAGAGTCTCAAGACCGAACACAATTTTGGACTTATATACCCGAAAACTTTTTCTTTTTCCTATTACAATCAGCCTTTTCACCTTGAACACTGAAGATGAATGGAGCAGAAAAATGACCGCGGAAACTTGTTGATTTGAGAAGAAGTGGGCAGAGGAGGCCGAGCATGTTATGTTACACCGTGGTTTTGGGTCACTCGCATTATCTTTTTAGCTTTTGTGAGAGGAGTAGCCGCATAGCCGTCATATATATTGTTTCCGGGGTTTGAAAGTTATCGTTAGGGCTAGGCCTAAGCTTATTTGACTTTGATAAAAGTTTCCTTCGTCCACGTTTTATATGAGGATTCTGAAACCGCTTAGTGCCATTATTACGTCAAAGTATCTAACTCTTCTTTTTTTTCTGGAAAAGACGAAAAGACTGTTTGACCATCTGCTTACTTTTGTCCTACTGTACTCGCGAGACTTATCTGCCCACGCATTTCTTCCTCTTCTTCTTCTTCTTTTACTTTTAAAAGAAGAGTAAACGGAGAACCAAGATGAAAGAAGAAACGGGGGTTATTTGAGAATAAATGCAAACAAGAACATCTAATGAAAGGGGGCGAAGAAAGTGGAGAAGGCATTGTGTTGGCAGAAAAAGTGAGGGAACGGGACGGGTCGGCAGGGTCAAACCGGTAAATTGTGAATTGTGAGGGGCAAAAGTGAATGAAGTGGGTTTCTGGAAGGAAAAGTAAAGAAGTGTGTTGTAGGCTTTTATACAAATTGGTCTTTTGATTGTTTTCCGTGACCTGAATGATTCATGAGATGAGTACATAGCTCGGTTTTACGAGGGAAAGTTAATTAAACGAGCGAACGAAGAATGAACAAATGGGGGCAAGTGTGCAATTGTCTCGAGTTTCTTGAGTTTCCATGGAAACAGCTAATAAAAGGGATTAAGAAGACATTGAGTTTCAGGACGGAAGATATTTTTTGTCCGGAAAACGTTTTCCAAACTTCCAAATAGTTGTTTAGTATGTCTCCAAAAGACAAAACCAAACATTGTAAGCTTTCAATTCAATTATCCCTCTAAATAAAGCGGAATAAAACAAAAAAGAGGTAGAAGAGGAGTTGAGCAATTAAATGAGTGAGGACCGGTTGACGTATACAAGATTGTTGACATTCTACTGCTTGTAGAGCGAGTGCTTCTTGATGTAGTTGATGACGGCATCCGGAGTCGAGTACTTGACGGAGCGTCCTTCGGCGATAGCGGCACGCAGACGAGTCGAGCTGATGTCGTTCAAGGTGATTCCGTTCTGAAAGTTGTGAAAAATTAAAAATATTGTGTGAGTTGTACACCTCACCTCAATCACAATAATATCATTCGAAAACTCCGCGATTTCCGGCATGCTCTCGAGTGTCTTCATTGGCGTGAAACCCGGACGAGGTTGGATGATCAGTCCAATTTTGATGATATCGATGACGTCTTCCTGATTCCAAATGAAAGTGCCATCCGCATTTCTCGTCGGAAATCTGTCCACGACATCACCGCCGACAAGAAGAAATGTGCGCACTTTGCCTCCGACACGATTCTGAAAATTCCTCAAATTTGAGAGCAAACAGGCCTTGACATCGTATGTACCTTGACATCATTAGAATGATGTTTGAGAACGTCCAAAGCGGCCGTCCACTCCGGTTTCTGACATTCCCAGTCATCCGCACGAAGCCAATCCAAGTCCTCCGCCGCTGCCACGCACATGGCAAATCTTTAGGCGATTCTTTTCGTTTTTATTGTTTTCTTGTAATCAAATTAACCTGTGATCTGCTGAGATCAGTGTTTTCTTGCCGTATCCATCGGCAACCGGGCTCAGAATGCTCTCCACCACCTTCATTCCCTTTTTCTCGAGCGTGGCTCTCGCGTCATGAAACAATTTGGGTTTTTTTTTCTAGATTTTAAAAATTTTGAAGAGTTTTGTACTCACTTCCAACATCTGGAGATGTCCGTTGGTGGGTGGATTGAAGGATCCGATTGCGAGAATGACCGCTTTTTTCTCCATTTTAACACAAAAAATTGACAGATAATCGTTGATTTCTTAGAAACGAGAGGGAAGGATGCGGCCGGGCGGGGAAACCTAGGCCACGACCCCAATGCAAGCGCGCCCCAATGACTGAATTCTCTGCGGAGACGCACGTATTTACCGGCCGCCCAAAAGTTTTTCGCTTATTTCAGACCCTTTAATCGAGTTTTTGTGTGAAAACTGATACTGTTGAATAGATAAACTTTTTCTCTATCCAGTGATACCGCTGACACCAGTTTCGGCTAGCAGGAAATGATTCAAATAGCTGGAAAATCAATTTTTCGCATTTTTCTCGTTTTCAAGTACTTTTATGCGTATTTTTCGAACGCTTTTCGATAAACAATGTAAACTTAAACTTTTAGGGTGAAAAACATGCTGTCGCGTCCATCTGGAACAGTCGCGGTGAGTATTTTCTTTAAAAAATTGAAAACGACATTGAAAAAATCGGTATAACCTTGAAAAATGTGATTTTTGCGAATTTTCAGAAGCGCTTCGTCTCTGCCGCCGCTAAGACTGCCGCAGTTCAGGAAAGAACGACGGTCCTCGAGAGCGGACTCCGCGTGTCTAGCGTCGAGCTCAATGGTGAGAAAAACTGTAAAAATAGAACGAAAGTCATCCTGAAACGACTTATAAACGGCGGAAAAGCACTCACAGTGTAAAAATTCCTGATCAAATGGATTTTCAGGCGCCACCTCCTCAATTGTGCTCGCTTTCCGCGCTGGAAGTCGCTATCAGCCAGCCAACAAGCAGGGAGTGACCCACCTGATTCGCAACAGTATCGGACGTGACGCCCACGAATTTCCAGGACTTTCTCTCGTCTGGAACACCGCTCAGAACGGAGGAAAACTGGTGGGTAGACTGAGAATAGGAAACAATTGGGGAGGGAAGCGATGTCCCTAATGCGGGAGTGTGCACTCATGGAGGCATGAGTGACATTTTCGAAATTCCGTGCAAAGAACTTTTATAGACCGCCGTCTCCAACCGCGACGTGCTCGCCATCGAGCTCAACGTCGTCCGTGACCAGTCGGCCGTCGCTCTTTCCCTTCTCGGACAGCTCGGGGACAACGCTTTCAAGCCATGGGACGTCGAGGATGTGAAGCACGAGACCCTCCCGACCGACTCCACCTACCTCACCGGAACCACCCTCGCTTTTGAGCAGCTCCACCAGGCCGCCTTCAGAAGCGGAGGACTCGGACTCTCCAACTACACCGTCAACAGCGTCTCTGCCAAGGATCTCTCCGCGTTCGCTGTTAGTTTTGTTCATGTGAATTGATTTTATAGATTTTTGTGTTCAGAAGGAACACTTAGTTGCTGGAGACGCGGTTCTTGTTGGAGTCAACGTCGACCACGACACCCTTGTCCAGGCTGGAAGCACCCAGTTCCCATTGGCCCAGGGACAGGCTGCCAAGGCCGCTCCGGCCAAGTACTTTGGAGGAGAAGTCCGACAGTAAGTTCTGTTTCTACTGAGAAAAAAAACGCCTCAACCAATTTTTTTCAGGGACGGCCGTGGAAGCCGCACGTTCGTCGCCCTTGCCGGAGAGGGATCCTCGATCACCTCGCTCAAGGATGTCGCCGTCCAGGCCGTCGTCGCTCAGATTCTTCTGAACGCCGCCCAAAAGGTCACTTCCGACGCCATCTCTGTCAACGTCAACTACCAGGATGCCGGACTTGTCGGAGTGCAATTCGCCGCTGATAACTCGAAAGTCACCGCCGTCACCAAGTCAATCGCCGCTGCCATCAAATCCGCCAACGCCAATGGACTCGATGTCGCCAAGAGCACTGCCGCCGTCAATGTGAGTTGATAATAATGGATTAGTAACAGCAAACAGACCGACCGGTCTGAAACTCGGACCCAGGACACTTCAATCGAAGTCCGTACAAGGAACCTGCAAAGTTTTTTGATTTTTGCAAGTTTGTAAAAAGGCCAGTTTCTGGCAGCTCTTCTGAAAGCCCGGTCCTACAAATTCCAATAAAACACAAAAACTGTATTATAATCAGTTTCTGCCCTGCCCGTCGCAAGTCTGTTTTTCATGTATACAAAAACGAACTTTCAGGTCCTCGCCCAAGCCCAAAACGGTTCCGGAGTTGCCCTCGAGAAGGCCACCCAGGTGCTCGCCGGAGTCGACGTTTCCCCCCGTGAGGTCGCCGAAGCCATCCGCGCCGTGTCCGCCCAAGATGTCACACAGGTTCGTTGCATTTTCTAGTTTTGTACAAACCCAAACGTATAGAAAGAATATCAAATATTTATGACTATGCACTAGTGGTATTACTTTGACTAATTGAAATTTATCCGAAAAAAAGGGAATATATGTTGCAGGCGTTGTCGCGTGTCAATGGAAAGCTCTCGTTGGCCGCCTACGGAAGCCCAGCACTTGTTCCATACCTCGATGAGCTCTAAACCGAATCTACGTTTAAGTTAAATGTTCCTATTACGATTCCTTTTTCTTTTTTCGTTTAAACCCCCCCCCCTTTTTTTTCTCTGTAACCTCTTCGATAAGAGAGTAGCTCTTCTTCAGATTCGAGACAGCTTCTGGATAAAGGAAAGAAAACAATGATTAGCCTCCAAAATGTGGCCAGAGGTGTAATTATTTTTCTGCATTTGTATTCATTCTGACACGAAGGTTTTTGGTGGTGGAAGAAAGGAAAAAAAACGGCGAGCGATGACGTGATGTCGTCAATAGTGGTCGACGAAATTTGGAGCAAAAAGCACACCCTCCTTCACATGATGTACCTATTGTTGGGCGCCTTCAGCAGAAAAGACTGCAAAGTAGCAAAAAGCAAAGGCAGAGCAGAGAGTCAAATTATTCAAAACCGAATTTGTCTGCGCCGGCGGCGACCTCTCAACCCTTCCTCTCTTTTTTCTTCAAAATCATCAACTCCCGCTGCTTCTAACGTTTAGTCCCACCTCGTTTCGTCTGACTTCCTATTTTTTCGAGATTCTTTCAAATTTTATTATGACGTGACCGTTGACTTCTTTTTCCGTCGAAAAGGGTAACTTAGTCTTTCAACTGGATAACGTGACGCGTTCGCCCGTGGAGCCAAATGCATTGACCTGGAAACGGATTTCCTTTTGAGATGGTAAATAAAAAGGTTTCGGCAAAGATGGAAATTCGATGCCAAACTCAGTTGGCAGTCTGGCGGGTTTCTACCGTATCCCGGAAGCATCCGATTAAAAAACCGTGCACTTCGCAATGTATCTTCTCAATTAGACCCGATCTCCGTTTCATCGTCTTCTTTTTTTCATTCCTTGCTCCAAATGTGCAAAGAAATCCCATTCGTATTCCTCCTAATTTTGCTAATTACACACAAGCATATATAGATCTCATTCCATTCCGAAAACGGGCCAGAAAGAAAGAAGTCTTCCTTTTCTCCTCCTCTTCTCTGATTCTCTTCCTCATTTCCGAGTACAAGTTTGATGAGGACGAGCCCGAATTCTACGGCCTCTCTTTGTCAAATATTCATGATGAAGAATTTCGGACTTCCGGTAATCGGATCGCAGTGGAGCACGTACGTGATATTCACAATGAAATATTTTGTGAAAGTTCTACGTTTTCTTTCCCTTTCTCTTCCCGACCGAATATGCTAATAAGGAAGAAGCTAGAAACACTTCACAACACAAAAGCATATTGTCCTTTTCTCACTTTTCGTCATGGTTGCCAAGCGCTTCCGCCTTCTCTTTTTCGCTTTTCGCCGAGCCGTCGCAGACAATGTCCGTGATGCCGTCACAGGAACTTTAAGGGGCGGGGGAAAGGAAGGAAGAGTGGGGGGGAGATTCTCAGTTTCTAGTATTTTTGTGGCTCTTTTCTTCCCACCCGCCGTTTCCTTTTGCCTTATTTTGCTTTTTCCTTTTTCCTGCTTCCTTTTTGCGCGCCACGCTCTTTTTTCTGGAAGACTGGTCCGAAATGACGTCAGCGTGAGTTGTCAGAATCTCACTGCTTTTAAAAATGCTCTTCAGATTCTTTCCGAATCCTAAATTTGGCCACTTTCTGTCAGTCTAAATTTGATCCATACTCGGTCTCTTCAGACAAGTGGCGGAAACTGATACTTCGAGCACATTCGGCATCGGAAAGTGTCTGTGACGTTGTCTGCTGGAATTCTCGTGTGTGAATTCCAATTTCCAGCCAATTTCCTGACTGTCACCTGTTTTCAGAAAGGAAGCGATTATTATTGGAAGATAGACTCATTGTCACCTGACTACGTCAATTGGTTTTCTAGCTTTTCGCAGAACTGGTTTTTGTAGATCTCTGAGTCGAATTGTAGGCAAAAAAAGCGATCTTTTTGTGATCTTGAGTTTGAAAGTTTCGTTTTCCGGCTTGCACAAGCTCGTTTCACTGTAAAAACCAGGGGATTGAGAATTTTCCGTGTTAGGGGGATCGAAACTTTCCCTTGTAAAAGACTCATCTTCGAAAGATTTGTTGTATCTTTTCAATTTTGTTTAGGTTCATTTTGAGAAACCACTACCGTCTCAGTTGTGCCAGACTTCCAAAGTTCCTTGAACCCTCTGGTCGGGCCCCCGGATCCCCGTTGTCGCCGCTCCCTCTCTTCCTCTCCCTTCATGGTCCGTTTTGTCAACTCGACACATAACACATGGCACTCGCGTCGCTCCTACTTCTTCTTCGCAAAATCCATTGTTCGTCCCTCCTAGGATACTTGAATCACATACGCACAGAGTGAGACACAGTCTGAGAGTGTCTGCGGTGCAATGTGTCGAAGGTCTTGGCCCGCTCTCTTTTTGTGCGTGTGTTTTGTCGTGCTCTGACGGGCCCCCTGAGTTGTCGAAAAACTCAATTGGTGCCGGCTCACACAGGGGTTTCTCTCTCTCTCTCTCTCTCTCTCTCTTTCTTTCTTGCCACAATAGCTGCCAATTATCTTCGAAATTTTATGATCCATTCGGACCTTTTTGAAAGAGTTGAAGCAATTATAGAGAGAAATCATAAAACTTACATGAGCTACAGTAACTTTTTAAGGCTCCGCCCCTATTCTGCGAATCCTGAAATTTGATCGCACCCTACCCTCATATATAATTGAGTTTTCCTTTACCTACGCCGTTTTTCACTTCCACATTTCATTTTCAGCCGCTCCCACTCTCCTACTTTCTCTCTCTCTCTCTCTTTCCCTATATTTGTAGCTTTTTATTGCGTTTTAAACCCAAAAATGAAATGTGCACAGCTCTGAAGCCCTTTGAAGCAAATATGAATATATGGAGTGTGTAGTGAGGCTAAAACAGGAAATAAAATTGGATGCGGCCAGCGCTTTTGCTCCTGTTCCCACTCTCAATCGGGTGTGGACAACTCAGCTCAACTTATGGAAGTAACCTATTTGTACAATTCAATTAATTTAATCCAATTCTACCTTTTTGAGTATTGAGCTTGAGCTCTTGTTGATTTTCAACTTTGAGCTCACAGCCAAAAGTCCAAGATGAAGTAATCATCATCCTTTCCCTATTATCTCGGTGTCCAATTTCAACCAACTAAACCAACAACTTTTCCCCATTTTTTTTGCTGGTTCTCAAGACTAGATCCAGACAAAACATAAAAATAAAATGCAAATGCAAATTGCACAATTCCAGCCGCTTTTTTCGTTTTTTCGGGGCGCAATGAGAAGGAGAATCAATACAAAATACCACTTGGTGTGGAAGAAAAAAGACCAAAATAATTACTTGTCTTCTTCTTCTTCTGCTTCTTTTTCTCCCCACTTTTTTCTTTTTTGTCACTCACTCACTCATTTTCCGGTCCCATTTTGAACTCGTTGGTGCTGGTGCACGCGACGCACCCCCACACTAGTTTGTAGTAACAAAAAAGGCCACTAGAAAGACGAAAAACCGGCGGGTTTCCCACACTTTTTGGGGTGTCATGCGTCATTTCGAGCGGACCAATCACTACAAGCACCAGGAGCAGTTAGAAATTCAGAAAAGGGTTCAGAAACCTCTAGACACCCTTGTCATTGTTCTTTGCGGGCCGGGCAGGACAGATCTTCCTTTTCTTTTCCGTTGTGCCATCTCCACTCGTTTTGGGCATCGCGGTTGCCGTGTCGTAATATTCTATTCATGTTAAATCTGCGCTTTTTGTCACATTTCTTCCTGTTGTTGGTCGTGCGTGTGAGTGCCTGGCCAAAACATGCCAAAAGTGTTGTTTTCTTTCAGAAAAGTACCGACGACACCAAGGTTAGATTGAAGATCGCTGCCCGCCTTTTTCCTCCTTGTCATTTTTGCCAAAAACAAAGAAAGTTGAAGTCAATGGCCCATAAATGAGCGCATTCGAGTTTGAGCACGCAGAATCAGTGATAGAGCAGCAGTTGCGGAACATTTCCGGCTGACACGAACGGAGCGCCGCCCACTCGGCATCGAGAAGAAGAAGAAGAAGAAGAAGAAGAAGAAGAAGAAGAAGAAGGAGAATGTGTTGTTGCACAAGATTGCATCGGCATCAGATTCATCTTATAAGGTGAGCAGTGAGAACGCAACAAATTCAATTGAGTACACATCTCAATCACTTGAACCAACTCAATTTCGTTTCTAGCTCGAACATCTCTCGTTTTTCTTTCAGCTATGGAATCGTATCATGTGGACTCATCACTACGGGTTTAGTTTTCACTGTTTTTGCAATTTTCCAGAAGGAATCACAGATTGGAAAGGTGAAAAGTTCTTTTTCTGGGTTTTCGTGCAACAGATTGGTTACAGGTATGGCTGGCAGGGCCTACTACCATGGTAGTTGGACTTGTGTTAGCTGGAAAAGTGGTGATAGACTGGGGACCGGCAATGTTGCACGCTAGAGAAGGATCCATAGACTCACGGCTCTTTGATCAGGTATATAATTTGCTGTAGAAGTGGTACAAGGAACTTGTAAGGATGAACTGATATACTGTAAATTCTGTCATAGAAGGAAGGGACGCCAATTCAAGACGATGTATCTCAGCTGTCCGTAGAGATATTGTTATGAACGAACCCTTTTTTTCTGTATTTTCGGTAAATGAAAATTTTAATAAATGAGAACTGGCGGAACGAAAAAACAGGCAAGATAACAACTCATTATTTCGACAAATCAGTATAGATTTGCGTGTGGTTTTGTAATATTATCCTTCCGAGTTTTAATTTTTAGCAGTTCCTATACCTCCTGTTCTCATTCCTTGTACCATCGCTGTACAGGTGTTCAAAAACTCGGTTTCAGTTGAGCCAACCTGCACCAAGTAGGTACCCGGAACCGATCCGACAGCAGCCGGTTAGCCAGATGAGGATAGAACACGAGCCGAAGTGTAACGGAGGAGCGGCAACAGCCGCCTACGTACAGTACAACAACAACATGCAATCGCCAATCGGGTACCGGCCTCCGATGCAGTTCATTCACAGTCCGGTGTCGGAGAATGGTATTCCGAGAATGGTGCAAGGAGGCAGGTTACCGAGAAGTTCGATAGGATGCATTCCGCCGAGACAGGTGGAAAGGCAGTCGCCTGAACAATGCCTGATTTATTCGCAGTATAACTCGTCGTTGAATAAGTTGACGGTGAGCTCAACTTGAAGGAAACCAAAGCAAATAAACCGCGGCAATTACAGTTTCAGGACGATCGGGGGTGTTACGCATTGCCACGTCACATGAACAACCACAAGAACTCGTCGTCGCCGCGGCGGAGTCCTCGGCCATCGATCTACAACACCTACTCGAACTACTCGTCGAACCCATCTAACCATTCGGGCCACTCGGGCCACTCGGGCCATTCCGGGGAACAGTCTATAGCTTTGAGTGATGTGAGTGTGCCCTGCTATTGTGGTGTCCATGCTACTCCTCCCCTCTTGTCCGCCGTTTAGTCCTTGTCATTTCCCTTCACTTTGTTCTTGTCTGTTTTCGAAACCAAATGAAATTGTTCAGTTCAGACGTGCGAGTGCACACAGTACGGCTCGATGCGCCGCTTCACACCACCAGTTTCGAGTCCGGCCGCCGTCATCGCCGATGCACCATACCAGGGAGAATCGTTTGTTCTCAACGAGAGGAGCTACCTTATATGAACCCCTTATCTCTAGATCCTAAACCATTTTTTCTGTGTCTCTCATTTCTGGGTCGAGCATAAAACATTTTTCTGCACTTTTCTTCAAAAAGACAATTTTTCTTTCACATAAAAATAGAGAGAGAGAGAGTGAGAGAGAGTTAAAAGAACACTTCAATGAATGCACGTTTTTTGCTCAATTGTGAAGAGTGAAAATTGGGGGAGATCGACATGGAAAATGTGTCGCAAATCTTTGATGCAAAGCCATGGAATTACTTTTTTGTGGAAGGGGGGAAAATGAACTGAAAAAAGGAGAAAGTACCGTGACAATGACAACTAACCCGAAAAACCGGGTCTAAGTAGGTGAGGGGAAGGGGAATAAATTAACATATTATGAGAAGTTGGTGTTCAAATTGATTGATTGATTGATACAAAATTATTACCGGGAAGTTTGGAAGAACAGATATTATGGACTATGACCCAGATTAGTTAGTTAGTCAAACAAATGCATTTCCTGATCGTAGTCCTTGAATGGATCATCCTCCTCATCGTCGTCATTCTTGAAGCACGCACAACATCCGAAGAACAGGTTGAAGATGTGGAGGAGCAGAGAGGCGCCGGCGACTGTGAACAGGAAGTTGAGGTTGTTGTAGACTTCCTCTTTCAAGAACGGCAAACAACCCTGAAAACAGAAATTGTGCTCCGACTTTCACTTCCGTGATCAGAAGCTCAATTATGAGACCAGTTCCAGTTCACCTGACTTACCTTATAGAAAATATTATTCGGACTATCGCTTAAAGCACACCCTTTCCGCTGATGCGTTCCTTTGCAGCACGAGTCCGGTACGTACTGGATGCGTTGATGAACCGTCTGAACCCGGATAAGTTTCAGGATGAGGAAGTGAAATTAACTCAAACGTACCTTAACATACGGTAGATAGTGATCCTCGACCTCAGGCTTCGGCCAATCGTTAAATGCATTGGATCCGCAGCATTTTCCCTGGAAAAAGTGTACTTTGAGACTTTCCAATTAATCCTCCTTACATCTCTTTGCATGAAATTCACAGCAGCAGTAATTTGATCGTCATGTCCATAGTTGTTGAGAATATCATTCGGAAGCGAGACTTCCAACTCTTGAATGTACGTGGCATGGTAGGAGAATGTGAAGTACACCAGGCATCCTTCGAGGATCACGGAGAAAATTAGAATCAGGAGATACTGAAAGATTCAAGTTTCCAGAAAGAAAAATGATGAGATACTTACAAAGACCAGTGCGCAACGGTTGTTGACAGCAGAATGAACCAAGAATCCAATAATGATGTTGAAGAATCCGCAGGCGACGGCCAAATGGACACAGTTCACGTAGAAATGACTGTGGATGAGAGGGACGAGGTCACCACGGAAGAAGAAGAGCCACGAAGCAAGGGCGAGGAAAAGTATTCCAACAATCTGAAAATTACAAAAATCGATATTTATCCTGTGGAACTTTGGGGGAATTCGTTCAAAAAACATGATTATTTACCAATTTTGACTAAAAAATCTACTTTTCCGAAAAAGGGGACAGCCACGTGTGGTGCCACTTGCTTACCACAAGCAAATACGAAACGAACAACTGGCATTTCGAACAGCATCCCGCACACTTTCTCGATCGTCGATTCCTTGGCGGATGACCACGATGCGCTGACACCGGACGCATCGGACTCACGTACTTTAAGTATTGCTCCATTTCATTTGAGAATAATAAAAAGGAATAGGAATTCGGGGGAAAAGAGGGAAAGAACGATGGCAACAGCTAATAGAAATATGTTTTTTTGTTGCGGGAGAAAGAAAGAGAGAGAAGCTGACAGTAGAGGAGAAGAGAGGCAGAAAGCAGCCGCCCCGTGCGAACAGTCTGATTTTTTGTAAAAATGTTCGTGGCAAGAGAAAGGAACTTGCGGTTGTAGTTGCGGTCAAGGCTGGCTTCCTTCGTGACTCAACGGAAAGTTACAAAAGGAAAAAACGATGAGAAAAAGCGAAGAAAAGTTGGGAAAAGCGGAGAGGAAGAAGTATGGAGGACAGGACAGTAAGAGAATGTTGAAAGAATGAATCATAAATCTTGTGCCGGGTGGGGCCGACTGCCGTGTGGTCGCGCACGTGTTTGTTTGAATTTGGTGCTGTAGACTGACCAGATGCGAAACTAACTTTTTTCGTTTTCTACCATAGAGTTTGACACGTGCCTGTTTTTTTATATATTTATTTGCATAGTTGGTGAAATCTAGGCGAACCAGCTGGGCCGAGGAAAAAACCACGGGTGGCCGGCCCGGCTGTAACAAATTAAAGGGAATTTCTTTCAAAATTCCAGTCAAATTTCAAGATTTTCGTCCAGAACTGGGATTTTCTGGAGCATTTCTTATTCGGGATTCAAATGATGAGCAGTTTCGAAAACAATTTCGGTCAAAACTCATGCGCCGAGCCGCTGCAGCTATGCTTATTAGTCATCCACGATTTCGATGAATATACTTTGACCTATTGCTTGTTTTGAGCATATGCACCATGATGATGCATGTCACGGACAAAGATGAAAAAATGACGACATTATTTTGAAAAGCAAAGCAGAGAATACATCATCTCGGTCAGTCTGTTCTGCCTGCGTGGAGCATAAAGAAGCTAATAAACGAGGCCGAGGATTGGGTAATTTCGATTCGGGTGCCATGAATAAAATATTTGAGAAAGTCATGCGATCGTCGTCACAGAACGGTTACAATGACGAGGACAATGAGGGACGGGCTTGTGCCACGCTACATGCATCAATAGTCAAGCTAATTGGATCAACACGTCAGGTGACACCACCACCACCAAAACTTTTTCGGTTTTAGACAGAATTCATTAGTGAGTGGAATAATGGGTGGTAGAAGACAAAAGAGGTACTTCAAAACTTATTGGACATTTGAGCACGATGTCCAACAAAAAAACAATAAACCAAGTACCTGAAAAGAGACTAATCTTCTTTTTTTTTGAAAAAAATATAATATAAAACCTATACAGCTGAATTTTTCCTCCATATTGCTCAAAAACAAAAAGTGCATGAGAAGAAATGAAGACGAACGTCTCATGATGGCAGTGAATATCTAAAATCTCGAAAACATATCCGTCCGATTCTTGGTAGCGTACTTATACATAGTACAAAGCTCCGTATATTTTTAGGTTTCCGGCTGCATCCTATTGAGAATTAAGGTGAATTGAAAAAGAAATTGAGTGGAAAAGAAGGGGGGGGGGCATGTTTACTTGTTCCAGAAAGAGATACTTCTGAAAAGAGGGGATGAAAAAAGAAGAAAAGTACTCCTAGGAATGTAAGGTCACTCTTGTGACGAGTTTACCCGTCTCGCCAGCCAATAGGGACCGGACCGGCGGTGTGCCGGTTTAGAACAAAACAAATTATAAATTCGGACATTTAGTTGGCGGTCGGGTGCGCGACAGAAGGCCGACGCTCACTCAATTGGTTTGCAAGGGGTATTAGAGACTACGGACGAGTCAGGGGGACCCGAGATTCGGGTTTTCCATTCATGTGTCAATTTGAGGAGCCTCGACGTCGCACACGAAACATTGAGACGGACGGAGGAAGAAGTAGGAGAAGAAGAAGATTTCCTCATTTTGTCCCTAATTAATCCGCTTTCCGCACCAAACCAGATTTTGTTCGCTTTCGCACGGTTTTCCGGGAGGCTATTGCTCTTTTCGATGACATGTACAAACTCAGTACTACAACCACTATTGGAAATTGCGTTTTACTGATTAAAAATACCTTTTTTTTCCAATTTCTCATCCATTCTGACGAGTTTTCTGACGTATATCTGACAAGCGAAATGAATTCGAATGAATTGGTTTGGTTGCGGGGGAAAAAGGTCCAAATACACATACACTCACACAAAAACGGATGATGTCTGGGCGGAGGACGTGTAATTGAATAAAAGGAAGATGATGTTCGAATGAAAAGGTGAAATGAAAATGAAATGGGCGGAGCCAATCATGAGACCCGAATACTTGGAATTCGGAACCTTCTCCCCCAAAGAGTTCTCCCCAGTGTAAACCGGATAGCACAACACGGATGATGAGGTTATTTGGCGGGCGTGGAATGAGGATCAAAATAAAAAGGAAGCCAGCGGAACGAACATAACCCGAGAAATGTGGCGAGTAAAGCGAAAGAGAGAGAGAGAGAGAGAGAGAGACTTGCACATAACACGATTTTTGATTTGCATACATTCACATTTGCCCTCGGCCTCGGCCCTCTCAAGAAGAACATCATGTGTTGCTAGCTCCGCTTCTCATGCTCACGACAGATTGGCCCTTCTTAATCAGTGTCAATTGTTCCGGTCGCGTGCCGGCTTACCCTCCGAAAAGAGCGGGAAAGACGAGAGGATATTAGGGTTATAAATTCTTGGAAGCGCTTCAGGGCTCGGTTCGGATGATTCCCAATGATTTGTGGTTGGATTCTCAGATTGTCTAGCTTAAAACTAGCGTCATGGGATCAAGACTGAACTGACAGACACGAAGAATGGGTAGTAAAATAATTTCAAAAGTACTTATGTATTTACACGGATTGACTCTGAATCCGAACGGAAAGACAACATTATCGGACATGGTAGAGCCGTTTGAATAGTTCAGAAACGATTTTTTCTGCAAAAAGTGCACCCCCATACTCAAGTCTCTTTCTCTCGGCCTCAAAAAAGTGCTTTGAGGCCCAAATCAAGTCCTAAATAAGATTTTTGAGAAAAAGATGTACTTTAACCTGATATAACTTATAGCTTGAGCACCAATCTTGTTGCGGTCTCTTTTAATGATGAGAATTTAGAATGAATGAATGACGTGAGAAAAAACTCCATGTGATTTCTTTTTTCGTCACGAGAAACCGAGTAACCAAGGAACGAATGTGAATCTATCCGAAATCTAAACTTCCGATTTGATTAGAATAGGATCTTGTGATTAGATATTGGAAGAAAAAAAAAAGAGATCTTAAGGTTAGTGATATTGTTTTGATCTATATAGTATCAGAGGAAGAAATGAAGTTTAGTGTGGTCTCCTCGTCGCCCGTACCTACCTCTCCTTCTCCGATTGATAATTGATAGTGTCGTGCGGAAATGAGTGATTGATTGCAATGTATCGAACGCGCTCCGAGTGTGGACGAGAGGAGAAACTTTTGTTCCCAAGAAGATAGATAAGAAGTTATATTTATACATACTAATGTCAACTCAATCCATCCTCATTCTCAAGGAATTAGTCTGGTGGCAGAGAATTATGAGTGAGCCTCCTGTGAAAATGGAATCGAATCGAATGAATGAGCGTGTGGTTCACTGGTTTTAGACGCTCTTTTCATTGTCCTGTACACGTTTACGTACCGTGAAACGTAGTATAATGGAAGAGTTCGCCCATCGGGTAATTTGAAACCAAACTGAACGGCGTCGGAAAGAATGGAGCACAAACAATAGAAAGTTCTATGGAAACATACGGAAAATCAGAAATCAACTAAATTTGAACGGGAGTTTGAGTTTGTTATTATATAATATGATATACAAACGGAGGAGTCTGTGCATGATGAGTGCAAGGCGGATTGTGCTTCCCGGCCCGCCCAGTGTCGGTATCATTTGACCAACAAACAAAACAAACACTGATGTGGCCGGCGAAAGAAGGGAGCAGAGTCACATGGCGGCGGCGGCGCACAGAAGACGACGCCATCGAAATTGAAAGTGAACAAAAAGTTAACGAACTCGACGTCCGGACCCACCACTTTTTGGTGTTTCGCGTTTTTGAGGAAAGGGGGAGAGCAAGAAGAGAAGAGAGGCGCGATAGAGTAAACAAAAGTGAATGAACTTGTGGTGGTAAAGTGTTCGGACAATATCTGAACTTTTGAGTGGATTCAAGACTCATACCAAGTTTTACGTGGACTTTTTGCGAGTTGGGTGTATTAAAATTTCGAAAAGATATAAAGCTCTAAATCATAAAGCTCTAAATCACCCAAAAATAGATTTTTTGCGAAATAATTTGTACTAGACACTCCTGTAACTTTTCAAGCTCTATCCTACGTCAAAACTATCCCAGTCGTGAAACTCTAAAGCTTACAAAGGCTTATCCCGTTGGGATTGGTCTCCACAAATCAACTGAATAGGGTCGGCTCAAAAAATGAGCTGTCAAAAGCAAAAGCGGACTGATTGTTGCACTTTTCGCTTGTTTTCCCATTTTCCCCCAATCAGAGACACAAGCACTCGAAAAACCATCTGGAAGCGGCAAACAAAGCGGTAATTGAGAGAATACAGACAAAAAGTTGATGGGTTTCAACTTTTCACTGTCCTTTTTCAATAACAAACAGCCAAATGATTTTATTCGACAAAACGTGTGTGTATGTGCACGGAACGGTGCTGGCGAAACCCGTCAAAAAAACGTGAAACGAAGGGGGAAATTGCATTTTTTGGCGAGGACGATTGGAACAGAAAGAGAAAGAAGGAGAAACAATTGCTGGGATTGATTGGTGAGTAATATGGGTGAGCCCGTTCTGAGAATGAGAGGAAAAGAAGTTTGTATGAAGACAAGATAGATGGGGATGAGAAGAGAAGGAAAGATAATTTGTTTTTTAAACATACATACCTACAGGATAAGATGAAATCGGGAGGGAGTGACTTTCAGACGGCACTCGGTGACCGGATAAGTCGGCCGTCATTGAGTCACTCCGCGGATTATACACAAAAAGAGAAAGATGATAAGAAGACGAGTACGGCAAATCTGAAATACTCAAAAGGATCGAAAATGAACGGGTTGATAGGCAACGGAGCAAAAATAGATATATCTACATATACTCAACAAGTAACTTGCTGAACTTTTTCGGGACGGGGGACTAGATGAGGGGTAAAATGACTCGGTTCAGGGTTTCGTGGCAACTCGGGGGGACCAAACTAGAGGAAAACATGTTGATTAATTGTGATTAACACGCGGGACGTAATGGTATGGATTATTATCAGATTATTATTAGAATAAATCTGAAACTAATCAATGACCGTGAATGATGTGGCAAACAAACGAGAAAAGAGTGCCCGTAACTTGAAAAGTGGATGATGCTTAACCTAAACAGGAGCTCGGCGGGTGGGCGGTATCATGGCGGGCTCAAATCAAATGAGTAGGGACTGCTTCATCTGATCCGCCATGTCCATCGCTTTGATATCTCGCGCAGTGTCCGTCTGGAACACGCCGCGAAGGTCCGAAGCGGACGGACGGTTCCGAGGGTTCAGACACTTCTTCGCCGCGTCGTGGAGCACTTGGGTCGACGGCAATTTGTCACTGAAATCAAAATTTTACACTCAGTTTGTGATTTTAGGTGTTTCTGAGGACCCAAACCGATTATTTCTCACAATTTTCAGCAAATTCTCTCGTTTCTCCAAGTTTTTTCTTCAAAAAATTCACGTTGTCCACGTGTAGTACACGCCCGCGGCCGAGAAGCGCTTGTCGCTTACTCGTCCAGCACCAGTTCATTTTTATGTTCGAAAGCATTTTTTCAACATATTTCATGGATTCAATGACAAAATAATGACGATTTTCTTCAGAAAAAACAGGAACAAGTGAGTTTTTGTCAATTTCTACCGGCTTTTAGGGCTCAAAACCTTCAGCAATCGATAAAAAAACTATTTATCGTTTCAGATATTATTCAACTTACAATTCATCAAGTCCAGACGTCGGAATCTGCCTCTGCGTCTGCCAAGTGACTCCCAGAAGGCACATCTCCGCCAAACACGTTCCGAACTGCCAAATGTCTCCTTTCGCCTCATATTTCTTGCCGAGCGCGACCTCCGGCGGCTGCAGACTCTGATGGATAACGACGTCGTCGGCGCTGCGGGCGGCATAGCCAAAATCTCCGAGTTTGACCATTTGATCGCACAGCATGTCCAGCGGATCGTTGTATTCGCGGAAGAGGTACACATTGATGGTGGTCACTCGAGTATGGACAATTCCGGCACGATGGAGGTGCTCGAGAGCCGACGCAATCTGCTCGGCAAACTGACAGAAACGGATCGAGATGTGATGGCAGTGTTGGGCAAGAGTCAAATGGTTCGGCTCCTCCGGTGTCTTGCGATCGTTGCTCGAGAAACTGTCATATCCAGAGGACGGAGATGGAGAACCGTCGGTGACCCGAAGAGAGTGCTCGTAAATTTGTGTTTGCGGGCGAGGAGAAACAGCACTCGGGGGCGGCGGCGGTCCGTGTGGTGGCTGCGGATGCGGCGACTCCATTGCTTGGTGACGGAGCATGGATCCGGCCGAGAAGATGTAGTTGCGAAGCGATCCACCACGGCAATTCTCCATGAGCAGACCAATGATCTGGTACGGCACGTTTTCCCATCTTCCAATGACAACTCCATCGAAACGGACACAGTGCTGATGTTGTGGGAAGGTTCGCAGAAAGTCCAGTTCTTTGCGCATCGCTTCTCGAGTTTCTTTGGCTGAAAACGGAATGATTCGTTTGAAAATAACTTCGAAACTTACAATAATCCTTTCCATATTTGAGCGCGTAACAGTTTCCACGAACCGAGTCCACAACATTCGTCAATCGCCAGCACGGATTGCCTTCCGGCTGATAGGTCTTGCGGAGTTGGAAGTCCTGGAACGGAAAAGCCGGCATATTGTCGTAGTACTCAAACGGAGCAATCGGAGCCATTGGGATGCACACTTTTGGATCTCTCGAGGCGTACACAGAGTTTGGCGAAGAGGAAGCGATGCTTTCCGACTGAAAATCATATTTTATTGCTGCAGAAATCTTTCGAATTCTCCTTCCCCCTAGTTAGTGTAGAAGTTCACACAGAAGTTTTCGGCATACCTCAAACACCTCATCGCTCAAGTTCAACTCGTTCGAAAAGTCCATGATCGTCTCGTAATCCTGCTCATGTCCATCGTTCGATTCGACATGGTGCTGCTGCTGTGGATGCTGTACCACGTGCTGCGGAACTCTCAACATCATGTGCGGTGGAATTTTGACCGAGTTCTGATCTGCGTAGTACGGGAAAATGGTGTCCTGAAAAGAGGAGGAAGATAGTGAAAAGTTAGATGAAAGAGGAAGTTATTACGTGGCATCCGGGACCGGCTCTTCGCGACTGCGTGTGCAGATTGTAGCCGTTGTAGGTGCGTTGGGCCAACTGAAAAGGGAGTTGAAAGATGAAGAGAAAGATGGAAGGTAGGGTTAGATCAGATTTCATGACTACTCACTGTTGCATCAATGTTTCTGTTCCCGGCCTCGGGTGGTTCAAATCGGAAGTTCAGTGGTCGGACCCCGATCACAGTCCTCGACGCGTCGGTGGCATCCACGTAGGCGTACACCATCCGCTCACCAGTTCCATACCGACCATCATCTACGTGTTTCTCTCCCTTCCTCTTCTTGTGAATAAAGAATCCAACAATTACGAAAAGGACAATAATGGAAGCGATGAGAAGCGCACAGAGGCCGACAGAAGTCGGAATGTCGGTGGCGAGAAGCAGGGACATGTAGGAGGGCTCATTGACTCGCATGATCTTGATCTTCTTGATCTCACTCCTCCTCTGTTTTGTGTCGAATGCCGACACCTCGACCTCGTAGTTGCACTCGGCGTCCGGCACGTAGAACACCACTCGTCGATGAGTATAGGTGACGTCACGGCGGATTGGCTCGTACTTTTCGCACTTCTCGTTGTTCGAAGTGATCAGCGGATGAACGGTGAACATGAAGTGCGACATGGAGATCACTGGCACCGACTGGTTGATACGATCATCTAGAACTAGTGAGCGGATTAGAAATGCTGAAAAAATTTGTTTACCTGAAAAGTAGGTCCATTCGATGGCAAGACCGTAGCCATTGGTCGACGACAAATTCCAGCTGGAAGTCAGACTCAAGACTGGTGGCGGCGCTGAAATAACTGGTTTTTTGTGTCGTGTTTCAAAATTCAAATCCCTTATTTTGTTGGAAAACCTCTTTTCTTCCCCCCGCAGAAAATAACGTCCGCGATGTTCAAAAGATAAATGTGCAAACACACATCGCCCCGTCTCATTCAGATCTTTTCCCCTGATATATCCCCCGAGTGCTCGTTCGGATGTCCAAAAAAGCCCCATTTCAATATGTAGCTCTTATGTTTCACTTACCACACATGGTCACATCAGCTACCATATCCCCACATGCTGGCACTTGAAATTTCGTGGTGGCAAGCGTCGTCGCAAGAGCAGTTGACGGTCGGAACGGGTCACTAGAGGCGGGCGCCAGACGCATTGTGTACGTCTGGTTGAAGTCCAACTTCTTCACGATGATCTCGCGGGTGTGGTCGAGATAAAAGTCAAAGTGTTTGTACTCGGAGCTCAACGCATTCTTGTACATCATCTGCAATGAGCACGCCGGGACGTGCACACTTTGTGGACGGTCGAGTGTCAATCTGGCGGCCGCCTTGTCGTCGTTCCATTCGACCGACTTCAGAGCCATGTCCAGAGAGGTAGTAGTGAGAATGTGATTGATGTTGTACCACGTGGAAATGACGATGCCTCCGACGGCTCCATTGTCGTCGAAAGTGGAGACTCGGAGACGGACTTCCAGGTCGGTCAGTCCAATCGGCGCGTTGAAAGTCACGTTGCAATTCGACGAGTAGCACTGGAAAAAGTCACGGTTATTGGATCCCCTGCAGGACTGAGCGTAGATTTTGTTTTCTTTAACGATCCTTATAACCCGTGAAACTTTCTTTTTTTGTGAGGAGAAAGGGACTATACAAGATTTTTCACATAAAATTTTTTACTGTGGTCCATCAAATGTAAAATTCCAGCCCTGATCCCCTCTTTTGCGCCATGTAGTCATCATCATCATCATTGCCCCTTTTTCAGTTTTTCTGTCGCCTACGACCTTTTAATCCTTGAGTAGTAAACGTCTATGATATGCATACTACAGCAACCCCCCTACTACTATTATTATGTAATACTTTTTCTTCTTCTTCTTCTTCTTGCTTTCTGTGTTGGTGTTAGCCCGATTCCCATCAAAAAAGACAAACGAGTGTGTGTCAATGTCACCTCTCAGAAAACGACAACTTTTCGGGTGGTCCCCCTCTACTGCTCCATCATCATGATGAGTTCAGAACCAGTTGCGGAAATGAATGGGGGAGAGCAAGAGAAGAAGATTACTCGAATCTTATGTGGGGCGTACTTTCACACGCCCTTCTCAACAGTCCAGTTCTTTCTGACGGGTACTTGACGTGGGATTTTCTCCGTTTCGGGATTGTACAACTTCAAGTGGGTACTACGGGGGAAAAGAGAAATTTTTCAAATTTAATTTTCGTTTTCCAAAAATCAGCGCAAGTATACGAACAAAATCAAGCCGGCCAGGCACTTGAGAGTTCACTTCGGTGGACCCCCCAGCCCCCTCTGAATCTGTGTGCCGTCCGAAGAAGAGGAAGCCGTCCCTTTTCATAACCACCTACTAACTTATGCAAAGCCAGCTTAACATGTCGTGGAAAGCACTAATTCGGGCCCAAAATCTCTTTCCCCTCACATTCTGTCAAAACATGGAATCAGAAAAGTGGCGGAACACAACCACCTAACCTTCCATCTCCACTAATCGATTGCTTTTGTTCTCCAACCTCAGCGGTGTGCCATCAGTGTGACAGAATGACAAAGTGCGGGCGACGGCCCGGAGGTTTGTACGGCAACTTACCCAGTCCTGGTAGACAATGTACGTGTCGTCGTCGTCGGCATCACGGGCGACTACTTCGATGAAATAGACGTTCTCCGTGTCCTGAACGCCTTCCTCGAGCTCCAGTACCACTTTTCCGGAGAGCACTCGCTTGCTGGTCGTCGCGGAGCTGTTCTTGGACAGATAGGGCAAATTGTCGAGGCACAGAATGTTCGCATCTTTCACCACACTCTCACGTGTCGGTTTTGCTGAAAATTGGGAAGTGTGAACTGAAAGTTGGCAGATCCCGTTATCGTTATCATAGAATATTGCCGGTAACCGCTACTTTTTGCCGCTTCATACCCCTCAATCATAAATCTTATTATTTCATGTCACGCAACATTTCGCATCAATCATTGCGATCACTCCCGCATCTTCATCTCATCGCTGCGGGGTGGAACACAGACGTGCCGAGACACTTTTGATAAGTGGTTCGAATTAGTAGTTGTTGCAACCAACTCGCCTTCCGATTGAGATTGACCTTGCCATTTTGAGGCAGCGGCGGTCCCCCGTTGCTTACCATCAGCGTTCATCAGAATTTGTTGATAGGCAGACTGTCCAAAACGAAACGCGGGCAGGTTCAGATCCGTGTATTCGGGGCTGTTGCATCCCAATTTGCACTGTAAAATGAGGGAACATGTTTTTGCCTTTCTTGCCTTGTCAGTCAGTCAGTCACAACTAAAGTGAACATCAAGCCAATTAGTCTGATGGTGGTTCATCAGTGTTTCGGTTAATTAACAGACAGAACTGGAAAGGACCGACCGACTAAACTAACCAGCGAGAATTCGGTCTTGTTGAAAACGTCAACTTCGCGATACATCGTATCCGTGTTCGTGACTCGTTCCTTGATCTCGCCAAACTGCAAAAAACGTACAGTAATCCACCAGGAATCAGTGACCCGAATAGGATTGAATTGTGATGTCTAACAGTGTAATAAGATGAAGCAAGCACATGTTCCGTTTTTTTGTAAAGAACATCTCTTCCGGGTGGGTTCTCATATAAATTAGATGGAGATCCGAACACACATGTCATATAAACCAGACTTGCAAAGGGCCAGGCTGGGTCAAAACTTGAAATTCTCGGGCCCGACAAGTTCTAACACGACTAAAAATTTCCGAAAGTTTCAAGAAATTTGTTTAAGATCATGCAATTTTGATGGAAACTAACCTGCGTGATGCATCGCTTCTGACACGGTCCAAAGATGGGAAATGGTGGCGAGTTGGGCAGCGCATTTGTGATTAGTGTGATGGTGGTTGAGAGTAGGAGTAAGAGCTTCATTTTGACATTGGGCGGGTGTGATTTGTAGGCTGAAATAATGATCAATATAGTAAGTTTATAAAACGAGCACATCTGATCGGCAGATGTTCATCCTAGTACAAGGCACTGTTGTCAAATCATTCGCGCGGAAAAAAGTGAAGCCCAAACAAACTTCTTCCCGGCTCCATCATCAACAAGACGCCACGCCACTAAAAATACGCTCGTTCTTCAACTCTCACTCTGAGATGAGGGGGGTAAATTTCAAGAAAGTCGTGTGCATGTTTGGTGAGAGATGGGGGGTCAGGGGAACCTTTTACAAATGTCAACTTGAGTTATTGACATTATGCACATTCTGGATAGATGTCAAGACCTAGCGTCATTAATCAGAAGACGAGGAGAAGAAAAAACGAGATTGTGCCGAAAAAGTGACCAAGAAGAAACATTGTGAAGAACAACGAACAAAATTGGCTCACAAGTAGAGTAAATCAACTTTTTCTCGCTCCGCATTTCCGACCTGATTGGAAAAAAAAGGAGAAGAGTCGACATCGACACAACACGAAAAAAAAAACCAAATTTGGACGGATAGGTTGAGTAGAGTTGCGCGTGAGCACCAAAGGGACCGAAAAAGTTTCGGGAAAGCGGAATGAGAATTCGTGGATGAGATAATGAGGTTGGCATATGGTACCAAAGTGGATCAATTATGCGGGTAGGAGGGGATCAAGCGAGCGAAACACACAGGCACCCCATGTTATTATTATTATTATTGGTTGCTATTATGATGACTTACTAGTAAGGAGAAGGAGAAGGCATGAGATGAGGTGGAAAGAAAGCGATTTTAACTTCAATCGTCCCACTTATTAGGCTAATTTCCCTTTTTTCGCGCCTTTCTTGTTTCAAAATTTGAGAACCGCGTGGCCTAGCGTCGTCCATACTTCTTCACTAGGGTCGTTTAGTTTTGGGACAAGTAATGGATAGATTGAGTGGTGGAGATAGGCCCTGTGGCGGATGAAATGGGAGTGGTAGGAAGAGGAAGGAAAAGAGAGAAGAACATCACGAAAAAGGCGTAAAAGTTCTGGCAACCCGGGCCCCGCTCTTCCTTCCGTTTCCTATTCCAATTTAAACTGGATACTCTTTCTCTTTCTCTTTCTCCATCTCTCTCTACTTCAATCTGACACATTTATAGTAGTGGGAACTCGAGCTTAGACCTTCGATGAGAACGGGCCAGCAGGACTTCAAAGTATAGGATAGGACCGGAAGAGATGAAGTAGAAGACGGGGAAGAAATGAAAAATTCAAGCGCGGCGAACTTGTTCAACTCGCACAATACAAAATCTCTGTTGTCCGCGGCGCACCAATTTTTCGCGCAAGACCAGGTTCCAACTGAATTTGCAATGAATATCCAAGTTCACCAAAAAACTGAGACTCTGGGAGCAAAAATCGAGAAATTTCGTGGAGGAGGGGCTTTTCACATTTAATGATGAGAAAGTGAAGTGGGCGAAAAGCGGTGTGGGTGATGATGATGATTATTGAAGCTTCTAACCATCTGGTGCCAACCCAACGCAACCCCGCACGCACCTTTCGCCCCCCGACACTCTTCATTTCATATTATCGAAACTATTATTGCTCTCGCTCTTTGCTCCCGATAGATCATCATCATCATCATCATCTGGTGTTGGGCGTTGAAATAATAAATGGCTTTATGTACCGTATCATGTTTGGATAATTATTACTGTACCACAACCAATTGACATTTTTCTTGTTAATTATGGGTTCAACGTATACATCCAGAAAGAAAAAAAGAGGTCAGATTGTCTCTAGGAACGGACCACAATAGAGAAGGGGATCTTCGCGGAATGTACGGTCAGATACCAATCTCTCCTTGATTGCCTTACAAAAGCGCAGTGCGATGAGGCAGAAGCGCGGCCGGAAGAGGGATACTGTGCCTACCTTCCAGAGGATATATGTATATACAAATAAATCACTGGCCGGGGGGAGGGGGGCTTAATTAGACTTGCGAACAACTTGGAGCGGACTCAATGTCACACATTGTCGGTGTCTAAAGCGAAAAAGGTGGAGGGAAAAACAAATTGTCCGGCGGGCGGTCAGGAGAGGGGAAAAGTTTCTCTTCCCTTTTCCGCCCGCCCATGGTTAGGGGGTCCTAATGAGAGAGGTGACGGAAGCCGACTGGTTTTTCGAGGAGCCATGTAATTATTGAGAGAGGGAGAGAGAGACGCTTGGCACCACGCCGTCATACTGGTAATTGGGCCCCGGCGCACGAGTTGAACAGTGAAATTGATACGAGGGAAAGGGACCGGAAATTGAAAAAGATATTTTGCCGGAAAGCGTTATCAGAGACAAGGGGGAGGCTATGGTTCGTTTAGGGGAAGCGAAAAAAAGTGGGCGGGGCCTTACTTACTACTCCTTCAGACAGCGGCGGGAGGGGTCTGGCCAGCAAACACACAACACCCCAAGCCGCTCCCATGGTCGAAAAAATGGGAGGAGACATGTCTCGAGACCGCATGGGAAGAAGAAGAAGAAGAAGAGGAAGCTGCCCTCCTCGGATAGTCTCTGTTGAAATGAAATTGACAAAAAAATGTGTTGAAGAGGGAAGATCTGAATGTGAGTGGGCGGATGAGAAGCGATTCGCACTTTTTTATGTTCTCAATTTTTCTCTGAAAAGAAAGGTGTTCAAGGGGTAACTTTTTATGAGGCCTCTTGCGGTTTTTATACGAAAAAGTGACTAAGCATGTGTTCCAGGAAGCGCTGTTTGCCAACCACGTACTCGAACTTTTTGAGAAGAAAACTAGGAACGGTTCTCATAACACCTGTTGAGTCATTAGGTGGGGGGGGGGCACAAGGACATCACATTTTTTTTGTTGGTATAAGTGTAAAAAATGTAACAAGAATTTGTTGCAATGCTTGTGGAAAAGTGTAAACCTTTGGGGCTTGCTCGCCAACAAAAAAAGTGTGATTGGTATATGGTCCGCCCATGGGGCATCGGAAAGTGACTCATCTCCAAATATCTGCGAGGGGTCCACTTTCTGTTTGGTTTGCATGCCATTTTTGACGTGACACCCCCACCCCTACCTTTGGGTGTTTTTCTTGAGTCAACGACGGTGCACAAATAGACAATTATGATAAGTTTGGTATGGGGAAAGAAGAAATGTTTTGGTGGCAAGGCCTTCTAACCTTGAAGATAATTTGGCAGAAGTGAAATGGCAGTGCTATTGAGCCACTTGGCATATACACGCGAGAATGTAAAGAACACCTGAGCGGAGGCACGAGTGAAGGAATCAAAAAATCTCGTCGATTTATGACATCTTTCTCGCCTTCTTCTCAATTTTCATACAATAAAATGAAGGGGGGCTAACCAGACTTGTCGGCACCGTCGGCCTTTCCAAGAGAGAGAGAGAGTGCGAAAAGAAGAACAAAGCCTATAAAAGTGCCCGTGAACGGAGAGGAGGGGGGGGGGATGGATAAAAAACACCTAGACACACTTCAATAAGATGACGATACCGTTATGGTCGGAGCGCCGGGTAAGGACTAAGAAGATCCGAACGATAACCATCGGAAGCGAACGGCGGCCGGAGAAGACAACAGAGAAGTGCCGACCCGTCAGACGAGTAGGCAAACTGTGCGGACAAAACATCGAACCCGATACTGTCAATTACAATGCTTTGGGGACCCCTAACGATCAAACAATAGCTCTCGGCTGGCTAGCCGGTAAAACTCTTTTTGGTAATTGCCGACACAGTGTGCCAAAAAGCGAGAAGACGATCCGTTGACACGGCGCGTGCCGAGTAATTGGTAAATAAATAAATGTACACGCGCAGGAGATCCTATCCTATCCTCCAAAGAGCCTCAAAGTTAGTTGAAGGCACCCCCTCCGCCCCTACTTTGAAGTGTGTTCGAATTTCCAATGGTAATTGAAAGTTAGAAGAATTTTTCCCCCGCTCAATAATGAAATGTTTCAAAGTGGCCGTTTACATTATGAATGAGCCCTTCTCTCACCGGAAACAGTAGGAGACGCTCTGCTTCTAACAATATATATATATATGTGAAATCTGAGTAGGTGGCAAAAATAATGACCACTAGGGGCCCGCGTTTTCTACAAAATGAAAGTGAGAAGTAAGGTGTATGGAAATGTGCCCCGCCGCTGGCGCCGCCTCGTAAATCAGGGTTCCGGAGGGAAAGCGAAGACGAAAGGAAAGGAAGGGCGGGGGCCAAAGGCAAGTAAATCAAAAAGCGACACGTGTCATTTGGCATTGGTCATGTCGAAAAGCGAGGGGGGGATGGTTTTCAAAGGGAAACGAAACACAGAGCTGCCTCTGAAGCTCGCTATTCAAAAAATTGGACAAAAAAGGAAAAGAGGGAAGGTTTGTTGTAACAGACCCTTGAATTCCATTGTGTGCACAAGTTTCGGTCATCTCTTCCCACCATTGCTGCCTACCGCCAACCCTTCCGTGTTTCTGCCTCAAAATTCTCTCGAACAATTTGTCATCAAGATCAGCTTATGGTAATTTCTCATACCAGATGACAGAGAAAATAAGAGCTCTCTACTCTACCGAAATCTTGAGTGACAATTCGTGTAATCCCATTTGTAAGCCCCGCGCAGATGCCTCCTCCTCACCTTGTCTCCCGAGACGATTGATGAGTGATCGAATCGAATCGAATCGAATCCGTGGGCCGCTCGCTGCTGTAATTGGATTATTTTAGTCGTTTTTGTCTGGGACTGATTGTACATAACACGATTGCAAACGGTAGAATAGAATTAATGAGCGGAAAGAAGCAAAAGAAAGAAAAAGAAGAAGAAAAGCAATATACACACATATTTTGTGACAAAAGCTGGGAATGATAGGCTGGAGGGGGTTAAGTTGACAAACTGTCAAGAGCGGAAGAAGTGGGAGAGAAAAAATGTCTGCAAACAATGCCAAAAACACGGGGAGGGCAGAGCGAACGGAACGTCTGCACGGGAAGAAATGAGCAGCGGGAAGGACCCGCGGGATAAACTAATAAGACGTGTACGAGCGGAGTGACGTTCGAGATGACATTTCCAGCAAAACAACAAAACAGTCTATGCGCGGGGAGAGGGAGAGAGTGCGCGACGCAGACAACGAGAGCGACCGGCCGGAGGGACCCTCTCCGTTGCGTTGCTGCAACACGGAGCGGTTCTACTGGAAATTCCAGTGAGGACTGGATTTTTGTGTGATTTTGCTTATCTACTAGAGTCAGAATTGTCCCGGACCGAATTTTAGTGAAAAAATTTTGCCAAAAGCGTAATCTAACTAACTAGAGTAATGGGATAAATATAGAAAATACGTGACGAAAAGGGTTTCAAAGTAAATTTCTGATGTTTTGATACAGATTTAGAGATTTCAGAAGTTATTATGTTCTGGATATCTGGAAACCTTCTATTTTACAGCGAAACTCCGTTTTTTCAACTCGAAACGACCTGACAACAAACGGAGAGCACATTAGGACACAAAAATAAGCTGACAAAAAAGAATGAAGCAAAACTTTGCAGAGATACTAACAGAGATCAACAGTAGAAAAGGGCAAGCACGGATATTGTCAAGTTCAATTGGATTTCTATTCTTGTTCGCGCAATTGAATGAGATCTCGATGGTCCACAAAGTGCAAACGCTCATAAATCGAATCTCTTCAGATTTATAGTCTCTTAACAGACCTTCTCAAAGGGTAACACTTTTATAGGCTCAGAAATCAAAAAATGGCCGAGATGATGATATTACAACCCAGAACGGTCACAGACGTTCTCTTCACTCCTTGGTCGGAAACGAAAGGATATGGCCGGACATGTACGTACAGTATTCATGTCGCTCAGACCTTCCAATTATACCCTTGAAACTGGCGCCCTGCTGAGTCTGCCAAAACTGGAAGAAAAAGCAAAAGCAGAAGCAAAGAAACATGGACTGCGTTTTGTTTTTTTTCGTCCAAGAAGCAAAAATGTCCGAAAACATGAGGATGATGATGGCCAAGCGGTTTTAGTTGTGACTACAGTATTCTTGGACAGTTCTCTAATAGCTGGCAATTTGCTATGAGCGCGGGCGGCGCAAGCGAAAGGGGGGTGTGAAAGAGAGACGGTTTTGAAACAATGAGGGGGGACCGAAGGACCGGGTGCCCCGATCCGAAAATTGATGGGCAGCGTCATGGATGATACTTGTAATTAAGTGAATTTCCTTTGCTGCAGCCACTGGGAAACATACCAAAACATAACTTGAAACGGAAAAGAGATCTGTGTCATCTATCCCCATTCCCATGATTATAATACCAGGTAGGACAGTGAATTGTTCGAATTGGTGTTTGTTTTAGAAACGGGTGGCTGACTTTAAATGATTGCCCCTTTCCCCCCACTCCTCACCACTCATTGGCTTTTTCTGATGCTTCTGGCAACCAATTAAAATGAATATATAACGTTTTCGATCGTCATCATACCTCATCTATAACGCGCCCTCCAAAACCTATTCATTTCAACACACACACACACACACGCCTGATGCTACGCGATTCCGAGAATCGGGAGAGAAGCGGTTGAAGAAAAAGGAAAAAAGGTTTGGTTGGCGTTTTCGTTGTATGATGACCGTAATTCGATCACAACACAACCATTTTATTATATTCACACACATGCATATACATTCCAAGAGGACGTCTGTTTGACAAAGCAAAGTTAAGCAAAAGTGTTCTGCGAAAAGGTGTGGTCGATTTCTGAATACTCGACTGGTCAGAGAAGGGGAAAGGCAAGCAAGAAGCAACAGCTGAGGAGAGGCTCTGTAACAGATAACACACACTTCAAACAAGATGGTACCAGGCCACCCATGTGGCAGCTGGTCCTGTGCGGTAAGATGATGTTGTACATGTGTCCTCCGCTCTGTGTACCCGCAAATAATTAGACCAAAAAGGTTCTTGAGAGCATCTTATGGGAGTTAATGCCATCGGCTTCAAGGCAACGGGTGAGAACGGCGGATTTGAGTGTAGAGTCCATAGTGTCAATTAGGTACGATGCATATGGAAAGAGCGGATTAGTTCGGACTGTTGTGACAAGGTCGCGCAAGGATTAGAAGATAGTGGTGTTACAGGCTGGTAGTAGCATATGGTTACGAGGGAAAAGGGTATCAGATGTTCTACAAATGGTTAGAGAACACTTGGGATCCGAAAAGCTATCGATGGCTAGGGCACAGGATAGGAACAAACCAGACTGCTAGAAAATGGATCCGTTTTGAGAGTACTACCAACAAGTCTGGGTCAATCAGGGCTACTTTTAGTACAAAAGTGTTCCCAAAACGGTGTGCGAACTTTCTCGCCTGCCTGGTTATCCGCTCATCCTCTCCAAATCATCTTTACCCACCAGCGACCAGCTCCCGCACAAGCCAAACAGTCTTGAAAGTGATAAGTGGTCAGCGGAGCTCGATTTCGGCAATATCTCACAGAGTCTGGCGGGCTTTTGTTGTGTTCAATAGACCATAGAAGGAGATGAAATGGTGGACATAAGAAGGATAGGAAAGAACCGATTTCAATATGACGGAGCGAAAGTCGAACAAGCAGCTGGCTCTCGTCCTTTTATGTTTCTTGATCAAGTGGACGGAATGGGATGGGCGAATAAGAGCCCAATAGGCTCAGAGGTCTATTAAATATGAGCTATGAATTGTGAAAATGAGGGAAGAGTCAAAACATAGCCCACACAATTACCTCACCGGTTTCGTAACGTTCCGTCGACCTTATCGAGTGAAAAAGAGGTCCATGGGAAACGAACGGGTAGTTGTTATCACCTGCGAATTCATTATTTACCTGACCTACCTCCAAACAACGTGCGTGTGAAGAAGGAACAAGGTAATTAATCAAGGTTTAATGGCTATGGGAAACTAGAGAAGTGAGGCCGAGGAGGGAAGAAATACGAGCCGCCAAAACATGATTAGAGGGTTGCGCTCCGTTCCAGTGTTCTTAGACAGGGACCACATTGTGTAGAAAAAGGAACCATATTAATCACAGGGTGAGGAAATGTATAAGGTGAAAGGGGAAAGACGAAAAATGGGGGGATTAGATGTAATCAACGGACCATTGATGAGGTTGGGGTAGAAAAAGGGAAAAGAGAGCCGTCCGTTGTCCAGAGGGGATAAATAACATGCGGGGTGGTCTTTTTCACTTTTAATTGTTGGCAGTAGCAGCGCCGTTATAGCACGGCCAATTTGAAATGATTCGGGAGGAGGGCTGTTCGCTCTTGATCCATGTGTCGACACATTCATCCGCTTTTTTGTGCCCTCGTTTTCATTTGCGTCTGTTGTGGTGTGTCAACTGACAATTCGAATAAGAATAAGAAATAAACGGGCGTGGAACGATTTTCAAAGGAAGGTGAAGGAGGTTTGTTTAGGAAAACGATATGTCAACTTTATTAGGATGCGTCGACAGTGACAACGATTATGTACGTCTTTTTTTTGGATGGACGGAACGATGGGAGAAAGTGAAAAGCGAAGAAGGTGAGGTTTTCATGATGTGTGCACCAACCACGTATCGGCAAAAAGTGATACAGTGTTGTGTTAACATTGAGGATTAGATGGTAAGTAGGAGAGAACGTTTACATAGTCATTAGATGTGTGGTGCGCGACATTGGTGGGCAGGAAAGTGAGATGCCATTTGTTAATCTGTCACCTTTGTTTGGAAGAGACACTGTGGCACGAAAAACTAGACAAGAGGAGTCATGATCTAAGCCGGTGAAGTATTCAAGAAATGAAAGTGACCTCCGAGCCCAAGAATTATGTAGTTCTTTGGAGAAACATCAATGCATACGAAATGGTTTCGCTTTCGCCAACTTGTCCTCCTTCTTGTTGGGATTGTTGCAAACAGAAGAAGGACACCCTCGTGAGACCCGACAATAATTTACTATTCTTATGCACTTGTGAATGAAGCGCCAACCATCCAGACAATAGAGCGGACAGTATCGGGTACATGTCTTGAAACAGAAATCGAGGAAATTAAGGATGTAGGTCGGTCAATTAATCGGCGGGTTCCTCACCGAGCGCAGATTTTGTTTTGTCGCAGCGTGGCAAATTGCAAATTGTCGGGCGGGGAAGGGATGAAATGCGTGGGATCCTCCTAGGAAACTGGCACACACACACAATTGTTCGCCAGTCATTTTTCATGGATTATCTCTTCTTCATGCAGGAGCGGAAGGAAGAACGATAAATATCCCCATTATTCTTTTTTTCCAATTTTCTCAGCTACGTTTAAAATATTACTACGCGAAACGTTCGTCATGAGAGATAAAAATAAAAATTTTCGAGGATGGATTTTGAGTTGAAAAGTGGAGGGTGATAAAAATGCCGTTTACACAAACGAGATGTCCGATCCGCTAACTTTCAGGGGTATATAAAAATGATATCGTCTCTAAAAATGGGTTGGCATGGACTATTGACCCTGTTGCAGTTTCACGATCAGTCCTGACCAAATACGAGAAATCAACTCCAGCTAAAACTGAATTCCAAATTTCGAACTTTGTTCTCAAACCCCTGCAAACGCTCATCGAAATGTTATGTTATCCAATACGTGTCCTTCATTTCCTCCCACCTTTCCCTCTCCTGCAAAATCATCATTATCTAAACAAAGTGGGGGTTTTCGGTTTCATAAACATTTCCCAGCTCCCCAAACCCTTTTGATACTCTTCTCATTTCCATTCATTGTCCTCCTGCTGACAGGATGGATTTTGCGTTGTCTCTAGCCGTATTCAGCATGTTCACTTCGGACGTCGCCCTCAAACCGTCTGCCGGAGAAATGTACAATAGACATGAAAAGGAAGTGAGTTATCGCGCAAATGGTTTTTTTAATCTGTAAAAACGTATAATTCAGGTGGAACTGATGCGTGATTTGTTCAAAAATCCAAAAGCAATGCATTCAATGCCTCCGAACCAACCGGTCCGCGTGATTCCAATTTTGACTATCGACCACATTCGGAGTATTGAAGAATCCCAAGGACTAATCAGTGTCGCTGCCACGTTTACTTTTGTGAGCTTCAGCAGAATTATGTGCAGTTTATTTTCGTTCTGCAGACCTGGATGGATGATCGACTGCAGTGGGAACCAGAAAAGTATGGAGGCATCAGAGCATTGTCGTTACTCGATGTCGAAGATTCAGTTGGTGACATTTGGACGCCCATCATCCACATGACTGATTTGTAAGAACTAACCGATCAGAAAAGAGAAATATGTTTAATTTTGAGACCGGAAGGCCGAAAGCAATCTGATTTGTTTATGAGTCGTGATTTTAACGGGATCATTACTTATACAGGAACTGTGAAAGCTGCCATGAAAACAATTGTCACCACACCGTGTTATTTTGGGTTTGGCGAGTATCCAAATGATTATCAGAACTGTTCTTTTACACTGCTCGCACCATACTTTGGAAATGAGTAGGCATCTTTTACAGAAAACTATTTCTTTGTTTTTGTTTCCAGATTTCAGTTTGCCAACTGGGGAGGCGCAGAGTTGACCCGTTTCTTGACTAGTGAAGAGAAAGTTGCTGATGTTGGAGACTTCCGACTGATTGATCTGGACTCGCAAGGATACTTCATGTTCCTGGGCATCAAAGTGGTCGAGGATATTACCAAATATAATATCCATCACTGCCGATCCTACTTCCGATACAATCTGATGCTGAAAAGAGAGAACAAGTTGGTGTTCGCTCAACTTTCGGTTCCGATGATTGTTGCTTGTGTGTATGTTTCGAACGAGTGGGAACCGAATGATATTTCTGTTTCAGAATTGTGGCTATGTCAGCAATCATTCCGAACAAGTACGGTCTAATCATTCTTATGTTTTCTGTGCTTTACCAAACGTTCAACGCTCTGACGATGTCTGAAATCATGCCTGACGACTATAACGGAATGCCAATGATCAGTAGGGTCCTGCTGACTTTTCAAACCCACAATATCAGATTTCAGGTGTTCTGGCCGTAGTCCTGATGTTTGAAACACTACTGCTCATCGGTTGGAGAGTCTACTCCCTCCACATCCGAACCATCAAGGGACTGGGCCGTCTAACCGACCCGCTCCGATACACAGAGTTCAGACAATCGGTTACTCTAGACGCCGTCATTGCTGCCGACGGAGCGCTGAGCATCATTCTCTTCCTCCAGTGCATCGGACACATTTACATTATTTTGAAGAACTAACAATAATTGTGCCTCCAGTTAAAATTCTTGTCAATAAATAATGCCCCAGATTACTATCTCTTTGAAACAGCGAGTGGACCTTTTGAATGCTTGACTGTAAAATATATGAATAATTATTTGCGAACAGGTTTTGGCAGAGTTGGGTCCGGAACCGGATCGCACGATTTAAAGACTGCAAAAGTTGGGTCCAAACGGAGTATTCCAAGTGGGGCAAAAAAGCCCCGGTCTAGAAAAGCATGGGCGGCCCCGCTGAGAAAAAAATTTGAAGCGCTGTTTATTGGATAGATACGTAAAAGCTGATATTTGGCAAAACGAGTTTTTAGGATGCTTGAAAATGACAGGAAAAACATATGACTCAATGAGAACCGGTACAAATATCACATTTCGTGAGTTCATTTTGAGCCGATCAAACTCCAGGCGTGAACTGTTGTCGGTCGATGATTCCTTTGTCTTCCTCTTCATCTCCCTTGCTCTCCTTATCAGCAACATTGACGTTAACCGTCAGCTCAATGATCCCGTGCATTCCATCATTCAACGCTCCGTTTCCGTTAGTTTCCGCCTGAAAAATGCATATCAATTTCTTTTTTTCGACTTCTAAATTAGTCTGTTTCCGGTCATCCTCTTTTTCAGTTTTGAGAGCACAACCACCAAAACCACTCACGTAGGCGGTTTGTGGATCGAATCCGACATCAACGTCAACTTGTGTGGTTCTGATGTGGAATGGGAAGTTCTGATTGTTATCCGACGGACGGGAGAGGTACTGTAGCAAATAATTATTTACTATAACCTATAACTGTCAACTAACGTACCAGAAAAACAATGTATCCATAGAAAGTGACAATATTCTCGACAATATTCACCACCTCCGCACGTACCCAGCTATTTAGGAACAAGTTTGCAATGAGCGTAAAGATTGGTGGCGCCCAGAACCTATGAATATATTCATTTTGACTCGGTTCCGTATCCCTCCAGTTTTAGCCTACCACGGCGTCATCATCAGAATGAAACATGTGAAGAAGGAGGCTTTTTGCGGGGCCGCGTTTCTCGAGAAAAGACACGCGACGACAAAGAAGACCCACGCCGTGAGCCGCCACACAGCCAGCAGATATCCGGGCAGAGATTCCGATTGAGCATACACCAGGGCCGGATCGAAGTACTAGAAATCACAAAGAGAGATTACATATTATTATTATTATTGTTGGGGATTCAATGCAAAGTGAAAATATGTAACTCATGATTACGTATTTTTCAGCAAGTTAGAAACAAATTTAAAAACAGTTTTTTGGCAGGTGATTTTTTGTTTTTGCAAAATCTGCTTTATGCTCACAACCCATTGAAGCAAAGAGTGTGAGAAAGCGTTAATTAATGTGAGCACAAATCACAACTTGCTCACCTTGATCTCCCAAAACTGCATGAGAAGATAGGAGCCGATGAAGACGAGAAGCATGCCGACGAGAAAGAATTTGTCAATCTGAAATGTACTATTTCTAATGAGTCATTGATTTTTCCGTCTAACCGTTGATAACCGCATTTTGGTGACGTTCAATCCGCGGGCGAGTACGAGTAACATGTACATGAAGAGCATGTCCGCCAGAGCGCTGAAAATTGGATTGAAATCTAGATTTAATAAGAAATAACACCGAACCGTATAAACTGGCCTGACGTGGCAATCACAGGTAGGCCAATGCCATCCAACGCGTAAATAATATAATTGGTCACCAGTAATCCTAATCCCAAAGTGTTCATTGTAATGGATTGAGAACACATCCGGAACGTGTTATGATAGAGACGACGCGCAGAAAGGCTACCTAACAAATCGAAGAAAAATATTATACAAATCGAAGATTATTTTAGTCAACTTACGGCCTATTAGGTAAACGCAAACGATGAGCACAGTCTGAAGGATCAAAAAGAGGGTGTCAGACGGGAGGATTACTGTAATTGGGTAGTGATTGTGTTGCGTGGCAGGCGAGAAGTGTCTTACGCCATTCATCAATCGAGAATTGGTATTTGAGAACTTGTGATGGAAGACCATTGGTCATTTGAAGTGAAAACTCGGCATAGACCCCATAAGACTCATTGTTAAAAGTTTTCCTTTCATCTTCTGACAAAGTAGGATCACAATTGGCTATTGCCAAAAACCACCAACGACTTCTGGCGGAACTGGAAACAAGAATAAGAATAACAGAAATGCTAACGTGAAATGAGTCATATTTACCGGAAGATGCGAGTTCCCGAGCACACAATCCAATCGGCGAAGAGCGCGTCTCGATGCATCTGACACCTTCCATTTCCGGATATGTCCGACGCAAATGGGTCCAGGAATATCTAAATATCATGATTACGTTTGTGTGTGGGGAGCCTAGCGCCTAAAGCCCCGTCGCCCGTACAATTTGATTATTATCCGAGTGGTTAGTCAAAAGTTGGACGCGTTCTTCGCATGTCTGAAAAGCTCGATTGTTTTTCAGTTGCCGAACCGATGATTACCGTGAGTTCTTTGTAAGCTCTCGGCCATTGGTCTTCGGTGTCGAAGTAAAGAAGTAACATTTGAGTGGGATAATACTGAAATTAGAGGCTTGCGCGTGCCATAAACAACAAGTGTCACCTGCGGATACTTGAACGCGTATTCGAGCGCGCCAGTGTCGGATTGGAAACAGAAGCGATCGAGGTACACAAAGTCCTAAGAATCATACAGTAGGGTGTTCTTAACAGTCAACTAACGTTCTTGGAGCTCAAAATACCCTGAGATCGTTTTCCATGGGAATGATAACAGAGCACCAACAACAACAAGACCGGTAGAGTCATCATTCCGGAAATTGAGATCGAGTTTGGATTTCCTAAAAGGATGCAGTCACGCGAGGCGGAAATACAGGCTAGTATCAACACTGAGAAGAAAAGGAAAAACAACGGAAATGAGACGAAGGGAGGGGAAGAAACAGAAGAAGAAGAAGAAGAAAGAGAACATTGCTTCGAAAAATTTGGTGTGCGCGGAGACGGTGAGTGGAGAACTGGTAGTTGCTCGAGCTCTCACCCCTTTTCCTCCACACGTGTGTGTGTGTTTCATCAGATCTTTCCGCAGCGGCTGCGTATTGAGAGAAGGAGACCGAGCTCTCAAGCGCTCCGCCGGGTTGCTATGGGACACCGAGCGAAAGTGAAGCGAAAGGGGCACGAGAGGGCTTTCTCGTACTGCTGCCGCCACCAATACTGCACGTGATTTCGGGATTTTCAGAAAGAATCATTGGATTTATCAAAAGTTAGCAGATTTCTCTGCCCCAGCCTTGTGGGCCCGGAAGTTACACCTTGAAATCATTTTTGAGGGTACAATGCAGGAAAAAAGGAAAAACACGATTTTCTCGACCGTTTTGGGAAAGTATGGAGAAAGTTAGAGTTTACGTAAAGTTACCTATTGTAGATCACGAGAAACGTTTCGCCTACAACGAAAGGTCTAATGAGCGTAAAATTTTAAATATCTGGCCGGCTGCCTTCGAGTATTATTAATTAAAACGAAGCTTCCTACTGTAGATAACGAGAAAAGTTTCACCTCCGACGAAAGGCCTAATAAGCGTAAAATATGAAATATGCACGTTTTGGCCCGCTTTATAAACCGAATCTTTTCCCGTCGGGATAAAAGTGCTGTCCTAATGAGGTGATGACTGAAATTTTTACCAAGCGTCACTCTAGTTGTATGAGTAATTATCGCAAAAAGGCAGTCCGGCACGTACACTAACAAAAGTACTTGTGAACTTTTAAAAAATAGAATAAAAACGAGTGATTATACTTTTTTGAAGCCTATCTACAATCAGCATCCTGAAATGTCATTTTTGCACGACAGGTGAAAAAGCGTTTTCTCTTAAAGAAATGAATCAGTAATGCAATTTTTTCGGCGACTGCTATTTATTTATTATGGAGCATTTACAAGAAACCAGTGATTACTTAAGGAAATCACAAAAACACAGATTACAAAAGCGACAACTACAATTAAGGGATTGGATTAAGGGATTTGGTTAATTAGGTGGAGTACTGTATGATTTGGAGACTGATTGCATTGTGACGTGGCAGTGGATGAAAGCTGTGGATGAAGTCGGAGAGCAACATCTGAAAACTTTTAGTTAGCAAAAAATCTAAACATTTATTGGATTCTCTGTAACTCACCCTGATTGGCTTTTGGAGCCTTGAGCAAAAACGATCATCCACTGCTATCATGTCGCATTGTTTTGCAGTTTTCGGGGAAAAAAGAAGGATAAAAAGAGGGAGAAGGAGACAAAGATTGGATGAATTGAGATTACATTGAGAATAGGTTACGATAGATCATGTAGATTCGGTAGCAGCGCAGCTGACATGAAAATAAGAAAAGTAGGAACTTCTAGTTGTTTACGAGAGCTGGGGGAGCGGACGGAACAGTTGTTATGTCTATTTTTCAATTTTCTAACAATGGAAATTGGGAAGGAAAGGGACAATTCTATAATACTGGAGTTGGTAATGACTAAATACTGTGTGGAAGGGGAGCAAACGGACTACTAGAGAACAGCCAACTAGATTTTGGGACGGGGGGGGGGTGTGTGGAAAATGATGTGACGTAGTGATGGATAGGACTGGTAAAGCGTTAGCCAAAGACTCATGAATGAATATTTTTCGGGTCGGAGAGGGAGAGGGGGGAAATTGACACAGAACCTCCATGGAGTAACGTATGAATTGAAGATCAAAGAGTGCCAATTTCATGACCTGGTTTCTCCAGAAAAACCGATACACATTTTTTTGGGGGGTTTTTTGACCGATTTTGTCGAGAACAGATAGAAAACAACTACCAGACGTGGTTTCATGGGGACGGGAGCACGGGAGTAGAAATGACTGCAGAAAAACTAGGTGTTCCCGTCGGCTACAGTAGGACAGTGGAGTTTTGGAAGCAGTGAGATAGGAGGGAGGAGAGTGGTGAAAAATGAGTAAACAGCTAAATGCTAATTGACTGGGGGAACCATAACACGAGCGTCGTAGAGCGAGAGAGTGCTCTTGTAGATGAAATCGAGGCCGACTTGACGTTCCGCTTCTTCGAGATCTTGGCTGATGGTCCGGATGAGTGCGTTCATCTCCTCGTGGTTCATACTGTCGTCGTTGAGTTGACGTTCGACTGTCTGAACAAAAACCGTAATCTTTAAAAGTTAGAGTTCAGCTTACCAAGATCTTGTTGTGCTCATTGTCAGCAGACTTGATGAACGGAACGGAGAAGTCATCATTATCATTGGTGTAGTCGGTACAACGGAGGAAAATCTTTGGCAAGTTCATGAGCTCTTGGTAGAACTTATTGCGCTCCAGGACCTGCTTCGGAGTATCGCGATGGAACATAATCGGCACTGAAGCGGCGACTTCGTTCTCATCCTTCTGGTCCGGTTCGCAGAGGGTCAAAAGATGGAGCAACTCGCTGTGAGACACGAAACTGACGGTTTCAAAGTCGTAGAAGTAGATGACTTTGTCCATCATCTCAACTGGCAGAAGACGTCCGCACATCTGACCAATGGTCAGGGTCATTGCCAAGTTCTCCATTAGAGTAAGAACGCGGTTCTTGCCGTTGACACGTAGGTTTTCTTTGAATACGTCGTACATTCTGAACAAAGACAAATTAGAGTGAAGCCCTCAAAGTGTTCTCAATTCTCAATTTTTAAGTCCCGATGCTCACATGAAATGGCAGCAATCAATCTGTCCCGCACATGCGCATTGCTCAATAATCACTCGAAGCGGAATATTGGAACAATGGAATGTGCGAGACAGAAAAACGCTTTCGTTTCTTGTTCCAACTGTTCTGTTTTGTTTCTAGACCACAATACGCATGGGAAACTTTTCGAGACAGTCGCCTTGACAAGAAACTTTCGAGAATCATTAGAATACCTTAATTCAAAAAAAGAGCTCACCTTTCCGTTATCAGCATGATTTGCAAGTCAGTATTTACCCCAAAAAAAGGAAACAGTGGCTCGCGTGCTGGAACAATATCGATCGGTTCGCTGCGAGGAATGCGCACTCCTTGCACCGACACTATTCCGATGATCGGATCGTATTCATTTGGAATTTCTGGATTCACACCCGAGAGTGGTGGAGGCATCCGAGCCGTACGTTTGTTCAGCTCCTCGGCCTCAAACGTCTCGTCATCAGTGTCGTACAGGCAGTCGCGTTGTGAAGTGTTCTTCTTCTTCTTCTTCTTCTGCTGCTCTTGCTCTTCCTTCTCGCTAATATTGTAGCACGAAACGACGACCATGTACGGAGAGTCCGCGGCATTCTCATCCGTATACATTCCATCTTCGCGAGCCTCGCGCGCCAGAATGTTCGTGTCCCGGGCCTCTTCAGAAGACGACGACTGACGAACATAATGTTCGAGAAGAGCCCTTTCTCTTCCGCGTCTCTGCGCCATACGCTTCGCATGAGGTCCCGACAAAATAGACGAAGAGTTGGACGAGTTTCCGCTCGAGTTCTGCTCTCCTCGTCGCGTTGTCCGGTGGAACGTTGTCTTCGCCAAACCCGTAATACTGGTTCTGCAATATCCGTTTTTAATTTCCGGTCTACAACCCATTCACTCGGCGGAGTGATTCACTTGCTCCGTCTCAAAGATCAACAAGAAGGAGAGAGAGAGAGGTGTCATCGACCTCCGACATCACAGTGAATAGGGACGTAATTCAATATTTTGTTTATATGGTCATTTGAAATCGAGAACTATTTATTTGTCAGTGAGCTTTTGGGTCGAGCTTTTCCGCCTAAGTGACTTTTCCAGAAATAAAGTATACTGGCGCTAATCGGAGCCAGATGTCCTAGTATCCATTTGTCACACATGTGCATATTTCAGATATATAAACAAACTCACATAATTCCCCTGTAGTCAAGCATGGTGATAGGTCCCGTAATGTGAGTTTCACCAAGTTGAGGTAGGCGGATTCTGAAATTAAAGAAAAGCTTGAACTTCAGATTTAGAGATCTTTTGCAGAAAAAGATAGAAAAAGCAATAAAAGAAGAAGGCAAAAGAGAAGGATAGATAAACGTGTGAAATGCGAGGAAAGATTACGGAGGAGCGAAGAAAAGAGAGGCGGGCTGAGGAAGAAGGGAGAAGAAAAGGGGGCAAAGGCCGTCGCTGGCCAAGTGGTAATGGCCAAGTGGGTTTGGAACACGCGAGACGAGGGCCCCGCGAAGAATCAATGAAGATAAAAAGGGTCGGCGGCGGGGCAAAACTTTTTGCCAAGGGCCCAAAAGGAAGGAAGGAGCAGAACGAAAAGTGGTGCACACACCGGAATTGGCATTCTTTGAAGTCATATTTTTGCAACAAAACAAGAAGCGAAGCTGAAGCTCTAGCTCTCCCCTTTTTTTCCCTTATTCTCAACCCTAGCGGCCAGCCAACCAGATAACTATGCTTTTAAATTGTCTTGACAATGAGTGCGTGAGAGGGAAAGTGAAAAAGGGAGGAGGAGAAACACTTTTCCCGCCATTATCATGACCTCCACGCGATGTTGTCTTCGGCGGGCAAGCCCTGGGAGAGAAGAGGCTTAATTGGTAGAATTTCACTCTTTTGTGATAGAATTGGATGGAGAGAGACGCTTTTTTGAACCAAACAGGCCCTAGACATGGGCAAGTGGAAATTAGGAAGATTCAAGGTGAGCGGCCTCCTTTTCTTCCCCCCTTTTTTCTCGACCACCCATTAATCTGAACAGGTAGCGCCTGCGTCGGGTTGAGTGGATGGATTGCCCAGATGGATTGCTCTGAAGTGGCCGGCCTAGCCGTCGGGATTACGGTAGGCCGGCTTTCCCCCGAGACATTCCGAAAAAGCAGTTGGAAACATGTTGGGGCGGCGATTTCAAAGAAAAGAATCTCGAACAACTCTTTTGTTCTTCTCGCCTACTTTTTCTTGGAAAAGTCCGTCGCTTCCTTCCTATTGTCCCCCCCCCTCCCCATTCCTAAGCAACTCAATGAAAAGAAGAGGAGAAACGTAAACAATCACTACCTACAAACCCTCTAGGGAGCTACTAGTGTCAAGAAGTGTCGGCGCCGTTTTTCATGATTCTTGTCGGCAAGCCAATCAAAACACGCTTAGGCTGTGCGCAGATACGCGAAGGCGAATTCTCCAGAGGCGTTGAAAAGATGCCATCACGAAAATAAGAAGAGCTTTAGGAATACCAGCAAAGATTTTCGCACCGTGGGGGTTGGTCTGTCCCTCATTTTATTCGTCGTCTTCTTCATCGCCTTCTTCGTCGACAAACAAGTGACTGAATAAATAATGGAGGAGCGAAAAAAGAGGGCGCGAAAACGAAAAGAAGAAGAAGAAGAAGAAGAAGAAGAAGACGTTGAGTGGCGCGGTGATCGTTACTACCACAACATTCAACTATATTACATGGATCATTAACTAGCGTAGAGAATTATGGGATGGGTAAGTGAATGATTGATTCGAAACGAAATGAGAATTGTTATTGTTGTTCGGATGGAAAGAAAACTAAAACTACTGAGTGGTTGACAATCCCCCAACCACCTGCTGCTTCTATTGTGACCGCAAAAGGTCATGACTAATTATAGGGAAGGCCCACGGGACCTATTCACTTTAGGCCTAGCTTCTCCAGCTCTCTTGAGCAGAACAAAGTGTCAAATGACTGTGGGTGCTCACATCTGTCCCCTTGCTCCGTTTGCCGTCGTCGTCCATGTGTATAATTCATCCAGCATGCACATGCACCAGAACCCACCCGACTACACCTACATATTAATTTGACGACACTTTTACTTTTAGCCGGGGCCCCGGAGACCGAGGGAGAAGAAGAAAGAAAGAGGGGGAAACGAGCCGCTTGATTAAATTTTCCACTACCGCAGCAGACGGAAAAGCAAAACGGCAAGAAGAAGAAGACAAGGAGGAGTAGGAGGAGGAGGAGGAAATCAAGTTTCGGAGGGGACTCTAGGCCCCGGTGCCAGGCGGTGAGAGATGAAATATTTAAGACAACTTCATTAGGCCTCGTCTCACTGACTCCTAGTACCTACTCGACAATTCCAAAGAGGGCTGATCAAAGATCAACGCTATAATGATAGGATTGATGTGCGGCCCAATTTCCTCCTGTTTATATAGTCGTTCAACATTCGTAGACACCTGCCCGGTCCATAAAGAGCATGCAATCACGGCAAAAGGGTGGCCTGCTGCTGTTGAGTGGAAATAAGGGGGTCTGGCAGTAGTAGTCCCCCAATTGCTATTTTCCTTTACCACTATTCACAATATTCATAATTGTTGTCACTCACTCGCTCACAAATCTAACCCCTCGCATATAATTAGGCAGAAGAAGTGTCTTTTTCTTTTTGGCCGGCTGCCTTAAAAGTACAATTGTACATATAACGGAGGACGAATCCACCACCACCAAAAATCGAATCAAGCGACGTTTCTGAGATTGAGATTGAGATTCGTGCTTGTTAGCTGACTATGCAGTGAAAGTGAGGCATATGATCAGAGAGTCAATAGACACTTATGAAGTGGAAAACGGACGGGAACCAACCGAGAATGGAGGTGATCTCTGGGTGCGGCACCACACTTACAAGGCATGTAAACGATCTTGTTGACATTTATATGTAGTTAAGCGGGAGTGGCTGGCTCTCACTGCAGTCGAGTTGCGCGAAAAAGCGATGCGCACAGGTAACCGATGCTTCTCACCACCAAAATGAAAATGCGCAGGCAAAAAGAATAGGGGGGGGGTGCGGGAGACGAGAAACTTGACACCAGGCCGGCTGGGCCTAGCATTTATAGAATGGATGGAAGAAGAAGGCGACCAGTTCAGCAAAAGCTTCTAATTCGCAGTGGGAGTGAGAGGGGGAAGCCTAAGACTCTTCCCGACACCGCTCTTTTACACCGTTCTTGTACAAAAGCATACAAAACGCGCGATACACCTCATAGACATACATACAGAGACACGGCTTCTCAATTTCTCGTTTCTCGCTTCGAGGTCGATATATGAGCGAGCATCAAAAGAACCATAGATCAAAAGGGCATACGGTGCCTGCTGGGAACATGTCTTCTAGAAGAATATTGCGCATTATGCCATTCTAACATCTGTCTCCTTCTCTATCTTTTGGTCTTGGAAATGAAGGCAGTCGGGGCCCGGATAAATAAAGATGTAATGTGGCAATCCAAGTTTTTGAAGTCTTAGCCGATGTTTGAATTAGTTACCTGTTAAGGAGGGACTTGTGGAGATTAGGCTGAAGAGATGCAAGGATTTTTCAAGATTATGCATGTGAAAAAGTGGTGAAGAGGGAAGTTTGAACTAAACTAGATGAGAAATGTTGTATTCTGTGTAAATATTTATACACCATAGATCTATGTTTGATCCGGGAAACTCGCCAATTTGAGATCACCTTGGATTGGACCATGATGCCTAATCTAGTGAACTTCAAATCTTTCTAAAGATGGCGAAGTGAAACTAGAGAGCAAATTACATACTTTTTTTCTAAAAATCAAGTTCAACGCAAAAACCTGCAGTTTCAGATTAAATAATAAAGGGGACAAACCAATCCACCGATAATGAAGCCGTCGTTGGTCGTTTCAGGGGCCCGTCCACTAATCCATTGCCTTACAATAACCACAGCGGTCGCTTGCGCACGCGAGACCCGCCGGACTAATGTAATGTTTCCAGGTGACCCGTCGCCCGTCGCCCGGCCCCTCCCCTTCCCCTTCAGGTGAGGGGCAACAATTCCAGGCTCCGCCCTCGATGTCTGTCACCGCCGGCGCACCGTCAATCTGCGGCGATAATGTTTGGGTTAGTTAGGTAGTTAAATGGGCGGCGCCATCCGCTAAGGCCGGACTTCATATCCGAAATTGCGGAGAACAATGGGGGAAGAGGGAGGGGGTCCGAATGAAGGCCGTTTCCAGATTCGGATTACTGTACTTACCTTTCCGGTAATTATACATTTGTTCTTCAATTGGATGAGGGCATGCGCGCAGGTTGCGTGCGTTGGCGGTGAAGGAGATGAAGGAGAAAACATAAAAGTGACACGTGTGAGGAAGGGAAAGGAAAAGGAAAAGATGCGATAATTCTAGTTGCAAAAGTACTACTTCATTATCCGCACACAACATCTCTTCTCAATTTTCTTTGCAAAAGCAGAAATGATGATAGATGCATGCACATAATGGATTAGATTATTCTTATAATGAAACTTCTGAAATGTCTGAGTTCCCAGACAATTATAGTTGGCAGCCACGTGTACGCAATATTCACACCCCATCATGAGCACAGGTGGCGGACCTTCTCCGGTTTCAGCAATTGCATCATCTTACGAGTGAGGATCGTCATTTTTGGTAGCAACTGTCTTGGCCTTAAGAGGATTATCTGATGCTAATGATGTTGGCTAATATTATCCAAATCCGATAAAACTCAAATCAGAAAGAAGAAGTGAACTCTAAGGGTCTAAAGATTAAAGAAAAGAAAATATATATTCTGATGATGACATGTACGTGCTGAAAACTAAGTCATAAAATGGGCACAAGAGTAGAGTGAAGAGTCGATTGAACAAATAGGGACACATAAACACCCTAGGGCAGGAGAAGGCGCGAATATAAAAGAGGAGAGGGGGGCGAGCTCCGGTCCTGTTTGTTGTGGATACAGTATATTGACACGAGAGCTGTGAAGAAGAAGAAGAAGAACAACGAGTACTTGTACGAGATGGCGCGTTCGGGTAAGCAAGACGAGCACAGACAGCGATAAGCCCTATTGGAAGTTGCTCAAACAGACATTTCTCAGACGGGTGTCAGACAGACAGATTACTATAGTGCTCATATTCCAATGTTTGGAGCGAATGAAAAATGTAAACGAATGTGAGACAATGCTGCTGCTGCTGCTGCTGCTCCAGAAAGGCTTAGGACTCGGACCCCCGACCGA